CCCGTGAGATCGCGAAAGACATTCCTCGCCTGATCTCTACTGCCAGCATCGTCCGTTCAAGGTGTCTCGCGATCGGTAGATCCCTAAATACCGCGATCGAGTCCTACGATCTTCCTTCGATGTGATAATGTGGTCAGTTAGGCGAGTCAGCTTGATCAGCGTCGCAGAGCTGCATTTTGGTCTCTTCAAGCCCCATGAATATGTTTTCACGATCTAAGCAGGGTGTGCTTCGATTGCCTTCTGATTTTGAGTGGGACTTAGACCAAGAATTTCGCGCTTTATAGCCCTTAACAAGCTGATCGCACCGATCATGTTTCGTAAATATGGGCAATTAAAAAAAAGCTTCTCACTCTGTAGGATGACTTCTTCCATCACCCTATGCAAGCCTTGTGGAAATCTACTCATGTATTACCGATCTATACTGAGCAGCGGTGGAATGATACGATCGGGAATAGTAACGAGTGAATACAACGCCGATCACAATCGGTGGGTCTTCCAGAATTGAAGAATCATTTACCCGGTGTCGACTTGATCCGCTATCGAAGAACTTGTATGTTTCCTTGATACTTGATCCGCCTAAGGCCAGGACACAGTCAACATCATCCGTCGCTGTAAGCTCAGCGCTGCCTTCAAGGCAAACTTTCTTCAGATGTCTTGGCTTTCCACATTTGTAGCACGTGCGCACATCTCGACGGTCCTTGCAATTGACTACTCAGTTCTTGTGGTAATCTCAACGCCCATTGTCGACGGTGTTATCCACGTCCTTCCCGACATTCATCCCGCGTGTTTAAATCTCAGTACACTGCGCGAAGTGCGCAAGATCTTTCGCCAATCGCAAAGTGTCTATGCGCGCGAGGTTCAACCTCACCAACATTGACACCTTCATACTAGGGTTAGCATAATGCACAATGTTGTTTTAAACTAGGTTCTCGGCACCTCTAAACTCTTTCCACACCGCCACCAAGTACAGGTAATGCTCTGTCAAGATTTTTGTAGGATCTCTCAGGAGCTGTGTGTGCTATATAGATCGCAAATAAAGTAGTATTTAATATGGTCCTGTCTTTTAACTGCTTTACTCTATCTTAAACCCGAACCCTGATTCTTGATTCTACTTGTCGAGGAACCGAGAGGCCAGTCTACTAAGAAAGGACCAGGGTCCACCACGTAGGACTAAGGTCCACCACGAAAGACCAGGGTCTACCAAAGAGGGACCAGAACCAACCTCGAAAAGACTGGGGTCCACGTCGAGGAACCGCAGTCCATTGGACTAACCGCGGTTCATCCCTCCGAATGGAGCACGTTTTAACCATACAAAATTCTCATCCAACGGTCGTTCCCCGTCCCTTTTAGCGCCCCGTCTCTCTGGCCCTTACCAAATGGTCGCTTCTCCTTGGTGGGTCCCCTTCTCACCAGTCCTCTGTCCTACCGATTCTTAAAACGCTTCACCATACATAATCCGTCTTACAAATCTATTGCCATACGATAGAAATATGGTAAAGCGCTGTAAAATGCGGTAGCAGTAAATCAAATAGAAAGGGGCCCATTATAAAAAAAGCGATAATTGGGCGATGGACCATAGATAAAGGGCGTGAAAAGGAGGAACTATCGTTGAATGGAAATAATCCGCGGTCAAAGCCGGCTGGTTGGCCACCAATCAAAGACGTTTGCTAATCGCGGACTCTCAAGGTAAATTACGGTCCTTCAAGGTCGACCTGCCTGCATTATGTGCTCAACCAGCCGATAGGGTTTCGCACCGACGCCAATATCCATTTAAGGGTCGCAATCATAATCGGCAGCTTTGCCTCACAACGACAAAGTCTCTGCATAATTGCTAAGGCTCAACAAAGTTACCGTCGCCACGCCGCAACGAGCTTCAGTATTCGGCAGCCTGCTGACTTCTTCGACGCGAACTGTACGTAAACAGATGAAGGAGTTCTCTCTAAAACTGTTACTATCAGAGAACAATTTTTCTTCGTCTTGTGTTAAGCGATCCTCATTTCTGTAGACAGTTCAATCCCGGTTTCCGGTATAATGTCTACGTTTTCGCTCACGGTAAAAATCAGAGGCACCAGAAAAAATAGGCACGCGCACCATTGCGGTGGGTTTGCTATCTCCAACATGCTGAGGTGATCGTCACTTACCAATTCCGCCTAGACTACTGCCTAACGGATGACATAAGTGATTCTTGACCTGTACGCCATGGTGGTCTCATAGTAACGATGTGTTTATTATTGTTCGATCGCTTACCAGATTCCAACCATCCGCATTCTAGCCAATGACTTCGGCGAGATTGTCAACCGAATGTAATTATTATATAAGTCGCTTGATAGTATAACATGATTCGTAACTAGTAGGCCAGCAGAAATCGATCATATTGCAAATCGCTTTCCCACTAAAAAAGCGAGCCGGAAGCATGTCTTCAAAGACTAAGTTAAACGTGCACAGGTGCTTGTAGTATTTTACAAACGACTGAATCTTGTTTTGACCTTCATGGCGCAAGTGAAAATGTCATTGGGTGTGGTTGGTGGCCACACCATACGAATCAAAGCTGACCGTGGAAAAGCACAATTTTGATACTCTTTGACCCCGCACAAATACAACCCGGGTTGCGCAGTGGGTGGACCATGAAACACAAAGTTGCGTGCGTTCAGACTCTCGACCGTCTGCGTAGCTTAATGTTATAGCAAATGCAGCCAATTTACCTGAAGCCAAGGCGCCATAGCCATGAGTGTAATGTCGATATGTTGCTTGACGAAGAGTTGCTACGACAACCACACTTAACCTTGGCGAATGAAGTCAGTCAGGTTACGCATTCCTTAGACTCGTTACACGTGATGTTAAAAGCTGCGCTGTAGTTTAGGAATCATCTAAAGACATTGTCAATGGGGTTGAGTTGATGAGCGTCTGTGCAGCGTGTTCGTAAGAAGGTTGGAAGTACAAGAACAGGCGTGGAATGAGAGGGACGTGAGAAGCATCGCAATTTTGCTTCCGACACAGTACGAACCGGTTCAACATCGACTGCTGCCGCTTCACCACTGTCCAGCAATCGACGAGAGACGAGAAATCATCAATGTTTTAGCCACCAAGAGCCGGACACGAAGTGTCATCGCACGTTTGCACCACATCTTGAAGCGTCATAGAAGCGCTGGTCGAAAGATTCGACGATAGTTTACCGACTGGCGACTGATCTAACGGGATGCCTAGATACTTCACCGTCTCGGAACGACCGAGCAAGCGCACTCCGACAGTCTTCTCATTTTGGCCAGTCAGATCTTTCGTGCTTAGCCAAAATAAATTGTGCAGTCTCACAAATGCTCACTACTACTTCAACATACAGTCGCGTTTCTCTCACTCACTTCCACAGTTGAGGTCCGCATATCACTCTTTGCCTAACTTTACCAATATACACCTCATTCTTAACTAGCAACAAGCGTAAAACTTTGCCACACTTGTCCGACGATCGACTGCTACAATGTCGCGCGTGCAGATGAGCGCCCATTTATCAGAGTGAAACAATGCCATGAAGATGATGAAAGTGGAAGCACCTAGCGAGCATGGCATCATCGTCGGCAGTAAGATGAGTTGACTAGAGAAGCACTGTGCCCATAGCCTGATGGAAACTCGATCACGGCTTTCACTCAAGCTGTTGCATTCAACTTCGCTGAATGGTAGTCTTTCTACCATGTTATTATGAGCGACATGTGCTGGTGGACTGTCAATCTGATAGTCAGCTCACCTTGCTACCGGCGATGATGCCATGCTCGCTAGGTGCTTCCACTCCCATCATTTTCATGGCATTGTTTTTGCCATGAAGATCGATTTCTTGATGCTTCCTTAAAGTGTCCACATTACCACAACATTTTCATGATTGGTATTAAGGTCCGAAGAGGGTCGCATACGGTTTAATATTGCGATATGAAACACTTCCGTTGTGTGAGTCGCTTCAACGAACTTAATTAGTAATAGATAAATATTACTAATTAAGGACATCATATAGACATCATATGTTGTGAATTCTTTTTCAATATTCAGTATCCAACTCATTTTGTAATACGATGACACTCTTGCAATAGTTGAGACAAAAAAGAAAACTTTTTGCAACGCAGTGATGAATTCAATAACTATCTTTAGCCTTGTAAGCGTATAGAAACTATATCAAATAATATTTGTGACGCGTGCTGTATCAATGTGTCGCCGTTAAGTTTAAATCGGAAAAAAGATAGAGCTGCAACATCAAGTCGAGTATCCTGTTTGATTCTCTCTTATCCTACTTCAATCAAGTATTAACACATCGACAATATCCATCTATCAAAGTAACAACTGCTTGGTCTTGTTCCATCTAACGTCATCTTCGGACTAAAATCAAATAAATCTTGCTTCCTATAACCTTGCTTTATAATTTTGCTAGCTTTGACGAAGAAAAGAATACGATTATGAGATTTTACTACTCGACTAGTAACCAAATGAAGAATGTGTCGATCTCGGACCATGTTCCAGTTGGAGCGGTCATTGGCAAAGGAGGTAGTTTCTGTTGAAGATCGGGATGAAGAGTCACGATGTGCGGCACGACATGTCAGATCAAGTTGGTGTCGGCGACTGTGCGCATGTGTATAAGAGGATAGTCGACAGATGAAGGAATTGCAAACATGGGTGAAGAAGCTTGCAGTTACCAACAGACAGGAAGCGCGTCATCGGAGTGGTGGCGAATGGTAGCGCAGCGACAGTAAGTCGACCAAGTAAGAGCGGCAGATACAGAGACATAGTGTGCGAGATAGCAAGCAGAATAGCTAGGACATAACGGCACAGTTTGAATATCAGTTTCCTTTCTACTAGTGCAAGCTCAACATTGGCTAACAGTTTTTGCAATGCGCTTCGTGCTAACATAATGTTCGTTGCAGTGTAGATGATAACGATCGAAAGGTGACACTGAAAGGGTCGACAAGTTCTCTTGAGAGTGCGGAAGACAAACTCGTGAAGTTGTTTTATCAATCACGACCGGTATGCCTGGTAAAAAGCGCGCCTTTGATGTTTCAGTGCGTGACGGGCCAACCTATTGGTGGGCATTCCAAAAGGACGAAGAGGTTTCGGATAATATGGAAATTAAAGAATATCCGTATCGTCTTCACGAGCAGTGGAGACTGACAGTCTGGATTAAGGAGTTCTGCGAAGACGATACAGCCAATGTAATGGTTTGTCTTCTGAAGACTCCGCCCGATTTGCTGGTGAAGCTAACCGTAGCATACGGAAATTGTGCTTCATGCTCAAGTCAATACGCTGTGAGAGTTCAACTATCGCGTGGCCAGAGTTACAAAACTTTCGCAAAGGTAACGACTTTTTGTCGTGCTGGTCCAATTGCTGTAGACGAATGTCGCCTGTTATCGTAAATTTAATGGACGACCTCGATGAGTGAATGGAGAGGGACGCAGAAACGCGGCAAGTGCTGTCTGTGCATGTTGATTTCAAAGGCAACCGTTTTGACCTTAAATACCATCTTTTCCGTGGTCAATGGGAGCTGCGCAACGCGAACCGAAAACGCAGTGTACTCGGCAGATCTGACTTCATTTTGAACAACGATGTTTCATTCCGCTTGCGCGCTGTTACACGCGAAAAAATCTCGAAGAAGGAAGCGGCTGACATCATTCGCTACCTCAATATCTCAATCCCGGACAATGGTGACTTCTATCGCACGGACGTCACTTTACGCAACACAGCCACGACAGGAATACAAATCGATTCGTTCGAAGCAAAGTCGAAAGTTCACGTGGAGGCAAACGGTCTTTGTTTCTGTATCTCCTACTTGGACTTACGTCAAGATGGATTTCGTCTGGAATGTCGTTTATTAAAATTAGAGACAGCAAAGCTGGACGATGAGGACAATGAAGCTCAAGTGCTACTGAAAAAGGTGTTGCAGATGTTGGAGTATAAGCCATGAATGAAGTAGTTATAGATGTTGCAACCTAACTAACTTAACGTAACGCAAGAAAACTTATTTTGGGTCATGCAATGCATTGTGTTGTAATGATTTTGCTATTTGTTCCAAATAAGATGGCCCTTACAACGCAACGTCATTAATGTAGCTATATCGGGATACACAGGGGAATTCGTACGTATGTTTGTTCAATCGGAATGACGCATTTCCCAATTTGTCGTGCTCCGACTTAATTTGAAGCTCATTATGTTGATCATTACAGTGGTCGCAGCATCGTTTTCACTATGCTCAGCATCTCCCAAGCTGACTATGCTAGACATTCCTCGTGTCCAAGATCTTAATCATTCACTGCAGCACGTGGCCTTTGGCTCGTGCAATGATCAGAGCTTTCCGCAACCCATGTGGTCTACTATTGCAGCACATGAACCAGAGCTTTGGATCTGGATGGGCGACAATGTGAGTACTAGCGACTGTAAATTAACGTTGTGTTTGTATTTTTGTGTGAGATTACGAGCTTATTGCAATTGTGTTGTACTCTTTGTGAAGATCTACGCTGATATGAAGGAACTAGGGGAACCACGTTCATTTCTCATACCACCACGCAAAATGTTCGTGGAGGCTCCTCGTGAAGAGCTTGTTCGACGATACAAGTGCGTCTATACTTGGCTGACTGAGATGCTCTTGAAACGTGGAGACTAACAGCGACTGATTTGTTGTTTATAGCAAGCTAATGGCCAATGAAGATTACAAAGCGTTTGTGAACCGCACGCCGATCATTGGTATTTGGGACGACCACGACTATGGAATCAATGATGGCGGCAAACTGTACTCGAACCGAGAGGAAAGCCAGCAGGTATTTTTGGATTTCATCGGAGAACCTGTGGATTCACCCCGTCGCAAGCAAAAGGTTGTTACTGTGAAGCAATATTTTGCAATTTGCTAGCCTGAATGTATTTGTTCCTAACTGTGATGGTTATGGTAGGGCATTTATACGTCGTACACTATTGGATTTGATGAAAAAACTGTTAAGTTCATTCTCGTCGACAACCGGTACGGTAATCGTATTTGTTGTTACGAAAAGTTCTTGGAAGGATGTTGCGTCCACTGACAGGTTGTATATTTTTCGTTGCAGGTATCACCGCGACTCGTATGGCACGAAAAACGGCACGCTTCTCGGAGAAACTCAGTGGAAATGGCTTGAAAATGAACTTATGACATCGACTGCAGCCTTCAATGTGATCGTGTCAGGAGTTCAGATTCTTCCTGGTGACCGTTATCCGGTTGCTGAGTGCTGGGGCCGCTTCCCGAGCGAGCGCGAGCGGTTACTGAAGTTGGTTTTGGCCTCGAAAGCAAAAGGCGTCATACTTCTCAGGTTTGTAACAGGGTGAACTAATGCATTTGCAGTTATCACGGGCTAACTATTGTTTTTGTTGTGCGTGTTTCTATTTAGTGGCGATGTGCACTTCTCTGAGATCAACCAAGTCGTGTGCTCGAACGGAGTAAATAAGATCACTGAAATTACCAGCTCCGGGCTGACTCACAGCTGGGTACGTGTTAGTCAGGCTACACTCATTATTTGAGAACTGTTCATTTTACATTCTTTTTGCGTTACCTGTCGTTCATTTTTAGATGGAATTTCACGTACCATCGATAAAGTATATTATGGCCTTGATGTTTACGTACGCCAATCTTGTGCTGCCGTGGGAGTTTCGTCCGACGCAAAAATCGTTTTACGGTCATCTCAATTGGGGCTCTATCGATTTCGATTGGCAGCACACGCCACATCCTGTTGCAACGGTGAAGACCCGTGGTGCAGATGATCAAGTGAAGCTTGAGTACAGCTTTGAGGCGTTGCCATTTTACTCAAACTCCCCGGAGCAAGATGCCATCGAGTGTCAAGCCCCGCGCCAGATTCCGAACTGGCAGCGCCTCGCTTGGACCGGTCTGTTTGTTGGTGTGGTCATTGCTTTTTTGCTTTGCATTCCTTTGAACGCGCTTGTTCTTTTCTGGTTGGCATGGTTCTTTATTAAGAAGATCTATACGACAGCTTCGTATGGTGCAGCAAAGAAGCAAATCGACAGCAAGAAGAATGTTTAGTTGTACAACTGAGTTTGGATATCTCGGAACAACACGAAATAGACCAATTCTGTTGTTTGCTCTCCGAGCAAAGACACAAAGACCAATTCGATTAGAAATACGGCGTAGCAACACCATTGTCGAGTTTTCGTAGAGGTTGGGGCTAGATGTAAGTCGACAAGTGATTTCGAGCCGTGACCATTCATTCATACACAAAAACGTAATCGCACCATGAATCATTTCGAGGCAGTATTGTTTAATGTTGACATTGTTGATGGAGAAGACATTGTATCTTTTGGTTTGGGTCAAAGCATCAGCGCTAGAACAATGCCATTCAAGAAGAATCAAACGTTAAGACAAGTGCTTGTTGAAGCCCAACTACATTGAAATAAAAATGCATCGAGAGATTTAAGGCGGTACAGACCGTCACAAACTAGCAGGACATGTTCGATCCACAAACCAATGAATGAATGCATTTTTATGGGGTCGATTGATAGATGCTTCTACCTGATCGCGTGTAAAGTATTGTGTGCAAGTGACCATATTGAAGCGCATTTCTGCGAGAAACTACTAACAGGACTATCCAGTGTTCTACTAGACAATGCGTAGCGGGTATTTTCCTGTGTGTATGATGCAAGTACGCACCTTTGCGTTCCCGATATGTTCAATGTGCAAGTGTTTCGATTGTCATCACGACACTAACATATAGATGTAGACATACAGTAAGTGATCGCTATGTCCGCAACAGTGTTAAGCAACAGATACCGTCGATGCCACAAAATGAAAGAAATGTACATTTTCGCTGCTGATAGAATATCGATCTGACAAGCATAAGCAATGCCTTCTAGGTCAAGACAAAGCTTTACACAACGAAACACGATCATCCATGGCTCGCAAACTGCATCCATCGAGACCAGTCAAGTTCGCTGCTATCTTCCAAAATAACGGAGGACCAGCGCAAGGTAGTAAATGTCGACGGCAACTTGGCATGGTCGTGGGTAGCCTCAAACTGTTCTTTGCATGATTCGATAGTCCATTCATTCTCATCAGAATCGTGCTCTTCATCCGGTTCTGTGTCACACAAGCTCGGAACACACACACGAATGAGGTACTTGCACAAACTAGGCTCACCGACTTTCTCAATCATCACTTCGTTTGGACGGGACTGGCAACACGTGTACACCACTATAGTACTTCGCAGCTTGCCGTTCTCATCACAGTGTTGCCCACCAGCAAAGCGCTGAACGACACCTGTGGCATCAGCATCAGCATCTGTCTTCCGTCTTTCTGGCACAAACACACCCATACTCCATTCCCCGGAACGGGACCCGTCACTTTCCTCATGATACTGGCGAACCTCTTGCCCGTAGCATACCTCATAGGTCCACCAGCTAATAACAGTAGTCAGGCACTGACCTTCCAGCTCCTTTCTCACAATTTCGGCCTTTGATGCCACCTTTGTTGTTGAGGGTAGAGATTTTTCTGATGCGCGGTTGGTCGTAATAGACTCCATCAACTGCGTATTAATGCACTCTTCCACCTTTTCGTGGTAGAACACCCGTCTGCATTAATATTGACAGTATCAGTGGTAGAATAGAAAACAAGAAGTTTAGCGATAAGAGGCAAGATCCACCACACCGACACGACACAAACATACCCAATAGGTTTCTTGCATTCACTGCAACTAATGTCACGCCAGCTATAGTCGTCAAACATGGTCGCCTTCTTGGAAAAACCACTACGCTCCAGTCCTAGCACTTCTGTAAAGCCTGCAAGCTCAAATTCTTCCTAAAAATATGACAACAATCAATCAAAAGGTCGATGTCATAGATGCACAAGCAGTCGCACTTACTCTATTGTGGTCCACAAAAGTATAGAGCTGGACGTTATCGCCCAGTATAGGCTCGTGACGACTTTCCACAGCTTTAGACGTATCATGAAGGTCAATAAAATCACTACAATTACCAGTACAAAACAGTTCAGAAGCAGCAGAAAAGGTCGACATATCATGAAAAGGAAGAGTACACACCTCTTATAGGCGACTGGGGCACCGCATGAGCGACAGCGAACGATAACGTCGTCACTTTCCCATTCAATATCAATGTCGTGTTCATCAACATTTCTTGCTACATCACCATTATGCTGCTCTACTATCGCTTTGACTGCTACAAAGGCCATATAGAATAGCCCAAGCACGACAAATACATTACGTGGCATGACGATAATGGAGAAATTTGTAGTCTAACCCTTATTTTACAGACCATATTTTGGTAGCCTCACAATGACAAAAGTTGATACTTTTGGCTTATAAATTAAAACTTCAATATAAAGTCATCGCGTTTTAGGCTCAAACCAACGATTGACAGACCTTCACTACAATTTCTTGAGTTTGCATGGGTTATCTTGCTTGCAGTTGCTGATTCATTCATCTTCAGGCATGCTCTTCTTCTTCATCTTCATCTTCTTTGTCTTTGTCTTAGCCATTTGGGCCTCTTGCCACTCGTAGTATTGGCTTATACGAGCCATCTCACCGCCTTCCCATTTTCTCCATACTATACCGGCACTCACAGCAAGAAAAAGACCAGTTATAATGTCCTTTACCGGAGATTTCATGACGAAAAACACTGCGCGCAGTTAGTTGTTACTACTAATTGTAACAATGTGAGAATTCTGTCAATTTGTGGATTGAGTACAACTTTTGGATCGAGGGACTTAAAAATTGATATCGTCACAAAAAATAGGTCAGTCATTTTGCGTAAATCTTCACAACAATGGGGCGAGGGCAAGCAGGTGGTGCGCAGTCAAGCTCTGCTCGCGATATGAAGATGTTTCTGCGCAACCGCATGCGGCATGATCACTATTATATACTTTCATCTGCTTCTGTGCTTGTAGTAGTGCTCTTTGTCTCTGCGTTCTTGCAGTTTTATACGTCTGAAGACCACGTTTATCGACTTGATGTAGCGGACGCTGCACTAATGGACCGCGTCTTCCGTTCTGGTGAGCCCTGGGTCGTGCTATGCTCGAGTCCAGATGATGTTTTGCCTGAGGTCTTTGACAAGGTATCGCCTCGACTGGCAGGAAAGATCTTTGTGGGTGTTTTGGATTGTAAACAGAAGCTTCTAGCGTCGGGAAAGTCGGTGCTAAAGCGTTACGGCATCAAGACGAGCATCACGCCGACGGTCTTTACGGTAGCAAACGGAGAAAAGCCCAAGCAAGTTTTCCTAAAGTATTTGCAAACCTCTGCAGCGTTGGCGAAGTATGTCAAGGCGCAAACTAAAAAGACCATGCAGCAAGTACAGAACTCGGCACAATTAGAGACTCGTTGTCTGTCGAGACTTACTTGCGTGCTGTTTCTACGAGGTCAAAGGTTCCAACCCTATGAAAAGCAGTGGATCGATAAGCTCATGCGCAAACACCGCACACTGAGTTTTGCCTGGATCGATTCGGCGAGCTTGAAGCTGTCGATTGAGAGCATGTTGCCAGATGTTGAGCGTGGTGAGCATCGCTTGATACTGTTCCAGAGACAGCACGACTCGACTACACACAAGACGGTGCTAGCGGCAAAGGCGTACCGTGGTGGTGTCTTGGATGCAACGTCCGTAGGAATGTTTTTGGCCAATCACGTACAGGGAGATGATTCGCTTAAACCACTTACAAAGTCTCCCAAAGTCCTGCATCGCAGAAAAAAAGTTCAGACTTTACCTTCGGAGCAGGGAGATAGCGAGCACGGACATACGAAGCGTAGGCACCATCACCGCCACAAAGAACACGGTGCAGAAGAGGAGAAGGGCGATGAGTATTACTTCCCTCAACAAGTCGAGCCAGAAGCGGACGGAGAGACGACGACCTCAGTCGAACTCGACGATGCAGAAAGTGAAGTAGAGGTGCTGAACCTTGATGACGAGTAAATGATCAGCATATAGCTGTGTACGTTGCTGACAGTTGAAGACAGCCACGTCGCGTAGAGCCGAAAGAGTGACGTTGTCTTATTTAACATAACACACGACGCATTGATTTTTTCGTATGTTGCTTATCGTTTCGTACTAGCTGCAACAATTGCATAAATTGCCGAATAAGAGCTAAGTCTTCTTGGTTGCCGCTGTTCGGATCGACTCTGTTATGTAAAAGGGTGTGTGTGCTGCCTTTGGTAAAGTCCTCAAACGACTCATCCACATCCTATGGACTCCCTGTCGAACAAATGACAATGACACCACACTTTGCATGGTTAAGGTTTGTAGAGCAACAAAGAACATCTAGTACATATACATCGTCTTGACCCAAGAGTCCCCTAGATGAGCTACTGATTTTTATGTCCTTATCTTTCTCAGTTGTAACCGTTAGGTTTCTTGGAGCACTCTCATTGATAAATGCTTGCTTATGAGAGGGTTCCACAATTGATGCAAGACGTCGAATTTCCCTAATGAAAGCTGTTGACGCTTGCTAGTACGGCATCTGTCCAACAACTTGCAACACACGTAGCCCCATGACGTTCAATATGTTTTAATTTCAGTCCAGTTAGTAACGACTAGATGGTAATACATTGAGATGTAGCAAACAACTCACCGGTGCACCATTATATGACGCATTTTGTTTTATCATATTTCAGGCTACATACTTTCTTATTGAGTGCTGCAAGCGCTTACTTTTCATACGGAATACCGATCTAGTTGATCATAAGATTCTTCTAAAGCAGTAGGCATTCCTTGCATATTTGACGCCGCTTTCTTGGTTGAATGGAAGTGCTCAAAACGGAATCGAGTCAAGCCTCCTGAAACATCAAAGTTTGGTCGCTCTTGTCGAAATTTAATGCCTGAGCTCTCAATCGAATACCTACGACCGCAACTCTCCATGCTTTTTGTCGTCTGCTGCAATGACAATAGCCAGTCTGATGGAGTATATTCCTTGAGACTGATATAGCCATCGTGTGACTGCGGTGGCTTTCCGATGAATTTGATGAAAGCATGGCAAGTTCTGATATTCGGGTGGTTTTCAATCCATTCGAGCAATACCTGAAACTTTAGGCTGCGATCATCCAGCACAGCCTTTGTCGATGATGATCGTTGCAGTATACCCTTCAACGTCGGAGATATGAATTCCTTTGCAGGAAATGTAGGCAGCACTGCTTTGTTGCCCTCTGTAGCCGCAACCACATCCCGAACTTGCTCGAACAATAGCAGGAAGTCACTATAGCGTCTCAGAATAGAGTAGTGTTTGACCGATGTGGTTATCGTCGAGGCATCACTGGACCTGTCGTCGTCACTGGAGCTGTTATCGCTGACGTCTTCGTCGATAAACGTTGATAGCCGTACTTCTTCGTACGCGGACACGTTGATGCGGTAGTACCACACGTTTCTAAGTGTAGCCTGCGAGACACTGTCGATAATGAGTTTCCGTCGAGGCCATTGCGTGGTCTTGAACAATAGATTCTCTGCGTAGTTGCTCATTTCGCTTAGTCTGAAAGACAAAGGCCGAATGCACTGCACAGATAATATTAAACAATAGCTACAACCACTAGGCCCGAACCAATACCAACGCCAACCAACCAAGTCAACAGAACAATGAAGTAGTAAACGTCTATTTTTGGGTGACACATTAGTCGTAATCTCATTTCAACAGACGAACATACGAATGACGTGATACAATCAATACCTTTGATGAGTGGACTGTGTATTGTCTGTCGATTCCATTTTGCAGTTTCGACTTGAACTATCAGTGCTATTGCCGATACAATTCTTGCACCCTTGACCTTCGTAAGTGGACAAGTAAGAAGTAAACGAAGTAATGCAAAACATGTGAAGTGCTTTATGCAGGATACGCACATAATTGCGTGAAACTCCATGTGAGTTACACGTCGATGCTGATCATAGACATCTTTCTAAACCGCTAGAAACTCATAATGAAATCACAACGCAGTCAAATTTTGGCCGAAGCTTTTGCTTCAACAGCGCGTAAACTTGGTTTGCTTCTGCCCTTCTGCTAACCGACGTGTGATCATTTGTATTGATGGTGACGTGTTCTATGGTAGCAGCTAAAACACAGAGCAAATCTAACTCGGCACCATTACTTAAGTCACACTCAAGTCAACAGCACTAAAGATCAATTTGCCGCTTACAACAGCAATGCTTGCAAGGCATAGGAAGGTAAGCAGCTTAAGCACGTCTGCATTACAAAGTGCGATGGTAAGCAACTAGCACAATTGGCGACAGTGTTGCCCTCGACCACCAGTCACATTGTAGTTAGCCGTTCCTTTGTTGCTTGTCTCTGCCGTAAAATCAGCCAGAAACCTGAAGCCGCTCCCTATGTTTTTGATATCTATAGCCAGTATTTACTTAACATGCCGGGATTTCCAACTACAGCGTAATGACTGATGGAACCGTGATGGAAAACTCACTTGTCAGAGAAATTGCCTGATGTGAGCATGCAGCATTGTAGCACCAGTAAGATAATCCATATTATACAGAAGATGCACCTAATAGTCAGTTATAATGCGTTTCATTTGAGCCTTGAATCACTTGCGAGGTTTATTAATTCCTGAGATTTGGTCACTTTCACTGTTTTTGACAACAAATTGGACTCTTTCCATTCAAGACGGCCCATTCTGCTCGGAAAAATAAATGCAGTAGAAAAAAGCTTAATGCATGACAAACACGTCATTGCAGCACCCCATCAAGCAAATAGCAGGATTTGTAGTGCTGATATATTTACAATGCATTTATCTTCAAAGTGCGGCTCTTGAATTATACTTTGTCGCAACGATCCGCTACTATCAAACAAGATAGAAACTCTCAGTCAAAGAATCATAAATAAGACCGTGATCAAATTGCAGTGGTCATATCGCCTTTAGAGTCAAAGCATCAGCCAAGCTGAAATCCCACATCATGGTTGTCCGTCCTTACGACTGACTACTCTTGCTATTTTGCTTGAAAAGAAGCCAATACAAATTCTCACATACATTCTCAACCCCATTTTTAGCGTATCCAACCGTGCCTATCTATTGAGCTGGATCGGTATCAAATCTCTGCCGCGAATCAGATACAAAGCGGGGAACGATGACCACTGTTGCTCTGTATACCACATACAGTTTACAAGTGTAAGGATCTTTACTTGCTAGCCGTTGGTTCTCGAACCTCATCCAGATCCGCGAAAGTGCTCGCTCAACCAAACATTTCAAATTTTGCATCCCTTGCCATAGGACGGAAGGTCTTGTACCATCAAATTCAATAGAAATAACCCATGGCTGAAGCTTTTGAAGCATACGCCTATGTAGTAAGTGCAGGTGTCTTTGGCATCCTCTTTGCGGCTTACCTGTTCTGGGAAGTATCCAAAGTTAAGGTCACTCGTCGTGGTGATGGTTATGCATTACTAGCATCTGATGTGCGTCATCAAACGGCTGACCGTTTGTTTGAAATCTATTGTGCTATTCAAGAGGGCGCTCGTGCTTTCCTGTTGGCTGAGTACACTCTGTGCTTTGCCTTTATTATCGTCTTTGGTGGCGTAGTGCTTGTACTTACATCATTTGTCAACAAGGATAGTCAGCGATTTGACTGGCTTTTCGGCACCTTAAACGCAACGGCATTTGCTGTTGGTGGTCTTACGTCGATGGCTGCTGGCTACATGGGCATGATGGTAGCTGTGTATTCAAATGCTCGTACCACGGTCTCTGCCATGAAGGAAGGAGCCCGCGGCTGGCGTGATGCTTTTAACACGGCCTTTCGTGCTGGTGCCGTTATGGGCTTTGGACTGAGTTCCATCGCTCTCTTGGTGCTATTCATCTTGATCAAAGCCTTTGAAACTCAATACCCATTGTCGACCGATTACAAAAAGCTATTCGAGGCTATTTCAGGCTATGGACTCGGTGGTTCCTCTATCGCCATGTTTGGCCGTGTCGGTGGTGGTATTTACACCAAAGCTGCCGATGTCGGTGCCGATCTTGCCGGCAAGGTCGTGGAAAACATTCCAGAGGATGACCCACGCAACCCCGCTACGATTGCTGACAACGTCGGTGACAATGTTGGTGATGTTGCTGGTATGGGCTCAGACCTTTTTGGCTCGCTTGCTGAGTCGACATGTGCGTGCTTGGTAATTTCCACGCAGAGCCCTGAGATCATTGCTGCTGGCTGGCCTGCTGTTCTATTCCCTCTGGTCATCACGGCTACAGGTATCTTTGTGTCCGCCATTGTTAGTTTTCTCGCTACCAATGTGTGGCCCGTCAAGAAGGAGAAGGACGTTGAGATTGTGTTGAAGGTGCAGCTGTTTGCCTCTACTCTTCTCATGACCGTCCTCATTGTCCCAGTTTCCATGTGGCTTCTACCGTCCACCTTTTCGATCGGTGGGTCGTACACGGTGACCCCCATTCGTGCCTTTTACTGCGTTGCTGTCGGCCTGTGGGGTGGCTGTATTGTCGGCTTTGTGACTGAGTACTTCACGTCACACAGCTATCACCCTGTGCGCGAGGTTGCCCAGGCTTGCGAGACTGGCGCTGCTACAAACATCATCTACGGCCTTGCCCTCGGTTACAAGTCGGCTATCATCCCAATCACTATCATTTCGATCGCTGTGTATGTTGGCTTTTCGATTGCTGGTATGTACGGAGTCGCTCTTGCTGCTCTTGGTTTTCTTGGCACGCTTGCCACTTGCTTGGCTATTGATGTGTACGGTCCAATTTGTGACAACGCTGGTGGCATTGCTGAGATGGCTGAGCTGCCTGCTGAGGTGCGTGACAAGACTGATGCTCTCGACGCTGCTGGCAACACGACTGCGGCTATCGGCAAGGGTTTTGCTATTGGTTCCGCTGCTCTGGTTTCACTGGCTCTGTTCGGCGGCTTTGTGACCCGTATCGAGGAAACGTCTATCAACATCCTATCGCCTATCACGTTTGCTGGTCTGTTTATGGGTGCCATGTTGCCGTACTGGTTTACCGCCCTGACGATGAAGTCGGTTGGTGTTGCTGCTATGGAAATGGTGAAAGAAGTCAAGCACCAGTTTGCCACGATCCCCGGTCTTCTTGAGGGTTTGCCCGGCCACGGTCCTCCGGACCACGCGCGCTGCATCAAGATCTCGACGGACGCATCTCTTCGTGAGATGATTCCACCTGGACTTCTTGTGATGCTATCCCCCATTGTTGCCGGAACTTTCTTTGGTGTGCACGCTGTGTCCGGTCTACTTGTGGGCAGTCTGACCTCAGGTGTACAGTTAGCCATTTCGCAGTCAAACACGGGTGGTGCCTGGGACAATGCAAAGAAGTTTGTCGAGAAGGGCTGCGTGTCAATTGAGGACAAGGAAGGGAAGCTCATTGTGCAGGGTAAGGGCAGTGCTATCCACAAGGCCGCTGTTATCGGTGACACTGTGGGTGATCCGCTGAAGGATACTTCGGGTCCTGCCCTCAACATTCTGATGAAGCTGATGGCTATTATCTCGTTGGTGTTCGGAGACTTCTTCAAGAGCATTAACAACGGCCGTGGTCTGCTGAATGTGCCTTCCGGTGTTTTGTCAGAGGCTGTTGCTGCCCCCCGTTGCAGAGGTTGGCACTCCCCAGCTTTAAGCTCGTATCGGCTATAAACATTGCAAACATGCAATGTGGGTGTACGACGAAGAAGGATGGCTTGCTCTGTCAAGAGGGACAAAGAGAGAAGAGGAGATAGGAGTATAGGACTACGCGTTTCTGTCATCTGGTCATTTTTTCATAGTAAACTGTGCACATCATAAGCTGCTGATTGTAGTCAACATTTAACTGTAGATTGCATAATAGAACTTGATGGTGCACAAATCGACTATGAACGTTTATTCTTATTTAACAACAATAGCGACATGAATAGATCGTAAGAGCAACTTTATATATAGCCCAATCAAAAGCTCTTTATAGTTACTAAACTACATCTCGAGGCTGAGATCTCTACTGACGTGGCACAAAATTACATTTTTGTCACAAGACACCAATTATCTTCAGCTCGAACCTGAGTGATTCATCTAATAATGTTACCTACACGAAAGGGCCGCAGTGGTCATTCCGAGTCAAGTTGGCTGCTTCTTCCCAGGTTCTACGTGTACGTCGGTGTTTTGGCCATCTTTATGGTAGGAGCGCTTTTTGGTGCGGGCTACTACCAGATGAGCGGTGGTCACAGCGTCATGACACACTTTGCGTCTCCAAAATCGACGGTGCTGGTCACTGGTGGCCTTGGTTTCATTGGAAGTCACGTGGTGGAAGACCTTATGGCCAATAATTTTGAGGTTTGCAGTTGTGCGCAGATTTAGTGGATTTAAGGCAAGGCTAACAGTGAAATGGGATTATTGTAGGTGGTTGTCTATGACGACATGAGCAATGGCAAGAACTTCAATCGTGGCACAGCAGCTGTATTGATCAAGGACATTACAGTGGTGGACGACTTTTCCTTCATCATCCACAAGGTGCATTGTAGTAATCGATCTTAGCTGCTTTCTGGTTTATCTTTTGCTGATGTAGTAAAAGAAAAGCAAGAAGGCAGCTAACTAACTAGTATTGAAACGAATTGATTTGTTGGTCTGACTTGTTTTGTTTGTTTGATTTGTACAGATTGACTACGTGGTGCATCTAGCTGCTGCGATTTCAGTAGAAGAGAGCACTCGTCTTCCTGAAAAGTACGAGCGTATTAATGTCGAAGGGTCGCGCAAAGTGCTCGAATGGGCTGCTAAGAACGGTGTCAAACGTGTTGTTGCCGCGTCTTCTGCTGCCACGTATGGCATCCCGCTGCCTGAGAACTTGCCTTTGAGTGAAGAGGTTGCCACCGGTGGCATTTGTGCCTACGCTACTACCAAGTTTCGGATGGAGAAGCTGATGCAGAAATATAACAAAGACTACGGTCTTCCGTCGACAGCGCTGCGTTTTTTTAATGTATTTGGGCCGCGCCAAGACCCGCACTCATCGTACAGTGGCGTTGTCTCCTGGTTCATGGAGCAAGCAAAGATCAATGGCACGTTGAAGGTGACCGGAGACGGCGAGCAATACCGCGACTTTGTGTACGTGAAGGATGTCGCACGTGCCATTCGCATTGCGATGCTCATGGAAGACGATGAATTCGACGTGTTTAACGTGTGCACGGGCACCAAGTCCTCTATTAAATCGATTGCAGAGCAAATTGTGGAGAAGTTTGAATCTTCTGCTGCTATTGCGCATGTTCCGGTCCGCTCTGGCGACGTAAAGGAGTCGGTATGCTCACCTGTGAAGGCAACTAACAAGCTAGGATTCACGGCATTATACGACTTTTCGGATGGAATTGGTGAAACGCGCGACTGGTTCTTGTCACAATAAGTGTGTTTTTGTATCGCATGAAACCTCATGTGCCCTTAGACACTCCGCCGTGTCAATTATGCATGTAGCAGGAGCTGGGACATTTTTCTTCCGTCATCGTGGAATGTATCATTCATTACAAAGAGTTCAATTTTTTCCGAGTTCATTCATGGTTAGCAGCAAGCAAGAAGACAAAGCACGAGCGAGCCGCCCATCAGTTCAGAAAGTAGTGGAGATGTTCAGAGAGATAAATTTGAATACCCTTGGATGAGAATGAAGTGCTCAGTGAAAAATGTTGACCACTCAATTGCTCTGTCTCCTCCCTCCCCCCCATCTCACCGGCTTAACAAATGAGCGATTGCCAAAAGCACGTGATCATCTTTTGTTGTGTGGTCGAAAAGAGAATAAGATATAGAAAAGGTCCTGAAGTACAAAAAAACGAACAAACAGGGTTCTAGGGTTCGGACCAGACGGCTTGCTCGTCCATTCGATCACCAGCGTTGTAAGCCAATTTAGCAGTTGACTAGTAGTTGCGCACCATTGCAAGTGGAAGAGTCATTAAGAAACTGTAGATTGTCCATCTCGTTTGCTGAGACGGGTTTTCTCCGTTGCCCCATCGCGATTATTCATGTAAACCATTACATGGTTTAAAATGAGATGAAGCAAATGCACATATATCTGACACGATGCATGCGATATTTCGCTAATACTTGATCAGTGCTTTCTCATCGCTTCTCCGTGTAAAATGAAAAGACTTTACCATTAGTCCCACTACTGAGTCTGTAACCGCTATGTTTTGTCCTTTCTGCTCTCACACAACTGCAGAGAGGCGGACCCATCCCATTTTTCAACAAAAAAACGTCTCTACAGTTCTTGACTTGAGTTTACTATGGTACCCATTCTCAGACGAAAACAATAAGACAGAAAATTGGTGGCGACGTCACGTAGTCGTTCATTCATTCACTTTAGGGTCACTAAAGACACTACTCTCCCTGCATTTTTATCATGTACGTACGCAATCAAAGTCAACACAGAAACTTACTTACTTTCGATTAAGAAACGCAGTTCATAACGCTCCTCACTTTGTATCCGTCTGTAATTTCGTGTGTGGTTTTGCTTTTAGTTTCCTAGAATAGTTTTTACACAGAGCTTCTTTGCTGACGGCTGACGACGAAAACCTTCCAGTCTTCACTCTTTTACTATCAAAATTGAGTTGTAAAGGTACATGAAGCCTAACGATGATTACGTGCTTGCCGATGTACGGCCAGATTCATTGCCTACGCAAACGGGTGCCTTTATCTCGGTGATTAGCTGCTCCGTTATTGTGCTCTCTTTTCTCTGGAAGCACAAATGTCGCCATCCGAATCCAATCATCTACTGGAAATCCGTTGTAGATCTACTCTACGCACTGCGATTTCAATACAGCTGGGATATCTACATGAATTCATTGGGTTGTCGTGCACTTGCAACATTTACACAGTTCTGTACATTCTCGTCCGAGTGCTGGTTCCTCAGTATGTCATTCAATCTGTACCAATGCTCGACGAATCCCTTTACAAATCTTAAACAGAATTTGCGGTGGTATCATGCCTTTTCCTGGGGTGTCGGATTGCTTTTTGCTGCTCTACTTTGGGCCTCTAGTGTCCAGTTTGACCCTACAGTACATCCGTCCTGTTTTGTCGACGAGGCGGTTGCAGACGAACTCCTGATGTATTACGTTGTGGTAATTCTTGCAGTTCTTTGTGCCGTGATCTTTGCAGTTCTGGAGACGCAGACTCATCCGTTTAAAGGCATGAAAGAGGCGCTGGAAGCCAAGAAGGATGTGATTCATAGTGCGCGGATCTTTACGGTAGCCTACATTGTCTACCAGATTGTCCTCATTTCATTCTGGATTGCGGACGTGCTGTTTCTGCGCAACCACCCACACGCTCTCCAACAAGTACGTGACGCATCTTCTTTTCTCCAAGCGGCCAAGGGTTTGATCGACTTGGTCATTTGGGTGACTATTAATGGACCGCCGCAATTGGACTGCCGAACTGGTCGATTGCGCGAAACGTTTGACACTGATCGATACAGCGATGTTAATATTGATCTTCAGCCACAGCTCAATGTTGCGTTACGGAAAGAGGTACTTCATTTTACGACAAGAGGGATTGTAGCAGCCTCGTCAAATACTCCTATGGTCACGGACGGTCGACGTGTGGTCCACCTCCGCTTGCATGAACTTGGCATGACGGTGCGCTTTGACGACTACAGCCCGTCTAGCTTTCGCGATATTCGTCAGGGTTTTAGCATCAATGAGACGCTGTACAGGAAAGCGTTCCTGGCTACGTGTCACGAAAGACTTGAGTCTGGCGGATCTAGTGGTGCCTTTATGTTTTATACCGCAGACTACTCTTTTTTGGTAAAATCAGTAACAACAAGCGAACGCAACGTGCTGTTGAATATGCTACCGGCTTATATTCGGCACATGAAGCAGAATCCAAACTCACATTTGACACGGTTCTATGGTTGTCACTCTATCGAGATGTACGGTCAAGTGTTTAGTTTTGTGGTCATGGGGAACGTAATTGGTCGTACAAGTATGCACCAATTTTTCGACATCAAGGGATCGTGGATCGATCGCAATGCGAAGGTACGATGAGTTGTGCGTATTGTCAATGCAATCTGATCTAATTGTTGTCTTGTGTTTACAACAATTTGCAGGCGATACCTCCAGGAAAAACGGTCATTTGTACATACTGCAGTAACGCTTTTCCATATGGCACGAACAAAAGCTGTGAGTACAGCATCCGTGGTATTCATTTGCCCCACATTGTGTTGAAAGACAACGATTTTCATCGCAAAATGCGAGTGGAAGCAGAGACAGGTAAAGTTCCGGTCATCGTTACTCTTGGGTATTGCTGAGCAGGCTAACTAAGTTCACTTGTGACATTTTGATTGTTGCAGCTGAGGCACTGGTCCGGCAGCTTGAAAGTGATAGCAATTTCTTGAAAGAGCAAGGCATTATGGACTACAGCTTGATGTTGAGTGTACACAACACAAAATACGTAGTAGACCACTCGACAACGGGTACCAAGGTGCAGTCTCCGACAAAGCGCAAGGTGACCTATCCAGTATGCCATCCTTCCAGAGATTCCTTTTTGTCACTCGCTACGGACAGCGCTTGTCCGACCGAAGACTCGAGGGACGAGGACTTGGACGAAGTTGAGTCTGGGAACCGGAAAAAGTTCAGCAGGACTTGTCGCTATTCCGTCGTGAACCTGATTGAGGAAAGTGGCGCTATGATTCACGATGATACGCCGCTCTTGCATGTTGATAGCACTGTTCGACGCTATAATTCCGTGTCGTACGGCCCTGCCGACACGAAATCCTGTCCGATCGACGACACTAAGTGGATTGGCATAAGAACTTTGGAGAAGCACGGATATCTGGCATCGGTAGTGGTTGGTCCAGATTGCTACACGCTTGGAGTGGTAGACATGCTTCAAACGTGGACTTGGAAAAAGCGACTGGAACGTTTTTGGAAGACGTTTGTACTTCGTTATGACCGCCTGGGAATTTCAGCCGCTCCACCTAAACTCTATGCCGAGCGCTTTCAGCGTAAAATGCGTGACATTTTGATGGTATCGTCAGCAACAGTTAGTATTGACTCAAACTACAACAGAATAGGATGTTAATAGATAGACAGACCCATGCACTTGTGAAATAATAGAAATGTGAAATGAGGTCATTTCCGACGCAAATTTCGTGCAAATACTGATAAATACAAAGCACACGTTTGACTCGTACGCCTACGACTCAGCAATCATTATAACGTACTTTTAAAGGGTTTTCAAAGCCTCACATGCAGAATGAGCCATGAGATTATAGTCAAGCTCGCCCGCCTCATTTGGATCATAGCAAGTCGTGAAAATAAAATGATTTAAAATACTCGTACCAACAAATGCATTTGGTGGGTAGACACTATATCAACATTTTGCACTGCAATTACTTTGTTTTGCATGACATACGATGTAATTTGAGCATAGTGTATACAGATTATCTTAAATAGTTGACTTCATTCGGATTTGTTTAGTTAATCGTTATCCATGCACCTCTTGATAACCAAAGATGTAACCCCACTGCCACGACTGATTATATTTCTTCACTGTTGTCATTGCAATATTATAATGGAGACACACCGAGACAAGTTCATGATCACTTGATTAGCTAACGAGAACAGATGGGGCAAGATTACGGAATAGCAAGGCATCAGAAGGACCCAACGATGATTGATTATCGATCAGCTGCAGTAGCACATGATTATGTGCCTTTCTAGATACACCACATGATACACTTGCATGTCACATACAACCAAATTTCATGCAGAATTTGCGACATGCTGACCACGAAAGAAATCTTTTTCAACATTCAAGTAACAAGTCGTTGGTAAAAACGAGACGATAGGGGTAAGTTTTTAATGCTTCAATAGTTGCACTTATACTTGTAACGTTGACAGTCAACAGGGTTTTAATACATACATGTACCTTCTCAGATGAACGCAAGACAATTGAATACTAAATGGTGATGGCTTCATAATCAGCACACATGTGAGTAATAAATACGGCAAACGCTATTGTACCAGTTGAAGAAAATCCGCCATGTAGCTCTTGTGCAAATTGAGGTCGTACAAGCGTTTGGAATGCTGTGAGAGATTCTCGATCTCATCGAAACTTGGAGGCTGCTTTAGTATGAATTATAGTCATTGACAAGTGTTTTCAAAGAATTAGTTTACACAGTATCAGTTCCTGCCAACTCGTTGTTCTAAATGATCGACTTGAACGGGATCTTAGTAGATAGCATTACATTACATATACTTAATCTTTGGAAATAAACAAAAAGTATGGGAAATTCTGCGAGCAGCTCCACTGAAATCGACTGGAAAGGTCCATTTAGTGACAACGTACGGCTTGTGTTTGGACTGTGATATACTATCATATGAGAGTGAATGCATTGATTGTATACTTTTTTATGCACAGGAATATGAGTGTTTGAGGGCAAAATTCAACGAGACAATAGCATTGGCATCATCAGTCGATGCGGCGTCAGCTAATTTACAGGTCCATTGACTGAGTTACGATCAATTCGATACGGTCAAAAAATGTATTGAAATAATGTTACTACAGATGTGGTTGGATTTGTCGCTGCCTGCTGGAGCGCCAGAAGAGTTGACGGTTCCGTGCCGTCGCCTGGGTTCTGGTTTCTACCACTTGTGTCTGCAGACAGAGAACAGTACAGAAGCTGATGGTAAATTGACAATGAAGAAATTCGTACAAGGAGGTAAGAGACTGGTGTTGGATGTATTGGCTGCATTTATCAATGTATCATTCATCCGACTACTTCTCTCTTTTACTTTTATGCAGTCGCACAATGTGTTCGAGCTTCATCACAGTCGATCTGTCGGTCGCTTTTTCGATTGTTTGCTGAAAATACTCAATCAAATGCTATAACGGAGCAAGGGCTGAGTCAGCTGCTCTTTGCTTGCTTAGTTATGGCCGGAGGCGAAGAAGTCGATGATACTGAACGTGTAGTACATGTTGCAAAGACTCTTGCTCGTGCTGCCATGCCCTCAGCAGCGGGATCTACTCGATTGACAAGCAAAGACTTTGTTCGATGGACTGAAGCTCAATATCCTCTTTTCTATACAATTTTCATGTCGTGGATGGTACGCAAGAGCTTTGACTCACTGACGAACCCGTCCTATGAAGCGCCCCAATTGTCCCACACAAGTGGTATTTTGTCCAGGTGAGTCATTCAATAGTAAGGCTGTATTTCAGCCTATAATTGAAGCTCGCAGATGCTAACAGCAAGGCAGATCACATTTTGTGGCGCTGTCTACAGTCACTACATCGATGCAGACATCGCTGACTCGCCTGTACACGAGCGCGCAGAATGGATTAAGTTTCAATCGTCTCACCTACCACATCTTAGGATACTCTGGACCAACATTGACTGTGATCCTGGATACTGAAGGTGGTAAGTGTTTTGCTATTTGACTCGTTCCTATGTCTTTGTTTTTTGGCACTCAGTTTTTGGTACAAGCTGTGTTCGGTATGTTTTGTGATACCGAGTGGAAGGAATCGAGCCGCTATTTTGGAGGCAATGGATGTTTTCTTTTTCGAATGGAGCCAGAGATTAGTATCTATCCAGTATCTGCGAGCGGGTCCAACAAGAACTACATGTATTTGAACTCAAAGGGTTTTGCGCTTCCACGTGGCCTGGGTATCGGTGGATCGATCGAAAAGTTTCGGCTGTTCTTGAGCGAAGACTTGGACGAGCGCAGCTACACAACTCCGAGATGCTTGTCCTTCGAACCAGGTTGTCTGTCATCCAGGGAGCAGTTTGTGGCTGATGCTATTGAGGTGTGGGGCTGTGGTGGTGTAGAAAGTGAGCTTAGGCAGAAGGCGCACCGGCAGGAGACGGCTGATTTGATCAACCGGGCGAGAAAAGTCGACAAGGCTCAGTTTGTTGGTAGTGATTTTGACAAAGAAATGTTTTTGGGAAAAACATTTGGCCATGGGACGGACAGAGCTCGCGTTGCCGATGACGAGCGACACGAATAATGAATAGCTGTGCACACAACCTACGAGCTCAGATAATATTGTTGCTAATCAATTATACAAGTACATCACATGGAAACGTTTATACATATGCGTTTTCTTCAAACTTCAAACTAATGTGGTTACTAGAACTATGAAGCACGAGAGCTACTCGCCCATATCAACGTCCTCAACTTCATTTTCCTCTCCGTCGCCCTCGTTGTCGTCATCATCGCCTTCCATATCCTCTTCATCATCATCGGCTCCTTCCTCGTCGTCATCTTCGTCATCATCTTCTTCGTCGCCTTCCTCACCCAAGTCAGCGTCTTCGTCATCGTCGTCATCGTCATCGCCATTAACGTTTTGATCATAATGGCACCGACGTGGACCATCTAATACATTGCAATTTTCTTCGTCGTGAAACTCGCCACGGAACGTGTTACAGACTCGAAGTTTGCCCTGCTTCGTTCCGTACAAGAAACCGCCACCGCATATGGGACTGAATAGCGCAATATTTACATCGTCCATTGCACTTTCAACGTGCGACAGCAGCGCCATGTCTTCCCATCGATAAATACGCGTCACACGATGGACTGGGAACTCCGTCTCACTACCAAAAGCAAACATCGGACATCAGCACTCAGCAGAACTGGCAAGTAAAATGCTTTACAACACCGACTTACCGTTGTATACGGTCTCGAACACCGTAGCCAAGCAATACATAAGCTGATGTTGGCGAGATTTTCACTGAAGTCACGCCGCCCGCCGCAGTCTCAGCTAAGTGGCAAGTTTGGATGACACGACCAAGCTGTTCGGGATCGAGGGATATCAATGCTAGCCATGTTGACTGGTTCTCTGATGATAATCGCCCACGACGGTTGCGCTGGTTCCTAGTGAACCGTGTCCGACTAAGAGCGATATTGGGTCGGATCTGCGAATATCTCTGTTGGGGGATAGCTGCGGGAGCTGCTGTACTTCGTGCTGGCTCAAGTGCCGCAGTATAACGCTGAATACTATGCGGTGGATGCAGCCGAGGTCTTACTCGTCGTATTTGCTGGTTCATATACTGGTCCATAGTAAGCGACAAATCTGCAGCTGCTGACTGCAGTGCTGCCAACATATTTGGGGCGCCTGCGTGCATGCCAGAAATAGGCACAAGCCGTGGTGGCGGTGGATGGATTGGGAGAGACAACGACATTGTCACAGGCAGGGTCTGCGGAGCAACGGTGATTCCTCGCGTCGTGTGTGATGCAGCACCAGATGAAGAACTGCTTTCATTCGACGCAGTAACTTGCGGGTTTGCTACAGAAACGTCGTTTACATCGTCACTGGGACTTGTAGCACCACCGCCAGCCGCCTCTTGTGTTGCTGGTACAGAGGAAAGAATGGTTTCCAAATCTGTCGTAGCTTCATTTTCTGCTTCCATCTCCACCTCCTTTTCAGCTTGCCGAAGTGAAAAGTCAGCACAGATAGCCAAGTACTGTCCACAGCGTGAAATGTCAAAACCACCGTCATTGTAAATGAGAGCGTGTGAAAGAATGACGCGACTGTTATTCATCGCTTTCTTCGTCAGCAACGGCTCAGGTGATAGTGCCCATGACGGATCAAAGTCCCACATAGTTAGTGTGACAGTAAGATCAGAAGGTGGAGCTTGACCTTGTGGTCTCTATTGTGTGACACAAAGTAATGTTATCAATCAATATAGAACACAACTATGGCTTCATGCATAACGTACCACGTAGCGCTCGTTAGCTTCTCCAACCATGATTTTGGAAGGATCCGGTAAAAATGTAACAGAGCGTAACGTTTGGTAACTAAACATTGCAATGCGTGGGCATGTGTGCTGTTACCCGAAACGGAGTATGTCAGTCTTGCAGTTTGCCTCTAACAAATACTGAACCAGAGAGACAGCTAGTTTACCTGGTAGTCCCATGTGTACACACACGTTCCACTGGCAATCGCTAAAATATCGCCCGACGGGTGAAAGGAAATTGAGATGATAGCATGGCGAAGCGTAGAAACATACAGACAACGACCAGTCTCAATATCCCAAAACCTACCGCAACACAAGGTTAGCTACTCTATGACTATGGTCCATCTCCTCCAGATTGTATTTATGACCAACCGAACTTGAAACCCTAGACATCCTGAGGCCACGTAGCGAGGATCTGTAGGATGGAACTTGACACTCCATGGAGTTCGTGGATGACCCACCAACGTCTATACGACACAAACCCTTGCATCAGTTTTTCATACCCCGTGCAATATTTCATCCTGTTTTGCAATATTCACCTGAATAACTTTGCCCGTTTCGATGCAAATAATCTTGACTGTATGATCTCCATGTGTCGAAGCAAATGTTTTTCTAAATCAAATATTAATCCAAGCTCAGTCTCAGAAATTCACTACCGCACGATTCCTCAGCATATACTACACACACATACCCGTCTGGACTAATAGCAATAGAAATTGTAGACTTGGTCGTTTGCGGAAGCTCAAAGTATCGACTTTCATGCTGTAACATAACAAAAAGACAGCACAACAAAATCCAAACAAAACACTTGTCAGTCCTCACTCTTTTTGTCTGCCTCATTGTCTCCTCTATCTCTCCGTCCTACAAGTCCGTTCCATACTTTAAAAGCGCTTTCACTCTCAGCCCAAAAGTTTTCATCTCGATCTTCTCCAACCGGTCGTACTGTTTTCTGTCGTCTAGCACCACCAAACTCACGTCGAAGCAAGACACTGGCAATATTTTGCTGGTTCTTTGCATGTCGAAATGAATTGGGTACACCTGGTGGATTCAAGTCTGCAGCAGCTCGTTGCCAGACCTTTGAGTCCATAATAACGAGAGCGATAGATGAGAGTAGCAGGTGACCTACAACAAGAAGGAAAGAGGGGGGAGGGGGGGAGAGAGAGGTAGACAGAAAGAGAGATGGTGAGGCTTCATAGTAAGAGGGGAGTTTCACAACGGTAGAGGGTGAGTAAACACCTTCCAATGACATTGTTCAAAGCATGAAGAAGATAACGTAATCGAATAGAAATATACCTTAATTACAATACGATTAGTAGTGGATGTAAGAAAATTCAATTGACTTGTTCTTACTATCAAAAACGTCTCGTTCTTCTAAAGCCTTTAGGCTCGTGACGTTTTCTTGGTACTACTTAATGACTTACTCAATCGCTTTTATGAAACCGGGAGATTGACTACGATCACATAATATTGATAAGGTTATTGCCTCAGATGGTGACACAAACTGGTTTTGGAGACAGGTATGAAATGTTGCACGAAGGGTACATATAGATAGACAACGTAACGACATTGGACATAAACAAGACATTCTACAAATGGTAAGCGAAAGTAAGAGTATGTTCCTTATCTGATAATGACGCATTCACACTTCATTCGACAATCATGATTCCTTCAGTAGTCTCCATATTGCAACTACCAATTTGACTGACAAATGGGAGAGACCCACTATAGTTAGTCATGACTACCAAATATGAACGAACGACTGACTATTTGACATATCGTTCGTTCAAAGGTCCCCAGTGACCCATAGAAAAAGGCGTCAATGTGGACGAGGTGCCGTCTACACTTCGTCCATGTGAAAAACTATGACGAGGAAGGTTACAAGTGGCTGCTCATACAAGTGGCTACTCATACTTGTGTAGCAAGGCTCTGCTAGCACACGAAGATTATTCTTTCGGTTCTTGTTGCGCGTGTTTTCCATGTACGACCGACCACCTCGCCAATCGTTTTTGCGCTCGTAATATCTCGTTGATTCATATGTTGGACACCCACGATACACGTAGGTTCTTTGCCCAATGACAAATAATTCGAAGGTATTCATTCATAAAACCGCTGATGGAGTAAACTACATTGCCGACAAAGCGGTACAGAACCATGAGGTCACGTCACAGGGACGTGACTCGTATAACGGAAGCATAGTGTTGCTATGCCAATCTAATTGCTCCTACACAATACCCACTAGCTAAAAATGCAGTAGCAAGTGTGCTTTGCAAACATGTTACACTATGCACATCATATCTTTATGGCAGGATTGTAGTAAGATAGTAGTCAGTCATCTGTCAATACGAACTCGCACGCAGGTGCTTTGCTTCAATCAATCTACCACAACGACGACGACGAACTCATAGAAATCAAATATCTCCATTCTGATTGACAAAGGTAAAAGTCCAAGAGTCACATTTGAATCCATGAACTTCAAGTTAAAGTCAGTCGCTGTATCAAAAGAGCAAAAGTGATGAACATGTTGCGACGTAAGTCTCTGACGACCTAAAACCGGTTCAAGATAGCAAGATATAGATTTAGTTTTGCTGACTTCAACCAACCGTATCGTGTGAAGAAAAAGTATTAACAAATCAATTCATACCCTGTTATATCTGAAGTTTATATACAAACATTAACTGTGGTAAAACGGTTTTACATGATCCTTTGAAGTTACATATACTAATAAACACGTACAATATAATATGTCAGGTATTTTTGATCAAGTACTGTACTCTAAATCTGCAAATGAATGTAGGACCTCAGTGCGACGCGGTCTTCAATCGTGGACTTTCCATCGGACGTCACTTAGTCACGTGGGTACTTACTGCCTTGAACCAGTAGACATAGAACTGAATTACTCTGTAAACAAGTGATTATTGACAGCTATGGGCGCGGCCAATAGCGTGTGCAAGCTAACGGTCGATAGCATTGCGTTGCTGGAACAACTCGAGCCCAATAAAGCTGAACTGGCAGCTAAATACGCCGTACAATGTCATGTACAGCAGTTACTGAAGCAAGAGTGGCCAACGTGTCGTGTGCTACCATTTGGATCATCCGAGAGGTAATGAAGTGAATGCATTGTTGAAGAAAATGATGAAGAATGACGGGTTTAGTTGCTTTGAAATGATTGCAGCGGTCTTGGATTTGGAGGATGCGATGTTGACCTTGGTATATACTTTGAAGACATGGATATAGACGTACAGGGACAATTTTCACCACTAGAACGTGTGGATCTACTGACCACCGCGTGTGAACGACTCTCGAGGTGTTTTCAAGTACAGGAGTTTATCCGCGATGCGCGCGTGCCAGTACTTAAGCTTTGGGACTCCAAGCGGCAGGTGCCGATCGACAGCGTTGATGGATTGATGGATGAAATGTATTGATTCTTTTGTTATTCTGCAGGTGGCATGTGACGTGTGTGTGGGAGGTGTAAATGCTCTACTAAACACGGCGCTGCTCAAGTATTATGGCCAGATCGATCCTCGAGTACGTCCTTTAGTGTTTGCTGTCAAGTACTGGGCCAAGCAACGAGGTATCAATGACTCGGTCAATGGCACGCTAAGCTCGTACGGTGAGGCATTGACTGCTTTGCTCTAGAATCTTTGATTTGTGCTGTCTGTTGGCTCATGGTGGCTGTGGAAATGCCAGGTTATACATTGTTGCTGATCTTCTACTTGCAGTCACATTACGCAGAAATGCAGCTACCAGCGGTGCACTCTGGTTTCCACGACTTGCAGACGCAGAAAAAGTCTCGGTGTTGCTAGAGCGTCTACAGTCGTTCCCGATGATGGAATTTCCGTCTACATTCGGGACGTCAGCAATGAACTCGGTTGGCGCACTACTTGCTGGCTTTTTCGACTTTTATGCGCATCGTTTCAGCCTGGAAGACGAGGTGGTAAGCGTCCGCATGGGAAGCGCACTGTCGAAGACGACCAAATGGAGTCATCCAGTGTCCTGGCGACTGAGTATTGAGGATCCATTTGAGTTAGCTCACGATGTGGGCCGCGTCGTTTTCCACAGAAAGGGCCAGGATCTGATTCGATCCGAGTTCAAACGTGCGAGCGATCTGTTGAGTCAAGACCATCGTCTCGAGGACATTTGCTTGCCTGATGCAACCTCGTGGAATATCCAGGCAACATGCTACATTTGCCGCGGCAGAGACCACGTCACTCGGGATTGTGGGCAGATATTGCACCAGCGTCTACCACCTGGTCGGGAGTGTAAGACGATGTCACATTTTTCGGACTGCTGGTATTGCGGCGAGTACGGTCACTACAAGGCAGAGTGTCCAATGCTCTTTTTCCGTGATATACCTCGTCGATTTAGTGTACCAGAACCGAAGTCTGAGCCAGAAAACGCCACTGCAATTGCAACATGTGCGCCAGCTTCCCCGCCCATTGCACTTTCCACGCCTTCTGCTTCAAAGACAGTATTGCTTCGCGTCTGCAAGGAACGCGGTATGAGTACAATCAACTCACCGATGTTTCGTCTGTCGAGAAAGAAGAAACGTACGCATCACAGCTCCATGTCGTCAAGGCCTTCATCTTTGCCGTCATCGTCGTGGACTTGGTCGTCAAATAACGGTCTATCGCATGCAGAAAAGCGTCAACAGCAACAACGTTATCAGCAGCAACGGCAAGAACAGCGTCATCAAAACTTTGCACTTCTTGATCTGACACGGAAGTGTGGTGGCAATAATACTCGTAGTACCATGTCACAGGTTGGTAAGGTACTGTGTCGATCCTAGCATTCGCTTTACTTGAGTTTTTAGTTTTGTCGATTAGTACCATTTTAACGTTTAGCATTTTAAAGTAAGTCCTAAATTTCATAATAAAGATTCAAATTTAATGACAGCGATTTAAATTTCATAATTTGGTCATCGTGTTTGTATCATATTTGTGCTTAATGTATGCAAATGATTAATTTTAAAATTGAAATACATTAATAACAATAATTTATGCATTGTATTCTAATAAATAGCTTTTGCCATTAAAATCGATTCGAGTCGCAAAACTAAATGAATTGACAAAAAAGTAGAATTCTATTGCCAAAATCCACTGGCCACAATTAAACCCATTCATTCACCCATTCATTCACCCATTATTCACTATGTCTGTCCGAAGAAATGTCCGTATGCGTCGTGAATATTTGTACCGCAAGAGTCTTGAAGGAAAAGAGCGGTCTCTATATGAACACAAACAAAAGTTGAAAGAAGCGATCCGCAGTGGCAAATCCATTCCAACAGAATTACGCAGTGTTGAGAAGAATCTACGACATGAGATGGAGTATGACGATGTAGTTCATGAGAAACCACTGAATCATATTGATGATGAGTATAAGAATGCGGGTCTATTTGATCCAAAGATTGCGATTACGACATCACGTGAACCAAGTTCGAGACTTAAACAGTTTGCACAGGAGATTCGTCTCCTGTTTCCCAATGCCATTCGACTTAATCGTGGTGCTCATACTATCGGTGATGTACGTTACTATGTATGACACGTGAACCTCACACGTGGCTATTTTGTATTGATCTTGTATTGATGATGCTGGTCTCTGTTGTTACCATTAGTTGGTCGAGAGTGCGAGAGCCAATGATTTTACAGATCTCTTGGTAGTTACAGAGACACGTGGTGAACCAGGTATGACAGAGAACAAGGAGGTGTAGAACATGGTATGGACAAGTCTATTGATTGACATGGAATTGCCTTTTTTTGCTTTGTAGATGGTCTCGTGGTATGTCATCTACCATACGGTCCCACAGCTTACTTTACGCTGAGCAATACGGTGCTCCGTCACGACATTGAAGACCGTGCTACGATTTCCGAAGCATATCCGCACCTCATTATTAACCAGTTTGAGACGCCACTGGTATGTTTCTTACACCGTACTGCTGAGCAGGCTGGAACTAATGGTCATACCTTTCATGTCATTGCAGGGCAAGCGCGTTGCAAATATTCTCAAGCATCTGTTTCCTGTGCCTAAGCCTGACGCCAAGCGTGTGGTGACACTCTCGAATGAGAATGACTTTGTGTCATTTCGTCATCACGTTTTCAAGGTGACAGGACGCGAAGTGGAACTACAGGAATGTGGGCCCCGTTTTGAACTGCAATTGTACCAGGTGAAGCTCGGTACACTTGATCAGAAGGAGGCAGAGAATGAGTGGGTCTTGCGGCCTTATATGAATTCCGCCAAGAAACGCCGTGTGTTGTAGACTGGTGTCGAGCTTGCTATTGCCACACGCTTGTTTTTGCTAAAATAGACTTGATTTTACCTGCCGAAACCAAGCTACGTTGCATGCGAACACCGCAAGAGCTCTATACTTTATAAACTATTGTCATTAGATCATAAGCCCAAGATGTTTTGTCTATGGATAGTAGCATCCAACAGTGCTATTACGTCAAGGATCTTACAGCGACACGTTAATTTCTGCCTGAAGGAAAGAGTCTCCAGGAATACGAGCAAGAATCTTGCTGAGCGGGTCCACAGGTGGCGCATACATCTCAAAGGTAGCCGGCGCCGTCGTGATCTTACTCAAGTCGAGGTGGAAAAAAGTCCAGCAGCCTACTTCAACTTCCTGTGTGATAAGACTTCGATGCCGTAGCTCCATCACCGCGACGCAACCTAAAAGCAAGCAAGGCAAAACAATATCGTGAATACACTATCATATGTGCCTACAATGCGATAGCGTATACGAATGTCTCACCGTCCTTGAGGTGCTCAAGTGGGGCCTGCAGATACCAGGTGTTGCCAAACCACCAGTAATTGCCTCCCGTTTGAATAAGGGACTTTGGAGTGCACTGTGCCGTGTCGACGATGGCACCCTTACAATCCATGATATAGAGATTAAAGTGTGGTGTCTCCATAATTGGACCCGTGGCAACAGCCGCGGCACCAAGGAAAACAGACACATAAGTACTGTAATGTAACCTGTCAGGAGGAGGGAGGAGCGATGGAGCAACTGATGTCATCTTTTTGTGAGGAATGCTTTCATCAGCTTGAGGTTCATCCGTGTCGATCGAGACTTCTTCCGTCACTAAAGCGTGCTTCACTGGATTGAGAATTTCCTTCAAATCTTCCTCCTCAGCAATTTCCATAGCTGAAAGACCTTTCAGATTCTTGATGCTTGAGTCCGCCCCACGCTTCATGAGCGTCTCAACCAGGTCATAACGGTCCAGTTCCACAGCATAATGTAGTGCTGTGTCCCCGTTTTCGTCGATCGCATTCGGATCAGCACCATTCTCAATTAGCCAGACGCACACCTTTGCAGCTTCAAATCCTTCATCTTCGTCATTTTGCACAACAAGGTGCAAAGGCGTGAAGCCTGCCTTGTTTTTCATATTGACGTACTCACGGCGCAGTCCACTGTCAATGCAAATCATGTTGTGGTTTGGAGGACTCGTCGTGGTCACGCGCACACTTTGCACCTTGCGAATTGCAAGCATCCATTCGTGCACCTCTTGTTCGGTGTCGGTCACAAACGAAAGCATACCTTCAGGGTTCTTTGAGCTCTTGAGACGCGGTGATTGGACCTCGAAGCAGCAGTCTACGTCGGAGTTACGCTTGATGGTGGCATCGCACAGTTCGACAATCTTGAGCGGAATTTTGTCTTTCTCCGTCTTGTAATAGGACAAGCATACTTCGTCCACCATCACATAGCGCTTCGTGGCCCAACGTGTACCGCTAGCCTTGCGAAGAAATCCCTCCTTATATACTTTAATTCCGAGTGTTGTGGGTAGAACAGAAGAAAGTCCACCGATGGATGACGATAGACGGCGACTGTTCCCTGTCCTCGGTGCAGATGACACGAGAGTGCGGCGACCATGACGCTTCGGCGCATTGTGATCGCCAGGTTTAAAGCCGGGGTGCATCGAAAATGACGATGTTGAGCCACTTGACATTCCACGCATACGAGGATCGGATCCTCCGACAAGGCTGCGATTGACAATCGAAACGCTCTTTGATGGGGAACGGGATATTGGGGTCGACATGGACACGGTGCTAACACTGGAGATCGAACGAAGTTTTGTATCAGATGGGTTGTCACTTGCACTGCTCGTGCTACTTGCGCTTCGCGTACGAGCTGCTCCAAAATCGAAGTGTGCACCAGGATTTGAGTTCCGGTTGGCAACCTTCGTGAGCAACCGCACCATGTCCAGGTGGGCCAGGCGGCACGCATAGTGCAGAGGTGTACTGCCCGCGGTATCCCTACCATACACAAGATCGTCAAGTTGAGGATTTTCCTCAAGAACGAAACGCGCCAGGTTCAGATCGCCATTTTTGGCCGCCACGTGGACTAACGACATCATACCGTGCATACGGTCGCGTACCCGCAACATTCCTGGCATTTCCTGCGCAATGTGTAGCACCTGGGTTAAATCGTTGGCGTTGGCGGCGTCAAACAATGCTTGAGTGCGGTTTCGCATGCGGACACGAGACAGGAAGATCCTGACGACAGCGAATACTCGTGCCATAGACCGACGCCGAACGTCTGCAAGCTTAAAGGCTCTCTTTTGGCGAAATACGCTCTGAACCGCAATGATTCGTTGTACAGTTCGGCAATACTTCTTTCGCTGGGCGTAGCCTCGGTAAACTGCTTGAGTTTTTACAACTCCACGCTGGAAACGAATGACCCGGCAGCGGCCTAAGTACGCGCGCACAGCGCTTTGCACTACGCATGCAGCAGACCATATTTTCCGATAACTTGCACGCTTCACTGTCATGCGAGCACAGGCTTGAATTGTAATGATTTTCTTCCGTGTATCGCGGTATTTCTTCGCTTGGGCATGGCAACGCCAGAGCGATTGCAACAGTGTCACCTGCCTATTCCGTTTGGTGTACTGCTTGCGAGCGTTATGCATCCGCCAAAGAGACTGCACCAAAACGATTTTCTTGCGCTCTTCGCGGTAACGCTGACGACATATAACCAATCGACCGAACGCCTCAATACGCGTTGCCATCTTTTTCTCAAGCAAGAATTTGCGGCGCACAAGCGACCGGCGAATCATAGCCTGAGAGTTGATAGTAGCCTCCCGCCCCTTGAGATACTCAGTGCGAACGCGATTAGCACGTACACGTGCTTGGATCATAATAATGCGTCGACGCGAGATCTGGAAGTAGCGCCGAGCAAGGAATCCACGAGCCGCTCGTGAAATTTGAATTTGCGCTTTGTTGCGTGCAACTGCTCGCATACGAGCCTTCTTGCCATACTTGAGGCGGGCGTTAAAACCACGGCCTGCAGCGTGCAAAACGATAGCTGCCTTCTGCATATTGCGATACCTGTTGTGTGCAGCATAGCTCTTATATCGAGAAGCAATCGTAATCGCCGCATCACGCATTTCCAGAAATTCTGCCTGCTGCTTTTGCATCTTGCGAGCATTTAAAAGCTTCGCTGCAGCATGCTTTTGTTTAATGAAACGCTTTCGCGCGAAGTAGCACCGCACTTGGGCTTGAATCTTCGTTGCAGCAAATGGGGCACGACGCAGATAAAGTGCATACCGGCGAGCTGCATTTCCTCGAAGATGACTTTGCACAAAAATAGCTGTCTTGTGCAGGCGCATGTACTTCCGCCGCTGAATGAACTGCCTCGCCACGGCGTTAAGAAGTGTAATTCGATGCCGTATAAGTGAAAAGTGACGTTTCGCCAGATACATCCGGGCCATGGCCTGGATGAGAACTGCTTTTTGTTGCATGTCAAGGTACTTTCGGCGCTGGTGCCGTCCGCGGGTATGCTTTTGAATAGTGATAGCGGCCTCATGCAAAATCTTGCGCGCTTCGTTGTCTAAGATGCGCAATTGACTATCGCGGAGAAACACCTTTTTGTGGCCCAGCTGCCAGTTCTCACGGGGGATAAAGCGTAGGATGACTTCGCAATAATCTTTCTCTGTCATTTTCGTCCGCGCTTCCTTTGGAACGTTGCGGGTCAAAATTTGATACTTTTCATAAAAGTCTTCAAAAAGCCGTCGAACAGGGAAACCTGACCGACGGATACGCACAGTCTCCATGACACCGAGGTAAATAAGCTGGTTGAGAATCAGATCAGCATTCCATCCCTGCGGAAAGCGTAAGTTATTGGGCTTTACGCAGCGCACGAAGGAGGGCGTCGTGGCCTTAAGTTCCACCATCAAGTTTGCCATCTGGTCACGAAACTTACGTCCAACAGTCATGGTACCAGTCATCTTATTGGCCATTTTGCGAATTGGCTTGCGCGGATTAGCTCCTCCAGCCGTCGCACCTGCTTGAGCAATAGGATACAACTTTCGCAGGAACTCACAGTTTGAGCTGTCCATGAGCGAGATCAGGTCATTGTGCAATGAGTCATCATTTTTTTCCAAAAAACCATTGACATCATACGTGACTTCGCCAGCATAGTGGTGAATCACAAACTTGTCCGTGGCAAAACGTGGCTTCGAGTAATAGATTGCTGTTTCCTCGGAGACCTTGCCCTTCGGCAAATGTGTTTGATGCAGTTTTTGGATAAAGTTTTCGTCACTAGCACGCCGACCAAGCATTCCTTGTTCATCTAGGAGTGGAAGGATACCTAAAGGTTTCTTGTCAATCAAATCTAAACACGGTCCATTATCCTTAAACTCCAAACGCGAAAAGTCGATACCCTCCTCAACATACACCTCTTGCTCATAAACAAACACATGCTGGTTGAACTGCTGCTGCAGCATTTCGTTCGTGTAGTTAATACATAGCTGCTCAAACGAGTTCACTTGCAAGCTTTCAAAACCAAAGATATCCAGAATTCCAATAAACTGAGAGCTTGCATCTACACCAGAACTGCTCCCGACATTTGCCGTTGATTTGTTGATTTGATACACCAGCCAGTCAAAAATCTTGCTGAAAATGTCCTTTGCAAGACCATTACGTGACTTGACAGACTCAACAGCAGTCAGTGCAATCTCTGCTACAGATCCGCGCGCACCAGCGGACATCGTTCGCTTGGTAAGAGCAAATTCAAGCTCATTTGGCGTCACCATCATTAACTTGGCCAAATTGGTGACGTCTTCGCGGTGAGCAATTTGTGACTCATTTTTTGCATTCTCCGTAAACTCCATATTGCCCAAATGTAAGACGCAGGCAACAAGTCGAAAGATCGTGTGTTGTAATTCTGGTGGGATACCTACAGTACTCATTGCTTCGACAAGCTCCTTAAAGTCTTTTTTGTCGTTGATTTCTGGCACGTGAAAGCAATTTCCTTGATTGAGAAAGTGAAACTCACTTGCGGGTTTTAGTTTAAGTGCATTCTTCTCTTCCATAGGCATTCCCGCACACATCTGGTAGAAAACATGGTAGTTGCGCTCTGACTCAGCACTACCAACAATGCGACTTTTCTCTAGTAAAAAGTGGCTCGTTGTTGCACCCGAGATTGTACCATCGGTATGGTAGTAAATCTTGATAAATTTACCAAATCGACTACTGTTGTCGTTCCGGATTGTTTTTGCGTTCCCAAAAGCTTCTAACAGTGGATTACTCTGCAGCACACATTGTTCCACCGACGAGCTACTGACGTCCACTTTAGAAGCCTTGGGTGTCTTTTTTCCAATCTCCGAGATGTTGGCTAGATACTAAAACATCATCAATAGATAGAAACAATGAGTACAAACGCACAGTAAAGTGTCATTACAAAACATAGACACATCGAAAAACCACACGTACTCGCATAATGTATTTCGAAGCTTCTGTTTTCCCAGCTCCACTCTCACCTGAGACAAGAATGGATTGACATTTCTTGTCTTTCATCATCGTATGATAAGCTTCATGAGCTGTTGAATAGACATGTGGTACTGGATAATTCTCTAATTTTCCAATCGAATGAAAATCTGGAAAATTATACAGCATGGGAATGTTCTTGTATGGATTAATTGAGATCAGGACATCACCTGTATAAGTATAAATCTTGTCGTCTAGATAACGTCGACGTAATAGATCAAGCAATGGTGCTTCATGTAAATTATCCATTTCTGCAACATTTGATAAATCCATTGAATGCGTTGGATCGTATGGATGAACCTGATTAAATGAAAATTCTTCTTCTGTATCAGCATCAGGTAGTAACACGTGTAGCTTGTCACCATTATCTTCAACAACAACACCAAGCTGCCACACATTGCGTGGATCAGGACACCAAACCTTTTCACCTTCTCGACGTACAGGTCGTTTTTTATTCTCACTCATAACTCGGCCTTGAAGCAATGGATGATAAAGAAGAAGATGAAGAAAGTGATGAAATGAGCTCTAGAGCGCGGAAAACAGTCTGACCTGACCCGATCACGGGTTTTGACAAAAAGGTCCAGCTTCAACTGGCATAAAAATCCAATTTGGGGATAAAATATTGTTATAGGTTTTTCAAAAAGGATAAAAGAGAAATGGATTATTATATCATTCATGGGTTCACTCCCATCAGCCAATCAGTCATTCTAATGTTTAAGGCTGCTATACACTGGCAGACCAGTGAATTGGCATGTGGAGTCAAGTATCGATTGCTAGAGGCTAAAGCAGCAGATGATTACAAGGATAGACTAGTGGCACGTGTAAACGTTCCTAGTGAGTATATTGCACCACTCGTGGATGCTGCATTCGCATTGCATCCTGCCTTATACACAGTCATCTCAAACAATAAGAACGACGAGAAAAAGCTTCCAGATCTGATTGTATGAGGCTTGTTGTTACTACTATAAAGGATAGTAGTATACTGATGTCTTGATGGACTGTAACTTGCTAATGAATGCTTTGTGTTTGGTTCGATGATTGCAGTGGGATGAGTATGAGAATCTCGACTGGAAAAACATTTTGGCTGGAAAAGTGGTCGCCAATTCATACTGCGTGCGTAAGGGACTGTCACGCAAGGCACAGCTGTCGATTTACCTGTCGAAATACATTTTGAAACATCCAGACTGTAGATTGAGCAAGGCATTACCATATACACTAGTAGTGGACACATGGGAAGCATATGATGAAAGCTTGACGCACTTTGGCATCTCGTTTCGTGAGCGTCTGGATTCGTGTTTGTGGGAAGTTAAACAAATGCTCGAATCGAAGATGAAGAAGACTTGGATCATGAAACCTAGTGCAACGAACAAGGGTGCTGAGGTCAGTGTGATTACGGACTTTCAAAAACTACGAAGCATTGTGAACGAGTGGACTGACATCCGTGAATGGGTCGTACAAGAATACATTGAACGGCCACTGTTACTGCGTGGTCGCAAGTTTCATATCCGCGTTTACGTGCTTGCTGTTGGTGGCCTCAAGGTATTTGTGTACCAGCGCTGCCTCGTGCTTTGTGCCCTCGAGCGATATCGCAAAGATGACACGGATAATAACTTTTCACACATCACCAATACTTTTCAACAGCAGAATCACCCGGAATTCGTCGAGAGTGAGTGTGTGCTATTACTGGACAACATCGAAGGAATACTTGCAGAGCAAGGCATCCTGGATGCAGCAGACAAGAAGGCTCAGATTCTGACGGACATTGGCCACATCACTGCTGAAGCGTTTGATGCATATAAAGGCGAGTTCTCGGTATTTCAGCCATTGCCCAACTGCTTTGAGATCTATGGCGTGGACTTCATGGTTGACGAGGACTTCAATGTATGGCTTTTGGAATTCAATCCCGGTCCGGACTTTAAACAAACAGGCGATCGCTTGCATTTTGTTATCCGTGAGCTGATGGCAGACTCGTTAAGTGTAATCACGAACGAGTTCTTTTTGAAGAACAAAAGTTTGTTGGCAAAGAATGCCGATATCGGTGCATTTGTGAAAGTGTACGACCAGCAATGGGGAGCTCTTTCCAAAGGCTCGTCCATGAAATTTGTAGAGTAAGGCTGCACACAGTTATCCTTATCTCAATGTACAAGTATAGAGATTACGCAGCACGACTTTATTAGTGATTAAAAATATCGATTGGTCGTTGCAGAAGACAAAAACCCGATGCCTTTTGCTGCGGACGTAAGCAGGTTAGTTCCTGATGTCGCTGCAGACAAGATATTTGAGCCTGTCGACGATGAAAGTAGATTTTGAAGCTTCATAGACGAGGAAAGCGCACCTGACGCAGCGTTCCTACCTTCTTGTTCGTGGAAGAGGGAAGTAGTGCTGTTTGCTCGACATTCTGTGGTGTCGTCCACACTTGAACGCGACATAGAATGCTGGAATCTACGACGATTCGAAGGGACAGGGAGCAATGAAAACCTAGCAACAGGCTCTGCAATCCTAGCTAGCGGTCTAGTGTCTTGAGCACTGATAACGATTTCTTTTCCACCTAATGTTATGAATGCAAGAGAGAAAAAGTTAGATGCACGTGTGTTCAATTTACATCAAAGTGCAAGCGCTACCCCAACTTACTGATTTTGTTGATATCGTTCGACTCCGACAACGATGAAAAGAGCAATCGACTCTTTCGAAATTGTAACACGACGTTCTCAATCAGTTGAGGACCATAGATCTCCCAATCCACTGGATCAATGAAATCTCGCATACGTTCGAATAGGTTCTTCAGCTTCAGTAACCCAGGAGAGCACTCTTCCGGGTTTAGCTCATCACCCCATCCAAAACGAATGAAATCCGAAAAGCCCAGCGTCGCACGTACGAAATACATGTCGAACAGAAACTGCTGAATGCAACATTCACCAAAGTTCAGCACCGAATCTTTCTGAGCTGTCTTCGCTTTGAGGAGAAGAGAAACCGCAGCATCATATACTGCTACGCTGGTAATTGTCAGTTGCTCCACCAGAACTTCACGAAATATGCGCTGCATCAGCTTAATCTGCTCGTGCTTTGCGCCAACACAGCTCTGAATCAACCGGTTCGCATCATCCAAGCTATAGCAACATGAAAAAAGGAAGCTTGATACTGTCGGCGTTTCACACCACGGCAGCCAGACTTTTTCGTCACTAGGACCTATGTCAGACTCGGAGGAAGAATCATCGGTATCTCCTCCAAGACCTTCGTCAGAAATCACTTGTTCTATCCATCCCTCGTGGGTCGCAATCCATTCCTAGAAACCATTGCAAAAACTACTGGTAACATGATCGCGTTACAAGCTGGAGCAAGATGAAAAAAACATACCTCGTTGGTCAAATCATACTGCTCAATCTGCATCAACTCTCGCAATGGCTCGATTTTCTGTTCCAAAAGAATTGAAGCCCACGCCTCACAATACCTCCTAGAGAGCCCGTGTAGCACGTTGACGAACATTTGAGAATATGATGCTTTGTGCTTAATCTCTGACACCAAATAAAGAGAGTGGGGCCCCAAACTATCCACTCGTCTTACTTCCTCGTCAATAAAACATAATTGCACGCATTTCTTACCCTCGGTGATTTCCTAGCAAAACAGAATGTTAGTTCATAGCATTAGCTACAACACCTTCCAGTTTGACACAAGCAATCTACCTCGATAGCAGAATTTAGCTGCGCTTTGCGCACAAAACCATCTTCAGCATATTTATCAAATGCCGAGCCAATTGCCAGCAGTACATGATCTTTCTCCGGAATCGAGACCGTGCTTGAATCTTCTGGAAATAGTTTGGCCATTTCACGAGAAAACCCAGCTACAATCCCCGCAAAAATGTTGGAAATGCTAAAAAAGACGCTTGGAATTTGAACTTCACCTTTTCCAGGACGTTGGCGTCCTGCAAGTGGATATTCCTGCTCGATAAACACTACCAGTTTGAATAGCGTGCGAAGAAATTCTTCCGTCAGAACACTCTGCAGATCACTTGCATCCAGATCGGCAGCCTTTTTCTGTATCATCTCGAAATAGTCGTAGAATATCACATTCTGCAATCGATAATCGCTTCGAGATATACCAGCAACTGTATCTTTCAAGCTGATGCGAAGCCGAGTTTTGATCGCTTCCAGAGCTTCGACGAACGAGCTCTGTACTAATTCACGCGTACGTTTTCGGAACGCCTCGGCGTAGAGAACGGAAAAGACAGATTGAACAGCAGCTGCTGATCCGTTCTCATGGCTTTCAGATCGGGATAGGTGTGCTTCGGTAAGGATCTGCTGCCAAAGTTTTACGTTTTGGCAACCGCCACTAGCTTTGTTTACAGCAAACAATTTAGATTGAACTTGTGACAGAAGCGAAATTGAGTCAATACTCAAAATAATAGGCGAGGCTACCATGACAATCTGGAATAAGGCATGAGGACAACTGTTAACAAATATCAACCATCTGATGCAAGATAACAAACATTATCGGTCCTCACGCATACCTGTCGCCGTTTCTCCTCAAACCACTCGCTTATCATTCTAAGTAGTTTCCCTAACGATATACATGCTTCCACTCCGTTCTTAATACTTGGTGGAAGCTGAGAAATCGAGACTAACAGGGCTGTGCTACTCCCATCGCCAAAGATTTTCTCCGTTTGTGCTATCGTCATACTTACGGTTTTCAAAATTAGCATCAATACACGATCTTTCTTTGAAGGTGTCTGTACAAAGTTTTCACCATTATCGCTTTCGAAAACATGCGACATCCACTTGGAACGACTCTCCAAAAATAATTCAAACAATTTATCGGCTTCAATTGGCGGGTCATGCAGCACCGCCAACGTACACAAGTTGTCTGCGTAAAACTGACTTCCTTTCCCTCGACATGTCAGGTAATGATTTGCGCATGTCAATATTCTCTACACACAAGATTTTAACAATAAATAAAGTGTCTCCACAATAACAAACATACAACCCATTAAACTTTCTCGTACCGGTCGAAAGCACTGAATGCACGTCCACTGCGTCTGCAAGAAGGGAAAGTCATGTTCTGCATCAATTCTTGTCATACATTCATTATACATCCTTGTAGCTTCTTGGTACAATCCTAGTGCCTGTAAGGATTTTCCTTCGTCCAATAATTGCCACATTTTTTCCGGTACTTCCACTAAGAACGTCACTTTCTCAGCCAAATTATCCGACCGAGTTACCTTGTCTATCTCAATATCTGCAGTGTTCTTCATTGTACTTTCCATCTTGTTCCGTACAGTCAAAGCATTTACTAGCTCTTTTTCCATTTGTTTCCACATTTCAGGCATCTCTTTCAGTGAAACCTCAAGACGTAAAGCAGCCGAATGCATATTGACAATCTTGTCTGCTGATTCAATAAGATCACGATACCTCATACTGATCATCTTTTGCATTTCCTTGGTCTTCTTTTCCTTCTCTTTCCTATACAATATATTCATTCATTAGATACACAAAAACACACATACATACATATATAGAGATAGAGATCGTCTTTACTCATCTTATCATGTATACTACAGTCATTCATTCCCATGTACTAGATGAATACAATAAACAAACACCTACTTTGTCCTCTCTAGCAATACTTTGGCGTCTGCGATCGACAGACGACGCAGGAAATCGGCTCCCTCATCCGTACTTTGCTCACTTGGGGTCATTTTGTTGTTATAATCGACCCTTATTGTTATTTTTTAGGACCAAACGTTAAAATTATGATCGTACTTTAAAAATGAAATCTCACGTTTTGGACATTATGGGTAAGTTGCTGGGATTTTGAAAGTGACTCATTTACAAAATAGGAGCATTTTTATGGTACATCACGACCATGCCGACCATTGCCGTCAAGTCTCGGGGCGATTCAAAGGAAGTGTCACCTCTAAAGCCGAATAATTTGGCTCTATTGCGTGTAAAAAAGCGACTTGTTCCGGTAAGTGATGCAATGGAGATGTCTCTTTACAAGGCGATGTGGTTCACTCAGGAAACGACCAAGAAATAGGTCTTTCGTATTAAAAATGAATTGTATTTCGCTTGCTTGGTTGGTTGTTAATAGATGCAATTGGAATGTAGCAGTAGTGAAGATGCTGGAGGAGATACAGATGAGAAAGATGGACACAAATTAGTGCAAGCAGCATCCATTTGGCGAGAAGTTGAAGGACCTGACGCAGCGAATGCCGATGGTAAGAAAAGCTCGCGTTTTAGGTCACTTTCTGGTGATCTTTTTCCCGAAATAATCATGACGTGATGATGTTTTCTCTGTTGTTGTAATTGATAGTAAAAATGAACAACATTCGACGGTATTTTCGAGCGGCACGGGCGCTGTACGAGATGCAATTCCAGGTGAAGCGACCCTCGGCTATCTTGAAAATGAAGTCCAGCTCGGTGAGACCCTTCTTTTTGCTGCTCTTAACGTCACTTTTAATCTGGTCCTCAACTGTTGTTGCTGTGATGGTGTGGTGGAAGTACGGACTTAAAAGCCGATCGACATTCGACGCGTTGGCAGCGCTGGTGTCTCCACTCCGTGCACATCAAATTCTCGGTATGCTCGTCAGAATAATAACTTTTGCTCTTGTTGATGTCTAATTAAATGTGCTTATCAACATGTAGATGACTGGACGGGTATGGAAGTTAGTCTTTTCGAAGAGGCTTACGAACGCTTTACCAAGGACTTTCATGCCATCGCCGAGCAGGTCGCCGTTTGTATTTCACGACTTGGATCGAATAATAATTTTATAACTTTTGCAGCCTCGTAGTTCTAACGCTTGATTTCTATCTTTCAGCTCCCGAAGAAGACAATAAAAGACATTGTTGCGTTCTATTATGTTTGGAAGAAGCATGGATCATGCGCAAAATTTCGAGATTCAGACGATGTCAATATATCGGATGATTTTTTACCGGAGCCTGAGCCAAACGTATCGAGTGAGACGCTCAAGCTGATGGATCGTCTAAGAAGTCAGTGTATTTGCTGAACATAGACGACATGTGATGACCGAAACTAATTACTCGGCATGCCAACGTACAGAACGCCAGGGGTACATTCAAGATTACCTTGATGCTGCTCGGGCTATGTATTCTCCTCAGCCAACGTATGCGTCCAACCACAAAAGGCAAAAGATTTCCACATTTGGTTTACAGCGCGTCACCTGCTTTCATCAAGGCCTCAAAGGGTTATCGCCATTGCGTGTTTCATCAGTGCTGGGTAAGCAAAACATGTTTTATTTAGTTGCTTTGCTCATAGGTTTCTGACGCTATGGACCGGGGTGATAACAGACACGTGGACTCCATTTGAGATCAGAATTTTTGAAGTTGCGATCGAGTGTTACGGCAAGGATTTCCCGCGAATTGCTGATGTAGTAAGTGGGAGAAAAAGGAGAGCATGTGTCAACCGAGCGCTGATGGCTGTTCTACGCTGTTCATTACAGATCAACAGCAAGTCTTGCGGGGACGTGGTTGCATTCTACTACATCTGGAAAAATGATTTCCATTACCAAGTCGTGAAGAATCGGTGGGAAAGGAAGGATGAAGCGCGTTTAACGAAGAAATCTTCGGCTGACTTTAATAACAAGTGTGCATAAGATAGCCGTCTACAGCAGTTGTGGTATATTTCAATCAAGCACACATAGAAGACAACCCTGGACTATCCCGACATTTGTTAAGCAGCAGCTACCTAGTTCAATCAATCGAGATAACTTCTTGCTCCACGACAAGACCTTCAAGTGGATAGTTTTGCAGCTTCTTACACGCAGTGCACACCCAAGAAGCCGGAGGCAGCTCCTCCATGTTAATGCAATACTTATGAAACATGCGCTGACACATGTCACACAGCACCAACTGGTCCTCATTGTCCGGGTGCGAACAGACCTCGCAGTTCTCCGAGTCCATCATGTACGTACGCGAGCTATACACCGCAGGTTGCGACGTTCCTGGCTCCTGCTTGTGGGTTTGCTTATTCTCAATTAGTTTCATGTTGCGATACACCTGAAAGCTGTGCAGTGCGTGTCCAATGTTTTTCAAATCTAGCTTTTGGTCCATAAAGAACGGAAAATTCACCTGAAGTGCCTTAAACCCTTGGAGCTGGCGCTGTTGCAGCAGTCGCGCGAGAGCAATGTACTCTGATGGACGCGCGCGGCTTTTGCCAAATATTTGCACAAGGCTTTTCCTCGCGTCCAGGGTAAGCCATATAAATTCATCCGTGATGACTTCCTCGGGCAGCATATGGAGCTCCATCAAATCGCAGACAACCTGCCAGCACGTAAACGACCCAAGCTTGTTGTTTTGGAACTTGCGGAGAGTATCAAAGATGGCCTTAGATGTGCTGCACTTCTTCACCAATAACGTCGTTTCATCAATATTTTGCAAAAACACCTCCAGTGTCTCTAAATAAGTATCCACCGTAAGCTCACGGTTGCCTGCCAGAATACTGCTAGTATCCGTGCGCTTAGCCACTGCAAGCAGACTACGACATAAACACCATAGCAGTGTTAGTTGAAGCTGACGAGCCGGGTGTTCCCATGATTCAAAACAAGCAAAGTGTACCGCTTTGTAAAGTGAGAATAGTCTTCCGAGCTGGGAATGCCTTTAAGCTTGTGAAAAGTTTCCAGCTTATTGCAATACCTAAATACCACTGCCATCCACAGAACTTCACGCAGACCTAAGCGTCCTTGATGAGCTTGTTGCCATCGAAGCACATGCTTTCGAAGATATGCCGTACTACGGTCCAGCTCGCGATAAATATTGCAAGTTGCTGCGATCGCCATACAACAAAATGACAGCAACATGATCCAATTATTCGTCAGTATACAAACAAGAAACAACAGCCAAATTTGCCGTTCTACTTACCAAACTTTATCAGACACGGGTCAACACGCGGCAAGTCATTGCTAATCGAGTAGCTATGCCACATTCCGTGGCGCTGATAGACGAAATCGTAAAAGGCAAGAGCGCCAAGCCACCAGCTTTTGTATCCTTTGCCATTCGAGCTATCAGGCAGCTGATCGCCTAAGAAATTAAGCGCGCGACGTTGACGCTTAGCAGGCTCCATGTTCTCCTCCTTGGAGCGTTTGATCAATGTACTACCATCCGTATCCGTAGTTACACGTTGTTTCTTCCGACGAAGTAAAGCCTTTTCACATTCTTTACTACATATTGGTATCATTACAGTACGAGTAGCGAATAAATATTCTGGATCAAATGATTGGCATATAAAACAATGATTCGGATCCATATTCTTCGAATCACTTGATGGTCGCATTCCCTTCATTTCTAAATATTTAGCTTCACATTCCATGGAGCAAACGGGCACAGGTGGTGCCTTTTTTGCTGTATTTGTTGACATATATTCAGGGTTAAGCAAGTGACAAACGAAACATTCAGTTGTGGATAGACTTGATGATTGCATCATCGCATCATCTGTTAAGCACGCAGCATCTCCATCTTCGCTGTCTGTTGCATGGGCGCTGTTGCTTGAGCTGGAGTTGAACCAGCGACTCAGCTGAAACTCGTCACTGAAGTTGACCATTATTGTCAGTTTTTCTTTTGCGCGCCAATATTCTATTGTAGTGGGTTTTTAATTCGATAAAATGTAAATTACCCGCACTAAGTACGATGGACTGTCGATCTCTCCAGTATCACATAAGCTTCTGATTCTTGTTTCGGTATTTGTTTGTGTATTCGTCTGATTCAGCTATTGCCGTGTCATTCATTCATGGTAGAATCATACCTATTATCCAGGCTAACCAATGCATTTCAATCACTATCTTTCGTACTGGCGCACTTCCAAGACGGCAGGGGGAGGGAGTTCCGTGCACCTCGACACGTACTCGATTCATTTCTTGCCTTTTTAAGCACTAAGTTTCGTCTTGAGGATCTGCTCGAGCTTGACAAAATCGGCGCTAAAGCCGCGGATACCCTCGGCAAGCTTCTCGGTGGCCATAGCATCCTCGTTCATACTCAAACGAAAGTCCTTCTCGTCATAGGAAACCTTCTCTCCTGCATATGCCTTGGCGGCCGTCTCGGGGTCCAGTTTCTTGTCAAGCTTGCTGCTAGACTTGGTAAGCTCCTCCAAGAGACCAGGAGAGATAGTCAGACGATCGCAGCCAGCAAGTTCGGTGATCTCGCCGGTGTTACGGAAGCTAGCACCCATGACAATAGTTTTGTAATCATACTTCTTGTAGTACTGGTAGATCTTGGTCACGGACACTACACCAGGGTCCTCGTGAGATTCGTAGCTGGACTTGCCGGTTTTAGCCTTGTGCCAGTCCAGAATACGACCCACAAATGGCGAAATGAGAGTAGCGCCAGCCTCAGCACATCCCACGGCCTGGGCAAACCCGAAAAGCAACGTCATGTTACACGAGATACCCTCCTTCTGCAATTGCTTGCAGGCCTGAATGCCCTCCCACGTGCTAGCAATCTTAATAAGAATGCGATTCTTCTTAATACCAGCCTTCTCGTACAGCTCAATGATGCGATGGGCACGCGCAATTGTCGCGTCCGTGTCGAAGCTGAGACGAGCGTCCACCTCGGTTGACACGTAGCCTGGTACAATTTTAAGAATCTCCAGACCGAAGTTCACAGACAGCTTATCAATGACATAGCCGAGACGTTCTTTCTCAGACATGTCAGCCGATAGATCCTTTCCATATGCGACAGCATCGTCCACAAGAGCGGCATACTGCTCCATCTGTGCAGCCTTGAACAGTAGCGAAGGGTTCGTAGTGGCATCCTGTGGCTTGTATTTGTTAATCTGTTCAAAGTCGCCCGTGTCGGCTACTACAGTAGTAAACTGCTTCAGTTGATCTAGTTGCGAGGCTTCACGAATCTTCTTGTTGGGGGAGGTAGCCATATTTGTAATATTAAAAAAAAGAACGGTGCGATACTGGACCAAGATTGCTTCGTCCGTTAGCGCGCAGATTCGAAAGTGAGGCTCTCATAATAAAAACAACTTTATACTTGATGATGTATTTGGATACACTGATGACCAATGACGTTTGTGTTCCAAAAAATACGTATTTACAAATATGTGACATCTAAACCACTGTATCTTACGCCATCGATTGATTAAACACCGTCTTGCCTCATCTATTTATTGACCATCTCTTTAAGTCTACAAACTATTCTACACAGTGCGTGCGCAAAGAGGACACTATCACATTTCTATTGCTATCAATTTCTAAATCGTGTAAAATGGAACTAACCTTACATGATTGATACAAATGTCGATGTAATTTTCTCATACATACCAAAGAAAACAAAGCCGCCAATGCTGATCCACATTGAGCGTGGACCTATGCCCAGAAACAGACGCTTCAAGCCTTCGTCAGTGTAAACGCGCGCCAGTGTACTTAGCATGCCCTTGTATGGAACGCCCTTGGCATCCTTACCAAGCATCAGACGCGTCTTGACCACGTCGAGCGGGGTCGTGATAGACGCTGCTATACCACCAGCAACCGATCCACATAACGCTCCCTGCAGAGAAGAAACGGTACCGTTTTGTTTCTTCGACCATTGATACTATAGTTGAAGCATGCAAATAGTGCGTAAATAATGCCCCCTTCATGCAAAGTCACAGAATGAAGAACACATACCTTTAAACTTTCCCACAGTGGAAACTGGATGAACGAAAAGGGAATCTCTCGTGCAATCATGCTCCAGTATCCTCGGTAAAACCCCACCATACCTTCAGCTGCTCGTATTGCATTAAATGCTAGTGGTAGTGACGTGTAAACACCCGTCTGCATGCGCTGCTTCACAATCTCGGTAGGCGTGCGCACCAAACATGCCGCCTAAACATACTCAGCAATGTGATTAATACTTACTGTATGGCACTTCCCCAGAGCACGACTCCTCACCATTTCACCCGAAGCAGCAGCTGCCATATGAACGAGAGGAGAATGCTGCCTGTTCGGAGCAATCATGCTACATAGTGACTTGGAAGTCTCGTAGGTGCTGAAAAACAAGGCACCTACAGAACACACAGAGTATGCAAAATGTAAAGCAGCAAGAACAGTTCGAGTTCTGTTATATAAACTTGTTCTGGTATAAGGATGCCCGATACATACCTCCTGGAGCTGAACCAGCAGCTGCAGCCGACAAGCCCGAGTAAATGCCTCGAAAGCCACCAGCCTTGAAAAATCCATGAGCAGACTGTAGTCGTGTCTTGATCGTGTCGAGTGGGAAGAGCGCAATGTCGACAGATGTCCCCGCGAAGGCTCCACCCTGCCAAGCAAATCAACACGTGAGCAACACCACACCCACACAGACACAAACACATAGAAAAACACTATCATCATTATTAAAATATACAGGACAAACGGACCAGCAAAGCAGGAATAAAGCCGCAAGTGGAAATCGACTTTTCCGTCGTAGCCGTCATTTTGACTTTAATGGTAAGTATGCACTGGACAGTATGTAAAAAGAAAATGTACTGTATTAGTGACACCATGCATTTGTCAACCAATTGAAATCAAGTTATTGTGTAGCCATCTATAAAACCGTGTACATTTCATATCCCCTCAAAACGGGAATTAAAATATTCATTCTCAAAGGAATTAACACGGGGTGCAGCGGATCATTAGACAGCCATGGGGATTACTGATCGTATCAAGGAGATTGGTACGTCGCTATCTCTTTCCATGTCCTGAGTGTATCGCATGTTTTAGTACCTTGTATCTTTTATGCATTAGTTGTAGTAGTATTAGACCTGACATGCGTATATGTACGTCATGCGTGATTGCTGCTAATACAGAGGATGAAATGAAACGGACGCAGATTAATAAAGCCACAGAGGGTCATCTCGGACGTCTCAAGGCAAAGCTTGCCAAGCTTCGTACAGAAGTGCGTTATGCTCTGATACTCAAGTCTTTGTATCATTGTTACTTGCTTTCTTATTTCAACGGTGACATTGACTAACTTATGACACTGTAAGCTTCTTGATGAAGGGAAGTCAAGCGGTGGCGGTGGAGAAGGTAACCAGCAATTGTAGCTGTTATATTCTGTATCCAGTCGTGCTCAAGGATGTTTTGTCATTGTCTGACAGGCTTTGATGTGCCCAAGAGTGGCGATGGACGCGTTGCATTGATTGGGTTTCCCAGTGTAGGAAAATCCACGATGCTGAGGTGTGTATTCGGACGAAAAAAGCCACGTCATGTTACACTGGCTGATGAACAATTTTCTTGTTGAATGAACAGTCAGTTGACTGAAACGCAGTCGGAGACTAACGCAGTAGAGTTTACCACACTCACGTGCATTCCTGGCAACTTGATCTACAATGATGTTCGCATTCAGGTGCGCTCATGCATCTAATTGCACGGACAAGAATGGGAAATTACACCTGTGCTGTGGGCTTTGTCTCAATATAGTTGCTAGATTTGCCCGGTATAATCGAAGGGGCCGCGCACGGACGAGGACGTGGAAGAGAGGTGATCGCTGTGGCTAAGTCGGCCGATATGATCCTGATGGTGCTGGATGCTGGTAGAGAGGCTGGCAATCGTCATCGTGAGATTTTGGAAAACGAACTGGAGACTGTCGGATTGCGTCTTAACCGACAGCCACCTGACATCTACTTCCGGAAGAAAAATGGTGGTGGTATCACGTTTAATAGCACTCTTCGCCTGACAAAGGTGCGAAGCGTTTATCTTATTCCTCTCCTTCCTTGTCACTAAATATGGTATGTGTCGAATACAATTTGCCAGCTGGGAGATGATCCGTACCAAACAGTGTACAAGATTTTGCATGAATACAAGCTTCACAACTGCGAGGTGCTTTTCCGCGAGGACTGCACGACGGATGATCTGATTGATGTGATTGAAGGCAACCGAAAGTATGTGAAGTGTTTGTACGTGTACAACAAGATTGATGTCGTGTCAATTGAAGATGTGGACCGGCTGGCGCGCATGCCGAACTCGACCGTGATTGCTTGTGCCCACGGCGATCGTCCAGCCGTGAGTGTCTTTTTGTAGACATTTTCGCGATTTCCTCCGTATACCTACTAACCGCACCTCCTCTGAGTAGCTTAACTTTGACACACTTTTGGCCAAGATGTGGGACTACATGGGACTCACACGTGTTTACACAAAGCGTCGTGGAGAGGTGCGACAGAACAAATGGATGTGCGTACAATCACTGCCACTGATTGTTTTGCTATCCATATGTGCAGGCCCCTCAATTCGATGAGCCGGTTGTCCTCAGCTCGGAGCGGAAAGGTGTGAGCGTCCATTCTGCGTGCATGTCGGTACGTCCAATTTCTTGTCATGTTGCAGATAGGCTTGACATTATTTTTGCTGACGGTTTGGACTATTGGGTAGATTTCAAAAGACATGCTGGACAACTTCAACTATGCGCTAGTGTGGGGCAGGAGCACAAAGTATAACCCACAGCGTGTTGGCAAGGAACATATGCTTTGCGACGAGGATGTGCTGCAGGTTATTGTGAAGACAGCCAATCAGCAAAAGCGCGACAAGAACTACAACCAAAAGGTTCAGGCGTACTTTGATAAGTACAAAAAGAAGAAGAAAGCGTTGAAAACCTAAATGGTTCCAGCGCTTTTTACTTCGTTCGGTACTAAAGCTAGACAGGGGGTGAGGTTGGCAGCTAATGTAATGTCGTGTGGGCAGAATACATGGTTAGATCTCCAAAGTTGCAGCCGCTGGAAGCACCTGCTATTTATTCCCCGTTTGATCTTCGGAGGCAGCTTCCTTTGCATTGGTTTTGCTCGTGGCCGGTGTGCCTCTTTCAAAAATGTCGGTTTCTTCGTGCTGTGTCGTGCATCCGTGCAGTGTTTTTAGGCGGTTTGTGATGCGATCCAGTGTTCTGTCAGCATAATTACGTTCGGTCAGTAGAAGTGTTACAAAACATGCAGGTGCAAAAAAATGAGTCATTGCTCACTCTTGCTTCATGGGTGGGTACACAGCGTCCAAAAAACCCATCGATGTACTCATGGTTCCCCGTATGTGCTCGACAACAAACCTCCAGTTTGCAATTGGCTTTTTCTTCGTCGGTAGTGAGGACCTACAATATAGAAGCAAACACAAACAGAATGCTGTTACTACAACTTGTTGCAGTCATAGCTAAGACTGGTAGAACGAGAAATTCTTTTTACCAGCAACGCTTGTCAATATCGCCATTGAATTCACTGCCAATGCCTTGAAGCGCTTTCCCGTTAGCAGCGAGTAATGACTCGACAAAGTGGTCACTAAACTGTCCGCCTACTCGGGCGCAATTCAACAGTGTCGATGCTGAAAGGAGTCCACTGGGTGCGTTCTCTTTTTGACGTTCGTTTTCGCTTTCGTGACGATCGGCGCAGAGCACCAGCTGCTAACGCTACCATTGGACGTGGGATCTGAGCAAAAGCGCTTTCCTGTAACACATCTTTATCAGTTCGTTCCAACAGAACTAAAGACGCTGGCAGCTCCGAGTCTGACTGTTTGGCTGTTGTCAACAGCTCGAAATCTTCTAGAATCTCGATTGGATCCTGTGAAAAGCTGCAACTTACACGTCAATTAAATTTGACACAAGTATCGTGAAAGTCACATGAAGAATCTTACTTGGTATTCCGTAGGTTTTGAGCATGAAGAGGCCATCGGAATTTTCTACAAACAAAAAGTAGTGTCAGTGATGAGATCTAGCACAAGTACGGAGCAAAATGGTACTTACCGTGCATACTCATCCAAATGCGTCGTAGAGAATTCAAGTGGCGGTCCCGAAAGTTTCACACCTCGACGAATCGCTGTTTCTTCGATGAGAGGGATCCGTGACGTAATATTCCGTAGTACAAACTTAGCTTGACTGATGTCACCTTTGGAAATTGCTTCATCGTTTCCATTCTTCGTTGACTCTTCCTGACGTTTACATCCTTCTTCACACCAGTCTTCTTCACTTTCGTTATCACTCTCGCTCATGATCGTATCCGCTTCGATCTTGCTTTCATCGTCTCGTTCTCTCTGTAACATCATCGGCCAACAATTGTCATCTGAGTCTGTATCTTCACCAGGTGGTTCCTCATACTGTAGTCCATCTTCAGCCACGTTTTTTTCTATCACTTCTTTCTTGACCAATGTGTCCATATCTTGTATTCTCTTTTCCTCCAGCTCACTCTCGTCTTCACTGCTGCTATCGTCAAATGAAAAAGAACTTGTTCGCTTTCGACGTTTATTTCCACTCTTCTTGGACAGTTTGGGTACAGTTTTCTCCTCAAAACCAAACTCACTGTCATTCTCATGTAGTAGATACTCGCACTTGACTTCACTCTCACTCTCCGTTTCGTCGCTCTCCACAGGAAACATTACCTTCAATTGAGGAGCTGTCGGCTTATTCATTACAACTTTAGTTTACTTCTTACACTTGAAGAGCAAAAACCATTTTATTTTGTAAACACTTTTTGTGGTTCCAGCAATCACGCGCCACACAATCCCACAAGTCGCACAACTAGAAGAACACTTCGCCCAAACTCTGGCACCGAATTACGATTGACCGGTAGAGATTGCGCACTACTGATGCAGTCAAGTTAGTAGTAACTAGAGAATTTGTATGGTCAATCGAACTAACTTGTTCCGATTGCTTCTATTGCTGTATTTAACAGGTAACAATGACAATGAAACGAGGACGTTCTCCTTTACATATGGATGAGGACGTACCACCTGCGAAGCGTGGGGTCAATGAGATCAACGATAATGACACGAACAAGAACAACAGGAGCGACCAAGCACGGATTCAACTTTATGGGAAAGAACTACAAGAAGAAGTCTGTGCTTTATCTATAGCTGATCCTATAGGTTCAGTTGAATTGGATAATCATACTTCAGTTGGAGAGACAATTACAGTATTGGAGACGCCATCAGAGATTGAAACGATTAAGACGATTGAGACGGATGAAGTGGTAGATGATGAAGCACTGGCGCACGCTACCAACATCACGACGTCGTCATTAGGACTTGTGGTGACTGCACCTGAATTTCAAGTACTTCATGACTCGTGGGAGACATTTGACAAAGCTTTAAAGGTCTATGGGAAAATGACGTACCAATTATACGTGATTCGCTCGACGACGTCAGTAAGACGACGAAATTGTAAGATTATTGAAAGTAGAGCGAGAGGAGACAATGCTAGTAATGTAGAAGCTCTGAAGAAGGTAGAACTGGAGCTAGAAGCATCCATGGATCAGGATGTAGATGTGGTCGGACGCGTCGTGGAGAGAACGTTGATCCCGGAACGGTTTCTATGGTATTCCAAGTCGCTCAAGTGTACACATGGATGGAAAGATCGTCATCGAGGCACGGGCAAACGAGGATCTGGAGTTGTACGGTCAACAAGTTGCCCTGCAAAGATGTGTGTTACTCTACAACATCGAGGACCTGGTCCCGACGACTGGAAAGTGGTTGTGACAAAGCATGTGCGGACACACAACCACCAATTATCCAAGGAGTTGTATTTGTATTACACGGAGAATCGACGTATTTATGACCCGGACTTGCTTGCGGTTGCAAAAGAAACATGTGGAGCGGCAAAACCCTCTGTTGACATGGCCAACGCCCATCTTGTATCTTTAATCGAGCAAGCTAATCAGCGGACCGGGCTGCATCATATACTCCCGTCCAATAACGAGCAGATCCAACGGCAGGCTACGTCGATGGCATTGCCGGCATCGAGTTCACCGTCTTCATTATCTTCTTGCCCTAATGAAAGTGGCAATGACGACCGCACCAGCAAGAACCTCATGACGCTTACCGAGACGGATCGTGGCAATGAAGTGGCTCGGCCACGTGTGATAACGGGGATTTCGTTCGCTACCATGCCACCACTGGGCGCGATGGTATTGACACCCGGAACGATTCGGTCGAAAGCGATAGGTGGTGGAGGATTCTGCGTGCCACGAGTATCGGTGAAGGTGCATGCGTCTTGGGACGCTTTCCACGACTTCATAGCGCAGTACTCATTTGATACAATGCAAGTTTTCCGCACACGGTCAACCGTGTCGATAGCCGCAAGAAACGCAAAAATTGTAGCATCTGTTGCAGCAAAATGTGGGCAGGACGGTCACGATGTTGCTAGTTACGCAAGTTATGCTGCGACGTCACCTTCTTCGCGCCTCATCCCAGAGAAGTACAAGTGGTTCTCGAAGCTGTTGATTTGTACGTATGGCCGGAACCGAAGAGTACGAGGCGGAGGAGCTCGTGTTGGTGAACAGAATGATGAAGGTCCATGCCCAGCTATGTTACTCGCACGTATGGAGCGCAATGTAGACGGCGATTGGTACGTAGTGATCAATCGTCAAGTGCAAAAGCACAACCACCGATTGCATGGTTACGTTGAGGAGGCTTGCGGAAGCAATCAAGTACTAGTCGAGTCTGGTAATGATACCACCGGTGCCTTAGCAACTGCATCAAATATGGACTCAAATTCTATGCGGTATTGTTCAAGTGTACATAGCTCAACCATGATTGAAACTGAAACGAGCGAAACCAGCGTCGTCAAAGATACACCCACACAGTCTTTTGATCATCGTGAAATTGTTGTCCGCGTTCCGAAGATTCAGTCTGTCTTTAACTCGTGGGATGACTTTCACGCAAGTCTCAAAGCCTACTCCGATGCTACATATCAGCTATATCGTACGAGAACGACAAGCTCAGCAAAGGGAAGGAACAAAAAGATTGCACAAATGGAGCGTGGTGGTGGCGAAGGAGAGACTGACAAGAACAGTGAAGCCAGAAGTGAACAGGAAGTCCTTTCGAGTGGAGCAAATGTTGCGCGCAAGATTCCTGAACCGTGGAGATGGTACTCTAAGACCCTAACGTGCACACATGGCTGGAAAGAGCGGCATCGTGGCGCAGGCAAGCGCTCTGCCCATGGTGTACGCTCAACAGCGTGCCCTGTGAAGATTTGCGCCACCGTGCAATACATAAACCAACTCTCAAGACTAGATGGCTCTGACTCGGCTAAAGGCAGCTGCGCCATAGTTCATGACAGCTGCTGGCGAGTTGTGGTTACGAAGCATATTGTGGACCACAATCACAATTTATCGCGGGAGCTGTATCAACACTATTGTGAGAATCGTCGAATTTACAACCCAGAACTACTTGCAATCGGCACGTCGAATAATGGCTTTCTAGTGAAGCGTAAGGTCAACCGAAGTCCTAGTGACCATGGCGCTTCAGCTTCTGATACGTCAAAACATTGTATAGTCCCCGCTGGACATCAAATAACTTCTCAATCTCTTGCGCTGTCAACCGAGCTTGAGGCGGGGCTGGCAGAAATTGCAAATCATGGCCCGCTATTTGGATCTTCTGGTAGTATTCACGCACTTGAAGTCGATGGAGCAACCACGTTGCAACAAACAATGACTAAAATGCCAACTTCGGCTTGCGTCGGACAGCAATTTGTGCCGTCAGTTGTGCTGGCTCCGTACAACTCAACAATCTCATGCCAACCAGCCCGAACTCAAAGTCAGGATCAACAGCAGCAGGAGCAGCGCGAAGATCAACAGCAGCAACCGCTGGCAGCTTGTGGCGTTAGTTCGAATAGCGTTTATCTTAGTCGAAGTCACGTAAGCGGGGAAAGCGCGGTAGCCTTGGCAACACCAGCCATAAACTCGTCTAATCTCGTGGTACTCAACGACGCAGGAGCGGCAATGTCTGGTGGACTTCCTCGATTGGGCTCCAACGTGATATCTGTTGCATGTCGTGTCCATGGATCATCGGCCGGTGTTGACTTAACTATTAACGAGAAAGGTATTATTAACCCGGAAACGATTACGTCAGAAGCACATGAAATTGGCTCTGCAAATACTTTAGCAGCGCAATGTACGTGCTTCCGGATTGCTGGTGGAGGTACCTACGTTACTATTGTCCCTGCTAGCGGGTCATCAGCCCCTACTGAAACCAATTTCGATGTTGAAGACGAAGCGATGTTGTGCGATGAAGACATGGACGGAGGCTGGCAACCTTCTTCGCATGTTGAGATTGAAAAGGTGACGCTTGAAAACGGAGAAACAGTTTGGCTTGTGCCTCGCATCGTGCGACGGTATTCCTCATGGGAAGAATTTCACACATACCTGGACGCGTATTCAGCTGCAACATTCCAGCTCTACCGTGTTCGCACAACGTACTCGGTGCGCTCGCGCAACGTTCGCCTTCGTCAACTAGCTGCAAGTCGAGGACTTCTTGTGCGCGAAGGTGATAAAGATAATACAAGAGATCCAGCGGAGAGTGAGCAAGAAGGTGTTCATGGGCTGTCTCGAGCCCACCTAGTACCCGAGCGATATGAATGGTACTCGAAAACGTTCTTATGCACACACGGATGGAAGCGTCGCAGTCGCGGTAGCGGCCAGCGTGTTAGCCACAACGTTCGGGCCGCTGAGTGCCCCGCCAAAGTATGTGCAACACTGCAGCGTACTGACGGTTCAAGTAAATGGAACGTCGTTGTCACGAAGCATTTGGCAGAGCACAATCATGAACTCTCGGAAGCAATTTACCTTCAATACTCTGAGGTTCGACGTGTACGCAATCCTGAAGTGCTTGCACAGGCCGAGCAACTTTGGCGAGGTGGAGCTACACGTCGTCATGTGTTTGAGTATCTCAAAGAGCGATCGCCGAATCAAATCATTCTGATGAAAGACGTGCACAACCTCGTTCAGCGGTGGCAGTCACGAGAGCGTCGTCCAAGACAAGACCAGCAACAGGACAGTATCGAAGACCAGCCAGTACAGCTGCAGTCCAAGTCAAACGCGTCACTAGATGTTTCAGCCAGTCATGACGATGAGAACGCCCCTTGGTTGTGATGTATTTGTATGGAGATGATTTTGTGTTTTTTTTCGAGCGCGCGGGGAAGTCCTACACTTCGTAAAACCTTAATGATCTATGATAAGGATATGTGCTGAGGAGCAAACCTTCAGCACATAATGACAGCCCTGACACCAAGATGCACTCATCTAGAAAGATGTCTTTGTCGCTGCGACTTTTTTGAAACGACGTTGTCATTTGGAATTCTGTTGCATGCGACCGTTTTCCGCACAATTCTACGTGTTTTGGTATTCCAAGAGGGTGCAACGTCAATTCGTCTAGTACCAGTTTTTCCTGATACAGCACAAAAGATCGACTTCCATGTTGAGGATGACGACTTGTAAGATACGTGTTGTTTCGTTGTCATGGATGTTGCGTCTGTTAGATATGTCGCCCCTGCGGAAAGCCACATGATCTTGTTGACAACAATGCAATCGTGATAGAAACACCCGGTTTTAGACAAGACGCAAACTAGCGTGCAATCTTAACAACTTGGAGATCAAGTGTCGATTTTGGTTGGTCATGAAGTGCTGCCGTCGAATGGTTTCTTGTTCAAAGAGATTTTTGTAGAAGATGTTGAGTAAATGGTGGCCGCGGTGAAGATAAAGCACGCATACTGAGACCGTCCGTGCAACGTTGAGAGCTCCGGCTAGACTTACAACCTTGCATTAACAATAGTTCGCACTTCCTGCGAAACGAAGTCACGCATGTAGCTTGCCAATTCAAGCGCATTTCCCACATAGTGCCAAAAATCCCCCCCCCTGTCAGCCATCGCTTGTGTCAATCTCTTGCCGTGACTACTAGGGCAGCAAAGTTTCACGCCCATGCCGTCCCTTGAGGTATACTTGAAGTCCTCTGTATGGAGTAACCATCGCTCACTCGCTTGTATGAAGCAACCATCGCTCACTCGTTTCGAGCACATACATCCATCCAGTCAGGGTAAGGAGATCAGAGAGATGGAGCTGAACCTGGACTCAATTTGGATTGTACATATTGGCGCCAACAAATAGCGATATGCTGAACAACTGGCGACAGGTAAGAAGTGAAAGAGAGTTGGAATGAAACAGTGGAGAAAATTTGTGGTTCTGAGGTTAACCATCGCTTGAGGGACGGACAAGACAATGGCCAAAGGGTCATCATGTATGATTGTATGTACTTCCAGCGCCAACAGAGAAGTGGATAACATATCGTACGACTAGCATGAGTAACAAACCCGTCTATCAAAATACTAGAGCGACTTAATCTGAAGAAGGTTACTTGCGTCTTGCGTCGGGTATTGTAGATCCGCTGCCGTCTCTTATCTGTATAGCTGTTTAATCAAAATTGTGCATTTAGTTTATCCTACACATTTTGACCATGGGTTTGTTTTCAATGATGCACGATACCGAGATCTCTCTCCGTTCAGTCATTCGGCGTTCTCAAGAAAGATAATAACGCTTTTTTGTGCAATTGTGGAAGCGTATTCTCACTGCGAGTAGACAAAGCCGACTCAGTAGACGAACTTACGGACACGATTAAATTGAAGAAAGTGTACTAGTTTCCTGCAGTACATCGTACTCATTAAGAGCTGCTGATAAGATATTAGTTATTAAAAGTGCGACGTCTACGTACTGTTTAGCCATGTCGGTTGCTCGAATGATCATGTCACGCTTGAAGTCATCCAAGGCAAGTTGGCCCAACACATTGAAATCAGCATTTTTCATAACCAAGAAGGATTGTGCGACATGGTAGTTTTCCAACACTGCATGGTCGTTATAGCGCAACGTGATTTTCGATGCGTTGAGATGTGGAAGCTATTGTTGAAACCGTCATGCATGAAGTCACGCACACTTGCAGCAATGAGCGATAACGCATAATTACTAGGGACGTAGATGCTACCTCTGGCTGCATAAGAAAGTAATGCACAATCTGCATAACATCCGCAGCATGAATGTCATCGCGATACGGGCTCGTGGAACTATATCAGCGTTGGATTAATAACAGGAAGTTCACAAACACGTTGCGTTTTATATTTAGTGCCTGACAAGGACTGCCACCAAGAAGGTGCTGCCCAATGTTGCACCAAAAAGACATTAAAAGTCCACAAACTAACGTTTTGAAGCAGGTTTTGCAATTCAACTTCTGACGCATACCGCAATGTCCTTTCGCACACAATTGATATGGCTTTCGTTTTTTCTTTGCGCCCGTACTTCCTGCTACTGACAGATACCTTTCACGCTCTCGAGCAGCTAATAAGCGCTTTGTGCATCTCCAATGCTGAACGTGCGGAATCGCAGATTTATCCTCTCTACAACAATAAAATAAGTGTTGTCGCTCGTGAAAAGGATCCCGACACACATCACAAGTGTATTGCTGACTGAATAGGCCAGGATCGGTGGCCATGTATCTCGGTGGATCAAACGCTCTTTCCAGACGACGAAAGAGCTTTGGGTCATCAACAAAGTCTTGTGCAGGCATCGGTGGTAGGGCGTAAACCTTTTCAAGCTGTGGCACGTGGCTCAAAAAGAACTGAAGCACCTAGAGATGTTTGACGTTGTAATCAGGTGAATCACTTTTGCTGGCACGCAAACCCTTGTTGCAGTATCCAACTATCAAGGCTGCCAGATCGTGCACCACCGTAGCAGCACTAACGTAATCCAGCAAATGTTTTGCATTATTACCAATCGACGCATGTCACCACCACCGACAAGCACCCGGATGGAGCGTGTAATTATTAGTTTAGCTAATAGGTTGCCAATGTCCTCAGTACAGTCGCGATGACGTCACAATATGCGTGAAATTGCAAGAAACGACCAGTCCGCAGCTCGACGTGACCGCTTCCTTTGTGTGCACACATGGCATGAACATCGCGCGCACAATTATTGACTCGGCGACACTATATCCGAACACCACCACTCGAGGGACAAAAGCAGCATTCACCTGGAGGAAGTAATGTTCTCATCAGCACTTCTTGCACGTCAGGCACAGCCTTTCCAACTTCTTCGACAACAATCAAATTCGTCTTTTCGACTTTTGCACGAGTATCTTTCGTCGCTGCTTCCTTTGCAGCTTTCTTAGCAACGTCCTTCTTCGACATCTCATCAACATGTTTAAGATCACTTGCCTTAGCAGCGTGTGCAGCCAACCGACTTGGGACCCAATTTTATGCACAAGACGTGTCCAAAATGCATGGAATTTCTCTCAATTGCAGACTTGTTCTCGTCTTGAAACCCAGCAAAGTGACGCCAAAACGCCACGTCGTCGTCACAAGTTTCAACAACGTTCAATGCAGTTATACTTCTATCCTTTTCGCAGTATACACACTGGATCAATTGTCGCTGGACTTATCGTCGACAGCAATCACATTTCCATTCGGAGCTCTCTGTCACTTCATTTTCCTTTTCCATGTCATTGTTTTCTCCTCATCTTGTTCGTTTACTACCATCGGCAATACATGCAGGTAACATTTTCGATGAATTGCAAGTTCACATTCAATACAAACAAGCAATGAATCATTATCATTCACATGAGGCATGATATAAATACACTGAGCATCTAAACTTTTGAGCTACTGACTCGTTTTTCTTGATTCTTGCAATATCCAAAGCTATCAAGACATGATCAAGTTGTCACATGGATAGATACAAGAGTTCTGATACTCTATGGCCTTCATAAACGACGTTGGAAGCCCTGACGTAGCGCGACAAGATGCATCCAGATGCTGCTGGTCGAGATCAAATGTCTTAGAATTTGAGAATATTTGGTGTACTTTATTTTAGTGTGGACTAAATTTTGTAGAATTGTTTAAGTAAACACAATTAAACGTATACTTATGAATGGAACGCTTTGAGGTGTCCTGTGCTGAAGTAATGAGTAGATCAGATACGACTTTGTATGCATAATACAGTGCCGAGTCATGGAATCAATGCCATGTCGCGATCGATCCTATGCACATACTTAATACTACTTTTGCACCACTAAAACAAGAGGACACACCATTTGAAAACTGAACACAATGCATAAAAATCCATCTACACGCGTCTTTTCAATACGTATAACTTAGACAAAAGCTAACAATAAGAAGTGATCGTATAATGGTTTGCAGAACATATCGTTCACACGCCGCCGTCCACCACTTTGCTGTATCATCAATTGAAAAGAGCACTTTGCTGCGTCCTTTCATTATAAGTTATACAAGGTTTTACAATGTGGTACATATGAAATCGCACAGTTATTTCCCCCACAAGCATGGCGCATCTGGGCGTAAAGCATCGTAAGCTGGCGCTGTTGGACGCTCATGGTCGTCCAGTATCTCCATCATTTGTGCAGAAAGGAGACAAGAGTGTACAGGTAATACGTGGTGGTCTTCGAGCTGTATTACAGCCGTTGGGGCTCGTGTTACTACAGAATGCCAACGTCAAGCGTCACGACGCCTTTGTTCTCGTGCTGGATAACGACCGCACAAGTGTTGCCTGCATATTGGCAGCCATGAACTTGCAGTGTGTCTGTATATTGCTAAGCACAGGTCGCATAGCATTGTTAGATCACGTGAAGAAGCAGACAGGTATTACGAAAGTGCTTATTGTGGACGATGCAACCTCTTCTGTGAGCGTCCAAGATGTCACTAGTCCTCAAACAGCAGGAGACTCGACAAATGAATGGACGACAATTCCGTGGCTAAGAGAGAAAGTTATCGATAAGAACGGATGCGTCTGCTTACTTACGTCAGGCAGCGTAGGTGAACCCAAAGTTGTGCCTTGTACGTGGGACCACATGCTGCTGCAAGGAGAGTCGACATATCATCAGCTTTTCCCAAAGGGTCCGACGCGTATTGTCTGTGGAACGTCTATTTCACACGCGTTCTCTATTAACACGTTATTCGCGCTGTTTACGTCTCCGTACGACGCGCAATCGGAGCTTTGCTTTGCCTCTAGCGTTGTCGGACTCTACTCGCTACTCGCTCAGCGCAGTCATCTCTTTACGGTGCTCTACGCGACGCCTGGGACGTACACAGCATTAGCCGTAATGCCACCAACTTTACTGCATGCCGACGTCCCTTACTGCGCAGGTACGCGTCTTCAGCTATCTTTGTTTCGAAAAATGAGGGACGACTATGGACTGCTACTGATGCAGAACTATGGGTCGACAGAGATGGGAAATACGGCGGCATGGTGTCTACATGGGAAGAACTATGATGTAGAACTAAAGGAGATGGAAAGCAACGAGAAGCAGCTCTATGTCGGTTGTGTGTGGCCTGGTGTGGAGACTTGTACCACCGACAGTGGTGAGGTCGTGATGAAGACTCCGTGGCAGGCAGAAGGGTATGTAAACTCGCGCGTGTTGCTCCACTTTAACGGGCCGCACCACACGTCTGATTTGGGTACCATCACACAAGACAAAGATGGAGTTGACTGCATATGGCTCCAGAGGCGTATCCGTCCAGATATTGAAATTAAATCGCGAGGTCGGCACATGACGTTCTCACCTGACAATATTGAGACTGTGATTAGCGCACACCCCAGCGTATCAGACGTTCTCGTGCTTACACAGAATAAGGCCGACCACGAGAAAAGCGTCATCCGAGCTCGCGTTGTATTGAATGACGGCGCCAGTATTGGTATATCGGAAATAAAGCAATGGTGTGTATCGCACAACTTGCCTGGATTGCGAGACACGCTGGATGTAGAAATAGCAAAATATTTGCCTTGCAGTCCAGCTGGAAAGCTAATGTATGCTTGATCTAATCCAGTTGTCACTCTGCCGCTGCAGCGCCAAGAAAGTCGTGCACCAATTACATGATACAATTGGATGGAGGCCAAGTGCGGGACTTTAGTTTTAAGTTCCAAGTTGTTGCGGCACAGATTTCTCCTGTTTGTGATAGATGACATGTAGCTTGAAAAGAATAGGGTCTTTTGCGGTGGATTGCTCGCCTCAAATTTATTTGGTCTGTCCCAGTTTGCTTCAGCCACGTTCTTGAGTAGGTGGCTTATTTGCACATATTTCTTATACAGCTATCAATTTCATCAAGATGAGCGCCAAGATAACAAACATTACATTCGGATGACGTGTAACGCCTTTTCGTCGCATAACGCGATACAGTTTGGTTCCGTAGGCGACCACCGAATTTGGTTAATGGGCTCGTCAGATTTCAGTAAGGTGTAGCAGATGCCCTCTACGTCATCGCCGGACCTCATCATCTGAGCGCAGATGTCATAAACGATCGCAGCGTTGTCTTCACCAGCACTACATAGATCGTATCTTGAGTGTGGTGACCATGACATCGAATTGACTCCCGCTTTATGCTGGTCCAGCACTACCATAGGAAAGATGGGACGACGAAGGTCGATCACGGAAATCTTAGTGCTGTCGTCGGCGAAAGTTGCAATGAATCGGTCATCACGTTTGTTCCAAGCTAACCTGAGTAAAGGTGTTTTGTCCGGTGATACATAGACGATCGTACTGGACTCCAAGGATCTAGACAATCGTGCAGCACAAGTTTAGTGATTTCGAGATGTACTCTACAGGCGATAGTAGTCGCTATAGCTCACCTCAAATCAAATAATCGCAGGGATCCTTCACCACCAACAGAAGCAAACTTCTTTGGGTCGCTACTTGAGAACGCGGTGTCGTACACATCAGTATCGTGGGCAGTAATTTGATGCATTGGTAACGTTGGTTGCTGAAACAAAACACAAGTCAGTTTTCGCGTGAGTATCATGAGTTTTGGTGATAACGAAGTAGATTAAAATGTACATTGATATCCCAAATAGTGCATGTTTTTCCAGTACTTGATGTTCCAATGACGTTGGGCTCGAGTTCATTCCAATCGAAGCTAGTGAGCGGTGCACAAACATCATTTTTATTTTTCTTCTGAAGTAAAAAAAGAAGCAACCCTCATCAACATTTATACCACCACAAGAAGCAGCTAGTTATCGAGGAGTAATAATGAAAAAGTAATTACAAACCTCCATGAACCTCGAGTGCAGCTCAATAGACGAGTCTGTTATCGTCCAGAGTCGCAAGAAATCCGCTGTTGTAGCCAACAACTCGACATGCGCACCTAACGAAGCTGGTGACCACATAATTTTAGTAGGTGGGTATGGATGGTCAATCTCTAATGCAGAGACGACTTCCTTTTGATTCGCTGTGGGATGGAAGATCTAGTACATTTGATACGAAACATGATGATATATACTCAGACATTTAAATAAGGAGAGTTCAGAGAAGACGTCCAATATACCTCAATCTTGTTGGCATATTCGCCTGGAATAAAAGTAGAGGCAGCAATTCGCATTGAACTAACATCTGGTCGCCAGCAAAGACCATAGAGACGATCTCGTGTTGGATATGTAATGAAAGGCCGATCGCAAAGAATTGTGCGCGGAGATATTGCCATGATTGGACGTCTATAATACTGTCAAGTGCGTGAACAAGTGATATATTTTGCCACTGTTTATCTTGAAAACGTATCGAGAAATAATGACTTTGCAGCGTCATAGCAACGAAATGTATGGCTGCAATTTTAAGTAAAATTGACACTTGGTATGGTGTATCCTTCCAGCCAATTTATAATGGCTACGCTGATTGCTAGGAAATTATGGCCACCCCCTTTTGTTACCCAGCGACGAAGATACTACGGCTTGTAGAGGCAGTTATAAACGGTAGTATTCTGGTTTCGGCACGTCAAATGGCAACGGAGAGAGGTTAGAACAGTGTAAATCACCACAGACGTTTTCTACGATAAAAGCATCGATCGGATCGATACAGTTCCACATAAAGTGCACATGGCATGCAGTCCACATTGCCGCTGTACTTTGTCAATTGTCTTTTACGACACGATGAGCCATGCAACCACCCGATCTTGGCATCTTCATCTCAGCAGTCCCCGTAGTCTAGCTTTTGATATATATCGTCATTGGTGCCGGACGATATTGGAGTGACAGGCATAAAGTACCGCCGCATGGCATCTTGAAATCGTTTACCATAAAGACCTGGCTCAATGATTGTGGGAGAGGATTGTCCAGCAATCATACCGACAGACTTGCTAACACTCTCCACACGCTTTATTAAATCAAACTGACGCAGATAGTCGATGATACCAGCAGTCATTTCGGACAGAATATCCTCCTGATCTCCCATGTCGTTGTTTCGATAGCATAGCCCTACAACCATCGAGTAATCCACGATATTAATAGAGCAGAGAAAAGCAGTATCGTTTTGCACCGCTTTTAGTATAAAACGATGATCTTCTGCAAGTATGCCCAAAGGATGGCCTTTGGTAAGCTCTAGGAAGTTACCGTCAAGCAAGACATGACTGCCATTTTGAACGGCTTCCGTGGTGAATTGAGGTCTGGTATATCGGTTCCGCGAACTTCCTTTCAGATCATAAATTCGTGTGGGTTGCTTTTGGTAAAACACGTTTTCCATGACGCAAATGTAGTGTACCATCTTCTGCCCTGTATCTTTTCGGGTTGTAGTTGTCTGGTAGAGCCCGACAATCTTTGACAACAGGCTTGCCCGGCCGTCAAAGTAAATGCTCGCCACATATTTGAAGTACTCAGGAAGACATCCCAGGAAACTCTACACAGTTTGATTAGCATCATGAATGAACAGTTTGATCAAGGGGCACACGTACCTGCATTTCGGTCGATGAAATGTGCTTGACAATAAAGCGGTCATCAAAGGTTTGGTAAAACGAGGCACCCGATTTGCCACCATTGGCGTCCCAGCTTGCTACGTGAGATATTGAAAACACGTAGCTCTGAAGACTACCACAAAATAGTTCGCGAAGGACCTCAAACTGAGCACCAGCATTAGTATTGCCGAGTCAACTGGCACTGTACACGCAGTTACTAATACTAGAAGTTTGCTTACCTGGAGTGGGAAGTACGCAACTGTTGACAGTTCCCAGCACGTGCTGGACAACGCAGACGACGTTTTGTTTAAAAGTAGTGACAAGTGCAACGGCATTTCCGTTGTCACAAATCTAAACGGCATGTTCAATGATGTTTCGAGCGCAGCACGAGACCAATTTGTGGATACAGTGCTAGTATCGTCACGTTTTCCCTTTTCCAACGTAACTGATTTCACCGCGTCACTATGAACGCGTAACTTCCATCCGTCCATCTCCTCTTCGTATGAGTTTGTCGATAAAGCGTAAGCAACGCTTGTAATCGGTTTTGTCTCGTCAACCAAGACCACTCGAGATTTTGATCGATGGGGAAGACTCGGATGTCCAGCAGTCAGTGCTTCAGGAAGGTGTACTGTAAAGTCGCTACCTGGTTCAATTCTACCGAGAACACGATAAAGGTTCCACAAAGCTTCCTTCCACCCAGTTTGTGGGCCCTACCATTCAACATGACGTCAACAACTGGATCGTTATGCCTATGCCAATTTTAGCCACAAACTACGCACCTCTTTTTCATCTCCATTACTGTTGTCAGCAACAGAGAATGGCAATGAAGGTCTCTTAGATGATTCAAAGCTTGGAATAGTCGACGAAGATAACATTGCCTTTCCCATGCTCGACTCAGACTCAGTGATACAACTCAGAGCTCCACTACTCCTGTGTCGAACCACCAATTCAGTATCGTTACTCCTGCCGGACGGTTGGACAATAGTGCTGGGCGTCAGGGTTGATTCTTCGAACACCAGTGGTGATGCAATGGATGACAAAAGTGTATCAGGACGAACAATGTCTCCTTTACCATTTCGAGCTGACGTGCTCGCATCCACTGAAAGATGTTTCTTGATTAACTTGCGAAGGCGCATCATGTAGGTAACCCATTTGCATGCTACCAAATACATGGCGCGCTGAGTAGTATCACAAGTTCCCAAACTGTCCGCTAACTTCTCACCAATAAGCGTTAATTGATACGAGAAAACTGCGTCACCGCTTCGTACCATTTTTGAAATGCACATGACTTCAAGAATGATACGCGCGTGGTAACCCCTATCCGTGCTCTCAAATGCTTTTACTGCCTCGTTAATTCCCTCGACTTTCTCCGTAAAAGTATTAACGAGCGACTTCAGGGTCTCCTTTAAGATTTCAAGACGCGCCGTCACTTCCTTCTCCATAGCAGCTTGCTCCATCTTGGAAAATAATTGCTTTGCAAGAAAATTATCATTACCGCGTTTCGACTCCGCATGGCTAAGGCGAAGTGACACCTGCTTTAAGAAATCAAAGCGTGCCACAGACTTGCCAATGTTTAAGAAAAGTACGTGGGACTCCATCGAGATATGCGTACACGTTGCGCTTGACGACTTCAGTAGCACAGATCGTTCTGCTTCCAGGAAGAGGACTTCCAGAAATCTAGCAAACGAGTACTTGTATATGTACTTGTCCAACGGCATAAAAGGTGTAATCACACATTTGCATTCACGACACCATCGCCAAAATATCACTGTAGGAAATTCGTTCTCCGCTGAGACGATAGTTTCGTCATCATTCCCGGATGTATGAAAAACGGAGTTTGGCGTCATTATTGCGTGCAGTTTGGTGTTCTTCTCGAAGCTCCTTGTAAGCGAGAGTTCGGTAAACGAGCCCAACGCTTTACTTGCGGCTTCAGCATCGCTGACGTTACTTACTGATAACAATAACGGCTGTTTATTTTGATCTGGCAGCTCTTCGAATGAAATTATTATTGTTCCTGTCCGGCAACTGAACGAATAAACGTGATCTGCCATCAAATGATTACACTTCACACTCTATGACAACGTATCGGCACAACAAGTCACATGTCAGCTGTCCGCTGCGTATATCGACGAATATGTCTCCAACACAACCAACGTACTTGACATTTGAGAGAGAGAGCTGCCAATTCTTGACTAAGAAAGTTGCCAAACGATACATCTTCATCCGAGCAGGCTGTAATTCGGAGTTGCTTGGCTTCGACACATTGATGGTAGCGGGGGTTTTGGGATCCGGGGTCACGAACACGCAATGTGGATGTCGTACACCACGTAGTGCGTCTCTCATCAGTAAGCCCTGCAAATTCATTTGACGTCAATATGTCATTGTTCAGGTCCAGATTGGATAAAACATGAGCCTCTAAAAGCAATTGATACGTCATCGCAAGCACAGCACGGGTAAGCTGCTTCAGTAGGCGTAATGTCTGTTTTGATGGTCCAGTAATTAACACTGTGCAACCATTGAGCGGATCACATCCATCTAGGTACAGATAAGTGTCTGATCGCAAGCGAGGTGCTTTCAGAAACACGCCTGCAAGCGCTTGCAATGACTTTTTCGCCGGTGAGAGTGGTCCCTCGTCCGGCACTATAGGGACTGACTTCGCCGTGAATGACCGACAACTGCCAATTACTTGTGCAGGATTCGCTTTATCCACATGATCTACAGATGTTAAGACCTCAGCTCCCGTATGGCGTGCAATTCGGTGTAACAAGTCACTCTTGACATTAAGGACGATCGATATTCGGCGCTCACGTAACAGCTCTTGGGCTGGCCTAGACACTGCTTTTTCCACAAAAATTACATCCGGCTCTAGTGCCGATATCTTCTCCACCAAAATCGCCATGTAACTTCTTTCTTGCTCCAACAACGTGTCCAATGAGCTCATTCGCCCAAGCCCGTTGGAGCGGTCATAACTTATTCCACAAGCAAGGAGCAAGATACGAGGGTTTGCGACGTGGCGCGCCATTTGCTTGTGACTCAAGTGCTTGCGGCACACGGTTCCAGCCAGCCATTTGAAATTGTAACTCGGCTCGTTCTTGCATGCCTCCATAGTCGCATTCATTGCAATACTTTTCACTTTCACAAGATTCTCGTAGTTAAAACCACTAACAGAGCGAAAATTCATACTGAAAAGCAAATGGCCCGTCACGACAAAAGCAATGTCTTCCACAGTTTTAGCCAAATGATCTAGATCAGTGAACCCAGACTTCGGTAAACTGCTTGAAATTGATGATGTTAAATGCTCAATGCCGTCACGAATTGTTTTGTGAGCTCTTTGCTACATTGCAAGCACCAAATCGTCATCAGCAATGGTTACTATCATTAGTTTGCGCTTTTTCTTACCATGAATTTATCCAACGCGATATCTCTCTGTGTGTAGAAGTTATTACTGTTATGGGTACTACATTTTTGCGGTGTCTTTCCACGTACAGTTAAGACCTTTTCTTCAGACGAAAATGTTTGAGCCCAATTGTGGAGAGCCACCATTTCAGCATCCAGTCCACCACTTTCGATTGCACCTAGCAGTTCTACGCTAGAATGTCTCCTTTTAGTTCGTACTCGTGGGCAGGTCCTCTGACAAGCTTCAACGGTATCTGACGTCTCAAATATATCGACAGACTCGGTTGTAAAGCTTGTTGGGTCCACCGACTGATCAAAGTCTGTAAGGTCACTTGCGTTTGAGTCGACAGGTGACAACATCAACATCGGTTCCTCAATCGGGTCAATCGACGGGCTGAATACTAGAGGTGACGGCTTTGCAAAACCAACTTCCCCACTCAACAGGTGCGATGTTAAGCGGTCAAGCTGAACAGGCAGAGATTCTCTTAGCGTATCACTTCCGTCCAAGCTTTCGATCGAATGATGTTCCTGTTTATTTTCGTTTGCTTTTTTCTTCCCGCCAACGGCGTCTGTGAATTGAAAGCAGAACTTACACACTCGAACGACGCCTGGAAACTTGTGCGGTATACCATCAATAAAGTGGTTGCTGCACTCGTAGCAAAAGATTTGTCCGCATAGCCGGCAATGGTGACGACGCCGAAAGAGAGAAAATGCGGCAGAACAGTCATAGCATACCTATTGTAGGCAAAAAAAGCATTCGTTCAATCTAAAAGAAAGATGAAAAAGACCCTAAAGTCACTATAGTAGCAGTAATGTCACCAATGGACTTTTCGTCTCACCTTACAGAGGTGATCTGGCATCCAATACTGATTGCCAGTCGACATAGGAGGAGGACGTATCTGGCTGGGCGATGCTAAGTAACAATAAACATAAGTTACAATCATAACAGTCATAAAAATTAAAATTGCTTGTAACTATACCATCACCCCCAGGTCTTGAAATCTTCTGATTGTCTGGATTATCATCCGGATCCTTTAAATTCAATCGTAAACGACCAGGAAACAACAAAGTAAATAGCTTATAAAGTTGTGTCGATTGAGGCAATATATCGACTCATACTCAAGTAATTATGCTTGATACACTAATCGACTCACATGAAAGGATGAGGCCAAGAATCCAGGTATTGGGAATGTTGTTAAGCTGTTAAGCACATAGAGAAACGACCACGTGTAGATTAAGATACCCAATATTGTTGTTTAGCTGACACATCATTGACTAACAAGCATTTCAATCGAGACTGATACCGTGAAGGATCTTGGTCCAAACGATAATGCGGCATTGATTGCACACGTCGCTCCGTGTCTTTCATCGTTCGAGTAAAAGAGTGAAGATTCAGTGCGGTTTTATAGGTGAGTTACTCAAAAAAAAGGGTTTTTTTTGGAAGTTGGAAACTTCAACCTCTAATATTTGGGTCCTTTTCATTTTTAGGTTTTTTTTTCATTGTTTTGAAACAAAAAAAAGGACTTTTCAAGGTTTTATTTTGGGTAATTCTAACAGATTCCCAACACGATCGATCATAATGGTGCGAGGCACCTACTGTTTCGATGAAAAGGCCTTTTCGGTGGACGTCTTTGACGTAACCAAGTTTCTAGAGGACTGCAGAACACGCAGTCCTCTAGAGACAATCTACCAGGATTTAAAGCAGTTCCAGACAGCACTGGAGAATCAGCTTGTGGCAATTATTAATGAGGATTATGCCGAATTCCTACAACTTTCGTCCAAACTAAAGGGTGTAGATGAGGCTGTTTCTAGCGTGCGTGCACCTATTCTAGCGGTCCTCAAGCGCGTAGATGAAGTGCAAGATGCCATGGTATTTTCGTGTTATTATTGCGGAAGAGACGAAGACCAGAAGAGAATTTGACCCTTTTGTATTGTTTCATGCATGTATTTAGAGCGCATTGCAGAACAAGATCCAGACGCAATTGCAAAATGCAAAGACGTTACATCAAGAGGAAACAGATTTGCAATTGAGCATTAATATCTTGGAGAAATTGCTACTGGTGGAAGATCTCCTCGAGATTGCATCACCATTTGAGAATAACGGCAAGGAGGAAGTGAGCATGAGCAAGAATGAACCCATTCTATCAGATGAAAACAGTGACGACGATGAATTTGAAAACTTTGAACAAGTGAAAAAACGGCTATATGCAATGAATGCTGCTGAAGACTGCGCGAAATTGGAACGCGCAGCGCAGCTTTTTGTACAGCTAGACCTGGAATTTATGAACGGTATGCATCTCGCCGCGATTCAGGTGATGGATGCATTTATATATAAATGACTGCTTTTTGTGTGTAATGAGGATCTCATCGTTTTGAGCATGTGGTGGTGTAGAAACAGGAAAAGCGTCTTGCAGTAGTTGAAGAAACACTACTTCGTCGGCTGGAAACAGAGCTTGCGACCGAAATATTTCCTGATACTTATTACAACCGTGACCATGCCATTAGCGAGCTTAATTTAAGCTATTTGCTGAGAGCATATGTGCTACTTGACAAAAGCAACATTCCAGAAGACATGATTGGTCGTCTGCTTGTTCAGCCATTTGCAGAGGAAAATCTTACGCGGGGAAAACTAGATGGTCGAGTGCGTGGCTCCTGCGAGGGTCTGCCACAGATTTATGAGTCTATTTTAGACTTCATTTCCAGCAAGTTTGCGGGTATACTGGCACTGTCCGTTTGCCAGAGCGAGAGTAAATGCTCGGCGGATATTCTTGGAAACGCAATATGGAAGCCTTTGCAGAAGTTTTTGGCAACAAAACACGGTGTTATTTTTCAGGCAGCTGACGCTGAACGCTTCCACCAAAACTACACCGTAAGCATGCGTTTTCTAGCTGATCTCGAGGAGCAATTCTGCAAAAACAAGGTTACGAAAAGCCGTTTCCGGTCCCATGAGAGTGTGTTGGAATTTAAGGAGAAGTGGAATATTGACGTGTACTTTGAGCTTCGAGCATCGCAACTCGCTTCAAGCCTCGAGCAGTCTGTAGGGGTGAAACGTGAAGATTCAACCTCGTCGGATTCACGAAACGGCACCATGTCCATTGTTATTGACAAATCGGCACTAGTGTTTGAGGATTCAAAGTGTTTGTGGAAAGCACTCCAAGATTGCTGGAGTGACCGTATATTCTTGGCACCACTGCTTTCCAGCTTCTGCAAGCTTAGTTTGCAGCTTTTTGCGTATTATATTGGCATCTGGAAGGAGCCGTTGTTAAGTACCGTGAAGTTGCTCAACAGCGAAACCAAGGTGGATTTTAGCGCTGTGCCGCTTCATAATCTGAATACGGAAGAAGATTTATTCTTTGCTGGAAACGACTTTCACGTGCTTTACAATAAGGTGAGTGGTCGATAATGTGTAGTAAGGCAGTTATGGACCCATTGTAACTAAGCCGTTGCTCATGTGGACGCTTCAGATTTCTCAGGAGCTTCTTGCAATTGTAAGAGATCATGTTGACGCCTTCACCGAAGATAGCCAAGCCTTCGTGACTGAATTCTTCCACGAGGTTAGTTTTTTGCTGGGTGATAGTGCTAGAGCTTAAACTAAGCAGCATGCTTTTTTGCTGCAGCCACTTGCATCATTAGTCGAGCTTGAGACAAGCTGTTGGTCCGTTGCTGTAACAACGGTAGCCGCAGATTGCAAGAAGGTTCTTCCAGCAATCCGGTACGCCCTTATGCGTCAACATAAGCGCAATGGAGAATGAAGCTTAGCTTTGTTTAACTTTTTGTATACGACAGCACGGTGAAAGGCCAGTACCAGATTACGAACAAACCCTTACCAACAACCCCGTCAACTTACGTGCCTAATATCATTCGGTAGAACTAGTTCGTTGGCTCTGTTGACAACGACAACGATAGCTAATGCTTCTGAACTGTTGCGAATGTTTGCAGACCGATGAAGAATTTTTTGGAAAAATGGGGTGCTCACTTCGATGCAGCCAAACGACAGACGCTGTTACAAGCTATTGTGGAAGAAGTTTGTAGTGTATACTCGACGCTGTCATTAGAGCTACTGCGATCAGCATTAGAGCTAGAAGAATCACTCAAAATCCGAAAGCTGCAGCGATATTCTGGATCCAGCTCTGTGCCCACCAATAACATCGTCACAGACACGGAAAAGATGCGCATGCAGTTGCTGCTCGATCTTGAAGAGATTCAGCGGTAAGTGTGCGATTGTGTTTCTTTCTGGGTTTATTTTGTGTTGATATTAATGATGAGATTAATATGGTTGCATGTCCAACAGAGAGCTAATAGTGCTTGGGCTGGATGTTGACTGTTGCAGAAGTCTACAGGGAGCTATCGCCAAGCTAAGCGAGTCAGCAAGTTGAAGTAGATGTTGTCTGACGGCTTATAAGCTGGTGACAAAATGTGAAAGACCGATTTGATTCGATAATTATATGCGGTGTACGTCACAAAATTCGATTGCTGCAGACGAGATGGAGACCGGTGGACATTGGAGCGCGTCGCTCTGGCCTGTGTATTACTACGTCATTATCTGTGTAGAGCTGTGGAGCTGGTAAGGAGTAGTGAAGCGTATTGGGACCCAATCTTTTTGCACAAAATCCAAGAAAGGCAAGTACTTGGCTGGCTTCGGTCACGTCGACAATACGCACGCATAGAGCTTAAAAATTGTCCGAGGATACGAGCTGACCATTTTTGGTGAGGAAGAAATTTGGACATTGATATATTGATGCAGTATGATGTCAGTTGCTAATTGCCCATTTGTTATAGCTTAATGCCACAAGGCAAAGGCATAATTTTTGATGTAAGTAAAAACTACTCGAGGTTATTGTGGAGGATGCTGAACATTGAGTACTTTTAATAAATGGAGGTGCTATTGTTAAAGGAACTTCTGGTCATCAGTTTGTCGCTAACGGCACGGGATTGGCTATATACGCAGAATGCCTGGCCAGCGAAGGCGACGCTGAGATTGCGAACAGAGCATCCTCTACATTGATGTTTTTAACATGATTTCGTTCGACTATTCGCTTTAACGTACGTCTATCACTTCTTTTACGCCATAAGCTGTTGTTAAGGTGCTCTTCATTTGGAAAAGGTACTGTCAGGACGACGCCCTACTGGACTTTAGACGTCGAAGCACCGTTTTGAGGCCAAGCAGCTCAATTGTGTCACCCAATCCAGCACCGACATCCATGCCAGTCAAATAATAACGGACTGGCATCAGCACCCTGCGCCAACAATACACAAGTCAGCCACAACATACTACTTAATTTTCACAAGGTGACACACTTTTTAAGCCCAATGTTCCGACTTTTTGCAACAGCCTTAATACTCTTTGTAATAAGATCCTGCAGCAATAAAGATGCCCCGTTCGTTAGTAACAGAACATCGACAATGACGCTCAATTACGCACCGGGGTAAATTCTTCGTCCGAAAGGTTACACAGGCTCGAACACACATCCGCAACGAGATCGGCCGTGTTCTCATCAATGTACTTGGTTTTCATGTCTTGTGCAACCAGCGAGCTGAGATCAGGATCCGTAAAGAACGGGATGCAAAGTGGGCCAAACTCAGGCAGTGCACTTACGCGTTCCTACAAACAAAATAAATTAAGTACACGACGATTAAGCAACAGCTTGAACGACTGGAGCGTAAAGTCCTAAGGCACCTTCATCAGCTTCATCGCTCGCCAGATGTAATTGAGACCGAACTTCTCGATCATGTCACCTGGCCTTGAAGACAAGCCTGTTTCTTCAAGAGCAGAAGAAATCATCAACAAGACATTGTTTACGACAGCCAATTTCTGCTCGTCCGTTGCAGCTTCTTCAGCAAACAGCATCCGCACATGACGCGAGTTGACCCAACGAAGACGATCCGTATTCACAACTGAGCCTGCTTTGTTCACGTGGCCAATCGAAAACTATACGAAACACAACAAGGCATTTAGATACCTTGCACATAAGAGTAAGAGTCTGGCTTCCGTACATGTCTTTCTAGCTCTTTCATCTGATAAATTTCTTGGTTATTTCCGTCAGCAGAGTTCCAGCCCAAAAGAGCGACAAAGTTTACAAGGCCGCTTGAGAGAAAGCCCTTGTCCTGTGTACCCGAATTTAAACCGAAAGTTAAACACGGCAAATCTATTTGATACAAACTAACTCAAAGCAAACAACCGTACCCGAAAGTCCTCAACCGCGACATCGCCTTGACGTTTCGATAATTTAGAGCGGTCTTCATTGAGTAGAAGACCCAAATGCGCCCACTACATAACAATGCCCATTGACCGTCGTAAGTCATCGACTTCGTTGCAGCTTCATCTCAGTGCAGCACGACACTTACTATCGGAGCTTTGTAACCCAGTGCCTTATACAGGATGACATGCTTCGGTGTCGATGGTAGCCACTCCTCACCACGAATGACGTGAGAAATACGCATCGCATGATCATCCACCACGTTGGCTAGATGATACGTCGGATATCCGTCGCTCTTCATTAAAACCTGATCATCAATACCACCATGATCGAACTGCACGTATCCACGCAGCATGTCCTTGACAACCGTTTTACCCTCTGGAATTTTTAGGCGAATTGTGTTTATCTCGCCACATGCAATTCGTTTTTTCACCTCCTCCTCATCCAGGCCCAAACACGCACGGTCGTACATCGTCGCTTCACCATAGCGGATCTGCGACTCACGCAGCTTCTGCAGGCGCTCGTTCGTGCAAAAACAACGATAGGCATGACCATTCTACAAGAAAATAACAATTAGCCGATTCTCGATACAAAGACAAAGCAATGACTGCAATTCTAGTCACCTCAACCAGCTTCTCGGCCGCCTCCTGGTAAATTGAAAGTCTCTTTGACTGAATATACGGACCGTATGGGCCTCCAACATTAGGGCCTTCATCATATTAGCAGTATAACCACACACTAGTAGCAATGTATGCCCCGTACCTTCGTCCTCTTCAATTCCACACCACTTGAGGCTATCCACCAGTGCCTCCACAGACCCTTTCACCTGACGTGTCTGCATCCAATCACACGACAATCAGCACAGAAACTGCAGCAGAGAAATGATTACTATAACATCTTATACTTTATCAGTGTCTTCAATGCGCAGAATGAACTTCCCGCCACAACTCTTGGCGAATAAATAATTAAACAATGCGGTGCGCAGACCACCAAGATGTAGGTATCCAGTCGGACTCGGAGCGTATCGTACACGAACTGTAGATCCAGATTGTTTCGTATCTGAACTCTGACATGAATATCTTCGAACCGTTAGAACTGATGGTCTGCACGGTACGCGGTAATGCAGTCGAGAGACCCACATGAATGAATGATACTTGTGGGTTGATATACCTCTCTGAAAGATGATGATAACAACAATTTTGAGAGGGATGCAAAGCTTTTGCAAAGAGGGTTATTATTTTAACCGTAAGATTCGTTTTAATAACGGCTTTATCGATAAGATATAGTTTCCAGACTTGGCAAAAGCGCGCTTCTAACTCATCGCAATGTCGTCTAGCTACTGTAGCGAGGCAAGCTACTGTGTGTACGAAGTGCAGAGAAAGACATATTGGAAGAAATGCATGGGAGGCGTCACAAAAACGACAGGAGGAGAAGGAGCGTTTCAAGGGCCACATGGCTAGTGTTTTTGGTTCGGTGTTGGAGCAGGGCAAGGATATGATTAGAGAGGCGTTGAAAGTGTCTCTACCGAGGCATGTGTCACCCGGCTATCGCCATCAAAGTATTATTTTGTAGGACAGCCTGGATACGCTGGGCAGCAGCCAACGTTGAGATGACGCCAGCGCCGCAGCCAGTGCTGCCGCAGCATTACGTACCACCACCCATGTAAAAGTCGACGCCTCCACCCCACATGGTATAGGACTTTAATACGAATGCGTGCCAAATACGTGACAGAGGAAGCTGGGGATCCAAACTTTTATTGACAAGGAATTGTATCAAGGGCTCGAAAGTGGTATATCTATATCTATCGTGGGGCAAGAGATTTGTTAGGCGGATCATGTTTGCGGAGCAAGTGGTTCCCAGTGGAGTACGATGCTAAGGTGGACGCACTAGGGCACCACCTGACTGGGATGGCGGATAGATATTACAATCAACAGGTCGAGGGGTGGTGGAAAGATCAACCGACTTTAGAGCATGCGATGCAGCGTTTACTCTATACTTTGCAACAAAGATCCCACCCGCACAAAGTATGAAAAATATTCACAGCTCCCAAGAGCTTTAAGCGAAGCTGGACGGAGCATTACCTGTACTTGGTGGCGGTGAGGAAAGGGTATGGCGATGCCGACACCCTAGTTCAAGACAACATTGGGCATTGTGCTGGCCCTGTATGAGAGTGTCGATGTTGGTGAGGTTAACCTCACGCGCATAGACACTTTGCGCCAGGCAAAAGATCTTGCGCACTTCGCAAAGTCTACTGAGATTGAACTGTGCGGGAAGAATATTGGGAAGGACTTGGTTAACACCGTTGACAGTGGGCGTTGAGTTTGCTACAAGAACCGAAGAGGCAATCGCAAGGACCGTCAAGATGTGCGCCCCCCGTGCTACAAATTCGGAAAGCCAAGACATCTGAAGATAGTACGCTAAGCTTACAGCGACGGATAATGTTGACTTTGTCCTGGCCTTTGGCGGATCAAGTATCAAGGAAGAATACAAAATACTCGGTATCGGATCGAGTCGACACCGGGTAAATGATGCGTCAATTCTAGAAGGCTCACCAATCGTGATCATCATTGTTTTCTCTCGTTACATTGCTGTGCCAGATCTGGATCGAGCGGCTGCTGTCAGTGAAGATCGGTAATACATGGGTGGATTTCCACACAGCTTGCGAGTGATGATCGAGAAATTCCTCCAAAGAGTGACCAGCTTTTTAAACCACCCATATTTCAAAAACAAGATCGGCGCGATCGGCTCGTCAAGGACTTTCCACGGTTCATGGCTATAAAAAGCGATGTGGCGCCCACTTAGAATCAGGGGGCGAACAAAGTACACCAACTTGGATCGGGAAAACATATCCGCGGGGATTCGAAAGTAGAGCTTGAAAAGACCTAAATTCAGCTGTGCGACGCTGATCAAGCTGAGTCGCCTAGCTAACCACGAAATCACATTGGACGAGGATTGTGGGAATCGATTGCGGTACCCAGGGATTCATCAATTGCGAGGCACCTTGGTCGGAAAAAGTTGGCAGTAGCGATCAAGGTAAATTATAAGAAAAAGAAAAGTGTATCAAATATTGATGATTATGGCCTATTATCAAAGATATCTGTATGACTGACTAAAAAAATTATATATACAAATATGTATGCTAGCCGTGTGCTTACCACCTCTTTCGCGTGTCCGTCGTCGATTGGATTGCCGTGTTGGCTGATATCATCGCCCAAATGCAGATGCTTCTGAATGTTGCCAATTAACGTAATATTCATGAATATTATTAACCTTTATAATAATAGTTGCATTGACATCTAATGATGGTGTCAATGCTGTGTAACGGGCTCACCCAATGCTTAAATTCATTAACAAGCAGATCCACCTCGTTGACAGACTTTCGTTGTTCACGACTGCGATCGGCAACATTGCTATACGAATGCTTCAGGGAGGCAAGATAGCTTTTCCTGCGCTGATTCAATTGATATGCTAATTGCAACTTTGATACCTCTGGCGTTGGGGTTTTCTCATCATGAAGTCGAGTTGCTATCCATCGACGCAGCTGCAAGTCAACAAGATGAAGCACATTTTGCTGCGTTGCTTGTTGATCGCGGTGCTGAAGAAGTGAACTGTTAGCTTAGCAATCAATCAGAGTAAGAGTTTCAGTCTCACCTGCCGGTCTAATTTCTTCTTCGCATCCGTTTGCACCAGACGACGGTCTTTTAGCTCGTGGTATGCTTGCTGAACTAATGCGTCCATTACCTTTCTGGCATTGATGAAAGCATTATCCATTTCGTTTACCTCCCAAGTGTTCACTTCCCACGAGATTTGATGACCAGTGGCGGCCTCAAGAGTTGTTACCATCCTTTCAAAAACTTCATGAGGAACTCGTGCACCATCGCTTCGATCGGCATTCCGTTCCCGACAGGTTGCAACCGGAATGTTTACGTACAGTAGACCAAAGCCACAGTTTGCTACATGTCACCAATGACATGTAAGTATCAGTATATCGAGTGATGAAAGGGTTGTGTATTACCCTCAATGGCGAGTTGGAAGAAGCGCTTGCTAGTGGAAATTGTCGTCAATAAGGAGCATCAACTGTTTTTTGACCTGCTTATCCTAGCCAACGTATATTTTGTTAAATATCTGCTGACTCGCATCTTCATCCCTTGTTGACACGCTTTCCATGCTTTAGGATTAAACTTGGTTAGTTTGTCACCTCCACCCTTTTAGTCGTAGAGGTTGTCAAAGGAGATCCATTTATACAGTCATAATGAAGTGGTGCATCTTGCCACAAGATGCTTCACTAGCGTTGTTTTCCAGGCAGCCGGTAGGCCACAGACCAGCACAAGAACAGCTTCACTCAAACTGTCACACATGTGTCCTTACAGTAGAAAAACCTTCAACTGAAATAAAACTAAACTTCACAAATAATGTGTCGCCTTGCTGACAAAAGTTGCCATGGCCTCATACATATTGAGCAGCATAGACCACACACTCCTCTTTCTATTATTATATGGCCATTATACTATAGCATGGTAGCAACTTAAGAGCCTTCACTTTGTTCGTTAGCGTGCAATGCTAAGAGCTGATTTTTTTGCCGTCAGTGTGGATGCTGAGTCAGTGCCGCTATGGCTGACGAATAGACGCACGCTCGTGCTTGGATCGATTCTTCTCACTAATAATAGTCCATTCACTAATAAGCCACATCAGTATTCACAGGCATCTGTCAGTACTTGTAGCCCTTCCAAGTTGCCAAGTTTCCTGCTCCTCCTAAAAACATTGCTTATAAGCTCAATCATACTACTCATGTCGTTGACAACGATTTGTTTTGTGCTCACCGCTTCTTTTCTACGAGTCAACACATCGACACGCCGTTGAAGACGCTGCAGTTCGTGCTGTTGCGCGCGACGCAGCAACAATACCCGCCACTCATGGGGCACATCCACGAACAGCAAACGCATGAAGAAGGCCAATACCGGCAATAGAATGTTGAAGAAAATGCACAGGAAGCCGAGTAACGCCACGAGCTTCTGTACCAGCCCGTACACGGTCATGTTCATGAACCAGTCCCTTTTCAGCCAATCGTAATGGTATTGAAGATTCAGCATTGACTCGATGCAAGGAACACTTGGCTATTATCTTATTGCCCTCTGCCTCATCGATAGTTTAAACTGCTTTTTCTATCAGATTGCTATAATACGATCGGCGACAGGTCTATCTCCACACGATTCGTCTCTCAAAATTACCAAGCGGTACGTGGTGGCGTCTCTGTAGACGCGTGAAGACTGTAGACCTTACTCTCACAACAATTTTGGGCTCACCGCCACCCCTGCTTGGTGGTATCCACCCTGGAACGTCGGTGGAAGGTCGATACTAGCACCCAAATCTAGCAGCATTCGCTCTAGTCGAGACACAATCACGTTAAAGGAAGGTCGGTCGGACGCATCCGACTTCCAGCATTCAGTAATGAGATTGATGTACTCGCTGTCCATGCCCTCGGGGATTGGAGGTCGGGTGCCGGCGTTAATTGTCTTGTTGTAAAACTTAATCGGAGCCATTCCAATGAACGGGTTCTGCAGTCCGCCGGCAATCATTTCCCACATTACAATTGCAAAACTGCAGGCACATTGGATCACTCAGTCTATCAGTACTCATTACATCATGAGAAAAAGGAAGAGCCCTATCATACCTCCAGTTGTCGGCCTTAAATGTGTACCCCAGATCTTCGTCCAAGAGAACTTCAGGGGCAACCCTGGAACACAAACACCCAAATTAGTTACCCACACTAGGCAGACGTTGTCATTAAAGCGTGAAGTGTGCACTCACCACCCTGTTGTACCGCACTGTGTAAAGGCAGTATCGGTATCCAGTACCTTACTAATGCCAAAATCTGCTACTTTAACTCGCCAATCATCATCCACCAAAAAGTTGTGTGACTAAAGAGATAGTTCAAAAAATCAGCTCACAAACGCATTGTAATACGACAAAAAAACACTTCGTCACCTTAATGTCGCGATGGATGATGCGGTTTGAGTGAAGATACTGAATACCTCGTGCTGCATCCAGCATCATTCGTAGTTTAAACTAATATAATAGCAGTGTTAGCATTCTCACAACTGGACCAAATAGCTTCAAAATTTTCATACCTTCCAAGGAATCGTCTCAAAGTTATTGCTGTGAATCACTTCAAATAGACTGAGCGAAACAAATAAATTGACTTTTTGTCAGGCTGTAATTTACAACAACAAATTATCTTAGCAATCTGCGTACCTTTTGCGAGAGCAATACTCCGTCAAAATCATCAGCTTAGGATCCGTGCATGCTCCGATAAATAACACAATATTTGGATGCTTCAGCTTTCTCAGCAACGCCACTTCTTGTCGATAATCGCCAAGAATTTTGTCGGTCAATCGAGCATAACGGAATGATTTCACTGCTACCTCGGCAGCGCTATTCCGATTCATCCAAAGTCCACGGTAAACAGTAGCCGCCTTTCCACATCCCAATTCGTTCTCTTTGCCGCTAAGGATATGAATGCTTTCGTATGGAATCTCCAAATATTGGTTCTGCGACTCAAGAACTCGCGCCTGTTCCTGCAACATTGACACATCTTCTTTCGCAAGTTCCTCCGAAATTGATCCTGTCAAGGAGGCAGGCGAATCTGCGCAGTCGACAACCATGTGCTGGCTTGTTGGGGAAGAAAAATCAATTTCTTTCTTTGCGTGGGCAGCATCGTCGTCAACGACGCCCGCCACACTTACAACAGGCTTTAAATCTTCACCAGCTTTCCGCCGAATTAAATAGTGGGTCACGGACAGTATTTTCCTAAGCTCTGCTTCTCGAGCTTCGACTCCTCGCTGGACTTCGTGCCGTCGTTCAGCCGAAAGACTGACGGCTGCAGCACCCGAATTGATCTACAGCAGCAAAACAGTAGAATTTTAAACAAAGTACACGCAACACCTCGTTTCGCAAAATAAGGCTATACCTGTTCAAACAGTTTCGCAAGAACAGAACTCTTGCCGTTGCCCTTGTCGTCAACGTGAACTTTGTCACCATGAGCAAGCCCAATGTCTTTTCGGATCCCTGCGTTTTCGTCCTCCAGCATTAGGGCTGTCGATAGTTGCGAGTCTATGAAACACGCCGACCAAATAGATGTTAGCCGGTTAGATCCCTAGATAACGAAACAAAGCTATTTGGTGGATTAATAAGCACACACCTTTGGCAAGATCATCTGTTTGCCGAATCCAAACGATGCGCTGGCGATCCTTTGGAATTCCAATGTTCGACGCAATCTCCTGTCGAAGCACACCTACCGTAGCATCGAACGGAATTTCTAAACACACAGGCGCTTGTGTGTCGCCCGACGCTTGAATACAAACCTATGTCAACAGCGGATGTTAAATACAGTAACAAAGCTTTGTGCACAACGAAGTGACACGTACGACTCGAAGCAGCATGCAATCATTATCCACTGCCCGTCTGATACGCTCGCGAATAGCTTCTTCCGATATTTCCGATTGCGTGCTAGCAAAAAAGTGAACCTACAACCAAGCGGCAGCAGATTTTGTGATTCTAAGTATTGTAGAATCTTGTTCGATTTGCAAGAAACAACGTACGTGATGGGGAAACACACGGTAAATCTCACTGCCGTGGACATGAGCAGTCACTGCGCGCTGAAGTTTGGAGTTTGATGCAAAAGAATCGCGGCGCTGGGGCGATCGCTCTCCAGTCGAGCTTGGGCCAAACCATAACTCAACTTCGTCATCCGAAGTTCCACCGCTCCAACCACTTTCCACGCCTTGCCATGTAACCAGCACGTACTTCGATACAATCCTCTCAGTTCCGCGATGCAATGGAACGTCCACTCGTAAGTAAATGTACATTGTGCTTCCCTCTTCTAGCACTGAAGTAATTCCACCAATTCCCTTTAAAGCATACAACCCGGTCTGTTGCATGACAAGGTAAAGGTTAGGCTAATGCGCGCTATGAATTGTGACAGCCTCTACGGATACCAAACATACCATGCCCCTTTCTACAACAATCATCTTCTGCGTTGAGCTCTCTATGTCCAAATTATCATAGCCACATACAGCCCAATTGAACGGGGAAGTATCCGAGCGAATGTCCTGCACGGTATCTGTCACTTCGGGAGTAAATTCAATATCATTCGTAACAAATCGTCTTGACGAACTTCGTGGACGGCGTCGCGGGGTCTGCATGAACACAGATCCATCCCTATCAAATAATGACACGTTTACCACATTACGTTATATTCAAGCAGCAAAAGACAGTCCAAACCAGCTAATCGTACACGAGCTCTTCTGGGTTGTGCAACGTGACATGCGCAACCGCACCCATACGTTTCTGCATGTGGAATTGTACAAATCAGGCTCAATGTATCAGAATGCGCTCAAGTTTTATCGAGTTGCCTCCACTCACCCGAATGACATAGTTAAACTCTGCATACTTTGTTCGAAGGTAGATCGGTAGATCCCGTCCCTTCCAACAAAATGACAGCACGTTGGTAGGCGCCGAGTTCTCATCATAGCAATCAACGCTTGTGAGACCATAACACAGCGAGTTTGGTGAGAAAAGCTCTGTAGGCCACTTAGACTGGTCGGAGATGCTGCCGTGCCCAGATGCAAGTACTTTGAGCGTATTTCTTTTCTCTCTCTGGTCCTATAGGTATCAACAATGCAGCAAAAGAGTCAGCAAATACACCAGGCAACGCCAAATGCCCTAGCCACAAAACAGCAGCACCAACCGCAAAGGAGAAAATGACCCATGTGGGCGAGTTTTTAGTCTTAATGTCGTGCAACACACTATCCACCTGGCTGGAGCGCAGATCCTGCGCCTTAACGGTGCGCACAAATGTGTGCGGCACCTCCATGCCGTTGCGCTTGGTGTGAGCAAAGCACAGAATTCTGACACTCGTGTGTGAGGGCTTACACAGCCTCTCTCCTTCTCTTTCTTCTTGTGCTTTTTAAACAGCGCTTTTACTTCAGTCCAAGAGAATAAGAGCAAGTTGGTTTCCACTTGTGAGCTTTATTTGCCAGCGTAATCCATCAATAAAAGCAGAATCATACATACACACAACACATACATACATACATAAGGAAAGTGAGTCAACTTCTGTAAAGGCTCAGACTTAATCTTCACGGCTCTCTCCAATACACGAACCTTATTCGTGCGCTAAACGTTTCGTAAATACTAGTAAAGAAAGCGTTGGCGGCATACGCTGCCTGCCTGCCCTGGTGCTGTGACTTACTGCCTGCCCTGGTGCCGCACTCACTGTACTGGCGTTGAAATACCTGGACTGTTGCGACGTGCAGATCGTAGAGTCGCCTTCGCTTAGAACGGATTGGCTGATATTGCTAATAATAAGAACCGATTGGATGAAATATGCTGCCTCAACATTGCTTTCTACACTTTTGAACTTGAATTAAAACTAAGAGTTAAAATGTCGAGTTTCCAAAGGTGTAAATATAATAATAAAGTTGCCACTTAAACTGCGAAATATTCGAGTCACAAAGACGTTAATATTAAATTACAGACTATCACAGATGAAGTCTTTAGCATAAGTTGTTGTCAAGTCTAGATTAACCGTTAGCAAGACGTTCATTTTAACTTCTAATACTGACATTTCTGTTTTGCATTGTACCAAATGTTACGTGATACACATTGTCAGCTTCAAAATAACTAAAGGATGTTGTAATGATTGAGTAGGCTGTAGTAGCGTCAAGCAGACATAAACTGACAAGAAGCAATGGGCAATTGCAGATACACAATCAAGTACAAAAACACTATAAACACTGTTTGTATAATGCTATAGCAGCCTGTTATTGTTTTCTTATGTGTAATACAGCTCCAGTCCCATACCGTCATGTATCTCATAGTCTTCGAGAGTAATATGGTCCTTGTAGATGGTATACCACTTCTGGATACGAATCTTCTCGGGTCTTGTACCCACCTGAGCTGCTACCAATTTCTTCAGATCACCGACCGTGTCATCTTCGTTGCACTTGACGCGTATTTTCTTGCCCAGGCGGTCATTTAGGACTACCTCAATCATGGTCGTCCGTCGCAGGTTAGTTTGTCTTTTTGCGTATGGTTGCACAATTATTTCTGCAAATTTGTCTAAAATAAGACCTAGAACCCGTTTTTTTAAATGTTTTCTTCCAATCACATGGACACTCAACTCTCGAAAGCATGGAGGAGCAGGTCTACCACAATTTGCTTGATGATGTTGCTCTGGATCTGTGCTTCGAGGTGCAATTGACTTGTAGATAATAACGTTTACTGATAATGGGTAAATTTGTAACATTCTCTACACTTACAACTAGATGCATAGTCATATCTCACGGGATGGTTTGAGTCTAGAAGAAATCTATGACGTAGAACCTATCGAAAGACCACTTAACTCGCCTGTTGTAGAGCAGGACAGCGTGATTGTAAGCTGTCTTCATTGTAAAAGACAGGTAGCAACTGGACATTTCTTGCAGTAGATTGACCATTGCAATGCTCACGAAATCTTTATGTTTGCAGGTGCATGCGTCGCGGTATACGAACCACTTGGAGAAGTGCTTGACGGGCTCGCGACGGGTGATAACACCCAAGCAGCGACACGACGTAGCCCAAGAAACAGAGCAAAAACAGCTACTCACACTTACCAAACCTCAACTATATGGAGATAGTGCCTCGTAGACACGCTACGATAAAGCCAAGAACAGATACACAGAACTTGATGGTTCTGTTAGGATTTTCATGGACAAGTCGCTGCCGTCGATTAAGAAAATCGAGCAACTCAATCTTTGATGCAGCTCGCTATTTGCTTCTCCTTGCTTACAAGTTGTGCTCGACGGGCTTTTGTCAGCAGTAGGCTTAACTACGGCTGGCAGATTATCAGATAATTTTCTGCTCTTCTTCACATGCATTTTTTTCGACTTATCAACTTTCTTTTGACCACATCCAATATGGTGACAAGTAAATATCGAACAGAAAACAAACGAGTAAATCGCAAAGATGTTCACGTCGACGGCATATACTTACCACGGTAAGAAATTTGAGCGTTAAGATGCCATTTTCAGATAAAAGATACACCACTATGTTAAATGTAAGCTCGGCAAAACATCCTTGAGTTTAGTTAATTGGCGTGAGTGAGCTGTGCCACAAACGTCTTTCCGTCTGTTTTTACATCAAACAACACTCAGTTGATGCTTTTATCTTCTTCCTTTTCTATGTCTTCAAGTTAGAAGCTCTCGCTAGCAGCGTAAATATGTCTGTCTCATTTACGATGCTACTGATAGCTGGAACTTGGCCCCTTCTGACGCTAAATAATCAGCTGTAATACTTGCAGCGCACTTTCATGAATCCAACCCCCTTCACACATCACTGACGTATTTCGCTGTCCTCCATCATGCGGCCTTGGACCAAGCATCACAAGGAAGCTTAGTAGTTACAGTCCATAAATTTCATCCGCGTCCTACAATACCGCCATATGCATTATCCTGGGAGATACTCGAAATGCTGACCCTATCCGTCTAGCGCCTCTGCATATTGATTCATCTACATCGTTCAAGCAGCAGCGGTCGCAGCGCACACTCAAGTAGTAGAGTACCATTTCTACAGGCTCAACGAGGACGTCAAAATGCTGCTCGCAGCGATAAACTCGCTACTACACGCGCGACAATCGAACTCCTGTAGACGCAGATGGAGCTTCCTCTTGTCAGATGCAACCAAACTACTTGATCACCACTGCTGTGGTTAAGGTGCGCAATGATCCGGCTTCCGCCTATTAATTGATGACCTGACAGGAGGCGCCTCGAGGCACGGCGACCGTCTTCTCACATGGGTTCGCTAAGACCGCTTGCGTCTGCCATTGCCCATTGCTCGTGCTCACCACCGCGCGGTACGTAAGCTCTGACAACTATCTCAAGCCAACCACAAGATCACAAAACCGACGAAACAGCGAAGCAGGAAACGTCCAAGTTTTAAAAGCTGCAGCTGAACGGGTAAGAAGCGGAAGATGAGGCGGCTTTTCGATGATTGCCGCTGTTTCGAAACGGCCGACGTGAAATTTTGTATTTGTATGACAAAATGTGACGGTTTTAGTCTCGACAACCTCTATGGTTTTCGTGAGTAGGGTTGGCGATTACAACAGCTTCAACAAACGCAAAAATTTCGATGTAATCTGCGTAATGTTTACATCAAACCCATGAAGTTGTAGTTATGGCTACCTTTTTGGTGTCGTCACGCTCGCGCATGTTTTCTATCTTCATGGAATATGAGCGCTGGTATTGCTCACTCTACCAACCCAACTTCGGTAACGATGCGAGTCAAGGTTTCCGAGAAAGCAGTTGCAGTGTTTTTGCCTGCAACAACACCTTTGTATTGATTTCTTTGTCTGCCATTGGAACTATTTCCGCTGAGGCTTTGTCTTGAGGTGTTAGTGGTGTTAGTGATGGTGCCTCTGCCCCGTAAATGGGCTATAATAGACGTAAACAACATATCTTACGTGGCGAGCCAGTGTTTACTTGAGAAATGTATGCTTCTAAAAACATGTTGTATGATTTCTGCACACCATCTCTCACGCATCTTGTCTACGTAATCCGAGCGGTTTAAAGTTAATCATTTTATGAGTACAATTATAACCAATAAGTAATATATTGATTAATAAAGTCATAATAAATGGCGGAATTTGCAAAACCAACAAAGAGCACTGAGGAAGTATCAACGGCAAGGCCTCAAAATAACATACGCGCAGAAGTTGTGTGCTGACGAAAATACACCTTCCATCTCATCCGCACGTCGGCAAAACACTCTATACGTTGTATTTCAAAGTCAAATACGCCGTCTGCTGCATTGAGTCATCGTGGCAAGTCCGTCTATCACTTGATAAAGAATCCCGAGAAAGCTCACACGTCTCGTGACCATCACTCGTGGTTTAGTCAGGTTGTATAAAAAGTGTGAATACTGTGATTTCAGTTTGTACACTAGTGAGAAAGACTTTCACTTGCAAATTGGCATTCAAGAGCAGTCATGGACCTTGCTATTCGTGTAAATGTACGCTATGCCGCCCCTGCCAACTCCCAGATTAAGGACGCTCTGCTACTTTTTAAAAGCGCACGCTGGGTACATTCCATCATTCGGCACATTATCCCGCAGCTTAATAGCGTCTCGCCTGCTTCCATGCGTCTTATGGAGACGATCAGGAGCAACATGGCCGACGTACGGCAGCAGCAAGACGAAGAATGTGCGGTCTGTGTTGTATGCATGGAAATGCTTTCATCCCCTTGTGCCGAGCTACCCACATGCTGTCATCAATTTCACAAACGCTGCATCGAGCCGTGGCTCAAGATGCACAGCACTTGCCCGACATGCCGAAACCAGCTTCCCACTGACACATACACGAGCTACAGTGTCTACGCTATTAACACCACTATTGTCTTACAGCAGTCCCAGTCTTGTTTGCCTGCTGCCGAATTGTTGGAGCTATCAGCTAGCAATCAGGTGATCCGAGCCATTGTAAATGCGCGAGTGAGGAGGAATGCAATTTCGACCGGATATCTGTCGCGTGATGTACCGGTTTTCCAGACGGAGCCCCCAATCATGAACGCGAGTGTGTTACAGCATGGCTCCGGCCTATCTGCAGTATTGCCACCTTGTATTAGTGAGCCCGTAGTACCAGTCATGCACCGAAATGCTTCTCGACGTCGTTCCCGAGAGCAGGAACCTATCCAGACGATTGACAAGCGACGGCGGCTGAGCGAGTCGACCGAGGACATTTCGACGTCGTGAGCCGTTGACATTTACAGCCCCATACGCCACACGAGCACCTTAATAAAATAGACATTGATATTTGGCAGAAACCACGGTCTAGCGGAACCTACACTAGTGATGCGTGCGATGCAAAAGTGTTTGCTGTTTGCAAAGTTTGCATTGCATTCCCATTAGTAAAAAGGAATTTTTGCCTTAGCTGCTTGCCATAGCTGCTGTTATTGAGACGCTTATTTAACGATAAACACACTTTACATCCCTTATGTTTGCCTTAAGATCCTCAATTAAGCTTGCAAAACTACTAGCGCACTCAAGTGGTCATTGTTTGTTTGGCCGTCTTCGCAGACTGTACTCACTGAGACAGCAACTCCGGTGTTAAGATCGACCGCATTGATAGCACTCGCATGAGCTCAAAAAGATCGGTTGTTGACTCGGCCTTTGCATCAGGAGGGTGTTCCACAATCCAATCAGCAATGCAATTGAATGGCGTGACAAGACTTGCGATCGCAGCCGGCAAACGGCACGGATGACACTTCTTATCTTGAAAGTGGCTCACGATAAACATCACCACGCAAACAACATGCAGCAACATTACATAGCGGTCGTCTTCACCTCGATGCTCCACTGTCAGATCCTTATCGGCCATTAAACGGGAACCACTGGCACACGCGACAGGCAGAAGGAACGTCAATGCACGAAACCACTCAAGAGCGTTAGGCACACCTGACGTCTGTAACGCGCCTGTGCTTTCGTTTCCACCACGAATCAAAATAAGATTAATTAAGATACCGAGGCATAGCGTCAGAGTTGAGACGTTGGCAAACTCAGTATTTCCATCGGCAATGTCAGCACAAGTTGTGCAGCAAAACTGCATCAAACGCCGCAAAACATCAACGTTTTCAGACATGATGGAGGCGCCGTCGGGCAGCGCACTGAGCTGAAGCAAGCCTGGCAGAAGGAAGTGCAGTTGATCGATACTACTATCTGTCTTGTGAATCACGGCCGCTTGTTGCATCATTTGAGAAACAGCATCTACTTCGTCATCCGAATCGATCTCGTCGTCTGAATCAACAATCTGGCTGCTCTCAGACTTATAACACTGGGTCGCATCTTGGGCGACCCAGGCCAATAACGGTTTGTAGCACACCATAAACGGTACCAACTGAATCACCAAATCCATACTTGTATCGGAATTCTCAGCGATCCAGGCACTCACAATACGTATACTAGCGCAGATTACAGCGTCCAGATGATAGACCGATTCTGCGTGCGATTCACGGAGCTCACGATAGCGTTGGGTCTGAACGTAATCGCGAACTAGCGTCAGCAGCTCGAGCACCACCACAAATATCTGGTTGAAAGTACCCTTCATCTCCAGCAAAATGTCGTACGGAAGAACAAGCTCGCTGTCGTAGTTGGAAACTAGACCACTAATAACCATTTCCACGATGCCATAGCAAATAGGCAACAGTGCAAGTACGCGTTTGATCTCCTTTGTACGCCTCATCGTCTCTTCTATAGACTCGACCTTGCTCTCATCGATTTGAACCAGCGACACCTCCACCTCATCCAACATAATCTTAATCTGCATAAAGCCAAGCCATTAACACTTTGGTACATCTTAACACACAAAAACCAAGTCAACTAGGTACCTCAATCGACACGAGTTTCAGTAGGAACAAAATAAATTTGCCATCAGACACTTCCTCGGGTGGAGCTTGGCTGCGAAGTGTAGTACCCGGCAGCATCCATGCTGTACCTGAGTGCTGCATTAGCTGAAAGATCAGTCGCAAACACTCATCTCGCTCCTGGTGGGGCCACTTTGCGCGAAGAAATCGCAGCACACCTGTCCGAATATCAGAAAGGCACTGAGAGCTTAAAAGTTCCGCTGGTGCTCCGCCAATCTCAATTAGCCTCATATAGCTGTTCAAAATGGACAGGACTTGGACTGCAATATTACCCCGCACGCGAGAAAAGTTGGAGCAAATGAACTCAAAGTCATAGCTGTGAATACGTGTCCAAAGCTCTGGCTTACTAGCCATCTCACCGACTATACCCCAAAGATTCCCCAAAAGCGCATCTAGTTGCTCTTCTTGCTCTGCCGACTTGCATTCTGCAGCGAGGTCTCGATTTGAGCGCGATCGGCTTAGCTTCTTCATTGTGCTAAAAAAGCGTCCAAGAACGCTTCCATGGATCATGACCTAAGCAGGAGCACAGACATGACCGCTCAAGCACCACTCAAGAGCTTCTAGTCATTGATCTAGTTGCCGCACCTGCTGGCCTTTTTCCGTTTGACTAAAGCCTGAGAGGATACAAATGCAGTCCATAAAGGATTCATATGGAGTCGACTGCAATACCAACTGCTCCAACAGAAATCTCACTAGCTTCTCCTGTGCGAATTTCGTAGCCACAATTGGGTCCACGCAGAAGCTATCAGTTCATTTCGCATACGCCACAGAACATTAGTCGTAGTCTATATAAAACAATAGAACCTACGGCTAAACAATTCAAATCACGTGTTACCTTGCTATTAAATTCAGTCCGAGGCTCTGGAAGGACGAGAGCGTCTCAACATCGTCGGGACCTGCAGCACCGAAACGATCATAATCAGTGTGAGGTTATCTAAATACATCAAAATCATCAATGTAGGCTATAATGACACCTTTTTTGTGCAAAAGACGCATAAAGAAGCTCACACCAACGGTCGTAAGCACCTCTCGCCGAACCTGCAAATATTGCTCGGCAGGCAAGTCACCAAGCTTCGTAATCATAAGTAGACCGGCAATCTTATGCTCATCAGTTGTACCTGAAAGCATTTTCAAGCACTGTGCAATCTTTTCCTCGACTGCTGTAGAATTATTGACTGCCATGGGAACGCTCGCGGTCTCTGCTGCCATTTTCGTTGGGGACCAATGCAATAATGGTGTCAATAACACAACATTTCTAATAATACAAAAATAATTTATTGCTAATTAGCATTTTGTTAATTTAGCCAAATAGCTGTTAACTTCCACAATTCTTACATAAACTTCTCTTTGTATTTAAGTCAACATAAAAGAGACCTCAAGTATAGTCACATTGAAGATCAGATCGGTCGTGTGACAAAGTCATGCCAATCTCTTGCAAACGTGCAAGAAGCACCGCGCTCTTTCTGCTGCTCAAATTCCTGCTTTGCTTGTACACAACTCCGCCTCTTGCTGCAAAAAACGCTGCTTTTGCTATCTTCCTTGTACAGCAGCTCACGCTGCCGACGCTCCTCCGCTCAGTGGCAAGGTATTACCAAGACGGATACATTGCACCCTCTGCATTCCAACACAACGACGCACTTTCTAGGTCAAGAGAAAACTCACACTTCGTTTTATGGAGCCACTTGACATTTTTGTGGAGCAGAAGACCAATGACTTAAGTGATCAGGTCAGAGGTTTTGTCATTATATTGAAATGAACGCCATAATATTGCCAAAATTCAATAGGATCACTAGTTATCACTCGCTCCGTGGTGTCAAACCATACTTGACCAATCTACATTGTTAGCGCCTTCTTCAAATTTTGTGTATCTCGTGTACAAAATGATGGCGATTCAAGCTCAAAAAAGTCCATTGCACTGTCCGTAAAGTTCAGTGAAATGAGCTGTTTTGAACTCGAATTATCAAGCCCGAATAGACAATATTTCTGAGATATCTCTAGAAGAATGTGCTGCACCAAATGTTTGTTGTCATACTACTGTATATCAGTTATTGCTCACCCCAACATTGTAGAAAAACTCGATTTAATGAAGCAAGAACAAACGCATCAGCGTAGCAGTCGTCATGGACTTTTCAAATGTACCGTTTTTATCTTAATCGTCATAGTAGTGATTACTTTGCAAGCAAAAAGTCTCAAGCCGTCATCGTTTGCATCAATCCGAGTCCTTAGCTTTAGCCGTGATCGAGGAGACATGTTTTGGAACGTCTTTTGTCAGTGACAATGGATGAAATACTGAGCAAACCAAATGCAAATACGGTTTCAACCAATCATGTCATTTACTCAAATAAACCTTCTATGGGTGAAATAAAAAGACATTGTCTGAATTCTTGCACTGTTCGTTTTTCTTGTCCGTTTTATATATGAGTCAGTCAGTGCAATCTGAATTGACGAGGTTTGGAACAGTCATACTTGCTGCTAGCTTACCCCCGAAAAAAAAAACGCCTCTTTTACTGCTAAACATGCCTTAAAAAACGCCTATGCGCTGAGCACCCAATTGTTAACAATTCTAAGTCTAGGTCATCAAAAGCTGAGTACAAGCTGGTGGCAAACTCTGCCGTCTGGTTTGGCGGTGCCGTTTCAATGTTTCTAAGCGACGCCAAGTGTCCTTCTCTAGTCGAGGATAGGGGATTCAAATTTTCCGTACCTCTTGGTTTGACTATGAGACAGAAAAGAAAATATATAATGTCAGTGGAATTATTGCTCTGAGCTTGGGCGCACAATGTCGTCTTATTGCGAAATATTGCTACTACTCTACCATCGTGAGCATTTCCAGTTTTGCTATTAGCCGTCGTCCTCGAGGAGTAGAGAAGACGTTGCATTTCTTATACAATGAAGTGCATTTGTGTGTTGGCTTTGTTTGCCGCTACCCTTGCAAGTGGCAATGCTGCAAAAGACGATCCTGCTTACTTATGCGACTCGGATTCATACTGCGATGAGAAGTTTCCGGGCACAGTTTGTATCTCGGTAAATAACTACGGTGATGTTGTCTCTAAGTGCACGCCCAACACACCGAAGCGTCCGGCTTGCCGTGGCGCGCAGCCTGGTCTATGTCCATCGTACCAGAGTGCCGATATTGGCTACCTTAACGCACATTGCGTGTTTGTGTCGGAAGAGAACCTGTCCTTGTCCTCGAGTGGCTCGGGCTCAGGTCGTCGTCGCCTCATGAGTGCTGCCACAAACGTCTCTTTGGCAAAGGCTAGCGGAAGCGAGGATTTATCTTCGGTCGAGTCTTCAAGCTCAGGATCTTTTTCAATGGACTCCACCGACGTTGGCAGTGGGGACACGACGGCCACCGTGAGTGGTAGTGGTGCTACTAGCATGTTTTCGATTACGATTGACGGAGAGGAGGTAAGCGGTCAGTTTATTTGTCTGGACGTTTCTGATTGTCCCAATAAGGCTGCCGACCCCAGCACGTGCGAACCAACAACGTGCCAAGCGCCTACTTCGAAGGAAGTGTGCACCTATCACGGCACCTGCACGTACAAAGATAAGAAGAAGATTACTAAGCGCTCCTGCATGTGCTACGCTGGATTTGAGGGTGAAAAGTGTGAGAAGGAGGTTTCCAATGCGTGTGATGTTGACTGCGGCACGGGTGGTGATTGCGTGGATGGTGAATGTGTGTGCAAGGAAGGATTTGACGGTAAAGAGTATGAAGGTAAGAAGGGCAAGCCGAACCAGCGTTGCACTCTCTGTACGAACGACCTTGCGTGTCAAAACGGTAATACTTGCAACACCGAGACTGGCAAATGCCTTTGTGGCCCTGGATTCACTGGAGACACGTGCGGTGCGACTGAAGACTCGTGTACAACTCGTACGGACTGCGGCGTTGGAGCTTGCCAGGTGTTGGCCAACGGATCGTCAGCATGCTTCTGCCCCACGTGCAATCCGACGTGCTTGCTTTGCGATATGGGCATTGACTCCACTTTTGATTGCTCGACTTGTGCAACCGATGCCGCTACGTCTACGCAATCTTCCAAGCTTCTTGTGTTCGTCTCGGCTATTGTCGCGATCATGCTTGCGAACTTGGCTCTATAAAAGAGAATTTACTTAGATAGCAGTACCAGCCCGCCATGAAAAAGTTGCTGCTTTGCGCTCTAATTACAAATATGGTCATTTACTTACATCACTTGTCTTAGCGCACTGTGCGCCGACCGTTTTGGCGCCGTTCACCATATACAAGAGGTTGACATGTCTGCTTTAGTGAACGGAAAACTGATATCATCTTAGCGGTTTCTGACAGCCAAGAAACGTGATTCATTCGTGGAAATACGTTTGGTATATATTTCGGCCAACACATATTCCTCTGTCTTTCCCTTGTGGCGTGATGAATTCTTACCACTGCGTTCAGAAAAGCTGCTTTGACAAAGTCTATGTTCCACTTTACAGACAAAAAAACGATGTCGCTCGTTTAGCAAGGTAAAATCTCCTAAAGCGCGGCATCATGTTTCTCGGATTAATCCACAAACTTGCACTCGTATTTACGGAGCTAGGCTGTCGGCAAGAACCTTGATGGTGTCGAGCGAGCCTTCTAGTGCCTCCTTGAACTTCTTGCCATCGGACACACCACTATCTTTGTAGTTCGTGAGGGTGATATTAATGCTCTTGTTATGGAGCAAGTAGCCCACGCCATAACCGTGCGGCACCACCGCGCCAAATGAAAAGTATTGTAGAAATGGCATGGTCACATTGCTTGAGGATATCAGGAAATTTGAACTTTCGGCGCGCACAGGGCTCGCCAAGAAGTTGCTAAAAATATCATTCTGGCTGGCAATGGAATTCAACGCAGTCAAGTGGCGATCCACACCCATCCCCTTTTGCGCCATCTTAGCCATCTCTACGTGATGATTTGCTGCTGCCACCAGTAGTTCGCGCTGTGTCTTAGCTGCAGCACCGGTCTCGACAGCCCTAACAAAAGCTTCTACCGCAGGAGTGGCTGAGCGAATTGTTTCTGTGCGTCCATGGTGGAAAGCGCGCGTCGAACACGACTCGTAGGTGGGAGCAATCTTGCCGTGTGCGCGGTAAAACGCCAATTGAACTGCCATTTGAGCAACACCATCCGGGCTAAGCTTCCACTGCTTGCAATTATTTTTGGCAAAATTGTCGTACACCAGGTATTCCAAGTTTAGATTACCCGCAAATTCTGCAAAATGGTGCTCTGCCTTTCTGACATCTTCCACCAAGTTATGTGAAAGTTTCCAGCTAAGCTGAGCTGGCTTCGGAGCACTATTATACTCCGGCATCTCCTTAAGCGGTGCGAAACCCGAGTCAGATTCGCGCATGTCGTGCCAGCATTCGTGCAACCAACGATTCCAGACTGTGCCGTCCGAGAATGAATGCTCAAAGTTGACAGTCACGTGACCGTCTGGCTGCACCATTACCTGCAGCTTGTCAAACCAGCGTTGAGATCCCTCTCCATGCAAGGACAATTTTATACGCTGCTTCATATCGGTAGGGTTTCGATCCTCTAGCACCAGCATAAACAATGCCGTGTCAATCGCCTCAAGCGTCTCGGCATTTGCGGGGTGGTGCGCAACAAGATCGTCGCGGATCTGAGCCCACGTGTTGCGCTCTTCAGCAGTGAGTGTGGATACATCCAAGTCATCGTGATTGCCCTTGGACGACGAGTTTAGAATGAAATCTAGTTGCGCCTCCAGCTGTCTCTGAGACAGTAGCTGGTTGCCATCAGGACTGAGCACATTCAACTTGTAAAACTGATTGCTCTTCATTACCACAATATGCGTCGCGCACGGGCAAGAACTTAGTACATCCATTCCTTTTTTCGGAACTTTAGCCGTACCATATTGGCGGGCAAAACCTGCCATGCACTGATTCTTGTCCTGCTCGAGCTCGCTATTCTTCACCTTGGCCCACCACTTGACCATGGAGCGAACAAAAGCGGCACTACGAGGCACCATACCGTCAAGGTTGCCATCCGTCTCATCCAAAAGACCGTATGAAGGGTTGACGTTGATTGGGCTTGGGTAGCGTCCACCGAGATACATTTCGTCCCAGTCCATCTCGATATAGCTGAACGGGTAGGAACGGCCCATGACATGCTTCAGCTCGCGTTTAAGTAAAAGATCTTGCAGCTTGCGGCCCTCAGCGTCCAGAAAAGTCTTGGCCAAATCAGCATGTTCCTCCCAGTTTGAGGTGTTCAATAGCGGCCGAACACTATCCAGATAGCGCTCCACCGTCTCCTTGAGTTGCGGTACCGGCAGACGAGGCAGGTTGTACTCATTAGTGTACAGCATACGATTGAACCATCCAGGATGTTGCGTTCCAGCAGCGGAACATAGCGCCCGATCATGAGCATGAACTTGACTCACCAATGTTCTCAACGATGTTGACAGGCGCATCATCTTAAACAGGTTAAGTACGACGTGAGCAAATTACGTAATACATACTGAAGCTATATTGCAACAAAGTGGATACCGGTACTAACCGTTAGAATCGAAAAATACCGACAAGAAGTTGAATCTGAGTGCTTATGTTGACACGCCTTGTGTCATCCGAGTGATGCAATGCTTTCGTTCTTGCGACGTTGAAACATTAGTTGCTTCTGCTGCTTCCTTTACTCTGTGCCATCGGCTAACAGGCTAGCAAGCGCGACAATAAAGTGATGGTCTAACGTCCTGATCATCGTGACGTTCAAGTGTGTTTTGCCAGTCACCATGATACAAACGAACCTATTCGTGTTAACATGTAGAAGAAAGTAACAAATCGTTCGGTAATGAGCTAGAAACTCTGGTGCTGCAGCTTGCATTGTTGCGTCTCCGTCAGCGTCACGATGAGACTATCGCATCAAAGTCTCAAATGCCTTTGTGGTTGTTGTTGGTCTAGCCTCACAGCAACAATATCGACGAAGGCATTTGCTCAGACAGCCGCAATTATCTTCAACAAGTATCTTTTCGGTCTCATTAGCCCAGCATTTTTATAAAGCGATCAAACTGTTAAGCAAATTGCTAACTTCAAATAGTTTCAGCCAATCACATTGTACTATCAGTACATTGGTTAAAAAAATACCTCTAGATCCCAGCCAGCGCTTTTTCCACCTTTTTTTACAAGGGAATCCCAAACTCGTGTGTATGTGTGCCATCAATCATTGTATTAGACATGAATAATATAACTAATTGTAGTAGTAGCTCAATGTAGTATTCGATAAATTGCTGCACTAACTAAATGCTTTGCTTGTGTATTTGCTATTACTGTAGACAGAAGATCGACCAATTTTTGACAACTTCTCAGTTATCATGAGTACTAAAGTGCAAAAGTTAATGACTCAGCCCATTAATCTGATGTTCAGATTCTTGCAAAATGTACGAGGATTTGGAGCTTTTTTATTTGTAAAGCTACCATTATCTTCTAATATTGTGTATGACTGTGTACAGAAAGCACGTATCCAAGTTTGGCTTTACGAGCAGGTGAACACGCGGATTGAGGGCCGGATCATGGGTTTTGATGAGTACATGAACCTAGTACTGGATGACGCCGAGGAATTGGACGTGAAGCATCTAAAGCGTACGCCATTGGGTCGCATCTTGCTAAAGGGAGACACCATTACGCTCATGATGGCCGTCGATGCGACAAACGGATCCAAGTAGCAAACCCACGTAGCCAGTAACTATCTGTCCAGCCACGCACAGGAATTCTTTGGTTGTTCTGGAACATACTGCCATTCCGAATCTTCTTTCACCAATGTGAACAACTTCCGTGGCAAAAAATGTTACTTCTTCAAGCTGCCTTTAACAGGTGAGAAGGATACCGTGAAAATGCAGATATGATTGCGTTGTTGTTTGCTCTAGGACACACTGTAGGCATTCTTGAAATGGGTCAAGAGACCGCTGCCGTCAAAACTTAGCTCGGTCACCTCGTTAAAGCTCTTCACGAACATGTCAACGTCTTCCACGACACTGTAACAAAAACATGACGAAAAATCCACGTTACTATAGAGTCCATGGACACGAAGAGGGACACTAAACCACACACCGTTTCTTGCCTGCTGCTGTTTGAGGCCGCACCAGTTTGAAGCATTCAGGCAGCTTCTGAGTGAACATATCGAACACACGCGACATGATGTCCTTCATCTGTGGCGGCGAAAGAATGGGATGTAACACTGCATGAAACTTGAGTGTGTTCTGCGTAATGCCGCGCATCGGGTTCGTTGGGATCGCAAGACTGGCAAAATCGTAATTGACCTAAACAGAGCACGTGACAAGGGATATTAGCGGACACACAGTATTGCAACTTTTGCCCGACGAACCTCAGTCGCAACGTTCTCCAGAAAACGATTCATGATCTGGTCTTCCACGATGCCGGTCAACTTGCTATATATTTTCTCATTGTGCTCAGCAAAGTCGCGTAGCACGCGGTCAAACTCATCTAATAGCAGCTTTTGGCGGTCAGTGAAATGCGCCGCAAGGGCAGCCTTAATGTGGGGAATGAGAGTCATAGACAGCTCCAATGATTGCAATGCCAGAGCTAGCCACACAAATTCCAACACACACTCTTGTCAGACTACACAGTATCCACAAAGGAGACTTGAAAATGCTTACCCAAATGCCGGGCAGAAATGCTCTTAAGTCGAGCAATTTGCATTGCCCCAGCACCCAGAACAAGCTGGGTAGTTCGGGAATTGAATAACTGATTCAGCAAAAAGCGCATTGGTTAGTCTGCATTTCAACGCGAAAGCACAAGTGGAAAAGCCGAAGACGAACCCTAAAAATCTCAATAGATCGCTGAAGAACATCGGTTGCTAATACAGGAAAATTGGCAGCGCAAGACATGTAGGTCATCACTATCTCCAACATGAGAAGCACCGACCATACAACTCGGAACGATTTACCGCAAACTGACACCATCTTGCGCGGTGGAGTAGTTTCGCCAGCAATCTCTCGGTCGTCAGAAAGCAGCAGAAAAACGCCCCTTCCACTAGCAAGATCATCAAGCGACTTGTGGCGTGTCTCGGAGATCTCGGAGTTTTTCCACAGCTCATGATCTAACGTTGACACCAGCTTCGCTATTTGTGTTTGGTGATACTTCTTCAAAAATAGCTTCAACTGAGAGAATAAAGCGCCACGAAGAGTGTAGTCTGTCTTGCCGGTAAGCTTTTCAATATTGACAACGAAATCCATTGTAGTGTCGTACAGATTACGCAACTGAGGCATCGTGTATATAGCCTGAACCTCTTTTCTTACAGCAAACAGGTTTGATACACTACGCTGAGAAAACTCACAAGTTTTGCGCACAACGTCGTCAATTTCTCGAATCACTTTACCACACCGCGTTTCCATTTTCCGATCACCAACTTTACGCTCATCGCTGTCATTTTTGGAGGCTGAACATTCTTCGGATGATGTTCCTTCTGTAGCCTTTGAATCTTGCGTACCATTACTATACGCTTCATCCTTCGCTCTCTTCTCTTTCTTTGATTCGTCAGTTTTCTTTTGCATAGATTTCACCAAGATGCCCTGGACAATCACAGCACGCTTCAACACCATTATCAAGTGCTCAAAGATCATCTGCACGCACTGGAGAAATTCGTCGGATGTCAAAGCTCGGAGCTGAAGCGACATTTTCGATTCACTTCCAGGTGATGTCCCCCGATCAGCCGAACCGCTGCTACGCTTGCTACCATACGAGACTGCGATCGTTTCAGTAACCACCGTTTTCACGATAACCCGAATTTCCTCGTTCAACTGGTCAAGATATATCTTTATAGTGCTGTCTAGTACATCCAATCGGAAGAGCACGTCTACGAGACATGCAGTCTCTAGTATCACATTGCCTTTCTCGTCCCCAACACTTTCCTGGCTTTCTTCACAAAAGTCGTCGTCTTCATCTTGAAGCGTCCACTCGGAAGACGTAATAACCGAGATAAAACGCTGCGATATCTGTCTACTGATGAAGTCTCGGTAACCACGAAACTTCTCGCTAAGCAAACTAAGCCCATGAATTCCTTGTAAATGTTCCCTCAAAATTGCCTGCGAGCTTTCAATCAAGTCTAAGGCGTTCGTGTAATCTTGGCACTGTACTAAAGCCTCGACAGCAGACTCGGCACTCTTAACCTCCTCAATCATCGTAGCTAAATTATGAAGCTCCTTGATCTGTTTCTGACGTCGGTGCAGGCTCACAATATCAAGAGTTTTATCTGCAAGAAAGCTTCGCAAGCGATCCATTGTTTTTCTAAAAGTTATTCGCATTTCAAAGCGTCTATTAGCGAAAGATATAACACGAAAGATGAATAAAATCACTGTCCCAGCAATCGACCACCAACCTTAGCGTTGCTACTTGGTCACAAGCATCTTGTATTGACTGTTTCATGACCTCCTGGTCTGCCGATGCCTTAAAAAATTGATCAGAGCGAGACGATACCTGGCGAAGAAGTGCCAATTCTACTCGATCCAAGTATGCCGTCAGCTTCACATTTACCAAAATTGCTTGCTCACGTCAGTCATTATACAGCACAATGCAGACAATTATACAATCAAACCCACCTCTTCTTGGAGAGACGTAACGTTTGGCAGGCTCATCACCTCTTCAAATGTATTAGGATCCGTTAGGTCAAACGTTGGCCGAAAGAACAAGTTTGGTATAGCCTCTAGACACTTGGTCACGTCCTCTGCAACACCAATTAGCAAGTTACCGGTCAGACTAATAAATGATTGAGACCATATCAAGCCCAATGCTTTTAGCATTTTATGCTACATGTGAATTGAAAAGCTACGTTACCATTCGCAACGAAAATCGACGGCACATTGCTTGATGAAAGCTGCTCGCTGACCGGCTTCTCATGATTTTCTTCATACTTGGCAGCATTTGCACCAAAATTGCGCAAATATGGCTGAAAGTCGAGCGTTGAAATATCCGCTAATCCTGGAAACGGTGCCAATGCAATGTCGGCATCTAGCGTAGGATAAAAAGCTTCCAGCAGAGCATCGCCCCAATTGTTGGCCTTAGGATTGGTCAGCACCGAGTGTAAATTATGGTGAAACATTGATACATAAGCTTCATCTTCCACACTTTCACCTTCATTTTCCCCACGCTTAAACGACGCTTTACTCCTCATTACTGCAGTCCTCGTTGACGTGCTCCAAGATTCAATCCTGCTGCCGCTCTCACGCGCTGACTGTGGCATACGCAGATTTATATCCTGTTTGTGACCTAGAACTTTGGACCCGTCTGCAGAACGGGTAGAGCTTGGACCTCGTACGTCAAAAAGACTAGGATATTCTGTGGGACTGGGCAACGTCATACTATTTGTGGGCGTTGCAGCCATAGAGTGAGGCGTGGCCACAGCAACCATCGATTCCTTGAGTGAATTTGGTGACCTCTTGATGCCTTTCCATTCATGCTTTGGCAGCTTATGGGGTGATAATGCAGACTTCTTAGCGCCGTCTTGCCGCTGCTTCATTTTCGGTCTGCAAGGTCAGACGTTTAATATTTGAGATAACCGCCACGTCAACAATGTTGTCTGAATGTGACGTTGGTAAAACATGTTTCAAGATGCGAAATGTGGCATATGTTAAAAAAGCAGCAATTAAGAGTATCTGGTTAAGTAATTGAAAACGCAATAGCATGGTGGTTTTTGTTCACATAACTGATGAGACCATTGGTGCTTGTAACGATGACGATATGGGTTAAAGTGGTGGATTAAATTGGACCTATATGGTTGCAATCAGAGAGAGAGCCATTGCTATCGTATCGTACATCTTATAAAGGTTTGTAGTCAGCCCGCATGCAGCTAATACTGCTACAGTATCCTTGGTTGATTTACAACCATTAAGCACCATATCCAGCTTAAGATCGTATGCATTGGCGACAAGAATCTTCAGCAAGGGCCAAGTAAAAGCTTTATCCTTTTTCCATCTACACAATATCTAGTTTGTCAGATTTAGAGTCTTTTAATGCTGTCTAGATTGCTGCAATATAGTGCCACCGAATGTGATAATTAGCAGTTGGCAACGCAAACGTCACTCAAAAGAAGACGTGACGCTTTTTATATCGACATGGTCGACCACACGTGACGCGATGATGATCGGGTATCATCGATACCACGGAGGCTATGCTTGAGCAAAGGAATACGATACTCTGCTAATTCAAAGAGATCAGTCTACAAGCACAGACATTGCTACCACTGTCGCAACTCTAGTTCATATATCCGTCTATAAATAAGACCACAATCTATTCAATTCAAGATCGAAGTTTGTTCGATCGACTCGAGTTGTAACACCGATTAACTTGAGGCATTCTTCACTCATCCTAAAACTTGCGTGAGTTGTACAAAGTGATGGTCTGGTTGATGGACATGTCCAATCAGACAGCTCATTTAGGCAAACCACAGTTCGAATATTAATTTCTTGCTGACTGCGGCGACCTGTGTTCCGACGCAAGGATCATGTCAAGAAGATTTGGGGTGGAATGACCGACTCAAATGAGTAAGGTGGATTTGCAATTTTTATCTTCTGCATAGGTAGAAGCATTAGAGATTTACCAGTTGATTTAGCTGCTGCTCTTGGGCTAAGCCTAACTTACGGATGAATACCTGCATGGGATATCGTATAATATGATGGCACGGTAGATGTCTTCACCAATCTTAAGCTACAGCACGCTACTACAACAGGGATCAGGCGGATCGTGCGGATGCGCTTCGGACCGCCACGTCACACAATGAATCGATCATGTGGCAAGTGTTGTGGAAGTTTTGTTCATGACTCATGCATACACGTTTAACCGAAGCTCCGTGCCATGCAGCTTTTCATCATATGTCTTGACTGGGTGGTGATGTTGTAGTTGAACTCGTTGCGTAACGCAGTTGGACTCACTCTTATTTCTGCCACAACTGTTTCAATCCAATTGAAGTTTTTACTAAATCGCCTATACCATTATGCAATCAACCTAACTGCACAATTTGCATAGACTTCTAACGAGTTTTACAGTACACCAATCCCTCTTGCTCCGACTGATGTTGCAAGTTAAGAAGCATGTATCCGAGCTTACGAAAATTCCTAGGTCGTTAACCATCTTAAAGCCCGTCGAGGACAAAAGATGGCGTTTTTAGACTGTCAGATTCTGAGAAAGAGCCGCCTCGCTGTTAAGGATTTTGGGACTTGTTCAAGTTCTATTTTAAAGAAATTAGAAGACATAATTGATCCAGTAGGCATCGAAACAGCTGGTGATGACGCACGCACTTATGGCGAACTGGAATGCATTTTCCCAGCTTTCTACCAGCGAATAAGAGTCAGAGAAAGTAAACGTACGGCCACGATGAGCGACTGGCGATTAAAGAATACAGCAACGTCAGTCTATCATTTCTACTAAAAACCTCAAGTAATTGTATCATCGTCTATTCTTATTGTTACACGTTAAGGATATGGCACTTTGGGGCACACTGTGTCATCGTATGGGCGGTTCTGTGCCCACAGACTCGAGCGAGTTTGTGAAGGAGTTTTTCGACAAGACGCCTGAGGATCCACAATGGAAACTTGGTGTTGTTCAGAAGGAAACAGAGAAATTTATTGCCGCGCAACTGGCTGAAAAGCGTCGCGGTATTGCACTCATTACGTCTGGTGCTACGATTGTCCCTTTAGATCCCAAGAACGATACGTTTGTAGACGCTGCACCGCAAATGCAAGAGCAACAAGGTCCTGCCTGTGCTGAGTATTTTCTACAACTGGGCTACGCTGTTATTTTTGTACACCGAGAAGATTCACTGCGGCCCTTTACACGCCATTTCCACAAGTACATCCAGAACGGAGCTTTTATGGACATGTTTCGCTTGGAGGATATTGGACTAGTTCTCTCTGGCGTCGACATTCCGCAGCAGCTGCAGTTCCAGAAGGTTACGCAGCTTTACTCTGCTTACAATACCCGTGTGCTGCATTTGAGCTTTACATCTGTGCAACAATATTTAATGCTGACGCGGCTTACAGCAAAAGCCATGGAAGTTGCCAAGGATCGTGGGATTGTTGTGTTAGCTGCCACTCTGATGGACTTCTACGTTCCTGTGGACCGTTTAGCCACAACAACCGAAGCTTCGGATGTTACGGATAATGCATCGACGTCGTCATCGATATCGTTGTCGACGTCATCCTCATCGTCAAAGCAGAGCAAAACCAAGCACATAAAAAAGTTTGCGAAGAAAGCCGCCAAGAAGAAGAGTGATGAGTTCTCCGTCAATTTTGTACGTGTCCCAAACATAGTTCGAAGCATTCGTAAGGACTGGTGCCCCAAGGCTTTTATTGTTTCGTGCAAACATCAGCTTGCAAGTGGCGAGGCAATCGAGTGTGCACACAATGATTTGGAGAAGTGGGGTGTCGACGTGATTGCAGGATATCACCACGCGCGCGAAATCTTATTAATCACAGAGCAAGAGGAAGCCATTGTGACTTGCCCCGATGACGAGGACATAAACGACGCATTTGCATCTTCTATTGCAGACATGCATCGCAGCTTCCGTCGAAAACATGAAATTTTGTCTCGAGGCAAGCAGTTACTGTTACTTTCAGCTAAATTTGCGATGCTGAAGGAGAATGATGTTGTGAATGAAGATGCTGACGGAAACAAGAATGTACAGTTTGGTCCAGGTGTTAAAATTCGTGCTGATCGCCGAGCACCAGATGCTATCGCTCCCGTCTACGAGTTAAAACACATTTTTCAGAACAAAAGTCACTGTGCTCGAGCTCACGTTTGGGAAGGCGAGGTAAATTATGCTGGTGGCGAGTCAACGGGCGATGTGGTAGTGGCGTTTAGCCCCGCAGGTAATCCTGAAACAATTCGTGATGTGTGGGGGGGACTTTTGGTCGGGCTGGGCTGAGGACGAGCTGCAGGAGTTTAAGACGGAGATGAAGGGCATTTCATTTTCATCGGCTATCAACCTTGTGACCTCATCGGTCTCAGGCGACTATGAACCTGCCTCACAACTTTTGAAGTTTATGTGGAGTAAAATTGGAAATGCCTGGTCGGATGGTGAGAAGACGCGTATTCGTCAAAGCATTCAAAACATGATGGCTGTGGCATTGGACCGCGGACTAACAGAACCGGCTGGAATTTCAATCTTGGAAAAGCTAATGCGCAAACCACGAATCCAGCGCTTTGACTCGTTGGTGCTGGATGAATCGACAGCTGTGCCAGTACACGCGCAGACTCACACCCGACGCCGCGATCGAGACAGTGATACGGATAGTACAGGGTCTGTAGAAATCAATCCTGTGCGATTGAGCAAGGCTCGTGTCGTCCGCGTACACCGCGCTATTTATGATTACATGCAGGACATGATCAAGGAAGGACTACTCGTTACTGTTTTGAAGTATGTCGAGCAGGGCGTGCCTGTGCACGTTACTGGCTACAGCATGGGAGGAATGCTTGGTCAGATTATGATGTTGTATTTGGGTGATCATGCGCGTATGAATGGTTGGGACGCAAGCAAGATTAATTTCGTGGGCTTTGGCTCTCCTCGCGTGGGAGACATTGGTTTTGCCGCTCGGCTGCGCGTACTCTTCGACCCGCAGCAGTTACTGATTGTTATGCACCCGTCAGATGTAGTGCATGCCTTCCCTCCCACGGCTGAGGGATATGTGGACGCCTGTATTAAGATCTTCCTTCGCGAGCATGGAATGGGTGTTGGCCGACGTACACCTGGTCATTTTTCACTTCTACCTATTACAAAATCTATTGACCGTGCTTTCGAACATGCGCAAAAAGCCCACGAGCACGGTAAGGCAAACAAACCTGCGTGCTCGTTTTGTAAAAGCAAGGCGCACGTTGCAGCACAGCACCGGTGTCGGTATTGTATCGAGCGTGGATCGCACCGTGGTGCTGACTGCCCGAACCGCAGCAAACCGTGCCGGTTGTGTGGCAATGCTAATCATTGCACGGGCGGACACAAGTGTCGCGTTTGTCAGCATTACGGTCACCGCGGACGTGAATGTCATGCCCAGCGCGATGTGGGTTTTGCCGAGTTGCTTACCTATTTCCGTTATCATCACTTCCTGTACTACAATGCAAATCTCAAGAAGTCTGTCGAGTTTTCGTCGTAACCATTCCCTTAATGCCATCGCATCTCTGTCCAAGCTTCACTTGTTTAAAATGGTCGCAAGGCATTAGCAGCAGCGGTTGCAGAGGGAGGATAGATGGACCAGAGTGCTATGCGGCGATCTTTGGAGCACGAGATGAGCAGTGCGTTATTACTGCTAAAGTCCAATGCAAACACACTGTCGCTGTGATACTTGAGAACTGCGAGGGGTTTAAGCTTCCGCAAATGAAACACACGCACACGATGATCCCACCCAGCTGTAGCCACGATACGCTGATCTCCCCGAATACAAACACTGCTGAAGCCACCGTGGATGCAGGAGAAGAAAGATTGTGAACGGAGTGTGTACGCAGCTGCGTCAAAGTTTGCTTTGTACAGCTCGTCACCCGACGAGCCGCAGATGACCGACCGCCCGTCGTCAGTGACGTCGCAAGAAAGCACTAGGTTCACAAAACAACACGCGATTAGCATTTTTAGGTAAAGCAGATGGATGCGTGTCCATGCTGACGCGATTCCTACATGCGTTTGCACCCTGTGTAACAGTTGTCTCACAAGCTACCTTCCCGCCCGACCGCAAGTCCAGGATAATAAGTTGTCCACCTTCAAAGCCTGCACCGATGTATGTCTGTGCGCCACCGGCGCTATCCGTGCTTGTCGCAATGCTGCTATCAAAGAGCGATAGCGACATACACATACCTCTCTTCTTTGCAGCATCTGGCATAGAGAAAGTTAAGACTGGTGACGAGCTATTGACACGAATATCAAAGATAAGAAGCTGCGCAAGGAAGCATCAGCTGTAGTTAGACATTGAGCTCTAGCAAACAACGAGAAACAAGAGCCATGAAGAACCTCGTTGTTTACGCTGCTAGGGCACAGAACTAAGTTTGAGTTTGATGAAGCTTTACTTGGCCAGCGCAGCGTCGCAAACTTGGTAAACGAGTATGAACCGCAATAGAACTTGACTACTGGATCTGCTGCGGCATCAAAAGATTGTATGTCCCATAGCTTTACATATCCATCACGGCCTTGCGTGATGAACGTTTGCTCTGATGCACTGGGACCTTTCAGAGCGGCTACGTGCAACACACCAGCGTGCGAATGCGCAGCGACGTTAGTTGCGAGCTCCCGACGTGATTTCAGGTCCCAGATCTTCACGGCTCCATCACCAGCACCTGATACGACGGTTGAGATGGACAGAAAACTTATGCTATTGACTGAGGCACTGTGGCCCCGAAGGATGCCAAGCGGCTCTGGTGGATTAGTTGGCATTATGACAATGAGTAGTGAGTGTCTAGTTCTTTTCAAAAGGGTCAAACTTGAATTAGTTTAATAACATGAACTGTTGGAGCACGTTTTTGCAAAGGCGAGACTTTGTAGTACTGACTGAGTTATGTATATTGTGTCCGAAGCTTATGCAACTGTTTGACTTCGTTCTGCTACAATCTCGATCAGAAACGACCTAGAAAGTCCTGAAAGAATAGCGTCAGCTCCTCTTTTCCGCTTCATCGGCTTCCTGGTCGTTTAACAATTCCTGCCCTAGTTTCTTCACCACAGACTTGACATCTGAAGTCTGGAACACAACTTGACACATAGGCAACTGGTGACGCATGGCGTCCACAAGCTCAACTGCTTTCCGGCGACCAAGAAGTGGAGCCTAAAATATAGCAAATTTTAATTAAGCAAACGCAATACATGGGCAAGTGCCACAAGCATAACACCACGTACCATTTTCACAAAAGTTGTTGAAAAGCGCTCACACCAATCCGTTGACTGGAAAACTCTCTCGAGCTTTATTAACGGAGAAGGCGCTGGCTGTTCACCATTAAGTAACTTGCGCTCAGCTGCTTCCGCGAGTAGGTCATACACGAACAGAAGAACCTGCGTCGATGACAATTATATCCGAAGTGTAAGACATATTGCTCCAAACGATGCAACATAAATCATACCTTTAGCTGAAGCTGAGCAGGATGTGCATCAGTAAACAATTCTGCCAGAAGCTCTGGTCCGTCAAGAAGCAAAAATAGTCGTTGTCCACGCTCATTAGTTTTCACAATTGAGGACAAAGCGTAAACAGCCTTCTTCTTGACTTCCAAAACATCATCTGCTGATTCGACAGCATTTGGGACTTCCAGAGTTAACGAGTTGACTAACTTGGGCACCACCCCGGCGTCGATCGCCCACTCTTGACCGTCCTTGTAATTCTTAGCTGCAGACCCTGTCACCCATGCGGCGCGCGCTCGAACAGGTAAATTTGTCGAATTCAGATACTCGGCGATGATGCCAAATCCGCCAATGAAGTTAAATACGTGAGTCTTATCCAGATCCTGCACTTCCCACTCCAATACCTCAAGCACAGATAATTGGCCCTCCGTATCGCTATTATTCTCAGCCTCTTTAAATTGCTCCAGCAATTTGCCCAGATACTTTGCGTCATCCTGGAGTGACTCAAGGGCTTCTTTCAACTCATCTTGGCGTTTCTTCCACAGAGAAACGACCTGCTGGCGAAATTCTGCAGGCGACAACTTCTCACGTGCTTCATGAATATTCATGCCTTCAACCTTAGGCGGCTCAGGCAATGCCTGTAATACGTCATACATTTTCTCATGGTTCCAACTCGGCTCAAATGCTTCAGTGTCAGCTTTTTCTGCTTCTTCGTCGGCTGACTTTGTGCTTTCAGCCGCGTTGCTAAAACCTTCCTCATCGTTTACAATAAGCATGTCGTCATCCGACACAATTTCTCCTGAGATATCTGTAGACACCGTTATCATGGTATCCTCTGCATTAGGGTTAACGACTACCGATCGCATGGATTCGTGGGTGTCCTGCTCATTAGGATCCACCAGTTTTGCCTCACGCTTTCCCGTCTCGAGATTTAAACGCACGTGAAGTCCCTGTATTTACCAAAACAACCAACTTCAATTAGGCATTCAGTACACAAACATTATACTATAAAAAACATACCCGCGGTATACCCTGTCCAGGCAATAGCTCCTGCCAATTGTTCGTGGCAACAAACTCGGGCACTGTAACTTCGCTAGCATCCGGCTCTGACGCAGCAAATCGTACTGGGATCTTGTCACTCTCTTCATTAGAGGTGACAGAGAATGCACATGTAAGTAATGATGTAGCTGCTGTCAGCAGTAGAAATCTGCATACTCGTGAGCTTCTTGGTGACATTTTGATTGGCTTGGCAGAATCAAGAAATGACAACTGGTTGGTGCAACGTTATAGCAACATTATTTTGATTCGCATTCTGCATAATTTGCGCAACATCAATTGAATCGGATTAATGAACTACTACTTTTTTGCGTTTTGTTTGTATGGCAATATATTAATTATTACATCCGTAGTTGCTGAGACGAAACAAACTTGATTCCGCAGGCTACACATCTGCAGATAGACAACATTGATTAAAAATAGTCAGTATAGTTTTAGCGTGTCTATATGAGCAAAATCCACAGCAAAACGCACGGGTAATCGTCATCCATGGCGACAGCAGTCTGCAGACAGTAGTAACAGTACACGTGCTTGCACGACGTGATGTAAGGTGTCTGTGGCGGGGAAATGCCACAAAGGCAGCACTGCGAGGAGCGGTTGCTTGCTGCAGTTGGCAACTTTCCCTGCAGTGCCGCGCTCGTACGCAGGCAGCTCCACGTCAGAAGGGGCAAAAAGAAATTGCCAAAATCCTACAAGCCATCGAAAAGCAGGTCACTTCATGCAATGTACAACTTGATCCGACAAAATATTGCAATAACGCACCATCAGTCCGTTCCATAACAATTGGCGAGTCATGTACTCAAAATTAATCAACCGCGGGGCTGTTGACGGAGCAATGCTTTCCTGTAAGATATGTAAAAATCACACCGCTACTTTGTTAGCAAGCGTTAAAAGTTGAGATCAAATCTCACGTTACAAGTGTGTGTCTTACCAACTTCATCCCCAAGCATCTCTCAGGTAGAGACCGGTAAGTCCCCTTCTGCAAGAAGATGAGCAAATTGACAAGCTGAAGCGTGAGCACAAGCGTTTCCAGCCTCTTCATCATTACTAGAACTCGCTCTCGATACGATACATCGTTATCAGACGTATCACCACCAATGGGCACTCCTCGTACAGTCCACTGACCAGACGATAAGTAGCGAAACAACCGCTTCCAGACAAATGGCACCCCAATTGAAAGCATGAATAAGGCCCCTATACGTCTTCCAGTAAGCACATGTGGTGCATATTGGACGTTCTCCAGTTTCATACCAGGCGTTGGCTGCATGATATAAAGTCAGTAATCGACGCAGAACGTCAGTAATATAAACCTCTACACAGCTCTACAGCCAAATGCCTCATACCCTCCTAAGGCCCGTCGTGAATGCAAACAAAAGCGTCTGTAATGTCGCATCAATCTCTGCATCAAATCGGGTTACAAAACTAGGCTCAAACATGCTGAACATGCCTTTCAGTGGTGTCTTGAGAAGTCCCAGAATTTCCGAGTCCAGGATTAACGCGTCCCACTTGTTTACGCGGAGGTTATTCGAGGGACTACGCAAAGAATTATACGGAACACGTAGACTGTGGTCATTTTCGGGCGTGGACGAGAAGGTACTTGATAGGCTTTCTTGCAGCGCTGCTTTTGCTGTCTCCACGTGCGGCGGTTGCATTGTCAATGACATTTGCGTACCGGTATACCAAGGGCAGTAAGCATACCGGTAAATAAATACTGATTGCCATATGACAAACAAAATGCAAATTCTATTGTTGTTTATGGTAAGGTTGCAGCAAGTCATTCAGTGAAACTTAAGTACGAGAATAATCATGCGGTCTGTAGCGATAGCCATCCATTGCTTCCAAACTAGCCATTTCAATTAAAAGCAAATCTTTTGAGCAGGTAGACCAACACAAAGCCCCTTTGATGACTATGGCGTGTGCGAACATAGTTGCTAGAGCAAGGATCATGCATAAGAACGCTGGTTATTCCTGTGTTCAAAAGCATTGTTGCAAATGACAAAAAGTGAAAATACAAGGTTCGATCCAACTATAAATGAAGGACAATCTTCATCACCAAGTGCATGTGTTTAGCTTTAGTTTATGTCTTTATGAGAATTCCTAACTTTTGACATGGTACGCTTAAGAATCACCCTTATGGTAAGCATGAAAGATTTCATTACAATCACAAACAAGAGTAACGCAACCAATCTAGCATTACATCTTACCGATATAAAATCCGCAACCTCTGCTTGCATTTTGACCCAAACCATTTCTGGCAAGTGGTGTGATGTAATCAATTGACACAAAACCAAGTTGCTAAGTTACTTTCTATAGTATGAGTGGTGATATAATAAACACCGGTATCAAAGTTTGTCAGCACAAAAGAGCCAACTTGTTTAGCAGGTATAGTGTACTAGGATGCTTCTGAATATATTAAAGCTATTCCGAGAAATAATCGTCTATGATCGTTCACCACGAATACGACGAGCCAACTGAATGTCCTTGGGCATAATGGTTACACGCTTAGCGTGGATAGCACACAAGTTGGTGTCTTCAAACAGACCCACAAGGTAAGCTTCGGCAGCCTCCTGTAGGGCAAGCACAGCAGATCCCTGGAAGCGCAGATCCGTCTTAAAGTCTTGAGCAATTTCACGCACAAGACGTTGAAAGGGTAGCTTACGGATCAACAGCTCTGTCGATTTCTGGTAGCGACGAATCTCACGGAGAGCAACAGTACCAGGACGGTAACGGTGCGGTTTCTTTACTCCGCCCGTGGCAGGGGCAGACTTGCGAGCGGCTTTAGTAGCGAGCTGCTTACGCGGGGCTTTACCTCCGGTTGATTTACGAGCGGTTTGCTTGGTACGTGCCATTGTGAATTACTCTATTGTGGTAAAATCGAAGGAAATTAGAGAATGAGGTTGTGATATGAGCTTTTTGTTTTGTATTGAAAACCAACCATATAATGAACGTCACGGCAAATGGAGAGTTCCACCAATCATAAACAGATTGATTAGATATTTGACCAGTGAGTACGCCTTGTATGAATATTCCACCAATCATAGAAATGATGTAAGGACGCTACCACCTTGTCCAATGAAATATCAGAACACGGGGACATAATGGAGCGCTTGGCTGGACAACTTATGCGAGCAAAATGAGCGGGAAACTGCAGAGCAGCGTATCACCTAAATAGCTCATTCTGCAATCTTCCAAGCAAGAAACAAACCTTCGACTCAAGCAATCAAACAATCAAACATGTCTGGACGTGGCAAAGGTGGCAAAGGACTCGGCAAGGGCGGTGCTAAACGTCATCGCAAAGTCCTTCGTGACAACATCCAAGGCATCACCAAGCCTGCCATCCGTCGTCTTGCACGTCGTGGTGGTGTAAAACGTATCTCTGGTCTAATCTACGAGGAGACCCGCGGCGTTCTAAAAGTGTTCCTCGAGAATGTCATCCGTGATTCGGTAACCTACACAGAGCATGCTCGACGCAAAACGGTGACAGCCATGGATGTGGTGTACGCTCTCAAGCGTCAGGGTCGCACCTTATACGGCTTCGGTGGATAAGTGCATTATCGCTCGTCCGGATGTGAGCAGACTGTCTTGCCTGGCTTCACAATTTTTGCTTCTGGATTTTGGTGTCACTAGTGAATAAAGGGCGATATAATTCCGCTAAAGCTTTTATACTCTTGGTGTTTTTTAACACCACCCTTATCAAAGAAATGAGTATGTTAATCATTCAACATCTAGAAGACGCTGATACATATGTATAGGATTTGTTTGAGAAAACTGCATCTATTGGTATCGGTGAAGCAGTCTCTGTGTTGAGCTGCTACTAGGAATCGTAAGTAGTTAAAATAGATAATTAAATCTAAAAACAGGTCTGTGTTTGTGTCTTCTGTATCCAAACACACAATAGCACGGCTTTCTTCGCTTATTCTTGCATAGGCGGGTATTTAAACACACATTCAAGACCGAACGAAGTTATTCACATGCACAATACTTGACTACGACGTAGAGGGGTGATTTTGGTTCTGTCATTGTCATTGCACAACAACATTTACGCAGAAGAGATTGTTCGTGCTCTTGTCAAACGAGTCACATAGAGGTAATTAAACTTGTATCTGGCAAATGGAACTGTACGTATACAGTCATGCTTGGTGCAACACTAGTGAGAGGCAAACACTCACTGCGCACTGGTTCCATTGGCGGATTCACTACACTCATAGCAGTGTAGAGTTTGCTGAAGAGGTACAACATCTTAAGTTCTACCAAAAGGCCTTGAATCCAGTCAAACACGCTTCAAAGGAGCTCACCTGACTTTGTTCGTGATGGTAGCTAGAATCTGCATGGCTGGATCCATGACCCTTTGTTTCTATTTAGACTAGGGAAGTCAGTTATTGTATTTGCCTCGCAAATGAGTATTTGGTGATGAATTTGACGACGTTTCCATGACTGCAAACTGGTTTCCAAGTATGGATAGAACCAATTGTGACTGATGCTCTCAGAGGTCGAAATTCTTTCAGGCGCACGTTATATTTTTTAGCTAGTAAGTAGCTGGATCCTTTGTCTTGCTTTTGTGATTTTTTACATTGGTACACCACAACCAACTAATAAATTCCAACTTGTTTTACTTTCCTCCCAGCTTATTAATTGTACTGCGCGATTGCTTGTAGCAGGTCCTTCGATTCTTGCACAAAGTTGACAGGTTCTATGCTCACAACACCTGCCTTGACACGAAGTTCCTCCTGTACGTTTTCAGCTTTCACTCGAAGCCGGCACACATACTGCTTGAACAACGCTTCCTTAAAAGTTGACTCAAATAGTGCTAAGTTCGTGTCACGAAGTTCGCCAATTTCATCCGCGGTACGGCCGTTCATCACCACCTTACCTTGGTCATTGAAGCAGGTTGTCCATGTGCTGGCTGTGTGATCCAGCATCATCACCGAAAGAATATAGCGATTCTCGCAAGTGCTGTAGGAAGTTTGGCATTTCTCGCACGTGTAGTTCTGTGCTACATCAGCCACAACCTTCTTCTGGCACTTCGGACAAGCCTGGTAGTAAATGCCAGTATCATGCTTAATGAAGTTCACCGTTCCTTTCACAGTGATGTAATCGGGCTTCTGGCCAAAACCGAGCTGCTTACTTTTTATATCATTGATGACTGCACGTTCGGCAAAGGTGCCAAGCGAACCACCACCAAATCCACTGCCACCGGAACTTAAAGATTTGGTTTGAGTAGCATTACCACCATTTAAGAACCAGGTGACAAGGTGGCCAGCTTCAGGAATTGTAGGGTTGACAGCAAAACTTGAGCTTGTCACTAGTGCCGATCGATCGACCGTTGTACTCACTCACACGGCAACCTTTGATGGCTAATACCTGATTCATCCAGCTAGAGCAATCCTCCTGAGCACGTTCATTCCACATTGTGCACTTAATTTCAGCGTTGGAATCGTCAACGAGCGAGATATCACGCTTGAACAGCTGTTTGCCAGCCTTCGACGTGATCTCATTCACTTGGCCAACATCACGCACAATTCCAATGACGTCCACATTTGAATCGGCAGGCACGTTTTCGATGTCGGCAATTTTTTAAAAAAAATACTGCATTTGCGAAATTTGTCCGTCTTCTGGTGCCGGAGATATTTCTGAATGCGTGTCAAATGTCACCTCATAGTCATTGTCAACCGAGGAAAAGCGGCGATTGGCCATTTTAACCTTGCCTCCAGAAAAATAGAAGACGCCACCTGGACGCAGCATTTCGTAGAACTTGTCCACGCCGTCTTTGAAGAAAGTAGCACGAATCTCACCACCTTTTGCGTCTAGCAAATCAACACTGAATAGCTTTCCAGAACCACGCGCATTGCTCCAATTTTTGATCGGGGCGCGGGTTGTCACTCGAGCCTTGATGGTCCAACGTCCTCCAGCATAAGGGTTCAAGCTTTGAATGTCTGAGATCCGCACGTTTGGATCCTGACGAACAACAGGGCCACGGTTGTACGAAGATACGGTAGGCTTTCCAGGCGGCACGTAGCTCGACGGAGCAGCAGGGGGGCTGCTTATACTGATTAACATGAGCCTGTGGCTGCTGGTAGACAGTCTGCGCTAAAGTGGTAGGTCTGGCTCCAAGAGCTGCCGCCGAGGGTACATTAGCTGCAGCAGCAGGTGGAATAGACGGCCCTTTGGCGCCTTCAATATTGATAGGCGAGCCAATGCGGTCGAAGGCAGGCACGATGTCGCCAATGCTCAGCACGATAAGGATTCGACGACCCTGCACTTCATTACGCAGAAAATCCTTAAGCTGCAGCACATAATTCGTCTTGAGACTCTCGTTTTCCATCATCTATTGTGGCATGAAAGAGCGGAAGACTATCAGTAAAAGACAGGAAACAGTCATTTGAGGCTTTTTAGGACCAGAACATACCGGCGCCAGCTGCGTCGCCAACATGCCACTGATATAGGATGTTCCGTCCGACAAAACAATTCTTTATGGTCAATAGCAATCGCAAAATCAAGTTAGCAAGCTAATTACTATCTTAGTATCTATCTACTCTCCACCCAAGCGGTCTGCTCCTTGTCGTACCGGTATCTGTCGCCGCCTGCACCACTAGCCGGCTTAATTTTTTTGGTATCAATGATCTGCAGCCATGGCTCGAATCCATCAGGGGTCTGATTGTTGTACAGCATCGACACAGCGTTAGGTGTGAGGTTTACCATGCTTAGCCTAATTCTCTAGCTGCGACTTTGGATGGACTAAATTTAATTCGTTTTGGCGCCAAGTTAGCTTGATCTGTAAACCATATTTTGGGTATTTAGGATTGATTCAAAAATGGGTAAATAATATTGATGCTTTTTATTTTTATTCGATATTAAAACGTAAGTTACATATAATTGGAAAACAGTGCGAAAAGAAGAGGTCACAAAACCGAGGTTTTATGCCATTTAATAATATGTCTTCTTTTTTACTCGAGCAGCTCTCGAGCAAGTCGGCAGTAGATGAGGCCATTCGCAGCACCAAAAATCGCGTATTAGTAATACGCTTTGGTCGAGCTTCGGATATTTCTTGTATGCAGCAGGATAATATTGTAAGTTGTCAATCGATTTGCGCTCTATTTGTCATGTGTTGTCATGGCTGTCCTTTGTCTTGCGCGGCTTTGTAGCTGGCCAGATGCGAGCGCGAGTTGTCGAAAATGGTGCGATTGTGTCGGGTGGAAGCAGATGAAGTTCCGATTTATTGTCAGTACTTTGACATTACTCTCATTCCCGCTACGATATTCTTTGTGAATGGGCAGCATATAAAAGTAGACTATGGGTGCGTGTTGAAGTGGTTGTGGGTACATTTTTGTCATTATTTGCTGAGAAACTACTAAATAGCTCATATTATCTTATACGTTTTTTTTATTATGTATTTGCGTTTTAATTCAATAGTACACCTGACAATACCAAGTTTATCGGCGCTTTTTGGACAAAACAAGACTTTATCGACCTCGTCGAGGTGCGTCACTAAGTAGAGTTGTGGCCACTTCTTACTGGATCTTACGTGTGTTATTTTTACACTTCAGGTTATATATAGAGGTGCAAAACGTGGGAAGTCGATTGTGAATTGCCCAATTCAGAAGTCGCACATTCCACAGTACGATCTGATCTATAAAGACATCTAGTCCACGGTCTTGCCGGTGGACACTTGAGTGTATGTTTGTAACAGAGGTTTTACATGTCAAGCTTGAAAAATATTTGTACTTTGATGTATCTTCTTGAATGACTTTCCAGCGGCTGTTCATGCTAAACTGCAATACTGCGAGTAAGTAAGCGTGCACATGCAGATAGGCCAATTTGATGAGTGATAGAGCAATATTTGCTGGTTGTCCGTAATGCAGCCATTTAAGTTGCTGGGGTTTTGTAGAGTAAAACTAAGTCAGGATGAAATACAAACTTGCCGGAGTTTCTGTTTCAGTAGGGTTCAACCGCAGCGCTTGCTGATGATATGGACAAGCTGCTTGGGTGTTGTGAACGTCGTTTGAAGCCTTTTTTACATAAAGTCTCCAATGCAGTTTTGTGCAAAAACGAGATACTCAAATTTCCTAGCAGGTGCGATGACTTCATGACTTGCTCGGTCTTCTCGTGGCAACAGGCTTTAAGATTTACGACTACCTGGTGCATCCGATCGACTGTGCAACTGCGTTTGGCTGGAGGGTCTCTTTAAGATGACCAAGCATAATGCTTAAGTTGTTCGCCTAGTAGCAGCAGCAAGAACATGTGATGGTCAAAACATGCTGCCAACTGGTCTGCAATGCCCTGCTCATTCTGCGCGCAAGTGTATTTATAATCCTTCAAAGTCAAAGTTATGGATTTTGAAAGATTACAAATACACTTGCGGCAGAATAAGCAAAACCAAGAGTGAATAAGATTTGGATGCTTAGGCATCCATGGAGTTATTGATCGTATTAAGAAGATTGGTACGCCGCTACTTCTTTTTATATTCTGAGTGTGTTACATGTGTTGGCCAACATTGGCCATTGCGCTTGATAACGTAGAAAAAAACGGATATTTAAATTGCGCTGCTCTGCCCTAGCTATTTGTTCGCTATCACCCACACTATCCTTTTTGTATCTGTCGCGCAAACTTGACCGACTTTCTTTCCATATGCTATCCTTGCACCACCGCTCTTGACGATGCGCTTTCTGCCTTTCACCAATGCACGCTTCTTCAACCATCAGGGTAGTAGGCCCGTCTGTTCATGCGTATATGAAGACTGTAATGGGGTACACAAAGGTGTGTTGTACATACACACCTGCCACACCAATGTGTGTGGCTGTACCTTGGGTACAAGAGTAGGTTCGATGTGACCGTACGTAAAGTACGAAGGGCCGCATCGTGGTCACTATACTTATTTAAAGTATTGTGACTATACATGTTTGCATAATAATCGGCTATAGAGCCAGTAAATAGTGACTAGCACTAAGTATAACATAGGTAATTATATATTTAGTGTTAGAAGATAAACATAAATATAAACCAGTTTCAAACCTGCCCTATAAGCCTTACATCTTGAGCAATCTATTTCTTTTAAGGAATCAGTGTCTTTGATACTAGTCTCTTTGAGACGCGGTTACAACAACCGATAGGCAAAAGCTTACGAGCTAGCCTAGGAAGGTTAAACATCCTAAGACGTAGAAGCTCTTTGAGCTTGTCTTCCTCTGCACATAGTGCATACGTAGCTTTGCTACAGTAGTTTGACTACTTCTTCTGCACATAGTGCATAAGTAGCGTAGCTACAGCAGCTCGGCTACATTGGGGGCACTTGTAGTCAATCCCGCACCTGGGTTTGCGACTACTTCTCTGTGTGAGAATGGACATCGATGAGATGTCAGCGGTTGGCCTGTCACAGGCACAACAGGAAGGGTTGCAGAAGCTGCTCCCTATCCTTGGCCCTAAGGGCGTGGAATACCTCATCGCCCAGGGCGAAAAAGAGGTTAACAAGCGTATTCGTATGCTTGATGAATATAATAAAGCTCTAGTCAAGCATGTAAGGCACAGATGTCTTCTTCTACGCCTTCGCCCATGGCGACTATGGCGCAAGAAGTGGTCCGAAGACCAAAACCCATTCAAATGAAAGTTGACAAGTTCAACGACAAAGAAGTGATAACCTTATGCTGTGGTTCCGACAGATTGAATCGGCTATGTTTATAGCCCACATCACCTATGAACCGTACCGTGTTGGTTTTGCCACGGTTAAGTTGGGTGGATTTGCCAAGTAATGGGCGTTTAAATGCGGTACGTCTTTGCACGATGCATTTGTGGTGAAACGTTTTAAGAATTGGTAGGTCAGAGGACCGGTGGGTCAAAGAGAAGGGGACCCGCCTAGGAGGAGCGACCGTTGGTAAGCGACCGAAAGAGGGGGCGCTAAAAAGGGGTGGGGAACGACCGTTGAATGAGAAGAATGTACGGTCAAAGCGTGCTAGTTAGCCGCCATTCAGAGGAGTTAACCGTGGTTAGCCCGATGGACTGCGGTTCCTCAAGGTGGTTACCGGTCTTCCAAAGTAGAACCCGGTCTATCATTGGTAGACCTGGTTTTTCATAAAGGTAGACCTTGGCCTTTCGGTCGGTGGAGCCCTTCCTGCTGACCGTGGTATACGGGGCACGAGATCGATCTCGTGCCGGGTTCTAAATATGTCGTTACGCGGCAGTGACCGCTTCCCCGTGACCAAGTTGATGCGATTGACACTTTCTCGAAAACCGAAGACAGGCCGGTCACGTCCGTGCGAGTGTCTCTCCACAACCGAGTCCCATCTTCTGTGTTAAGACAGCGACCGGAGGGTGGCGCATCGCCCACGCCTTTAACAAGCTGAAGGCTGTTACGATCCCTGCACAGACCCCGATTCCCCGGAAGGATATAATTTTGGACATCATCTTGGGCAGCACGATTGTGGTAGAGTGGGTTCTCACAACTGCGTAATGAGACCCAGATGGGTATATGGTTGCAGGAAGGTTCAAGCCTGAAGTCTTGTCTTCCCTGGGGTTCAACAATATCAAGACCACGTTAGAAATCCTACACAAACGTCTGGGTATTTTGATGGGAACAACCGCCCTAACACTCAACTCACCTCCTGCGACCGCTGCAAAAGCACCGTCTGACGACAGCCAGATGACCCTGCAAGACATCGAGGTTCACAGGTTCAAAACTGATTTATTTAATGTTTATCTGCTAGCACTTAATATAGAAGCACCTACTCTATACTTCGTGCTAGTCACTATTTATCTGGCTCTGTAGCCGCCGTACATGAAAACATGTATAGTCACTATACTTAACTAAGTATAGTGACCACGTGACTCTTTTTGCCACAAAGCGACCCTTTATACCTTAGATACGGTCACATCAACCCATCAATGGACCCAAAATACAGCCACGCCACAGTGGTGTGGCAGGTAGGTGTGTCTGTAAGAACTACACCTTGGTGTAATCCCGTTACATAACATGTATTCCATCTCTGCGATAGCGTAAATTGGCCAAAGAACCCAACAGAAAGTCCAAGGATAACGAAGTTGCCCAATCTGTTCAGTTGCACTAAGATGTGACTGACCGAGAGAAATATCAAATTAAGCTGATGAAAGTGACATTTCCGGCCGACCACTCGTGAGGAAAAAGGTTGCGTTCTTGGCACAGTGGTGTAAATGTTTGCGAGAAGAAAGGTAGAAAGTATCGGCACTTCCACTCATCACGTTCTCACTCGACAATGCTGTAGAAGTTAAGCACAAGTTGTACAATGAAATACATAAGACATATGCGCGCGCATACATATGTCGATTGCTATTTGTTACTGCCAAATGGGTATGGCCAACAGTGCGATATGAAGATAGTTTCTATATATCGTGCAGCATTAACTTGGGTCGTCAAATGACAAAGTTGCTTTGTGCGTTGGAGATTCATAATATGGCAACGGCAAAGCTGAATGTTGACGACTTACTCTCTGTTTGCGTTGTCCATTTATAAAATCCATTCACATTGCATCGGCACTACTTTTGCCTCTGCTTGGATATATCTCATTCATATCAAGCAGCGGTGCACTTGTGTCAGTGCTGCGTCCATCGTTTTGCACGGAAGGAACAAAACGCTGACCTTCTTTATCGGCTACTATGTAACGCGTGCTGGAAGCACTCCCACGACTTTTTATCCGTTCGTGCCCCGCAGATATGTGTCTATGAGTAGGGGTTCTCTGTACACGAGGAAGGTTTTGCCATGCACCTTCATCGATTCGCCGGATCAATTGAAATTGATCAACTTTCTTAATTTTAAACACCATCACTGCAGTGATATAGATGAGGACGACATTGATCCACAGTAGCATCAGACTTCCCACAGCAATTTCGTAAAAAACAAGTTTTTGCTCATCTCCAATGACATTGTCAGTCTATGGATATGCATTGCCCAATTGCGCAAGACGATCACCACAAACAAACCAACAAAATCGTCTTAGCACGACAAAAGCGCCTTTATCGAGATAGCAATAACACGTACCACAAAGTATTGGCCGACCATAACATAGGAGAAGCAAATTCCAGAGTTCACAGTTGGCGGAAGTAATGCCGCAGCGATAGCAACCCCGACAACAGAAGAGATGTTTGCGTTTGACTCGGCTAGTGCAACACCGGTACCTGAAAGCGCGGCAACAATTGCGCCAAATAACAATTGGATAGCTTGCCCTCGCTCGCGCATTTCAGCTGTTGGCCAGTTTAGTGCTACCGCATAGGGGCTTAGAAAGACTCCAATCATGACACCCAGCAGGAACGTAATAGTCTGCACAAAAGAGGAGCTGTAAGCAAAAGTAATTGCTGTAACCAAGCAAAAGCTATTTTTATACCAACGTACCAACGCAAAAAGTTCATTCAGCAATCCGTTAACAAAAAGATCTTTATCTCGGAGAGCAAATCCAAAAGCACAGCCCAAAATCGGCCCCTATCAATGCCAAAACATAGTCACTTTCGATACTGCTGCCACATTGCAAATTTTTCAATGCAATGAGCTCATACCATCATCGGAGATAGAAGCATAGAGGCAACAACGTAAGTCTACCATAAAGTTTCATCAGCGTTAGTTTTTCCAATCAGCCAATGATGCATGCAAAATTCTTACGCTTGAATCGCCAGCCAGACCGATCCCGGCAATCGACCTATATATTGAAAAAAGAGACGCATTAGAATCGATAATTCTCGAGACGAAATGACATTTTTGACTTACGAAGAGATGAGCAGCATCACCACAGAGTCCCTGGATAAAGTTGAATTTGCTTCAATGTGCGCATACATCTCAGCCACTGGCACCGCAGTACCCACATCGGTGTTCCGTTCAAGGATGCGGCCTACACTGCGCCTCTTCTTCTTGCTCTGGTTGCGCTTGCGCATGGTGGTACCTGGCGTTAGCAACATGACGTCACAGAAACCAAACTGAACGCCAACACCCATGCGCTGTAGTTTATTAAGAATTGGCTGCATCTCCTCGTCCTCCACGCGAAACGTCACTATAGATGACGTACGCGCCTCCACACTCGTGACGTTATCCAGATTGAGCTCATCTTGCAGCATAGATACAACCTAGTACAGAACAATGTACAATAGCAAAGCTATTAGAAGTGAAATAGGAGATGAAGATATGAAATACACGCACTTTGCCATGTTGCTCGTTAGGCAACGTGAGTTGGAAGAGCTTCATTCGTTTACGATACAAAGGCACCAATAGAAATGTAGGCGAGTACAGTGTTTGTTTCACTATGTACGTAATTGTTAGCATGTCAAAGGTTGTTTGTATTGTTTTTGTAGAAATGCAGACGCCTATGCAGCAACATGTTGATGGGGTTTTGCGTGCATAAGATGATCGAATGGACTTGAGTAAGCTTGTATTAATAAATGCACTGATGTCAGCAATGATGTCGTAATCAAGATATCATAACTTGCTCTTCAGCACAGGGCCAACGATCGATTGCACTAAACTTCACTGCTGTAGCACCTTTCGAACATGGCTGTTGTGCACTCGCATACATCGCATTCCGATAGGCAGACAACCTCTTCACTTGCTTTCACTTTTAACGTACAGCAGCGCCATTGTTGTCGTACATCGGCCAGTAAATGCCTGGGCTTCCGACAATTGGCATGACTATCCGTCCAGGACGTTTGATGCTCATGCACTTACTATCCGATGCTAACGGGATTCCAACAGTCAATCTGAATGACGACACCTGGCCCTCAACGCGCCGTTTCAACATGTCATATTACTGTATGCGACTTCCAACAAAGCGGCCAAACACTATTGAACAAGCAACCTGTGGATGCGTGCTCGTTTGCCAATACTGACGGGCAACAGTTTCGTTTATCTGACTGTGCATCATGTATGCTTCTTGTTGTCTGCTTGCTTCGATTCATGCCTAGTTTTACTGCGCCATCTTCGCCAGCGACGCGATTGCGTAAATCTTAATCTCAGAGCCACCGTCAACCTTCACAATACCGTCCGAGGCATCTGTACCGATCAACGAGCCCCTAGTGCCTGCCTCGTCTCCTGACAAGATGATCACAGTGTCTTGTTTCTCTGGCACCACCGGCCGCACAGCATTTAACGACAGAGTGATCATGCGACCGTCTACATCAAGTGAGCACGAACCACCGCTCACACTGGTGATAGCACCCACAATGCCATTGTGTTCACCAGCAATCACTTCAACCTCCACGCCCTTCATCCTCCACGTTACTTCTCCACTAGAAGGTCCGCCCGCTGAGTCGTTTGCATCCTGGTTGAAGGCAGGCGTCGTAGGAACCCCGTTGCCACCAATCATGCCAGGCGTTGCGACAGGTGTGGATGCCGAGTTCATACGACCCATGGGAGTTGCCATGCCAAAACCGGGAGTCATTGGGTTGTGGTTGTACCCCGGCGTATTGATTCCTGGAGTCACGGGGTTAAGACCAGGGGTCATTGCCGACAAGCCAGGTGTCGCAGGATTAAAGCCTGGAGTCATTGGTTCCATTCCCATTGGTTCGTGACCCATACCAGGTGTGGCAGCAGACAAATGAGCGGGTGTTGTCGGATTCAAACCTGGTGTCATCGGGTTCAGACCTGGAGTCGTCGGATTATGGCCCATCATAAAAGCTGGGGTCCTCGGCTGCAGTCCAGATGCCGTGGAGTTTAATCCAGGAGTTGTAGGGTTTGCAGCTGGGGTTACAGGCATCATGCCGTCTCCAATTGGAGAACGCGGAGCTATTGGTGTCGTCGAATTTGAATAGCGACTGCTTGACATATCACTCGACGGCGCAGCTGGTTCCAATGGCGTCCCAAAGCTAGTAGCGTGAGTAATGTCCTTCTCCTGATTCATCTGCGTCTCCAGCAATGCATCGTCGTTCGCAACATTCCACGCCTCACTAGCGCGTCCAGATGATTGCGGAGTACCCATTCCACGATGCAGCGGCGTTGCCATCGGAGTCATCGCACTGCCATGAAGTGGTGTCTGTGATGGTAGCGGTGTGGCGCCAGTCATAGGAGTTCCAGCATAGCGAGGCTTGTCTACCAAACCGCCATCACGCGTTCCAGCAATAGTAATATGCAATCGATCAATATCCACAACCTTTGCTTTGCAATGAATTTCTACCTTGACCTTTTGATCGCTTTCATCCACAACAATACCAATGTAGCCTTTCCAGCGTCCCTTTTTCACCTTCACTGTCTGCCCAATCAGTTCGGATTCGCGCGGGTTTCTTCCACCTCGCTGATTTTGCTGGCGCATCCCGGCATCCATTCGAGGTACCGTTGAGTTTATAATCATATCCGAGCGCGCCTTACTTCCTGACAAGATCACGTCACGCGCACGTGCCACGAAGATACCCGAGTTGGTCGTGATGCGATTGTTGTGAACGAAAAGATATGTCCGATATATGTGCTTTACGGTTCCGCTGTGGCCTGAAAATGTACCTTCCACAACATTAACCATTTCTCCAACGCTAATATGGTTGTGCTTCTTGTCCAGTGCTGCTGTTGTGCGCGAAGATACGATTTTGCGCTGCACCTCCTGATCGGAGATAGTCCTAGATTGACCATTCTGACAAAGTACCGTAAAGCCCTCACGCCCGACATGCGTAATCATGCCCACATCACCATGTGCAAGAGCAACAAGGTCGTACAGCTCTTTACCCTTGTATGAGTCTAATCCTTGAGAAATCTCGGCAGATTCCTGCAAATCACAAACGCGCACTTGAATTTCACGTGCCATACTATCCACGAGCACAATAGCTACGGGAGCACCTTCGCTATCGTCCACTGCCACAACTGTGCCAGTCTCGCCCGAATACATGCCAGATACCACTTTAATGTGATCGCCAACCTTCACGTACTTCATAAGCTGCTTCAATTGAAAGTCCAAGATTGTGTCCTTAATTTCTTCGTGAAGCGGCATAACACGGACGGTGTCATTGGATGTATTAGTGCTCAGCACGACACCCATGAGATTGATCAAATCGCCCTCAATGACACGCACCGTATCACCCTTAGTGAGATCAACCTTATTTTTCCAATCATCAGCTTCTACAGAAACCAGCATTTCTTCAGCAGTATGCTCACCATCTTCCCCCGCAACGGACGAAAAACGATTGATCTCATCCAGCGTCGGATTTACGTCATCTGTTGTCAACATGGTAGCATTGTTCACCTCCTTGATAAGAAAACCTTCTTGGTAATAGTCATTGTCAAAAGTGTCCATCATTTCACCTGTTGAAGGATACCGGCGACGAGCTACGTCTGCCCCAGGAACCATGTTCGTGTGAAAAAGCTTTTGCGGCGGACGTTGACCTTTTTTGTATTTTGGTTGTTCACCGCCAGCCAGTACAGTTGGATCCAGCCGCGGAATCATTTTCACGACAGCTCGCGCTCCATTGTCAAGGATTTCAATGACTTTGCACAGATCACCCTTGTACAATCCTGCGCGCTTCATTCGCGCCCAAGCGCCAGCAACTAGCGGCTTTCTCTGTGTTTGCACATTAAGAACCGATGTCATTTCATGGATAGGCACTAGCTTCATCGACCACTGTTGTACATCACGTAAACCGCTCAGACAATCTTTCGCATGTGGCTCGCGCTCTGCCTCCACATAGATGAAACCCTTTGAGTTGGAGGCCACCACAGATTTGACCATCAAAGGCTCACCGCGGCGCGAAAACTCGATGAACTTGTTCATGAGTGCTATCACAAGATGCTGCTCGCGACCAGGCTTGCACTTAAATACCCACATGCGCGGATCCTGGATAGATGGAAGAAGTGACTGTTGCGCGACATCGCTCTGGATCACATCACTTCCATCCTCCTCACCGTCGTATTGCTTGCGGCTTTGTTGGTGACGTTTCTTAATGCGATTGACAATGGCCTCGGCACTCTCCGACTCGTCAAACTGTGTGCGGTCTTGCGGCTCGTAACGGTAAGAGTGACCAGCTTCTGCTTCTTCGGCCATTTGGCGCTCCGAGCGATAAAAATCATCGTCTTCTTCTTCTTCCTCCTCCTCTTCGTCTTCATCAACATCGGCCTCCTCCTCGATAAACTTATTGACGGGCTTACGTCGCTTCTTGGGTTTGGGCTTGTTATCGATAGCCTTGCGTTTTTTCACCGGCGTTTCCTCCACCTCCCTCCTCATCTTCCTCTTCTTCTTCCGGTATCTCGTCTTCTGAAGCGTCTTCATCCTCCGACACGTTACGATCTAATTCCTCTTCACTTGACGACATGGTGCTACTATAGCTAACTGTGTCTATCTATTTCCTTTGGTTTGGTTTGTCTCCCCCTTCGTATGGACCTTGCAATGTCGATATCGATATTATCGAGGATATATTATGAGCCTGTATTCTGTCACCATCTGCAAGGTTAATTCTCCAATCCAAGGACGAAACGAGTCTATTGACACTGAAATAATGATACGTGGAATAGTATTGTGTGTCAACATCATACTCGGCGGCAAGAAAAGTGCCAGCTTTGTCCCCCTCGCCTTCCAAGGAAGGAATCAGGAGAGAAGCGATTGACGTGATGGTGGACCAAGTCGACACTCAAGCATCTGCTACTCCAATTAACATGCTGCTAGGGAAGCCCATATTATTGGCACGGGTTGTATCCTATGTGGGTTCAGTTGATACACGAGTGCTCGGTGCGTGATGAGTGTCTGATAGCATTGACGTGAAAAGACATGATCCTTGCATAAATGTCGGAGTAATGACTGTTATGTATGCTACTGTAGTGTTCTTGAGCCGGATTTGGGCAAGAGAAATGATGAAGCCATTGGTGTGGGAAATTTCGGCTGGTGTTCCGTACGAGCCATTGTTAATCAATTGCTTCCGTCGTGCTGCTAGCTACTGCTATCGTGAGGTGGACGCACCCTCCCCGTAATGTATTCCTGCTATTCAGTTTGCAGCTTTATGAAATATGTACTTGACGTATTATTTTGATACGGATGCAATGATAGTAATGTGAACCGACGAGGATCGCCTCCTGCCATTCGAGCCTGCTTGTTGAATGAGCGCACGTCCATGCGAGAATATGTACACGATCTAAAGCTTATTACGGCGGAAAACGAGTGGTTTGACAAAAGACCTCGTTCATTCGACTTTAATGATGTGACCGAACTGAAAAACGAGATGCACAAGAATTCTCGAATAGTGTTTGAGAATCCTGTACTACTGAAAAACCGATTCAGTCGAAATCAAGATACACGAGTACGTGACGATGTGATGAGTAGTGTTTGCGGTTACCGAGTTGCTAGTTTTGCTAACGGAAGCTTTCCTACATGCGCCTGATGAATGCATTCTTGTGTGCAGTTAGTTTCGGGCGCTGTTGATCACGAGCGTGCACATTTTTATTTGTGGTCACTGGAGAAGCAGCAACTACGCACTTCTATGATGCAAACCAATGCGTCGTGTTATGACGTTTGTGACGAAGCCCTAGCTGTTGGCTGCACCGACGGCGCGGTCAAGATTTGGAGCTTTACGTCGCTAGAAAGTCGGAACCTTGACACAACGCCGTTGGTGAATGCTTCACCCACTACATCACTCTCCCACCGCTCCAGTTTAGGAATGGTCCCCTTCATTAGAACACGCGCCAAGGACAAGGTGGTGAAGGTCCGAATTGACCACAATGATGGCACTTTCCTTCATTTGGCGACGTCGACTGAAAAGGGAGAAGCGAATGTTTGGGATGTCACGAAAGGAGAAGTCATAGTGTCTATCCCGTCTAGTAAAATTCACAAGTCGATGTTGCCACGATCACAGAGAGAAACATGCCCGCAGATTACAAGTTTAATGCTGCTTCGTAATACGCTAGTATGCGGCACATCATGCGGTCTCATTCGTGTCTTTGATTTGCGCAGCTGTCGACTCACACACCGACTCGCTGGGCACCCGGGTATGTATTCAATACTAAATTCTACTTTTTTCTTAAATTGTCCGGCTAAACGAGTTGTGTTTGCTAAACATATGCGTAGGTGCTGTTATCAATGCCGACACTAAAGGACGAGTGTTGTGGTCAGCTGGTACTGAGGGTACCGTTCGCTGGTGGGGTGGAAAAAGCGCAAAGATATTGGCAAAATCTGCCTTGTGCGAAGGTACAATCTCTGCCCTTGAGATGGATGAGACTGTAGTCGTGGCAGGCTACTCAGATCAGGGTATGGAAGCGTGGGACGTGCGAACTCAACAATCGCTCTGTACATTTAGCAACCACGAACACGGGGGTGTCAAAGCGCTTCAATTTGACAACCGTAAGCTTGTTAGTGTGTCATCAACTGGCAAGGTAATCGTTGCTTTGAATGCATGTTTACCTGTTGCTTGTGCTAAACCTTTTTTTTTGCTGTGTCCACTGCGTAGGCAGCGCTGTGGAGATGGTATGAGCCGAATCCTATGCGATGGTTTAAACCTCCATACCCGTCCGCACGCTTCGTCTCGACAAAGTTTAATGATCGGCACCTTGTGTTCGGTACCGATTGCGGAGAGCTTGTGGATTATGACCGACTCGCTACGGTTGTGTAGGCATGCGATCGTGTCGTAAGGAAAATTTGAACAAGGATAGAATAGGAAGCTCGGCCCTTCTTGGACCACACGCACAAAAACAATGTATCGTGTTTGCCTATGAGTACATAGCGTACTTTTGCTACAGACTTGCGAATTCAAGGGTTCATGCAGCACTTCTACAGTATGCAATGTAGTCTTGTGTAAGGTTCGTACAAATCCTGGAAAAAGACGCACCGTGCTTCAGACAATTGACCAGTATGAGTCCGAGTCACGTTGCTATGCTCATTCACAGAATCTCCATATAAACATAAACGCTGCCACAAGATTAGCGCTACTGCAGGGCCCTGCCCTATCACACAAACATTCCAAACAATCACCCCAGCAGCGAGCGATACGATCCTAAAAAGAATCGTCGTGGAATAACAAATCGGCGATCGCCGTGAACCCTACATAAAGAATTTTCGATCCATCTCTCTCCTGTCTAACACGAACTGGGTAGCACTCTGCCTTGCAATTAACTGGAATAATGCACTGACCGTCTTCGAGCGAGAAGGGCCACTTGTGTTGAGGGCACGAGACGCATGGTGTGCCGTCAAAGTCCTCGATATCACCAAGATGAAGCGAAGCAGCTTGATGGGGACACGCATTTTCAATAGCATAGAATGTGTTTTCATATTTGAATAGTGCCACTGTCTTTCCATTAAGTGTCACCTTTGTTCCTGTTGCAAAGCATTAAAAATACAGTTAATACCTCGAGGATATACACGATGCTTCAACATAATAAACAATCACGAGCCTAACGTTATAGTCTTCGATCCAGATTTTATCCGCTTCCTCCCAGTTACTGTATACTCATATTTTGGTCGATGCTCCGTTGCTTCTATTACATCTGCAGACATAGTAAAAAAATGTTTATTATCGGTCAAGCAGGATGAAACCTCTTGTGTCTCCAAATGTTTTTACTCACCAGATGGATCCACATGAGTGCTAAACCAAAGATAGCAGTCGTCATCACTTTCACTGCGGTTTTGATGCCATCTCGTGTTCGTATCTGACTCGGTATTGGTTTCTTCCATAGATAAATCTACATACAGTCGACTCATATTTGTTTGTTTCCGCTGGCACGCGGCTTTTTTGACTCAACCATGAAGCTTGATGTTTGTTCGTACTTAATACGAATATCTTCTTCAGTTAATATTCCTGTAATTTCAGCTAGCAAAACTGTATCTGTTTCAGCGAGGGCCTGTAAGACATAATGTTTCCGACCGACAACAGCGAGTGGAGTGGAAACAATTCTGGAATCTTTTTGACACGAAGAGAATCGGAATTACTATGGCAAGCAGGTACAACGATGAGTTTCGTGGACGCGGCCGGGATCGCAGTAGGGATCGTGGGTACGGAGGAGGGGGAGGTATTGGTGGAGGTGATAGAGGGTACGGTGGTCGATCAAGCGGCGGGGGTTACGGCCGGGAACGCATGGGCGGACGTCGCAGCGAGCAGAGTGGTGGTGGTGCTGAGCATCTGGCGCGTATACACGGCACTGAAGAGGATCGTGTAAATTGTCCATTTTATTTTAAAATAGGTGCCTGTCGCCATGGTGACCGCTGTTCTCGGCTGCACAACAAGCCCGTGTTCAGTCAGACTATCTTGGTTAGCCACATGTACCAAAACCCAATTGCACAGGTAATCGCACAGAACGGTGACCTAGCATCGCTGGACCAGCGTCAGGTGGATGAGGAATTTGAAGACTTTTACGAGGAAATTTTTGAGGAACTGTGCAAGTTTGGCAAGTTGGAGGAGCTGAACATTTGCGATAACCTGGGAGATCACTTGGTCGGCAACGTGTATGCCAAGTATGATGACGAAGAGCACGCTGCAGCGGCGCAAAAGTCTCTCTACGGTCGTTTTTACGCTGGACGACCGCTTGTGTGCGAATTCTCGCCTGTGACAGATTTCAGAGAAGCGCGTTGCCGACAGTTTGATGAGGGAACTTGCAATCGTGGGGGATACTGCAATTTTATGCATATCAAAACAGTTTCGAGATCTATGCAACGTGAACTAGAAAGAACGTTCAATCACGGTCATCGTGACAAAAGCCGCAGCAGGAGCAGAAGCAAGAGCAGAAGTCGCAGCGGCAGTCGCGGGCAAGGAAGACTTGCGCGAGGCCGCTCGCCCAGTGGGCCACATGATGCTCAGAAGGGCGAGTCTTTTCGTCGCAAAGGCAGTCGAAGTCGCTCGCCGTCGTCTGTTAAGAAACACCGCCGGAGTCGTTCCCGCAGTCGCAGTTCTCGATCCCTCACTCGTGAGGCAAGTCGTGGGAGCTCAAAGGGGAAAGAGGGTAGCGTGGAGAAAAAACACTGAAGGATGTTTCACCTTTGAACTAGATCTCTAATTCATTACTGCGTAGGTCTGGTGTTGTTAAAGCCAAAGATGAGGTATGTAGTACGATTTTGTGTTTTTTTATGCTGCCTTTCTGAAATGGTGAGTCTAATACATGGGCGTCATCCGTATGACTAGTTGATACATACAATCAAGTGAAGGGAGTTCGATCATAGAACAGGCGAACAAAGTGACTGATTTGTGTGAATTCTTATTGCAGAGAATCTGCGACGAGCTTGCTGACAATTTGGACTGTATAACAACGTCTAGACTGAAACGAATTTCATACGCTTTTGAGTCTACATTTAAAAAGTTGGGAATAGCTGAGACCATACAAATTGATCAATGAGTAAGTCGTGGGAGCAAATGATTTTGGCGTCGACCTTGGGCGCAACGAAAGTAGCACGCTGTCATATACTAAACTTTAAGAAGGCAGCTGAACCCAATACAACAACAACAGTGCAAATCGTTGACTTGAAAGTTTATTGCAGGCCAACCGAAAGGTGTGTTCTAGTGTGGAAACAATTCTACATTTGAGCTGAAACAATTCTGTGCAAGTATCGACTTTTAATATAAATCACCGTCATAAAAGGTATCCTGTATACCTTGCTTCCTTTTCCGGTCTCCTTTAAGCTCATTGCTTCGTTGCTTTCTCGAAGTAGACTTCTTGTCAAAAACATCGCTCTGCTCCACACAACAAACCGTTACAACAACAGCAACAAGCCCCAAAAATTGGCAACAAAATTTCACAACGCACCCTTTCCACTTTGCGGTCCTCTAACATCTCAGGCAAGTCCAGCATCGAACGGAACACATTATTATACTTAATGTGCTTCTGAAGACCAGTCTGCAAACAACCCTTCACCGCTTCAAATTGCTTCACAGATTTCCACGAAGTAATCGTCAACACTTCGCTCTTCACCGTAAAGGAGACAGTTGGAGTTTTGCCGGTCTGTCAAAAAATAAACAAAAACATGGCACGGTCAGTAACACTCAATTATATCGCACGATTTCAGTCTTACAGCAAGTGTCGAGTAAATGTCTCGAAACACAACACGTTGCGTCTTGCGATCCTTTTTGCTGTTTTTTTTGCTGTTGATCTTGCTCATTTCAAGAAAACGTTTCAAAATCTCTTCTCCATCTGGCAGAGAAACGCCACAATACCGAGCGCTTTCATGCAAGAAAGCAATATTCTCGCCAGCGGCAGAACGTACTTCAACGTCCTTGTGGTCTAGTAAAACCATAAACCTTGGCACCAGTCTATTGATCACACATAGCGCAAACAAGCACAGAATAGATCGTAACATTGTGGTCTAGAATAACCCAATAAATTGTGTGGCTTTACCTTTCCAGCAAATCATCGCTGGCTAGAATTTCATCCAACATAGATGACGCAACAAGCCCCCACGAATCAAGCGCAGCCTTACAAATATCGCCAAGTATTTTCGGGTCAAAGAACGTCTCAAGTAGCTTTAAAAGTTCGTCAGCATTTTCTTTTTCAACACTGCTTATAAAACAAATTAATGCGAGGGCACGGATCGCCTGAGCAGACAACAATTAGCGTCAGCACAACCGAGATCACAACCAGGCGACAAAAATGGTAAAACGCATTACATACCGCCACTTTGACCTTCGCATTTTTGGCTGCCTTGATCATTGGGGTTAGCACGGCTTTTGATCGCTGAAAGAAACGCTCCTCATCGTCTCCAAAAGTGATTGCCAGGATCGCCAAAATACGAGATCCTAGTACTACCTCACCTTCAGACGGCTTGCGTAAGCATCCAAGCACATTGTCGATAAATCTTCACAAATATACATCAATTAAACCACCTAATCTGGTAACAGATTGGATGACCCATAATTTCATAATGCATGCGTACTTTTCATTCACGTCTTCCGGCGCCAAACACTGCAGCAAGTAGGCAGTCAGCTTTTCCATGGCAGAAATCCGTATGGTCGTTCTAACAGTAAATTGCGTGGAGACATAAAATCGCAGAAATAAGCATGTACTCTTCGCTTTTCAGGGTTTTATGTTATCACGTGCCTCTCCTCGGTCAGCTCCTCAATAGCTTCATCAATCCCTTGTTGATCATTGACGTCCTTTGAATATCCATCATAAAACTCTCTATCTTCTGACATGATCGTCTTACGGGTCTCTACTGACGCTACAGACGCAGCTTCATCATCATCATCATCTTCTTCATGACGCATGCGTCGGCCTCCTGACGCCATAGTTTACCATACATAATCAAAATCATTCCATCTTTTTGTATCCATTCAACACTTTTTTTTGCTTATACCTTTATGCTTTTTTCCCATACTGATAACTTCCAATTCGTCCTTTAAACAACTGAATGTATTGTTCCTTGTTAATATATTGAAACTACTTGGAAACTGACCTGGAAATTGCCGACGTTTTGCTTTGTTACATGAATGTACTCCAATTAAATGATTAATGATCATTTCATTGGCTCAAAGTAGTTTGAACCAATGAAGAACAAGAAAAAACAGACTCTCCAGGCTGACCGACCAAAGCTGATTGACACGAGAGTGAAGAACGGTAAGGAAGATCGCGTCTGTTTCGAGCCAATGCCAGAGCTTGTCTGGATATGATTAGTTTAGTATTGGCTACTATACATGTCTTTTACAACGGGCTATAACGTTTGGCTTGTCTATTGTGATTGTAGATTCCACTGCGTCTTAGGGATACGACACGGTTGTAACCAATCTTTTTCAACCTTCTTACAAGCATATTACGTAAACACTAAGGTCAGTTTATGAATAGGATCGACAGGATTAGGATTATTATAAGTGCTATAGGCTTACATGCGGTGACGGCAGGAGATGGAAATAAAACCTCTGATGGTGTGGACACTTTGGTTTGTGCATGCCATAGACAACGAACGCCATGGACATTGACTTTTCCGGTGCTACGACGATAGATGAGGGGCTCTATAGCCGCCAGCTCTATGTCATGGGTCGCGAGGCTCAGCTACGTATGGGAACATCAAACGTTTTCATTGTTGGGCTTAATGGCCTTGGTGTAGAGATCGCCAAAAATGTGATTTTGGCGGGGGTCAAGAGCGTCACGCTACACGACGACACGCCAGCCACGACGCTTGATCTAGCCTCTCAATTTTACCTATCCGAGGTGGATATTGGCAAGCCACGCGCAGCAGCATCAGTAAAAAAACTGGCAGAACTGAACCCATACGTGCCTGTCAGGTGCCATAGTGGCAAGATCACGGAAGAGGTTTTGATTGGATTTCGGGTACGTGCGGTCATAGCGTTTAATTGTTTGGCGTGTGCGTGCTAACGACTGGACGGGTTTGTTTTTGGCAATTGTCCGTATGAAGGCGGTGGTTCTTGTCAACGTCCCGTTAAAAGAGGCCATGCGTATTAACGCTATTTGTCACGCTAACTCGATTGCATTCATTACAACTGAAGCGCGGGGTGTCTTTGGCTCCGTTTTCTGCGATTTTGGAGACGAATTTATTGTTTCTGATCGTGATGGTGTTGAGCCCGTGAGCTGCTTGATCTCTTCTATTTCCAACTCTGCACCAGCTTTGGTTACTGTAAATGAAGACACACGTCATAACTTGGAAACTGGAGATTTAGTTTCCTTCCGAGAAGTGGCGGGCTTTTCGTTTCTAAACGACAGTAAGCCGAGAAAGGTAACGGTGACTGGTCCGTTCACATTCACGCTGGATGTTATTGATGACGCCGACAAAAGGCGCTTTGAGCTGGAGCAGCCGTCTACAGGTGGTTACGTCACCAAAGTGAAGCAGCCTTTGATCGTCCAGTTTAAGAACCTAGAGAATGCACTTGTGACGCCTGGGGAGTTTTTAGTTAACGACTACGCCAAGTTGGGCCGTTCTGAGCTGCTTCATGTAGCATTTCAAGCCTTGAATGCGTTTCAAGAGAAACATCAAGGCAACTATCCGCGACCCGGGTGCTTGCAAGATGCGGAGGAAGTAAGCGCCCTTGCTTGTGAGTTCAACAAACAGTCTGCTTCAAGAAACCAGTTCAGTGTCAAGAACATCGGTGATGCTGATTCAAAAAAGATCATTTATGCTCTTGCAGCTGGCGCTACCGGCGTGATATCACCAATGGCAGCTTTTCTCGGAGGCATCGTTGGCCAGGAAGCCCTCAAGGCTTGCAGCGGCAAATTCACTCCAATTCAGCAGTTTTTCTATTTTGACGCGGTAGAGTGCCTTCCTGACGCTGTATTCGCTGGCATTCCTGACGAGTTCCAACCCGTTGGGTCCCGATACGACGGGCAAATTGTCGTGTTTGGCCGGAAGTTGCAGGAAAAAATCAAGAGCCTAAATATGTTCCTTGTTGGCGCAGGTGCGATCGGGTGCGAAATGCTAAAGAACTGGGCAATGATGGGAGTAGCGTCCAACAAGGATGGTATCATCCATATCACGGACATGGACACAATCGAAAAGTCAAATTTGAACCGCCAGTTTTTATTTCGCTCAAAGGATGTGCAACAAGCCAAGTCTTCTGTGGCTGCTCGAGCTATTAAGATAATGAATCCGGACATTAACGTCAAAGCCTATATTTCTCGCGTCGGCGCAGAATCTGAAGATCAGTTTAATGATGACTTTTTTGAGTCGCTCTCTGGTGTGTGTACGGCACTGGATAACGTAGAGGCGCGCTTGTATATGGATCAGCGCTGTTTGTTTTACGGTCTCCCAATGTTTGAGTCTGGTACGTTGGGAACGAAAGGCAATACGCAGATTATAGTTCCGCACATAACCGAAAACTACGGCGCATCTCGGGACCCTCCCGAGAAAAGCATTCCGATTTGCACACTGAAGAACTTCCCCAATGCAATTGAGCACACTCTTCAGTGGGCGCGTGATTGGTTCGAGGGCGAGTTTTTTCAGGCTCCGTCAGACGCTAATCGTTATTTAGAGGAGCCGACATTTGTGAAACAGCTTAACGAACAGCAAAATACTAAGTTCGAAACACTGGAGCGGCTAAAATATTCTCTTGTTGATGATCGTCCGATGTCTTTCGAAGACTGTATTGCGTGGGCTCGTACCAAATTTGAAGACCTCTATAGCAACCAGCCCAAACAACTTCTGTACAACTTTCCCCTGGATCAGGTATGACCCACAACCTCGATTCATCAATTTTTGTCATTTTCGCTGACGCCAACTAACAAATCACTATATGTAGGTGACATCGTCAGGGGCTCGATTCTGGTCTGGACCGAAGAGGCCACCGACGCCAATTCTGTTTGACCCGAAGGATCCACTCCACATGGATTTTGTCGTTTCGGTCGCTAACAACCGCGCAAAGGTTTACGGTCTTGAAGGGCACACAGACAGAGACGCGTTTGCAGAAGTCCTTGCTGGCATCCACATTCCGGAGTTTGCGCCAAAGCAGGGTGTTAAAATTGCAGCCTCTGATGCCGAACTTAAGCAAGGTAATGGTGCTTCAGAGCTGGGCGACGCAGACGCTCAATGTGACTTCATCCTGAAAGAGTTGCCAAAACCGTCAACCCTTGCGGGCTACCGCATGCAACCCATCGAGTTTGACAAGGACGATGACTCTCACATGGAAGTTATTGTATCTGTTTCCAACTTGCGCGCTCGGTCGTACAAAATACCGGAGGAAGACATGCACAAGTCGCGTTTCATTGCTGGCAAGATCATTCCGGCCATTGCCACGACGACTGCACTTGTGACAGGACTCGTGTGCTTCGAGTTCTCGAAAGTGTTCCAGGACAAGCCACTGGACAATTACAAAAACGGGTTTGTGAACCTTGCGCTGCCTTTGTTCACCTTTGCCGAGCCAATTGCGCCGAAGTCTACGAAGACACTGCTCAAGGGCGAGGAGTACAATTGGACGGCGTGGGACTGCCTGGAGGTGGATCAAGGAGACCTGACGCTAAAGGAGTTTTTGGCATATTTTGAAAAGGAATACGATGCTGAAGTCACTATGCTATCCTACGGTGTCACCATCCTGTACGCCATGTACTCTCAAAAGTCACGATCGAAGGAGCGCATGACGATGAAGATTTCGGATCTTGTTCGCACAGTTACCAAGAAGCCAATTGACTCCAAGCTAAAGTATCTCATTCTTGAGGTTTGTGCTATGGACGCTGATGGAGAAGACGTGGAACTGCCGTATCTGCGCTATCACTACAAGCAAGAGTGATACGGAAAAGCTCGAACTCGTCGCACGTGCCCTTGCTCTTTTCTTAGTAGCCAATTAAAATTGATCACACGAGTCCAGAGGTTTTTTGTGCTAAACTGTTTGATTTGATCCATTTCTAGTAAGTCAATTGAACAGTTAAGAGAAAATGGCACTATATGTCAAATATAACAACCAGTCGAAGCGCATGAAGGTCACGCCTAGCATGACAATGGTAAATGCTGCTTCTTTTGTGTCTCTTGTTTGTCTTTAACTTAACTGTTATTAATGCAGTTCCATGTGTTAACAGATGCACTGGAGCAATACGGTCTGCTTGATTCACACCAATATCAGCTTGTACACCGCGGCAAGACCATTGATTTGTCAATCCCTTTTCGTTTGACGGGAATCTCGAATAATGCCTCCGTGGATCTTTTTCAGCTAGATGAAGCACTTGAAGTGCAACAAGTTCGCGTGTGTATCCAGTTGCACGATGGCAAGCGTGTTCAAGCGACCTTCGGGAGTGATACAACCATTGAAAACATTTTGACGTTTTTTAAACTGCTCCCAGCGTCGGAAAAGGTAGCGAACTTTTGTTCTTTATTTAGGCGTGTGTGTGTTTTATGGAAAAACTAATCGATGTAGTGACAGTTCTGTCTTGGATTCTTGCGGCGTGGTATCGATTCCAATGCTTTTTCATCGACTACGTTAAAAGGTTGCTGACAACAGCAACGTAATAGGAATCATATGCACTGTCTTTTGCTAATGTTATTTACGTGGTGTTGCAGAATTAGGTATCCTGAGTGGATCGGCGATGTTTCGCGTTCAGTCTGCCAATGAACAACTGGCTGCGTCAGCTGCTCAAAGCCCCTCTGAGCCTTCGCAAACACCTCGCGTCATTGCTGCTCCTACCGCACCTTCTTCATCCGCTAGTCCTTCCATTGTGTCGGAGGCATTGGGTCATATTCCGTCAATGCCGTCAGATGATGTTGAAATGAGCGATGTTTCTGCAGAGGATAAAACAACCGATGTAGGTATTCAAATTATGACCAGTTATGACGCATTGCAAATATTGCGAAACAACAGTTTTGATACTGTGTCACGTGGAGCTATCGTGACATTGTTGAAGATTGTTACAAACATCTTGTCAGATCCAGGTATGCATCTCCCTGCCCAATTAAAGCGTTTCGATTGTGTAGCGTGACGACTCTTGAATATTATGCTTGCGCTGCTACGCAGAGAATGAAAAGTTGCGCACGATCCGATTGTCAAATGCAACGTTTCATCGCTTGGTTGGTCAAGTAAAGGGCGGCATAGAGTTTTTTGATCTCCATTGGATTTGTAATTATTTCGGAAACACAAACGCTCGTGCTAAATCTCAACCCGAGTGACAAAAGTGTGCTGGAGGAGGGTCTAAGGCTGTTGAGCATTGAGGCGGACGATTTGAATATTTCACCAGAGGAGCGTCCACTTCTTCAGGAAAAACAAGTAGACCCGAGTTTTGACGTGTTCAAGTCGCAGATTACTCGTATGCAGGTAAGACTTGTGCTACAAAGTTGGGGAGCCAGATAACAATGCTTCTTTTCATATGGTGTTGAATTAGATGCAACCGCGAGGCTCGAGCATGACGGAAGTCCTTGTCGACGCTTTGAAGTTAAAACAAGAGCAACTGGTCGGATGCGAGAAACCTCCTCGAAACACAACTGTTATTTTAGAAGTAAAGCAAGAAAGTGACCGAACTGATTTAGCACGCGAGATTGGCGAACGAAGTGACGCACAGTTACTGATGTCAAGTCTAAAAGCTCGGCAAGACAAGATGGAGAAGGCGAAGGCTAGCTGGGTTAACAATTTGCATCTTCATTTGGTGAAACACGACTAATTTTCTATGCTTTGCTCAGACCTTCCGTACGCGGGCGATGCGTGAGCTGGATGAGCTGAAGCGTAAACGAGTCTTTCAAATGGTGCTAATCCGTGTTCAGTTTCCAGACCGAGGTACGTGGAGCAGCAATGCAATCAAAATTATGACATGTGATTACTCTTATCAATTGTATTGTGCTATGCTTAAATCCATAGCGATGATGCAGGCTTCTTTTCATCCCAACGAAACGATTCAAGATGTGATGAATCATGTAACGGAATGTCTAGATGATCAGTATAAGGTCAGCAAGTTTTACCTCTATGTTACGCCTCCCACTCAAAAGTTGGCCGCTACTAAAACCCTGGTCGAGTTGAACCTATTGCCTGCTGCGCTGACGTATCTCTCATGGTTGGAAGTGCCTCCTCAAGCCGAGGTGGCGAGTATTGGTTTTTACTTCAGAGCTGACGTGGTAATCGGCTTGAAACATCGGCGGTTTGCTTACCCATTTTATTGAATTACTCACTTTGACGTACATGTGTTTCAACTGCGTGTATTGCAGCTGGCAAATGAATGTGCCGATGTCAAAGAGAGGGTTGGCCCGCTGCAGAAGACGGAATATCCAAAGCCATTGCAAGTCGATGGTGAGAAAACACAGTTTCTAGGTACTGTACAAATTTAGTGCTGACGTTAGAACTTGTTTTGCCATTGCATAGAAAGCCTGCCCAATGCAGCGACGACTGACTCACGTGAAAAGCCAACGCCCCAAAAAGATGCACAAGCAAAGTCTTCCAAGAAGCCGTCATGGGTTAAACTCTAGTGCAGTTATATATTAACTGATAAGAAGTACCTTGCTGACAACAACAAGAATGATTGCGGAGTTGAGGCAATTTGAATCGAACGGAACATTTGGTAAATTTTAAATTTGAATGGCTAAATGCACCCACCCGCCTAAGCTCAAAGAGCAAGTATAGCTGCGTCGAAGCGTAATAAAATTTACACTGCAGTCAACTAACACTAAACCACCGGATTTGCACACTGCTATTAAGCGTCACTAAACCACACTGGATTTTCGTTAAGCACTGATTGCTGCTACGTGTCACACGACTGGCTTGCCTGCTTGCCTCTTACGAGCTCTTTTCCTTCCCAGCGCGCTGGCTCACTTGTGTCTTGCGAAAGATAGACTGGGCTTGCAGATTGACTCGATGCTGCTGTTGTTGTTTCAGACACGCAAACAGGTTCTCCCCGTCTTACTATTCCATAGCTTCCAATTCTGAGATCTCGCAACCCTTTACGAAGCTTGAAGTTGAAGCCGCGCTTCGCATCACGCACATTAAAGAGACGGTGATGCTTGGCCCACTGCAGCTCGCGCGCTGCGGGGCCCGTGCGAACAGCCATCTTATCATTTGTCGTTCGGTCGCCCGTACTGACCTGGACTGTTAAGGAAAGCCGCCTGGCAGTACTTTTGACTTCTTTGTCATGCTGAATCTTCTCTTGCATCAGAGCACGCTTGCGCTGCTTTTCTTGCTCTTTCTTCGTGAGCCTTTTCACGGGTAACTCATGAGCTTGATTAATTTTTTCCGGTGCCATGGTTCCACGACAATTTTTCGCCTTACAGTGGCATTTCCACTCCATTGCCTGTTTTGTGTGAAACTGGTAGTCGTACGAAAGCTCTGTCCCTGGCTCAATATCTTTTAAAGCGGTAATGGCGATTCGATTCACGCCTTTAACACGCCACTTCAGCAAGTGACAATTTGGATCACAAGAGTGATTAATGAATCTGGAAACGCTCCCTTTAAACCGTGCATCAATGTACTCACCCTTACCCAGCTCCATAATGTACATGTTCTTGTCTTCAGGACTGTTTTCGGCGTGATCAAGCAAACGGCGCTCCTTTTCTTCCTCAGTAATCACCTCACCAACATACTCAATCACTAGCTGTCCCCTTTTAACGTGCTCCAGCACACAAAGACCCCAACCCTTCTCAACTGTGTGAAACTGTTGAAAGCGAGGATATATCTTTTGGTGAAGCGCGCGATTGCCGCAGCTCTCGCCAAGCATGCAATTTGATTCTCTATTTTGCTTGTTAAACTTCATTCCGGTAGTTGATGCTGATCCAAAGCACTCCGTAAAAATCAGCCGGTTGATGCAGTCTTCTCCACACCTTTCTCTGCAAACACACATAGGTGTGTCCTCTAGTGAGACCCTGGGTTGCTTGAAGGTGTATATACTGCGACCCAATTTGCGGTATGTAGGTGGCTGCAGGCGAACATCTTCAATAATACTGAGCAAAAGGCGAAAGTGATGGCAATCACCAGGTTTGCTGGCATCTGGATCGTGCTTAGGCAAGAACATCCACGGAAGGTGTAAGCTGGAATCTACCGTCACCGTGTCAATAGTTCGATTGGAAAGGTAAAACGAAGGAATTTTTGGTAACTCATCATCCGAATGCCTCCAACAAAGCAATCCAACCGTGTTATAGCGAGCACTTGGAGGTACACATTGCGGATGATAAGCTTCTGGGCATTTCAAGCAGCACATGAGGTCAGGATTTTTTTCTTCCCCTCGCACACACAACAAATGTGTCGAGCACAGCGAAATGAAGCTCCAAATTCAAGCAACTCATCGACAGTTACAGAGCTCGGCTTCGCTTTACCCCCCAAAACGTCGTGACATTTTATTATCATCAACACATTTTTGGTGAAAATATTTGCCACAGCACACAGCGCTACAACGAAATACACCCCCCTTCTCGTTAATTGTTCCGTTACGTCCGCATGCAAAACACAATTGTTCATTTGTACGACATTGTTCGCACAGCCATTTTTCTTCCTCGGGTGTTGATTCAATGCCCAAACATGAGAAGTGATATGACTTAAGACAGCCGCCGTCGCAAAATATCCTGTCGGTCAAATCATCATCCTCAATTTCACCACACACACCACATAAGTCTTCTTCTGGAATGTTTGACTGCACAGCGTTCATATCTTTTTTCTTCTTGCCAGGCGCTTTCGGCTTTAAAGCTCCGTTTTGTATACGTTGGGTAATGACGCGCCCTGATCGAGTAAGACCTGTTTGAACAAACGTCGGCGCTAGCTCTCGATCCCTTGCGTAAGCTCGTTTAAGCTTATCATTGATAGACTGGGAAGCTGCATGCTTTTCTTGTACTCCGCGTTTATGCTTATCATTAGTAGACTGGAAAGATGCAAGCTTTTCTTTTACTCGGCGTGGATGCTTGCCGACCTTCACTTGGCATTTTGCCCAAGCCTTAGCGGCCTTTGTAGCTCGCGGCATGATTCGATAGCTGTCAACCTTTTGAATAATTTCATTATACTTAGAATTCTTGCCCATGTAATGGACAGTGCAACGCTTATTATCCAAATGCTCAATCTTGGCAGCAAACCACTCCTTCGTACAAATGTCGTATACATCTACCTGCTGCTTTACCGTAAGATTGCACCAAAAATTTTCATGAGCACGTTTGCCATCCTCCTTGGCGCCAATTCTATCGTTATAAAAGACTGCTTCTTCGTCCACCGGCTCACTCATCTCGACGTCATCGGAGCTGTCGCCAACGATCTCATCAGTTGTTTGGCCGACATAACTTGGAGCGACGCTATCTTCATTTCCAAAAGCAATACGCTTGAGCGGATTCAATTTACGTGACTTTACATATCTTTCTTCCTTTTCATATGTGCGTTTAGTATTTGTACTTACAATCTCTACCATTTGCGCAATTTCATTTCGACTCATGGACTTTACCAAAGAGAGCCCTTTACACTTACTCTTATCGACTACATATGTAGGAAAATTGCTGCGTGACTGGTTATGAAACTCAATAGGTAACTCCACCGTCGCCCTACTAAGGACAACGTCCGTTACATCAGAATTTCCATCAACAGAATAATTGTCTCCATATAAACGACTCTCGACAGTCTGTTTATCTTCTGTAATTAGTTTCAACGCACTATCTTGTTGTTTCTCCACGCTATTAAACTGCTCAACCAAAGTCGTGATGAGTGTTGTCTCAGTTCCTGTCGTATGTCCAATGCATCCATTTGTATCCAAAGCAGAAGCAAAAGGAGCTAAGTCAGCGATGACTACTTCATTGTTTAAATTGGTTGATACTTCACTGTAAATTTGTGTAGACATCGTTTGATCGTCCTGCTGTGAATAACCCGCCATGAATGTCTACAGCCGTACTGAGTCCCAGCTTGGTAACAGCAGCTTTTCTCAGGGCAAAAATAAGTTGATGTGGCACACATTGCATTTCTAAACCTATCGTCTATATCGTATTTAATTGAATATAACGACCACATCAATTTCTATCGGTAAGTGTAATGAGCAGCCGAATGCGCGACGAAGACGACGAGGAACTGGAAGATAACTTCTTACATGCAGATATTCCCAGTACCTTTCGTGAACTACGTGCCTGTATGACGTGCTCACTCATCAAGACTTTCACACAATTCTATGACACTGGCTGCGAGAATTGCGCCTTCTTACAGATGGCCGATAACCGTCAGCGTGTAGCCGAGTGCACCTCAGCCTATTTTGAAGGGTATGTTGCATCTCTTTTTTTCTAATAATTCGTTTTTTCATCGCTATCTTTAGTATCTTGTGCTGAAAATGTAATTGTGGTTGTATTAGTATGATTGCAATGATGCAGCCGAAGGAAAGCTGGGTTGCTAAGTGGCAGCGTATTGGTGCGTAGAAGGAGTCGTGCATTTAAGTGGTGGCTGTAGCAGCAAGCTAGTATTGTGTGTGTGAAGCTCACGTTATTCTATCTATTGTTATGTATATAGTTCGCTTGATTCCTGGAATCTATGCCGTATCTGTCTCTGGGGAGTTACCGGACTCGATCAAACGTTTTCTGGAGGACAGAAACATTCCCTATCGCGTGCAAAATTAGTTTGTCACAAGGTCAACGTCGTAATTTGCTTTGCTCCAAGCTTTTTTTTTAATGCAATCTAGCGTACAATTGCATTCAATGCTGATGGTTGACCAATGACACCAGTTAGAACTACTAACACAGCGCACAAACAAACGACCAATCTATGTCTGCATATTGACGTTCTTTTGGACTCGTTCTAGCTCAATGCAATGTAGTCTTACGTCTTCTTGATCAAGCCCGACGGGTAGCGAAAGCCGAAAGACTTTCGCGGTGCCGACAGGCCACTTGGAGACTTTGTCGAATCTGTCACGCAATTTCTTGTCAAACCTGCCGCGGTGGGTACCTTAGAAGAGCTCGGTGCAGATATGAAACGTTGTCGCTGGAAGAAAGACCGCACGGATGGCGACGTACTAGAAGTTGTTGTTGCAGCACTGGAAGAAGTCAAGGCCTCCAATTCTGGAGTAACGCCAGAGAAGGTTAAATTGACAGAACTCGCCGATGGTATACCATGCAAAGGTTGCAAGAGCGACCGTGGTCGAATGAGAGAATTAGAAGGCTTACTAGTAGTTACCGGAGCCAGCATAGAACTCCGCTGCAGTCGTGAGCTGGGCGTAAGCATCTTCGGCTGGCTAATGCACGACTTGGAAAGCGCAGTCTTTAAAGACGTCGCAGCACTAATGTCGGCTTCTTGGATATGTATAAAAGATGCAGAAGGCGCACCCTTCGTTTCAACTCCGCTTCCATTTATGGCGCCTGCACACTTGCTTTTGGTACCGGCGACGCGTTCACTAGGCACGCGTCCAAATGGGAGACCATCCGCTCTTCTCGTGGGAACTGGGTACTTAAAAGAAACGACTAAATCAAAATCTGCGCCATCATCGTCTGACAGCTCTGCCGCCAATATATCTTCCGGTCTGGCGTCGTTCATTATTAAATCAAACGTCAGTTTTGGGCCAGTAGTCACTAGATTAAAATTCTTTGAAGCCGAGTGTGTGTACGCTTGAAATTGGTGCGCAATCACATCAAAGAACCAATCGTCACTAAGCGAGTCGTCTCCCACAAGTGCCTGAAATATGACGTCAGAGTTGTCTTGATTCGCGTCGTGTATTGCTAAAGACAGCATGTCCATCGATGCAAAATGGGTCTTACTGCGCTCACAGTACTTTCTAATCCCAAATTTCTGCAAGAACGAAATACCAGCAGGAGGTACAGTCTCAGTCGTGTCCTCAGCGCAATAACAAGCGCTGTGAGAAATTCTGCTACTGTCCGACTGCTCACCTTGCTCTCCATTTACGACGTTACTTTGACTCAGCGACGTATCTTTTCTTAATGCTGGTAAATCACTCAAACTATTGTCTCCATCTTCATCGCCCTCTTCCTGCTTAGCTGATAGCCACTCATCTACGGGCTCAAACACGTCTTCCAAGTCCCCAAGAAGCGCAATTTCACCGCTTTCACTCCCCGATGTTGATCCCATCTCAGCATAATGGCTCTCAGTGGTGCTAAAACAAGCCATCGAATGCGAAGTGTGTTTGTCTTGCACCGTTCCAATGCCAGCGCCAGAAATAACAATCGCGCTATCATTCAACGCTGAAGGATAATCATGTAAACGTGCAGTCTGCACCTGTTTTGCCGCTTCAACCTCCATTAGAGTTAGTCTAGCGTTCTTAAAGTCAGTTTCATCCGCAGCTGCACGATTGCTTGCATTTTTACTTGCCACGAGGGAACCTGCAGAATCAGCAGCAATGTTGGCGCGCCCCGGAGTAAGACAATCTTTCAGCGATGGCTGGTTTGGTCGGTCATTGACCACTTTCACAACATCTTCATCATCGCTATTTCCAGAAAGCTTATCAGCAGCATCTGCGTCGGCTACAGCAATGCCAATCCGTTTCTGCAATGTAGTACTATCAGCCGGTGGTGCATCAGGTATACTTTGTTCCGGCCAAATCGGTCGCTTGTCCCATAGCTGAATAGGCTCCATACCCTTTATTTTAGCTTCCTCTTCGATAGCAAGCGCATAAATGCCATCATTGAAATCTGTTTCGTCACGCACATCATTAGCTGACCGAAAGCGCAAGTTACCATATTCAGATTTATCACTTTCGTCATCAGCTTTGCTAAGAATCGTTGACGGGGACCGAACCGATTCATCGCCCCATGTCTGCGCAAACTGCGAGGGCTTTGCAGTATCTCGTTCAGGATTTGCTACACAAATATTAACACAAGCTTTAATACCATCATCGGTGTGGGCAATAGCGAATTCGGCTATAACAGCAGGAGTATCGGCCGCGTCATTACTGACTACTTTATCAAAAACGGTTTGGGCTGGTTGATCACTCCCTGGCTGCTTCACATGCACGACCTCAGCACTGCCTTTCGCGCTTAATCTAGTAGCAGCGCCAACTTCGTCAGTGTAATCGTTAGTGCTACCATTAGCGCTCTGATCATCCGGTTGATCTCGTGCAGGTTCGTTCAATTGATCACCCTGAAACTCAAATTGATTTCCATTAGCGCGCTTGTCAACAGGGGATATAACAGTAACAATACTGACATCTCCATTGCACGTGTTCATGTCACCATCTACCTGTGTATCACTCCAATCTAAAGCAGTAGGCAGATTCCGACAATTGTCCCGCAATTCGACACTTCGCACGGGTTTCGTAATCTCTGCCACAATCTCGTTCGTCACATCATCAGGAGAATTGACCGCGGTAGCATCACCAATAGTACCAATCGTATCCTCCAACTTTGCTGCTATCTGACGTGAGTCGCCCAGTGACTGCAAATCAGATTCGAAAATAATATCCCTTGTCTCGCTTTCAGCAACTTTGCCAGAACTAGCACTACAGCTATTACACGCAAGCATTATTCTTGCTGGTCGTATTGGTCGATCATCCCACAAAAAGCCAGCCTCTGCGGCCCCCACGTTTTTGCTATCGGTAGTATCAGAAACAATCAACTTTGCTTGTAGAGGTACAGTATTTGTGATAACTTCAGTGATTGCATCAATTGGATCAAAAGAGCTAAGGGTGTAACCACCTTGTGAATATACATACTGCGCAGGTTCACCGTTTTCCGTACCCTCCACGTCGTTTGTCTTGCAACTAGTCGCATTAATACCATCACTAGCAACGTAATTGTCATCGTGCTCGATCTCGTTCAGTTTTGTTCGCACTGACTGAATCGATCGTGTACACCTAAGGTAGCTGGCTCGTTCATTCTCGACATTTGTGTCATCTAGATGCACACCTGCAGCATCTCCAGCAAGATCGTCAATGACATCTGCAACAGCAAGACCGCCAATGATATTTGCATCTGCAGGAAAACCAATGACATCTGCATCTGCAAGACCGTCAATGACTTCTGCATCGGCAACATCGTGTGCAATTTGTACAGAATGCAAGTGTGGATCAACCGAAGTTTGAAAAACAGGAGTCAATTCCACAACCTCGACATTAGTAATTACAGCAGATCTAGTGACAGAAGTGTCACCAACGTCATCGGTATTCTCAGTACGGATACCTGCAATATCACCAGAAGTGTCGTCGTCCACAGCCACTAGTTGTACAGAACGAAGTTGGCAATCTGCACAATCCGGCAAGCGCTTAACAGTACCCACATTTGCCGATGCATTAGGAAATCCGTCCACCGTGATAGTGGCATCCCCAGAGCTTATTTTTGCTACATCATCTGCCTCCGGCGCAGTAGTATTTTTGTAATCAGCATTTGGTACTACAGTAAAAGCAGTCGTATTGCTAGTCACCGGCAGCGTTACCATAGCTGTGTCTGCACACGAAGCTTGGTTTGAGGTACTCTCAATGTTGCCACTATCATCAAGATCCCCGTCCATTTCACAATTGCTCGAACATACGTCACGTGCCTCTCGCAATAGTTCCAACGCATCTGTTCGAAACATAATCCACGCTTTATTGAGGCTACCACCAACAATCTGTAGCCAGTTTCCACTACGAATGGTAACCTCCAACGTCTCGTTTCGGCTCAGGAGCCCTACCACTTGCGCCTGTTTCGACGGAAAATCTCGCACGGCAATCTGCGCTTCCTCAGGCAGCTCGTCATTAATCTCATAAAATGCATGAGAAGCTATAGATAACACCAATGCAACATATAGATCAGCTCTCTAATCCACATCAGTTATCATATCAGCGCACGTACTGCTGCACTCTTCGTGCTCAAGCCGTGTACATACAACCTGCAGGTCGTCTTTGTCAATCCACACGCTTTCCATTTCTGGGTGAAATATTCTGAGTCGTGTTTTGCTTTCCTCCATGATACAGTAGAGAAAATCAACGCTCTGTACTGTTCCTAAGCTCCTTGCCGCGTCTTGAGGCCCATCAAACATCAGCGTGACCGGATCCATTACCTCGCAGCAGCCACGGTAATAAGTTGTTTCCCAAGGTGAAACTAATGGCAATCCATCAGGCAATGATGTCATTATATAACCTTTTTCCATCTCGCCGGACGTCTTGTCTAGATACATCACTTGCAACCACGAAGGAGGAATGGCACCGTCATCATTTCCATAAGCTTGGAAGAATGGAGAGCACGTGGAGATAGCTCTACCTTGGGAAATACGACACATTTCAAAGGCATTACTATCAGGTGCAGAGCGGATACGCAGCTCTGCCTGCACTGGCAGACTAGGGTGAACGCAGTACCAGCGCATACTTGACTCGACCCAATTTTGGTGGATTTTAAAATCTAGAACAACCTGAAGTTTAAGAAAATAAGTGCAAAATAAGAAACAAAACAGCGCATCAAAACTGATGTCAGGTGATCAACATTCCTTCATGTACTTTATTAACCCGAATTCGTGATTGATGATAGTCAAACAAGTTGTATTGAATTCCTAAGAATTTATCTGTGTTCAAAGCAAAGGTACAACATAACTTTTTGCTTTTCTCAATGCAGTCGCCTTCTCGCTGCATACTCGACTTTTAGCCCAGGCAGAAGTAGTTAGATGCAATACTCAGCCCGTGAGCTTTTCGAATGGATTAATGCTTGTGTTGTAAACTCCATCAAAGACATTAGCCGTGCTCATAAGATAGTCTAAGAAATATGGCAAAAAAGCCATTTTCAACGCAGGCATCTCTGGGACACAGGACTTGTCAAGACGCTGCAAATCACCGTTGTTTGTTACGTATGATAGCTGTAGCTTCATGCCGCATAATCCATCCTCCGGGATATCCCAGGGGTACAAAAGTGTTCCTTCAACTGCATCCTCAAACGTGATAAACACTTTCTTGTCACCATCCAGTGCTTCCAGCAAAGATTCTGCATATTTAAGTGGTGCCAGCGGGTCCAACTTACTGTTCAGCAAAAGAACACTAGCATGAGGTGGAATCGATATGCTCTTGCTCCAATTCTCGTTGATCTCGTTGTAAGTAAGGCTGTTAGCAGCGTAATTTCCAACATTGAGTGACTCGCATATAGGTGATTTTTCTTTTGAAAAGGCACAGAACAGCGGGACCATTTTATGCATTTGTCCACCTGAGATTGTCACATTAATGAACCGCGAAGTCATTTCTGAAATAAATGGCGTCGGTCTTTCCCACATTTCAGAAAAGATGAGGAGGTAGTAAAGTAGAGACAAATCCAAGTCCATGTGTTCGCTCCAAAAGAGGTATTCCTTCAAATGCTTGTAAAAAATGTGTCAACACTTCAATTTCCAGGGATCGACAAGAGTGTGTTAGTAGACAAGAGGCAGGATAATTGTACGAAGGCCATCAATTTGAAGCATCGCTCCCAGAGTTCGCCGCAAGATATGCGAGGGCGGATCGCTGCTACCTTGGTCGCTATACAATGAGTTTCCAAGAACAGCACATGTCGACGTTGAATTTTGATCAAACTGCGTTAATAAATCTTGAATAGTGTCAGGCAGGCTTTTCGCCATAAATACTTGCTGCAGTCGCTTGACGTCGCGCACAACGCAAGGAAAGCATTACCCACTTCTCCATGATTGGTGTCCCTATCCGAATAATACGCTGTTTTGTCTCGAGGCGCTCCCAAGGTTGCGGCAATGCTATCCAAAACATATCCCGTCACTTTTGAGGGACCAACTTGCATCAAACTCTCCGCAACTTTAGTACCATAGCCGTAAGCATACACGAAAGTATTCGCTTCATTAGTGAATTCGAAAATGAAAGTTGCCAGATCCGACGCTGCGCTCATATAAGAAAAAGCCGAGGAGCTTCCGTACTTCATTTAAAAATCTTGAGCACAATCAGGGACGTCTAATGGGTCCAAAGACTTGGTGAAATCAACTTGTGCTGCGACGCAATCCAGCAATGTACTGCGACCAGTTCCACGTTGATCCATCGTATACACGTTCACCAATCCGTTCATTTGTTAATGTATGTCTACCATCGCGTCTTCATCTGCACAAAGAGGTTAGCATGTACAAGAAGATAGTAACTAAGTTAAAGAACGCCTTACATATAGCAGACGCACTCCCAGGATCTTGCGTGAGGTGTAGTACCTCGTTGCTTACTGCAAAGATATTGATACAAGGTACACAGAATCGGGTGTCTCACAAAGTACAGCATGACAAAGAGGCGCATTGAATGTAACGCATTCGGCTTTACGACCAGTAGATTGTCCGGATGATTCAAAAGTTTTCTTAGAGCGGATATGCCATCCATTCAACTTGGGGAGTAAGGAGCAAATCGAAGCATCAGAGAATTGAGCAGCCACCGCCACCAGAGAGATTGCTTGGTAAAGCTTCATTTTGGGATCGACTCATAAGTTTACCAGAAAATTGATTGTGTCAAGAAAGCTACTACGTGTGCCAGCACTAATTCTGGCTGCACTATTCACGTTGTTTGCGCATCCGCCTATACTTGATCTCTTTATACTCAGACAAGCATCACAAACATGAGCTAATAACTTACTAAACATGTGCATAATCCATAAAAATTCAATGCTGCGCTAAATCTTTCGAACCCATGACGCTCAGGTGTTGGCAATGCTATTCCACTACTTCTTTGGGGTCGTACTTGTTACTGACCTTTTTATACCTACACAGGGATCACAGACACGAGCATACTGCTGGTAAGCTTATTTAACATGCGCATCATCTTGAAAAAATGCAATGCTGGGCTGAATTTTTCGAACCCATGGCGATCAGGTCTTGGCAATGCTGTTTACTAGTTCTTTGGTGTCGTACTTGTCGCTGACCTTTTCATACCCAGATGGGAAGGATAAGAAGTATATCAAAGTTTATTGGTAAGACCTTATGTATCAATCTTGGCAATTTTTTTGCTCAGCACTGATATTTTCGGTCGTATGACGATCATTTTTTTGAGATGCAACAAGGCCCTATTTTAAAGGCTCACACTGTCTTTAGACGACTTCCTTTATAATTTTGCATGGCATGCAGTTTTAAAAGGCCAATAACTAGTAACCTTATCAAAACAAACGTATCTTGGCACTTCATTTGCTCAGCACTGGATACTTCGATCGTATAACGAATGCTACTGTTAAAGCAGCACGACCCTCGCACTTTCTACTTAGTCTTTTCTTTTTCATTTTCAATTTACAGCCAATCGACGATGAGCGTCGAGGCCAGTCTGATGCTGATATGGAGCCATCAAGAGGTGCACGGCTTGTACCTGTATATAGGCTTGACGTCACGTAGCACGCAAATGATAGTAAGACTTACATCTAGTACCTACCCGACAAGTCACGCAAGTAAAAAAACAAATTTTCGGATCCCTTGGTTTATGCTTGCTTCCTGTCGAGCATTACGTAGCGCGGATATCTACCTCGAGCATAGTACATCCTAAATGTTTAATGAAACGGAGTGCTAGAATTCAGCGGTAACTGAGATAATATGCAATCTTGATTCGCAAGTTTCAATAGCCTTACATTAAAAGGTAACATATGAAGTAACGTAAGTATAATTCCTAGTTCGCTTGCTACGTCTTACTTTTTTCGCTACGTCTAGTTTACATGCTGCATCAATCTTTCCTATATGTAAACCTATCGCTTGAATATTTTCACTGGATTCTTTACTCAAAAAGGAATCAGTATTAAACTCATCATCATTATGCTCGTCTCGCACACATATAGGTGCAATCTTGTCGCACCGGGTGACAAGTAAGATTAACTATAATGTGATTTGGCAGAAAAAATATCCTCTGATGTGAGCTCCACGTCATCATTCAATCAGTCTTGCAACCATTATGCAGCGCAACTTCAGGCTTTGCATTGGGGGAGAAAAGATTCCATAGCCCGGCCAAAATGATCAAAAAATATTGAAGCTTGTCTTTTATATGCAACCTGCGAAATAGGGTTGTCAATGTGCTGGGCATAACTTTGTCGAATGCCGTATAATTTTTTTGATAAAGGTCGCAAATTTGAATTTTTAGTACATCTATAAGAATAGCGTACTGACCAAACGATATTTTTCTCATTGGGCAATTGCAAGGTAGTAAGTAACCAGTCTCCCACTTCTTGTGCAGACTTCTTACATACTGTAACCATGCTGCGTCTCCCAGTCATCCTTGCCATCATCGCTGCGGTCTCGAACGCGGGCAAGCAACAACAGTTCGCTGGACTGTAAATACTAGCTAATAGGAAGACGTATTGAGCCTTTATGCCTCGTTTTCTTTTCGCCTTACCGTCCTTCATACATTGTCGCTTAACATAATTTCACTAACGCTTAGAACTGAAGCGACAGAGTGCGCCTATCCTTGTCGACTTCTCATAGTATGCCTTAAGACCGTGCAAGGTCGTGCGTTTGCTTGTACAAAATGTTCTGCAGCGCGTTTATATAAGAAGCACGTCCCTTACAATGACAACAAGTCAATATTATCAATGTGACGAGAAACAAAAACAGAGTGAGCGAGTCGATGAAGTGATAATCTACAGCATCGTCCTTTACCAGATCACGTTAGCAGTCAACTTTACGAAACTGTACATGCTATTCCTATAAGCCAGGTTCACCACCGAAATACGATGCGCCGATTAGACTATCTCATCACCGATCACGTTGCGCTTATCTTAGAGTATGGTGTCAGCGAAGACCAAGTAGTACTTGAATGTCACGACAAGCAAGAACTTAAACAAATGATGAATTAAATAAGATGCATTTATGTACAAAAGACACTGTATAAAGTAAGATGTTTGGTAGCTTATTGCAATTGATCTTTCATATGATATAGCCGGTCATTAAAGTGGCTACATTGACATTATCATCATCTTGGTAAGTTACAGTATCAAAACAAGTTTTGGGTTAAAAAGTGAGTGTTAATTCAGTATGCGGTAAATCCTTGAATACAAACGCTATGAATCAATTGCGCTCTATGACGCTAACAGTCGTGGCGCGAATTCTCGGCCTAAATAATATTAATGACGATAGCATTCGTGATATGCTGCCAGGATTGGAATTGCGTGTGCGAGAGGTTGTGCAAGATGCCATTGAATTTCAGCAGCATCCGCGAAGGTCTCAGTTGGATTTCACGCCCTTCATAAAGGCAGTTTCGATTGAATGAACACGTGTATGAATATGGAAGGCGGTAGGTATTGACTAACTAGCATTGCTCACAGGGTTTTAGCGCTTGGCAACGTCACTACAAGCCATGTTCAGACAGCGACTCATGGTTTTTTAATGGGGAACTTAAACTGCTGAACGCCATATTGGGTCACAATTCCTCTTAAACTGTACGTAATGTGCATTGGTTGGCTATAAATGTCTGGTAGCCACTCATTCGTGAGAATGAGCCCATTAAGAACAATACAATGTGTCATACATCGAACAAGGACGAAGCATTTGCTTAAAATGTAGACAGAACGCCTCGAGTGAAGAACGTGTTCATTGAGAAAATCTTGGCATTCATTGGCTGCTGCAATTCTTCTCAAGCTACATTTACGATTTAGTGAAGCACTGAAATCGCTATCTGTCGCTGCTTCCACTTATGCGAGCTTAACGCCGTCTTCATGTAATCCAGACGCTGTATGTGGAGCTGTATGTACGTGGTTGTTCTAGTTTAATTGTTTTTGCTTCACCCAACCTTGTTGGGCCAGTACCTCGTCACTAGGTGCTTGCACCTCGTTTTCCTCAAAGATAACATCAATTAATAACTTCACTCAACCCTCCAGGGTCAGTACCTCGTCGTTAGGTGCATGCACCTCGTTGTCCTCAAAGACAACATCCAGTTGTGACTACACCCGGTCCTCCAGGGTCAGTTCCTCGTCAACCATGTAACTTGAACTCATGTCCTGACATCTTGGCTTGCAGCCACCAACACCACACACGGTGTTTAATGATGCAACATGACACATCTCATATGTGGTTTCTCAACCACACTATCGACAGTCATTGGGCCTCGCCCAGGACTATTGTCCTCGACACTTACAGTGCCCACCAGGAGCATTGCGCGTTGCGCGTAAGGTCTTTGACCTCCGATCAATCCATGGCTCATGACGTTCTAGCCATGCGATGCCTAAGATGAGGTCATACCTCGCATCCAGGTCTAAGATCCAACAGCGTTCCATGCTGTTAAAGTCCAACAACTTTACAACTAAGTCCATCGAGACTTGGGTACCGTAACACGCGTAGCAGTCGCTAAGCGAAGTGTGACTGTGTCACTCTCACGCGCTACAAGCGCTTCAGCATACTTCTGACTACCTTCCACGGTGGCACGGTGCACATAATTGCCCGATGCCCCCGAATCGATCAAAAGGATCCATAGCTTATCATAGCCCTTAATCGTCCATTCGACGACTAGATAGCCTGGCTTGCATTCTCGTTACATTATTGAAAGTTTGGGTCTCTTTGGGGCTGGTCCCTGTTTACTTCTACCTCCTAGACGATCAAAAACTCAGTTCTTCCCCAGTAGGGCACCCCATGCATACCGGGTCCCGCCTTATCGCTGCGGCTTCGGCTATTCGAGGCCAAATACCTTTTTGCAGGACATTTTACCATCAAATAGCCTGTGCTTTTGCAGATATAGCATCTGCGCACAATTTACTGCCCCGCAGCTTGAATCTTAGCTTCTGTTTCGCTCGACTACAGCCCCTGGGAACAGACCCGTCAGACGAGTAGTTATAAGTGGCAGGCATAGCGGCTTTGAAGTTGGTCTCAGTATTCCATGACACTCCAACAGTTTCCTCGAATAAGGACGGGTTTACCCAGACGTCTTCCGTTCTGGCAACGCCAGCTCGAAGGCCCTCCATAAAGATCGTGACGGTCACTGCTTCAGGCATAGGGTCTATGACCATGGCATCAATGAGACTTCTAAACTCTTGTACATATTCCGCAAGCTCACGCTTGCCTTGGCGACATGCCAAAAACCGCGACCGATTACAATGTGCTTGGTTTGGCGGTGCATACTGCCGGGTCATCTGAACTTTCAGATCGGACCATGTGGGAAAAGCATCGTGCAGTGATGCACCACATGTGAATGCCCACTGTTTGGCTAAGCCACCTAACTTTCCCGTGGCAAATCTCGTACGGTTCATAGGTGATGTCGACTATAAACATAGCCGGCTCGACCTGTCGGAACCAAAGCATAAGGTTATCACCTTCTTTGCCGTCGAACTTATCGACTTCCATTTGTATGGGTTTTAGTCTGCGGACCACTTCTTGCACCATAGTCGCCATGGGCGAAGGCGCAGAAGAAGGCATCTGTGCCTTTACATGCTCAACTAGAGCTTTATGGTATTCATCAAGCATACGAATACGCTTGTTAACCTCTTCTTTGCCTTAGTCGATGAGGTACTTCACACCCTTAGGGCCAAGGTTTAAGGGTTTAGGCTTTAGGGCTTAGGCTTCAGGCCTTAGGCCTTAGGCCCTAGGCCTCAGGGCCCAGGCCCAGGCCCAGGCCTCAGGGCCTTAGGCTAGGCCCAGGCCTAGGCCCAGGCCTAGGCCTTAGGCCCAGGCCTAGGCCTTAGGGCCTAGGCTTAGGGCCTAGGGTTTAGGGTTTAGGGTTTAGGGTTTAGGGTTTAGGGTTATAGGGTTTAGGGTTTAGGGTTTAGGGTTTAGGGTTTAGGGTTTAGGGTTTAGGAGACGTCGTCGGGTCTTCACTGTTTGGCGCAAGGGTCAATGGGTCTACAGCAGTCGGAGCCGGTGTCGACGGGGCTACAGTAGACGGCGCATCGGTCGGATCTGAAGTCGTCGGCATCGGTGTCGGATGCGAAGTCGTAGGAGCAGGAGTCAACGGAGCTACAGTGTCCGGCGCATCTGTTGTTGCGGGTGACGTCGTTGGCGTAGACGTCGTCGGGTCTTCACTGTTTGGCGCAAGGGTCAATGGGTCTACAGCAGTCGGAGCCGGTGTCGACGGGGCTACAGTAGTCGGCGCATCGGTCGGATCTGAAGTCGTCGGCACCGGTGTCGGATGCGAAGTCGTAGGAGCAGGAGTCAACGGAGCTACAGTGTCCGGCGCATCTGTTGTTGCGGGTGACGTCGTTGGCGTAGACGTCGTCGGGTCTTCACTGTTTGGCGCAAGGGTCAATGGGTCTACAGCAGTCGGAGCCGGTGTCGACGGGGCTACAGTAGACGGCGCATCGGTCGGAGCTGAAGTCGTCGGCACCGGTGTCGGATGCGAAGTCGTAGGAGCAGGAGTCAACGGAGCTACAGTGTCCGGCGCATCTGTTGTTGCGGGTGACGTCGTTGGCGTAGACGTCGTCGGGTCTTCACTGTTTGGCGCAAGGGTCAATGGGTCTACAGCAGTCGGAGCCGGTGTCGACGGGGCTACAGTAGGCGGCGCATCGGTCGGAGCTGAAGTCGTCGGCACCGGTGTCGGATGCGAAGTCGTAGGAGCAGGAGTCAACGGAGCTACAGTGTCCGGCGCATCTGTTGTTGCGGGTGACGTCGTTGGCGTAGACGTCGTCGGGTCTTCACTGTTTGGCGCAAGGGTCAATGGGTCTACAGCAGTCGGAGTCGGTGTCGACGGGGCTACAGTAGGCGGCGCATCGGTCGGAGCTGAAGTCGTCGGCACCGGTGTCGGATGCAAAGTCGTAGGAGCAGGAGTCAACGGAGCTACAGTGTCCGGCGCATCTGTTGTTGCGGGTGACGTCGTTGGCGTAGACGTCGTCGGGTCTTCACTGTTTGGCGCAAGGGTCAATGGGTCTACAGCAGTCGGAGTCGGTGTCGACGGGGCTACAGTAGGCGGCGCATCGGTCGGATCTGAAGTCGTCGGCATCGGTGTCGGATGCAAAGTCGTAGGAGCAGGAGTCAACGGAGCTACAGTGTCCGACGCATCTGTTGTTGCGGGTGACGTCGTTGGCGTAGACGTCGTCGGGTCTTCACTGTTTGGCGCAAGGGTCAATGGGTCTACAGCAGTCGGAGCCGGTGTCGACGGGGCTACAGTAGTCGGCGCATCGGTCGGAGCTGAAGTCGTCGGCACCGGTGTCGGATGCGAAGTCGTAGGAGCAGGAGTCAACGGAGCTACAGTGTCCGGCGCATCTGTTGTTGCGGGTGACGTCGTTGGCGTAGACGTCGTCGGGTCTTCACTGTTTGGCGCAAGGGTCAATGGGTCTACAGCAGTCGGAGCCGGTGTCGACGGGGCTACAGTAGGCGGCGCATCGGTCGGATCTGAAGTCGTCGGCATCGGTGTCGGATGCGAAGTCGTAGGAGCAGGAGTCAACGGAGCTACAGTGTCCGGCGCATCTGTTGTTGCGGGTGACGTCGTTGGCGTAGACGTCGTCGGGTCTTCACTGTTTGGCGCAAGGGTCAATGGGTCTACAGCAGTCGGAGTCGGTGTCGACGGGGCTACAGTAGGCGGCGCATCGGTCGGAGCTGAAGTCGTCGGCACCGGTGTCGGATGCGAAGTCGTAGGAGCAGGAGTCAACGGAGCTACAGTGTCCGGCGCATCTGTTGTTGCGGGTGACGTCGTTGGCGTAGACGTCGTCGGGTCTTCACTGTTTGGCGCAAGGGTCAATGGGTCTACAGCAGTCGGAGCCGGTGTCGACGGGGCTACAGTAGGCGGCGCATCGGTCGGAGCTGAAGTCGTCGGCACCGGTGTCGGATGCGAAGTCGTAGGAGCAGGAGTCAACGGAGCTACAGTGTCCGGCGCATCTGTTGTTGCGGGTGACGTCGTTGGCGTAGACGTCGTCGGGTCTTCACTGTTTGGCGCAAGGGTCAATGGGTCTACAGCAGTCGGAGCCGGTGTCGACGGGGCTACAGTAGGCGGCGCATCGGTCGGAGCTGAAGTCGTCGGCACCGGTGTCGGATGCGAAGTCGTAGGAGCAGGAGTCAACGGAGCTACAGTGTCCGGCGCATCTGTTGTTGCGGGTGACGTCGTTGGCGTAGACGTCGTCGGGTCTTCACTGTTTGGCGCAAGGGTCAATGGGTCTACAGCAGTCGGAGCCGGTGTCGACGGGGCTACAGTAGACGGCGCATCGGTCGGAGCTGAAGTCGTCGGCACCGGTGTCGGATGCGAAGTCGTAGGAGCAGGAGTCAACGGAGCTACAGTGTCCGGCGCATCTGTTGTTGCGGGTGACGTCGTTGGCGTAGACGTCGTCGGGTCTTCACTGTTTGGCGCAAGGGTCAATGGGTCTACAGCAGTCGGAGCCGGTGTCGACGGGGCTACAGTAGACGGCGCATCGGTCGGAGCTGAAGTCGTCGGCATCGGTGTCGGATGCAAAGTCGTAGGAGCAGGAGTCAACGGAGCTACAGTGTCCGGCGCATCTGTTGTTGCGGGTGACGTCGTTGGCGTAGACGTCGTCGGGTCTTCACTGTTTGGCGCAAGGGTCAATGGGTCTACAGCAGTCGGAGCCGGTGTCGACGGGGCTACAGTAGGCGGCGCATCGGTCGGAGCTGAAGTCGTCGGCACCGGGCGGTGTCGGATGCAAAGTCGTAGGAGCAGGAGTCAACGGAGCTACAGTGTCCGGCGCATCTGTTGTTGCGGGTGACGTCGTTGGCGTAGACGTCGTCGGGTCTTCACTGTTTGGCGCAAGGGTCAATGGGTCTACAGCAGTCGGAGCCGGTGTCGACGGGGCTACAGTAGGCGGCGCATCGGTCGGAGCTGAAGTCGTCGGCACCGGTGTCGGATGCAAAGTCGTAGGAGCAGGAGTCAACGGAGCTACAGTGTCCGGCGCATCTGTTGTTGCGGGTGACGTCGTTGGCGTAGACGTCGTCGGGTCTTCACTGTTTGGCGCAAGGGTCAATGGGTCTACAGCAGTCGGAGTCGGTGTCGACTGGGCTACAGTAGGCGGCGCATCGGTCGGAGCTGAAGTCGTCGGCACCGGGGTGTCGGATGCAAAGTCGTAGGAGCAGGAGTCAACGGAGCTACAGTGTCCGACGCATCTGTTGTTGCGGGTGACGTCGTTGGCGTAGACGTCGTCGGGTCTTCACTGTTTGGCGCAAGGGTCAATGGGTCTACAGCAGTCGGAGTCGGTGTCGACGGGGCTACAGTAGGCGGCGCATCGGTCGGAGCTGAAGTCGTCGGCACCGGTGTCGGATGCAAAGTCGTAGGAGCAGGAGTCAACGGAGCTACAGTGTCCGACGCATCTGTTGTTGCGGGTGACGTCGTTGGCGTAGACGTCGTCGGGTCTTCACTGTTTGGCGCAAGGGTCAATGGGTCTACAGCAGTCGGAGCCGGTGTCGACGGGGCTACAGTAGACGGCGCATCGGTCGGATCTGAAGTCGTCGGCATCGGTGTCGGATGCAAAGTCGTAGGAGCAGGAGTCAACGGAGCTACAGTGTCCGACGCATCTGTTGTTGCGGGTGACGTCGTTGGCGTAGACGTCGTCGGGTCTTCACTGTTTGGCGCAAGGGTCAATGGGTCTACAGCAGTCGGAGTCGGTGTCGACGGGGCTACAGTAGATCGGCGCATCGGTCGGAGCTGAAGTCGTCGGCACCGGTGTCGGATGCAAAGTCGTAGGAGCAGGAGTCAACGGAGCTACAGTGTCCGGCGCATCTGTTGTTGCGGGTGACGTCGTTGGCGTAGACGTCGTCGGGTCTTCACTGTTTGGCGCAAGGGTCAATGGGTCTACAGCAGTCGGAGTCGGTGTCGACGGGGCTACAGTAGGCGGCGCATCGGTCGGAGCTGAAGTCGTCGGCACCGGTGTCGGATGCGAAGTCGTAGGAGCAGGAGTCAACGGAGCTACAGTGTCCGACGCATCTGTTGTTGCGGGTGACGTCGTTGGCGTAGACGTCGTCGGGTCTTCACTGTTTGGCGCAAGGGTCAATGGGTCTACAGCAGTCGGAGTCGGTGTCGACGGGGCTACAGTAGATCGGCGCATCGGTCGGAGCTGAAGTCGTCGGCATCGGTGTCGGATGCAAAGTCGTAGGAGCAGGAGTCAACGGAGCTACAGTGTCCGACGCATCTGTTGTTGCGGGTGACGTCGTTGGCGTAGACGTCGTCGGGTCTTCACTGTTTGGCGCAAGGGTCAATGGGTCTACAGCAGTCGGAGCCGGTGTCGACGGGGCTACAGTAGACGGCGCATCGGTCGGAGCTGAAGTCGTCGGCACCGGTGTCGGATGCAAAGTCGTAGGAGCAGGAGTCAACGGAGCTACAGTGTCCGACACATCTGTTGTTGCGGGTGACGTCGTTGGCGTAGACGTCGTCGGGTCTTCACTGTTTGGCGCAAGGGTCAATGGGTCTACAGCAGTCGGAGCCGGTGTCGACGGGGCTACAGTAGATCGGCGCATCGGTCGGAGCTGAAGTCGTCGGCACCGGTGTCGGATGCAAAGTCGTAGGAGCAGGAGTCAACGGAGCTACAGTGTCCGACGCATCTGTTGTTGCGGGTGACGTCGTTGGCGTAGACGTCGTCGGGTCTTCACTGTTTGGCGCAAGGGTCAATGGGTCTACAGCAGTCGGAGCCGGTGTCGACGGGGCTACAGTAGACGGCGCATCGGTCGGAGCTGAAGTCGTCGGCACCGGTGTCGGATGCAAAGTCGTAGGAGCAGGAGTCAACGGAGCTACAGTGTCCGGCGCATCTGTTGTTGCGGGTGACGTCGTTGGCGTAGACGTCGTCGGGTCTTCACTGTTTGGCGCAAGGGTCAATGGGTCTACAGCAGTCGGAGTCGGTGTCGACGGGGCTACAGTAGGCGGCGCATCGGTCGGAGCTGAAGTCGTCGGCACCGGTGTCGGATGCGAAGTCGTAGGAGCAGGAGTCAACGGAGCTACAGTGTCCGACGCATCTGTTGTTGCGGGTGACGTCGTTGGCGTAGACGTCGTCGGGTCTTCACTGTTTGGCGCAAGGGTCAATGGGTCTACAGCAGTCGGAGCCGGTGTCGACGGGGCTACAGTAGACGGCGCATCGGTCGGAGCTGAAGTCGTCGGCATCGGTGTCGGATGCGAAGTCGTAGGAGCAGGAGTCAACGGAGCTACAGTGTCCGACACATCTGTTGTTGCGGGTGACGTCGTTGGCGTAGACGTCGTCGGGTCTTCACTGTTTGGCGCAAGGGTCAATGGGTCTACAGCAGTCGGAGCCGGTGTCGACGGGGCTACAGTAGTCGGCGCATCGGTCGGAGCTGAAGTCGTCGGCATCGGTGTCGGATGCAAAGTCGTAGGAGCAGGAGTCAACGGAGCTACAGTGTCCGGCGCATCTGTTGTTGCGGGTGACGTCGTTGGCGTAGACGTCGTCGGGTCTTCACTGTTTGGCGCAAGGGTCAATGGGTCTACAGCAGTCGGAGTCGGTGTCGACGGGGCTACAGTAGACGGCGCATCGGTCGGAGCTGAAGTCGTCGGCACCGGTGTCGGATGCAAAGTCGTAGGAGCAGGAGTCAACGGAGCTACAGTGTCCGACGCATCTGTTGTTGCGGGTGACGTCGTTGGCGTAGACGTCGTCGGGTCTTCACTGTTTGGCGCAAGGGTCAATGGGTCTACAGCAGTCGGAGTCGGTGTCGACGGGGCTACAGTAGACGGCGCATCGGTCGGAGCTGAAGTCGTCGGCATCGGTGTCGGATGCGAAGTCGTAGGAGCAGGAGTCAACGGAGCTACAGTGTCCGGCGCATCTGTTGTTGCGGGTGACGTCGTTGGCGTAGACGTCGTCGGGTCTTCACTGTTTGGCGCAAGGGTCAATGGGTCTACAGCAGTCGGAGTCGGTGTCGACGGGGCTACAGTAGACGGCGCATCGGTCGGAGCTGAAGTCGTCGGCATCGGTGTCGGATGCAAAGTCGTAGGAGCAGGAGTCAACGGAGCTACAGTGTCCGGCGCATCTGTTGTTGCGGGTGACGTCGTTGGCGTAGACGTCGTCGGGTCTTCACTGTTTGGCGCAAGGGTCAATGGGTCTACAGCAGTCGGAGTCGGTGTCGACGGGGCTACAGTAGACGGCGCATCGGTCGGAGCTGAAGTCGTCGGCATCGGTGTCGGATGCAAAGTCGTAGGAGCAGGAGTCAACGGAGCTACAGTGTCCGACGCATCTGTTGTTGCGGGTGACGTCGTTGGCGTAGACGTCGTCGGGTCTTCACTGTTTGGCGCAAGGGTCAATGGGTCTACAGCAGTCGGAGTTGGTGTCGACGGGGCTACAGTAGACGGCGCATCGGTCGGAGCTGAAGTCGTCGGCATCGGTGTCGGATGCGAAGTCGTAGGAGCAGGAGTCAACGGAGCTACAGTGTCCGACGCATCTGTTGTTGCGGGTGACGTCGTTGGCGTAGACGTCGTCGGGTCTTCATTGTTTGGCGCAAGGGTCAATGGGTCTACAGCAGTCGGAGCCGGTGTCGACGGGGCTACAGTAGACGGCGCATCGGTCGGATCTGAAGTCGTCGGCATCGGTGTCGGATGCGAAGTCGTAGGAGCAGGAGTCAACGGAGCTACAGTGTCCGACGCATCTGTTGTTGCGGGTGACGTCGTTGGCGTAGACGTCGTCGGGTCTTCACTGTTTGGCGCAAGGGTCAATGGGTCTACAGCAGTCGGAGTCGGTGTCGACGGGGCTACAGTAGACGGCGCATCGGTCGGAGCTGAAGTCGTCGGCATCGGTGTCGGATGCGAAGTCGTAGGAGCAGGAGTCAACGGAGCTACAGTGTCCGACACATCTGTTGTTGCGGGTGACGTCGTTGGCGTAGACGTCGTCGGGTCTTCACTGTTTGGCGCAAGGGTCAATGGGTCTACAGCAGTCGGAGCCGGTGTCGACGGGGCTACAGTAGACGGCGCATCGGTCGGATCTGAAGTCGTCGGCACCGGTGTCGGATGCGAAGTCGTAGGAGCAGGAGTCAACGGAGCTACAGTGTCCGGCGCATCTGTTGTTGCGGGTGACGTCGTTGGCGTAGACGTCGTCGGGTCTTCACTGTTTGGCGCAAGGGTCAATGGGTCTACAGCAGTCGGAGTCGGTGTCGACGGGGCTACAGTAGACGGCGCATCGGTCGGAGCTGAAGTCGTCGGCACCGGTGTCGGATGCGAAGTCGTAGGAGCAGGAGTCAACGGAGCTACAGTGTCCGGCGCATCTGTTGTTGCGGGTGACGTCGTTGGCGTAGACGTCGTCGGGTCTTCACTGTTTGGCGCAAGGGTCAATGGGTCTACAGCAGTCGGAGCCGGTGTCGACGGGGCTACAGTAGACGGCGCATCGGTCGGAGCTGAAGTCGTCGGCACCGGTGTCGGATGCGAAGTCGTAGGAGCAGGAGTCAACGGAGCTACAGTGTCCGACGCATCTGTTGTTGCGGGTGACGTCGTTGGCGTAGACGTCGTCGGGTCTTCACTGTTTGGCGCAAGGGTCAATGGGTCTACAGCAGTCGGAGTCGGTGTCGACGGGGCTACAGTAGACGGCGCATCGGTCGGAGCTGAAGTCGTCGGCATCGGTGTCGGATGCGAAGTCGTAGGAGCAGGAGTCAACGGAGCTACAGTGTCCGACGCATCTGTTGTTGCGGGTGACGTCGTTGGCGTAGACGTCGTCGGGTCTTCACTGTTTGGCGCAAGGGTCAATGGGTCTACAGCAGTCGGAGCCGGTGTCGACGGGGCTACAGTAGACGGCGCATCGGTCGGAGCTGAAGTCGTCGGCACCGGTGTCGGATGCGAAGTCGTAGGAGCAGGAGTCAACGGAGCTACAGTGTCCGACGCATCTGTTGTTGCGGGTGACGTCGTTGGCGTAGACGTCGTCGGGTCTTCACTGTTTGGCGCAAGGGTCAATGGGTCTACAGCAGTCGGAGTCGGTGTCGACGGGGCTACAGTAGACGGCGCATCGGTCGGAGCTGAAGTCGTCGGCATCGGTGTCGGATGCGAAGTCGTAGGAGCAGGAGTCAACGGAGCTACAGTGTCCGGCGCATCTGTTGTTGCGGGTGACGTCGTTGGCGTAGACGTCGTCGGGTCTTCACTGTTTGGCGCAAGGGTCAATGGGTCTACAGCAGTCGGAGTCGGTGTCGACGGGGCTACAGTAGACGGCGCATCGGTCGGAGCTGAAGTCGTCGGCACCGGTGTCGGATGCGAAGTCGTAGGAGCAGGAGTCAACGGAGCTACAGTGTCCGACGCATCTGTTGTTGCGGGTGACGTCGTTGGCGTAGACGTCGTCGGGTCTTCATTGTTTGGCGCAAGGGTCAATGGGTCTACAGCAGTCGGAGCCGGTGTCGACGGGGCTACAGTAGTCGGCGCATCGGTCGGAGCTGAAGTCGTCGGCATCGGTGTCGGATGCGAAGTCGTAGGAGCAGGAGTCAACGGAGCTACAGTGTCCGGCGCATCTGTTGTTGCGGGTGACGTCGTTGGCGTAGACGTCGTCGGGTCTTCACTGTTTGGCGCAAGGGTCAATGGGTCTACAGCAGTCGAAGTCGGTGTCGACGGGGCTACAGTAGACGGCGCATCGGTCGGAGCTGAAGTCGTCGGCATCGGTGTCGGATGCGAAGTCGTAGGAGCAGGAGTCAACGGAGCTACAGTGTCCGGCGCATCTGTTGTTGCGGGTGACGTCGTTGGCGTAGACGTCGTCGGGTCTTCACTGTTTGGCGCAAGGGTCAATGGGTCTACAGCAGTCGGAGCCGGTGTCGACGGGGCTACAGTAGACGGCGCATCGGTCGGAGCTGAAGTCGTCGGCACCGGTGTCGGATGCGAAGTCGTAGGAGCAGGAGTCAACGGAGCTACAGTGTCCGGCGCATCTGTTGTTGCGGGTGACGTCGTTGGCGTAGACGTCGTCGGGTCTTCACTGTTTGGCGCAAGGGTCAATGGGTCTACAGCAATCGAAGTTGGTGTCGACGGGGCTACAGTAATCGGCGCATCGGTCGGAGCTGAAGTCGTCGGCATCGGTGTCGGATGCGAAGTCGTAGGAGCAGGAGTCAACGGAGCTACAGTGTCCGACGCATCTGTTGTTGCGGGTGACGTCGTTGGCGTAGACGTCGTCGGGTCTTCACTGTTTGGCGCAAGGGTCAATGGGTCTACAGCAGTCGGAGTCGGTGTCGACGGGGCTACAGTAGACGGCGCATCGGTCGGAGCTGAAGTCGTCGGCATCGGTGTCGGATGCGAAGTCGTAGGAGCAGGAGTCAACGGAGCTACAGTGTCCGGCGCATCTGTTGTTGCGGGTGACGTCGTTGGCGTAGACGTCGTCGGGTCTTCACTGTTTGGCGCAAGGGTCAATGGGTCTACAGCAATCGAAGTCGGTGTCGACGGGGCTACAGTAGACGGCGCATCGGTCGGAGCTGAAGTCGTCGGCATCGGTGTCGGATGCGAAGTCGTAGGAGCAGGAGTCAACGGAGCTACAGTGTCCGACGCATCTGTTGTTGCGGGTGACGTCGTTGGCGTAGACGTCGTCGGGTCTTCATTGTTTGGCGCAAGGGTCAATGGGTCTACAGCAGTCGAAGTCGGTGTCGACGGGGCTACAGTAGACGGCGCATCGGTCGGAGCTGAAGTCGTCGGCACCGGTGTCGGATGCGAAGTCGTAGGAGCAGGAGTCAACGGAGCTACAGTGTCCGACGCATCTGTTGTTGCGGGTGACGTCGTTGGCGTAGACGTCGTCGGGTCTTCATTGTTTGGCGCAAGGGTCAATGGGTCTACAGCAATCGAAGTTGGTGTCGACGGGGCTACAGTAGACGGCGCATCGGTCGGAGCTGAAGTCGTCGGCATCGGTGTCGGATGCAAAGTCGTAGGAGCAGGAGTCAACGGAGCTACAGTGTCCGGCGCATCTGTTGTTGCGGGTGACGTCGTTGGCGTAGACGTCGTCGGGTCTTCACTGTTTGGCGCAAGGGTCAATGGGTCTACAGCAATCGAAGTTGGTGTCGACGGGGCTACAGTAGACGGCGCATCGGTCGGAGCTGAAGTCGTCGGCACCGGTGTCGGATGCGAAGTCGTAGGAGCAGGAGTCAACGGAGCTACAGTGTCCGACGCATCTGTTGTTGCGGGTGACGTCGTTGGCGTAGACGTCGTCGGGTCTTCATTGTTTGGCGCAAGGGTCAATGGGTCTACAGCAATCGAAGTTGGTGTCGACGGGGCTACAGTAGACGGCGCATCGGTCGGAGCTGAAGTCGTCGGCATCGGTGTCGGATGCAAAGTCGTAGGAGCAGGAGTCAACGGAGCTACAGTGTCCGACGCATCTGTTGTTGCGGGTGACGTCGTTGGCGTAGACGTCGTCGGGTCTTCATTGTTTGGCGCAAGGGTCAATGGGTCTACAGCAGTCGGAGCCGGTGTCGACGGGGCTACAGTAGACGGCGCATCGGTCGGAGCTGAAGTCGTCGGCACCGGTGTCGGATGCGAAGTCGTAGGAGCAGGAGTCAACGGAGCTACAGTGTCCGACGCATCTGTTGTTGCGGGTGACGTCGTTGGCGTAGACGTCGTCGGGTCTTCACTGTTTGGCGCAAGGGTCAATGGGTCTACAGCAATCGAAGTTGGTGTCGACGGGGCTACAGTAGACGGCGCATCGGTCGGAGCTGAAGTCGTCGGCATCGGTGTCGGATGCGAAGTCGTAGGAGCAGGAGTCAACGGAGCTACAGTGTCCGGCGCATCTGTTGTTGCGGGTGACGTCGTTGGCGTAGACGTCGTCGGGTCTTCACTGTTTGGCGCAAGGGTCAATGGGTCTACAGCAGTCGGAGTCGGTGTCGACGGGGCTACAGTAGACGGCGCATCGGTCGGAGCTGAAGTCGTCGGCATCGGTGTCGGATGCGAAGTCGTAGGAGCAGGAGTCAACGGAGCTACAGTGTCCGACGCATCTGTTGTTGCGGGTGACGTCGTTGGCGTAGACGTCGTCGGGTCTTCATTGTTTGGCGCAAGGGTCAATGGGTCTACAGCAATCGAAGTTGGTGTCGACGGGGCTACAGTAGACGGCGCATCGGTCGGAGCTGAAGTCGTCGGCATCGGTGTCGGATGCGAAGTCGTAGGAGCAGGAGTCAACGGAGCTACAGTGTCCGGCGCATCTGTTGTTGCGGGTGACGTCGTTGGCGTAGACGTCGTCGGGTCTTCATTGTTTGGCGCAAGGGTCAATGGGTCTACAGCAGTCGAAGTCGGTGTCGACGGGGCTACAGTAGACGGCGCATCGGTCGGAGCTGAAGTCGTCGGCATCGGTGTCGGATGCGAAGTCGTAGGAGCAGGAGTCAACGGAGCTACAGTGTCCGGCGCATCTGTTGTTGCGGGTGACGTCGTTGGCGTAGACGTCGTCGGGTCTTCATTGTTTGGCGCAAGGGTCAATGGGTCTACAGCAATCGAAGTTGGTGTCGACGGGGCTACAGTAGACGGCGCATCGGTCGGAGCTGAAGTCGTCGGCATCGGTGTCGGATGCGAAGTCGTAGGAGCAGGAGTCAACGGAGCTACAGTGTCCGGCGCATCTGTTGTTGCGGGTGACGTCGTTGGCGTAGACGTCGTCGGGTCTTCACTGTTTGGCGCAAGGGTCAATGGGTCTACAGCAATCGGAGTTGGTGTCGACGGGGCTACAGTAGACGGCGCATCGGTCGGAGCTGAAGTCGTCGGCACCGGTGTCGGATGCGAAGTCGTAGGAGCAGGAGTCAACGGAGCTACAGTGTCCGGCGCATCTGTTGTTGCGGGTGACGTCGTTGGCGTAGACGTCGTCGGGTCTTCATTGTTTGGCGCAAGGGTCAATGGGTCTACAGCAGTCGGAGTTGGTGTCGACGGGGCTACAGTAGACGGCGCATCGGTCGGAGCTGAAGTCGTCGGCATCGGTGTCGGATGCAAAGTCGTAGGAGCAGGAGTCAACGGAGCTACAGTGTCCGGCGCATCTGTTGTTGCGGGTGACGTCGTTGGCGTAGACGTCGTCGGGTCTTCACTGTTTGGCGCAAGGGTCAATGGGTCTACAGCAATCGGAGTCGGTGTCGACGGGGCTACAGTAGACGGCGCATCGGTCGGAGCTGAAGTCGTCGGCATCGGTGTCGGATGCGAAGTCGTAGGAGCAGGAGTCAACGGAGCTACAGTGTCCGACGCATCTGTTGTTGCGGGTGACGTCGTTGGCGTAGACGTCGTCGGGTCTTCACTGTTTGGCGCAAGGGTCAATGGGTCTACAGCAGTCGGAGCCGGTGTCGACGGGGCTACAGTAGACGGCGCATCGGTCGGAGCTGAAGTCGTCGGCACCGGTGTCGGATGCGAAGTCGTAGGAGCAGGAGTCAACGGAGCTACAGTGTCCGGCGCATCTGTTGTTGCGGGTGACGTCGTTGGCGTAGACGTCGTCGGGTCTTCACTGTTTGGCGCAAGGGTCAATGGGTCTACAGCAATCGAAGTTGGTGTCGACGGGGCTACAGTAGACGGCGCATCGGTCGGAGCTGAAGTCGTCGGCATCGGTGTCGGATGCGAAGTCGTAGGAGCAGGAGTCAACGGAGCTACAGTGTCCGGCGCATCTGTTGTTGCGGGTGACGTCGTTGGCGTAGACGTCGTCGGGTCTTCATTGTTTGGCGCAAGGGTCAATGGGTCTACAGCAGTCGGAGTCGGTGTCGACGGGGCTACAGTAGACGGCGCATCGGTCGGAGCTGAAGTCGTCGGCATCGGTGTCGGATGCGAAGTCGTAGGAGCAGGAGTCAACGGAGCTACAGTGTCCGACGCATCTGTTGTTGCGGGTGACGTCGTTGGCGTAGACGTCGTCGGGTCTTCATTGTTTGGCGCAAGGGTCAATGGGTCTACAGCAGTCGAAGTTGGTGTCGACGGGGCTACAGTAGACGGCGCATCGGTCGGAGCTGAAGTCGTCGGCATCGGTGTCGGATGCGAAGTCGTAGGAGCAGGAGTCAACGGAGCTACAGTGTCCGGCGCATCTGTTGTTGCGGGTGACGTCGTTGGCGTAGACGTCGTCGGGTCTTCATTGTTTGGCGCAAGGGTCAATGGGTCTACAGCAGTCGGAGCCGGTGTCGACGGGGCTACAGTAGACGGCGCATCGGTCGGAGCTGAAGTCGTCGGCACCGGTGTCGGATGCGAAGTCGTAGGAGCAGGAGTCAACGGAGCTACAGTGTCCGACGCATCTGTTGTTGCGGGTGACGTCGTTGGCGTAGACGTCGTCGGGTCTTCACTGTTTGGCGCAAGGGTCAATGGGTCTACAGCAGTCGGAGTTGGTGTCGACGGGGCTACAGTAGACGGCGCATCGGTCGGAGCTGAAGTCGTCGGCATCGGTGTCGGATGCGAAGTCGTAGGAGCAGGAGTCAACGGAGCTACAGTGTCCGGCGCATCTGTTGTTGCGGGTGACGTCGTTGGCGTAGACGTCGTCGGGTCTTCATTGTTTGGCGCAAGGGTCAATGGGTCTACAGCAGTCGGAGTCGGTGTCGACGGGGCTACAGTAGACGGCGCATCGGTCGGAGCTGAAGTCGTCGGCATCGGTGTCGGATGCGAAGTCGTAGGAGCAGGAGTCAACGGAGCTACAGTGTCCGGCGCATCTGTTGTTGCGGGTGACGTCGTTGGCGTAGACGTCGTCGGGTCTTCACTGTTTGGCGCAAGGGTCAATGGGTCTACAGCAGTCGGAGCCGGTGTCGACGGGGCTACAGTAGACGGCGCATCGGTCGGAGCTGAAGTCGTCGGCATCGGTGTCGGATGCGAAGTCGTAGGAGCAGGAGTCAACGGAGCTACAGTGTCCGGCGCATCTGTTGTTGCGGGTGACGTCGTTGGCGTAGACGTCGTCGGGTCTTCACTGTTTGGCGCAAGGGTCAATGGGTCTACAGCAGTCGGAGTTGGTGTCGACGGGGCTACAGTAGACGGCGCATCGGTCGGATCTGAAGTCGTCGGCATCGGTGTCGGATGCGAAGTCGTAGGAGCAGGAGTCAACGGAGCTACAGTGTCCGGCGCATCTGTTGTTGCGGGTGACGTCGTTGGCGTAGACGTCGTCGGGTCTTCATTGTTTGGCGCAAGGGTCAATGGGTCTACAGCAGTCGGAGCCGGTGTCGACGGGGCTACAGTAGACGGCGCATCGGTCGGAGCTGAAGTCGTCGGCACCGGTGTCGGATGCGAAGTCGTAGGAGCAGGAGTCAACGGAGCTACAGTGTCCGGCGCATCTGTTGTTGCGGGTGACGTCGTTGGCGTAGACGTCGTCGGGTCTTCACTGTTTGGCGCAAGGGTCAATGGGTCTACAGCAGTCGAAGTCGGTGTCGACGGGGCTACAGTAGACGGCGCATCGGTCGGAGCTGAAGTCGTCGGCATCGGTGTCGGATGCGAAGTCGTAGGAGCAGGAGTCAACGGAGCTACAGTGTCCGGCGCATCTGTTGTTGCGGGTGACGTCGTTGGCGTAGACGTCGTCGGGTCTTCATTGTTTGGCGCAAGGGTCAATGGGTCTACAGCAGTCGAAGTCGGTGTCGACGGGGCTACAGTAGACGGCGCATCGGTCGGAGCTGAAGTCGTCGGCATCGGTGTCGGATGCGAAGTCGTAGGAGCAGGAGTCAACGGAGCTACAGTGTCCGGCGCATCTGTTGTTGCGGGTGACGTCGTTGGCGTAGACGTCGTCGGGTCTTCACTGTTTGGCGCAAGGGTCAATGGGTCTACAGCAGTCGGAGTCGGTGTCGACGGGGCTACAGTAGACGGCGCATCGGTCGGAGCTGAAGTCGTCGGCATCGGTGTCGGATGCAAAGTCGTAGGAGCAGGAGTCAACGGAGCTACAGTGTCCGGCGCATCTGTTGTTGCGGGTGACGTCGTTGGCGTAGACGTCGTCGGGTCTTCATTGTTTGGCGCAAGGGTCAATGGGTCTACAGCAGTCGGAGTTGGTGTCGACGGGGCTACAGTAGATCGGCGCATCGGTCGGAGCTGAAGTCGTCGGCATCGGTGTCGGATGCGAAGTCGTAGGAGCAGGAGTCAACGGAGCTACAGTGTCCGGCGCATCTGTTGTTGCGGGTGACGTCGTTGGCGTAGACGTCGTCGGGTCTTCACTGTTTGGCGCAAGGGTCAATGGGTCTACAGCAGTCGGAGCCGGTGTCGACGGGGCTACAGTAGACGGCGCATCGGTCGGAGCTGAAGTCGTCGGCACCGGTGTCGGATGCGAAGTCGTAGGAGCAGGAGTCAACGGAGCTACAGTGTCCGGCGCATCTGTTGTTGCGGGTGACGTCGTTGGCGTAGACGTCGTCGGGTCTTCACTGTTTGGCGCAAGGGTCAATGGGTCTACAGCAATCGAAGTTGGTGTCGACGGGGCTACAGTAGATCGGCGCATCGGTCGGAGCTGAAGTCGTCGGCACCGGTGTCGGATGCGAAGTCGTAGGAGCAGGAGTCAACGGAGCTACAGTGTCCGACGCATCTGTTGTTGCGGGTGACGTCGTTGGCGTAGACGTCGTCGGGTCTTCACTGTTTGGCGCAAGGGTCAATGGGTCTACAGCAGTCGGAGCCGGTGTCGACGGGGCTACAGTAGACGGCGCATCGGTCGGAGCTGAAGTCGTCGGCACCGGTGTCGGATGCGAAGTCGTAGGAGCAGGAGTCAACGGAGCTACAGTGTCCGGCGCATCTGTTGTTGCGGGTGACGTCGTTGGCGTAGACGTCGTCGGGTCTTCACTGTTTGGCGCAAGGGTCAATGGGTCTACAGCAGTCGAAGTCGGTGTCGACGGGGCTACAGTAGACGGCGCATCGGTCGGATCTGAAGTCGTCGGCATCGGTGTCGGATGCGAAGTCGTAGGAGCAGGAGTCAACGGAGCTACAGTGTCCGGCGCATCTGTTGTTGCGGGTGACGTCGTTGGCGTAGACGTCGTCGGGTCTTCATTGTTTGGCGCAAGGGTCAATGGGTCTACAGCAGTCGGAGTCGGTGTCGACGGGGCTACAGTAGACGGCGCATCGGTCGGAGCTGAAGTCGTCGGCATCGGTGTCGGATGCGAAGTCGTAGGAGCAGGAGTCAACGGAGCTACAGTGTCCGACGCATCTGTTGTTGCGGGTGACGTCGTTGGCGTAGACGTCGTCGGGTCTTCACTGTTTGGCGCAAGGGTCAATGGGTCTACAGCAGTCGGAGTCGGTGTCGACGGGGCTACAGTAGACGGCGCATCGGTCGGAGCTGAAGTCGTCGGCATCGGTGTCGGATGCGAAGTCGTAGGAGCAGGAGTCAACGGAGCTACAGTGTCCGGCGCATCTGTTGTTGCGGGTGACGTCGTTGGCGTAGACGTCGTCGGGTCTTCATTGTTTGGCGCAAGGGTCAATGGGTCTACAGCAGTCGGAGTCGGTGTCGACGGGGCTACAGTAGACGGCGCATCGGTCGGAGCTGAAGTCGTCGGCATCGGTGTCGGATGCGAAGTCGTAGGAGCAGGAGTCAACGGAGCTACAGTGTCCGACGCATCTGTTGTTGCGGGTGACGTCGTTGGCGTAGACGTCGTCGGGTCTTCACTGTTTGGCGCAAGGGTCAATGGGTCTACAGCAGTCGGAGTCGGTGTCGACGGGGCTACAGTAGACGGCGCATCGGTCGGAGCTGAAGTCGTCGGCATCGGTGTCGGATGCGAAGTCGTAGGAGCAGGAGTCAACGGAGCTACAGTGTCCGACGCATCTGTTGTTGCGGGTGACGTCGTTGGCGTAGACGTCGTCGGGTCTTCACTGTTTGGCGCAAGGGTCAATGGGTCTACAGCAGTCGGAGCCGGTGTCGACGGGGCTACAGTAGACGGCGCATCGGTCGGAGCTGAAGTCGTCGGCACCGGTGTCGGATGCGAAGTCGTAGGAGCAGGAGTCAACGGAGCTACAGTGTCCGGCGCATCTGTTGTTGCGGGTGACGTCGTTGGCGTAGACGTCGTCGGGTCTTCACTGTTTGGCGCAAGGGTCAATGGGTCTACAGCAGTCGGAGTCGGTGTCGACGGGGCTACAGTAGATCGGCGCATCGGTCGGAGCTGAAGTCGTCGGCATCGGTGTCGGATGCGAAGTCGTAGGAGCAGGAGTCAACGGAGCTACAGTGTCCGACGCATCTGTTGTTGCGGGTGACGTCGTTGGCGTAGACGTCGTCGGGTCTTCACTGTTTGGCGCAAGGGTCAATGGGTCTACAGCAGTCGGAGTCGGTGTCGACGGGGCTACAGTAGACGGCGCAACGGTCGGAGCTGAAGTCGTCGGCATCGGTGTCGGATGCGAAGTCGTAGGAGCAGGAGTCAACGGAGCTACAGTGTCCGACGCATCTGTTGTTGCGGGTGACGTCGTTGGCGTAGACGTCGTCGGGTCTTCACTGTTTGGCGCAAGGGTCAATGGGTCTACAGCAGTCGGAGCCGGTGTCGACGGGGCTACAGTAGACGGCGCATCGGTCGGAGCTGAAGTCGTCGGCATCGGTGTCGGATGCAAAGTCGTAGGAGCAGGAGTCAACGGAGCTACAGTGTCCGACGCATCTGTTGTTGCGGGTGACGTCGTTGGCGTAGACGTCGTCGGGTCTTCACTGTTTGGCGCAAGGGTCAATGGGTCTACAGCAGTCGGAGCCGGTGTCGACGGGGCTACAGTAGGCGGCGCATCGGTCGGAGCTGAAGTCGTCGGCATCGGTGTCGGATGCAAAGTCGTAGGAGCAGGAGTCAACGGAGCTACAGTGTCCGACGCATCTGTTGTTGCGGGTGACGTCGTTGGCGTAGACGTCGTCGGGTCTTCACTGTTTGGCGCAAGGGTCAATGGGTCTACAGCAGTCGGAGCCGGTGTCGACGGGGCTACAGTAGGCGGCGCATCGGTCGGATCTGAAGTCGTCGGCATCGGTGTCGGATGCAAAGTCGTAGGAGCAGGAGTCAACGGAGCTACAGTGTCCGACGCATCTGTTGTTGCGGGTGACGTCGTTGGCGTAGACGTCGTCGGGTCTTCACTGTTTGGCGCAAGGGTCAATGGGTCTACAGCAGTCGGAGCCGGTGTCGACGGGGCTACAGTAGACGGCGCATCGGTCGGAGCTGAAGTCGTCGGCACCGGTGTCGGATGCAAAGTCGTAGGAGCAGGAGTCAACGGAGCTACAGTGTCCGACGCATCTGTTGTTGCGGGTGACGTCGTTGGCGTAGACGTCGTCGGGTCTTCACTGTTTGGCGCAAGGGTCAATGGGTCTACAGCAGTCGGAGTCGGTGTCGACGGGGCTACAGTAGACGGCGCAACGGTCGGAGCTGAAGTCGTCGGCATCGGTGTCGGATGCAAAGTCGTAGGAGCAGGAGTCAACGGAGCTACAGTGTCCGACGCATCTGTTGTTGCGGGTGACGTCGTTGGCGTAGACGTCGTCGGGTCTTCACTGTTTGGCGCAAGGGTCAATGGGTCTACAGCAGTCGGAGTCGGTGTCGACGGGGCTACAGTAGACGGCGCATCGGTCGGAGCTGAAGTCGTCGGCATCGGTGTCGGATGCAAAGTCGTAGGAGCAGGAGTCAACGGAGCTACAGTGTCCGACGCATCTGTTGTTGCGGGTGACGTCGTTGGCGTAGACGTCGTCGGGTCTTCACTGTTTGGCGCAAGGGTCAATGGGTCTACAGCAGTCGGAGCCGGTGTCGACGGGGCTACAGTAGACGGCGCATCGGTCGGAGCTGAAGTCGTCGGCATCGGTGTCGGATGCAAAGTCGTAGGAGCAGGAGTCAACGGAGCTACAGTGTCCGACGCATCTGTTGTTGCGGGTGACGTCGTTGGCGTAGACGTCGTCGGGTCTTCACTGTTTGGCGCAAGGGTCAATGGGTCTACAGCAGTCGGAGCCGGTGTCGACGGGGCTACAGTAGACGGCGCATCGGTCGGAGCTGAAGTCGTCGGCATCGGTGTCGGATGCGAAGTCGTAGGAGCAGGAGTCAACGGAGCTACAGTGTCCGACGCATCTGTTGTTGCGGGTGACGTCGTTGGCGTAGACGTCGTCGGGTCTTCACTGTTTGGCGCAAGGGTCAATGGGTCTACAGCAGTCGGAGCCGGTGTCGACGGGGCTACAGTAGACGGCGCATCGGTCGGAGCTGAAGTCGTCGGCATCGGTGTCGGATGCAAAGTCGTAGGAGCAGGAGTCAACGGAGCTACAGTGTCCGACGCATCTGTTGTTGCGGGTGACGTCGTTGGCGTAGACGTCGTCGGGTCTTCACTGTTTGGCGCAAGGGTCAATGGGTCTACAGCAGTCGGAGCCGGTGTCGACGGGGCTACAGTAGTCGGCGCATCGGTCGGAGCTGAAGTCGTCGGCATCGGTGTCGGATGCGAAGTCGTAGGAGCAGGAGTCAACGGAGCTACAGTGTCCGACGCATCTGTTGTTGCGGGTGACGTCGTTGGCGTAGACGTCGTCGGGTCTTCACTGTTTGGCGCAAGGGTCAATGGGTCTACAGCAGTCGGAGTCGGTGTCGACGGGGCTACAGTAGACGGCGCAACGGTCGGAGCTGAAGTCGTCGGCATCGGTGTCGGATGCAAAGTCGTAGGAGCAGGAGTCAACGGAGCTACAGTGTCCGACGCATCTGTTGTTGCGGGTGACGTCGTTGGCGTAGACGTCGTCGGGTCTTCACTGTTTGGCGCAAGGGTCAATGGGTCTACAGCAGTCGGAGCCGGTGTCGACGGGGCTACAGTAGACGGCGCAACGGTCGGAGCTGAAGTCGTCGGCATCGGTGTCGGATGCAAAGTCGTAGGAGCAGGAGTCAACGGAGCTACAGTGTCCGACGCATCTGTTGTTGCGGGTGACGTCGTTGGCGTAGACGTCGTCGGGTCTTCACTGTTTGGCGCAAGGGTCAATGGGTCTACAGCAGTCGGAGCCGGTGTCGACGGGGCTACAGTAGACGGCGCAACGGTCGGAGCTGAAGTCGTCGGCATCGGTGTCGGATGCAAAGTCGTAGGAGCAGGAGTCAACGGAGCTACAGTGTCCGACGCATCTGTTGTTGCGGGTGACGTCGTTGGCGTAGACGTCGTCGGGTCTTCACTGTTTGGCGCAAGGGTCAATGGGTCTACAGCAGTCGGAGCCGGTGTCGACGGGGCTACAGTAGACGGCGCATCGGTCGGAGCTGAAGTCGTCGGCATCGGTGTCGGATGCAAAGTCGTAGGAGCAGGAGTCAACGGAGCTACAGTGTCCGACGCATCTGTTGTTGCGGGTGACGTCGTTGGCGTAGACGTCGTCGGGTCTTCACTGTTTGGCGCAAGGGTCAATGGGTCTACAGCAGTCGGAGTCGGTGTCGACGGGGCTACAGTAGGCGGCGCATCGGTCGGAGCTGAAGTCGTCGGCACCGGTGTCGGATGCAAAGTCGTAGGAGCAGGAGTCAACGGAGCTACAGTGTCCGACGCATCTGTTGTTGCGGGTGACGTCGTTGGCGTAGACGTCGTCGGGTCTTCACTGTTTGGCGCAAGGGTCAATGGGTCTACAGCAGTCGGAGCCGGTGTCGACGGGGCTACAGTAGACGGCGCATCGGTCGGAGCTGAAGTCGTCGGCATCGGTGTCGGATGCAAAGTCGTAGGAGCAGGAGTCAACGGAGCTACAGTGTCCGACGCATCTGTTGTTGCGGGTGACGTCGTTGGCGTAGACGTCGTCGGGTCTTCACTGTTTGGCGCAAGGGTCAATGGGTCTACAGCAGTCGGAGTCGGTGTCGACGGGGCTACAGTAGGCGGCGCATCGGTCGGAGCTGAAGTCGTCGGCATCGGTGTCGGATGCGAAGTCGTAGGAGCAGGAGTCAACGGAGCTACAGTGTCCGACGCATCTGTTGTTGCGGGTGACGTCGTTGGCGTAGACGTCGTCGGGTCTTCACTGTTTGGCGCAAGGGTCAATGGGTCTACAGCAGTCGGAGTCGGTGTCGACGGGGCTACAGTAGACGGCGCAACGGTCGGAGCTGAAGTCGTCGGCATCGGTGTCGGATGCAAAGTCGTAGGAGCAGGAGTCAACGGAGCTACAGTGTCCGACACATCTGTTGTTGCGGGTGACGTCGTTGGCGTAGACGTCGTCGGGTCTTCACTGTTTGGCGCAAGGGTCAATGGGTCTACAGCAGTCGGAGCCGGTGTCGACGGGGCTACAGTAGACGGCGCATCGGTCGGAGCTGAAGTCGTCGGCATCGGTGTCGGATGCAAAGTCGTAGGAGCAGGAGTCAACGGAGCTACAGTGTCCGACGCATCTGTTGTTGCGGGTGACGTCGTTGGCGTAGACGTCGTCGGGTCTTCACTGTTTGGCGCAAGGGTCAATGGGTCTACAGCAGTCGGAGCCGGTGTCGACGGGGCTACAGTAGACGGCGCATCGGTCGGAGCTGAAGTCGTCGGCATCGGTGTCGGATGCAAAGTCGTAGGAGCAGGAGTCAACGGAGCTACAGTGTCCGACACATCTGTTGTTGCGGGTGACGTCGTTGGCGTAGACGTCGTCGGGTCTTCACTGTTTGGCGCAAGGGTCAATGGGTCTACAGCAGTCGGAGTCGGTGTCGACGGGGCTACAGTAGACGGCGCATCGGTCGGAGCTGAAGTCGTCGGCATCGGTGTCGGATGCAAAGTCGTAGGAGCAGGAGTCAACGGAGCTACAGTGTCCGACGCATCTGTTGTTGCGGGTGACGTCGTTGGCGTAGACGTCGTCGGGTCTTCACTGTTTGGCGCAAGGGTCAATGGGTCTACAGCAGTCGGAGCCGGTGTCGACGGGGCTACAGTAGACGGCGCATCGGTCGGAGCTGAAGTCGTCGGCACCGGTGTCGGATGCAAAGTCGTAGGAGCAGGAGTCAACGGAGCTACAGTGTCCGACGCATCTGTTGTTGCGGGTGACGTCGTTGGCGTAGACGTCGTCGGGTCTTCACTGTTTGGCGCAAGGGTCAATGGGTCTACAGCAGTCGGAGTCGGTGTCGACGGGGCTACAGTAGACGGCGCAACGGTCGGAGCTGAAGTCGTCGGCATCGGTGTCGGATGCAAAGTCGTAGGAGCAGGAGTCAACGGAGCTACAGTGTCCGACGCATCTGTTGTTGCGGGTGACGTCGTTGGCGTAGACGTCGTCGGGTCTTCACTGTTTGGCGCAAGGGTCAATGGGTCTACAGCAGTCGGAGTCGGTGTCGACGGGGCTACAGTAGACGGCGCATCGGTCGGAGCTGAAGTCGTCGGCATCGGTGTCGGATGCAAAGTCGTAGGAGCAGGAGTCAACGGAGCTACAGTGTCCGACGCATCTGTTGTTGCGGGTGACGTCGTTGGCGTAGACGTCGTCGGGTCTTCACTGTTTGGCGCAAGGGTCAATGGGTCTACAGCAGTCGGAGCCGGTGTCGACGGGGCTACAGTAGACGGCGCATCGGTCGGAGCTGAAGTCGTCGGCATCGGTGTCGGATGCAAAGTCGTAGGAGCAGGAGTCAACGGAGCTACAGTGTCCGACGCATCTGTTGTTGCGGGTGACGTCGTTGGCGTAGACGTCGTCGGGTCTTCACTGTTTGGCGCAAGGGTCAATGGGTCTACAGCAGTCGGAGCCGGTGTCGACGGGGCTACAGTAGACGGCGCATCGGTCGGAGCTGAAGTCGTCGGCATCGGTGTCGGATGCAAAGTCGTAGGAGCAGGAGTCAACGGAGCTACAGTGTCCGACGCATCTGTTGTTGCGGGTGACGTCGTTGGCGTAGACGTCGTCGGGTCTTCACTGTTTGGCGCAAGGGTCAATGGGTCTACAGCAGTCGGAGTCGGTGTCGACGGGGCTACAGTAGACGGCGCATCGGTCGGAGCTGAAGTCGTCGGCATCGGTGTCGGATGCAAAGTCGTAGGAGCAGGAGTCAACGGAGCTACAGTGTCCGACGCATCTGTTGTTGCGGGTGACGTCGTTGGCGTAGACGTCGTCGGGTCTTCACTGTTTGGCGCAAGGGTCAATGGGTCTACAGCAGTCGGAGTCGGTGTCGACGGGGCTACAGTAGACGGCGCATCGGTCGGAGCTGAAGTCGTCGGCATCGGTGTCGGATGCGAAGTCGTAGGAGCAGGAGTCAACGGAGCTACAGTGTCCGACGCATCTGTTGTTGCGGGTGACGTCGTTGGCGTAGACGTCGTCGGGTCTTCACTGTTTGGCGCAAGGGTCAATGGGTCTACAGCAGTCGGAGTCGGTGTCGACGGGGCTACAGTAGACGGCGCATCGGTCGGAGCTGAAGTCGTCGGCATCGGTGTCGGATGCGAAGTCGTAGGAGCAGGAGTCAACGGAGCTACAGTGTCCGACGCATCTGTTGTTGCGGGTGACGTCGTTGGCGTAGACGTCGTCGGGTCTTCACTGTTTGGCGCAAGGGTCAATGGGTCTACAGCAGTCGGAGTCGGTGTCGACGGGGCTACAGTAGACGGCGCATCGGTCGGAGCTGAAGTCGTCGGCACCGGTGTCGGATGCGAAGTCGTAGGAGCAGGAGTCAACGGAGCTACAGTGTCCGACGCATCTGTTGTTGCGGGTGACGTCGTTGGCGTAGACGTCGTCGGGTCTTCACTGTTTGGCGCAAGGGTCAATGGGTCTACAGCAGTCGGAGTCGGTGTCGACGGGGCTACAGTAGACGGCGCATCGGTCGGAGCTGAAGTCGTCGGCACCGGTGTCGGATGCGAAGTCGTAGGAGCAGGAGTCAACGGAGCTACAGTGTCCGACGCATCTGTTGTTGCGGGTGACGTCGTTGGCGTAGACGTCGTCGGGTCTTCACTGTTTGGCGCAAGGGTCAATGGGTCTACAGCAGTCGGAGCCGGTGTCGACGGGGCTACAGTAGACGGCGCATCGGTCGGAGCTGAAGTCGTCGGCATCGGTGTCGGATGCGAAGTCGTAGGAGCAGGAGTCAACGGAGCTACAGTGTCCGACGCATCTGTTGTTGCGGGTGACGTCGTTGGCGTAGACGTCGTCGGGTCTTCACTGTTTGGCGCAAGGGTCAATGGGTCTACAGCAGTCGGAGTCGGTGTCGACGGGGCTACAGTAGGCGGCGCATCGGTCGGAGCTGAAGTCGTCGGCATCGGTGTCGGATGCGAAGTCGTAGGAGCAGGAGTCAACGGAGCTACAGTGTCCGACGCATCTGTTGTTGCGGGTGACGTCGTTGGCGTAGACGTCGTCGGGTCTTCACTGTTTGGCGCAAGGGTCAATGGGTCTACAGCAGTCGGAGCCGGTGTCGACGGGGCTACAGTAGACGGCGCATCGGTCGGAGCTGAAGTCGTCGGCATCGGTGTCGGATGCGAAGTCGTAGGAGCAGGAGTCAACGGAGCTACAGTGTCCGACGCATCTGTTGTTGCGGGTGACGTCGTTGGCGTAGACGTCGTCGGGTCTTCACTGTTTGGCGCAAGGGTCAATGGGTCTACAGCAGTCGGAGCCGGTGTCGACGGGGCTACAGTAGACGGCGCATCGGTCGGAGCTGAAGTCGTCGGCATCGGTGTCGGATGCGAAGTCGTAGGAGCAGGAGTCAACGGAGCTACAGTGTCCGACGCATCTGTTGTTGCGGGTGACGTCGTTGGCGTAGACGTCGTCGGGTCTTCACTGTTTGGCGCAAGGGTCAATGGGTCTACAGCAGTCGGAGCCGGTGTCGACGGGGCTACAGTAGACGGCGCATCGGTCGGAGCTGAAGTCGTCGGCATCGGTGTCGGATGCGAAGTCGTAGGAGCAGGAGTCAACGGAGCTACAGTGTCCGACGCATCTGTTGTTGCGGGTGACGTCGTTGGCGTAGACGTCGTCGGGTCTTCACTGTTTGGCGCAAGGGTCAATGGGTCTACAGCAGTCGGAGTCGGTGTCGACGGGGCTACAGTAGACGGCGCATCGGTCGGAGCTGAAGTCGTCGGCATCGGTGTCGGATGCGAAGTCGTAGGAGCAGGAGTCAACGGAGCTACAGTGTCCGACGCATCTGTTGTTGCGGGTGACGTCGTTGGCGTAGACGTCGTCGGGTCTTCACTGTTTGGCGCAAGGGTCAATGGGTCTACAGCAGTCGGAGTCGGTGTCGACGGGGCTACAGTAGACGGCGCATCGGTCGGAGCTGAAGTCGTCGGCACCGGTGTCGGATGCGAAGTCGTAGGAGCAGGAGTCAACGGAGCTACAGTGTCCGACGCATCTGTTGTTGCGGGTGACGTCGTTGGCGTAGACGTCGTCGGGTCTTCACTGTTTGGCGCAAGGGTCAATGGGTCTACAGCAGTCGGAGCCGGTGTCGACGGGGCTACAGTAGACGGCGCATCGGTCGGAGCTGAAGTCGTCGGCATCGGTGTCGGATGCGAAGTCGTAGGAGCAGGAGTCAACGGAGCTACAGTGTCCGACGCATCTGTTGTTGCGGGTGACGTCGTTGGCGTAGACGTCGTCGGGTCTTCACTGTTTGGCGCAAGGGTCAATGGGTCTACAGCAGTCGGAGTCGGTGTCGACGGGGCTACAGTAGACGGCGCATCGGTCGGAGCTGAAGTCGTCGGCATCGGTGTCGGATGCGAAGTCGTAGGAGCAGGAGTCAACGGAGCTACAGTGTCCGACGCATCTGTTGTTGCGGGTGACGTCGTTGGCGTAGACGTCGTCGGGTCTTCACTGTTTGGCGCAAGGGTCAATGGGTCTACAGCAGTCGGAGCCGGTGTCGACGGGGCTACAGTAGACGGCGCATCGGTCGGAGCTGAAGTCGTCGGCATCGGTGTCGGATGCGAAGTCGTAGGAGCAGGAGTCAACGGAGCTACAGTGTCCGACGCATCTGTTGTTGCGGGTGACGTCGTTGGCGTAGACGTCGTCGGGTCTTCACTGTTTGGCGCAAGGGTCAATGGGTCTACAGCAGTCGGAGTCGGTGTCGACGGGGCTACAGTAGACGGCGCATCGGTCGGAGCTGAAGTCGTCGGCATCGGTGTCGGATGCGAAGTCGTAGGAGCAGGAGTCAACGGAGCTACAGTGTCCGACGCATCTGTTGTTGCGGGTGACGTCGTTGGCGTAGACGTCGTCGGGTCTTCACTGTTTGGCGCAAGGGTCAATGGGTCTACAGCAGTCGGAGCCGGTGTCGACGGGGCTACAGTAGACGGCGCATCGGTCGGAGCTGAAGTCGTCGGCATCGGTGTCGGATGCGAAGTCGTAGGAGCAGGAGTCAACGGAGCTACAGTGTCCGACGCATCTGTTGTTGCGGGTGACGTCGTTGGCGTAGACGTCGTCGGGTCTTCACTGTTTGGCGCAAGGGTCAATGGGTCTACAGCAGTCGGAGCCGGTGTCGACGGGGCTACAGTAGACGGCGCATCGGTCGGAGCTGAAGTCGTCGGCATCGGTGTCGGATGCGAAGTCGTAGGAGCAGGAGTCAACGGAGCTACAGTGTCCGACGCATCTGTTGTTGCGGGTGACGTCGTTGGCGTAGACGTCGTCGGGTCTTCACTGTTTGGCGCAAGGGTCAATGGGTCTACAGCAGTCGGAGCCGGTGTCGACGGGGCTACAGTAGACGGCGCATCGGTCGGAGCTGAAGTCGTCGGCATCGGTGTCGGATGCGAAGTCGTAGGAGCAGGAGTCAACGGAGCTACAGTGTCCGACGCATCTGTTGTTGCGGGTGACGTCGTTGGCGTAGACGTCGTCGGGTCTTCACTGTTTGGCGCAAGGGTCAATGGGTCTACAGCAGTCGGAGCCGGTGTCGACGGGGCTACAGTAGACGGCGCATCGGTCGGAGCTGAAGTCGTCGGCATCGGTGTCGGATGCGAAGTCGTAGGAGCAGGAGTCAACGGAGCTACAGTGTCCGACGCATCTGTTGTTGCGGGTGACGTCGTTGGCGTAGACGTCGTCGGGTCTTCACTGTTTGGCGCAAGGGTCAATGGGTCTACAGCAGTCGGAGTCGGTGTCGACGGGGCTACAGTAGACGGCGCATCGGTCGGAGCTGAAGTCGTCGGCATCGGTGTCGGATGCGAAGTCGTAGGAGCAGGAGTCAACGGAGCTACAGTGTCCGACGCATCTGTTGTTGCGGGTGACGTCGTTGGCGTAGACGTCGTCGGGTCTTCACTGTTTGGCGCAAGGGTCAATGGGTCTACAGCAGTCGGAGCCGGTGTCGACGGGGCTACAGTAGACGGCGCATCGGTCGGAGCTGAAGTCGTCGGCATCGGTGTCGGATGCGAAGTCGTAGGAGCAGGAGTCAACGGAGCTACAGTGTCCGACGCATCTGTTGTTGCGGGTGACGTCGTTGGCGTAGACGTCGTCGGGTCTTCACTGTTTGGCGCAAGGGTCAATGGGTCTACAGCAGTCGGAGTCGGTGTCGACGGGGCTACAGTAGACGGCGCATCGGTCGGAGCTGAAGTCGTCGGCATCGGTGTCGGATGCGAAGTCGTAGGAGCAGGAGTCAACGGAGCTACAGTGTCCGACGCATCTGTTGTTGCGGGTGACGTCGTTGGCGTAGACGTCGTCGGGTCTTCACTGTTTGGCGCAAGGGTCAATGGGTCTACAGCAGTCGGAGCCGGTGTCGACGGGGCTACAGTAGACGGCGCATCGGTCGGAGCTGAAGTCGTCGGCATCGGTGTCGGATGCGAAGTCGTAGGAGCAGGAGTCAACGGAGCTACAGTGTCCGACGCATCTGTTGTTGCGGGTGACGTCGTTGGCGTAGACGTCGTCGGGTCTTCACTGTTTGGCGCAAGGGTCAATGGGTCTACAGCAGTCGGAGCCGGTGTCGACGGGGCTACAGTAGACGGCGCATCGGTCGGAGCTGAAGTCGTCGGCATCGGTGTCGGATGCGAAGTCGTAGGAGCAGGAGTCAACGGAGCTACAGTGTCCGACGCATCTGTTGTTGCGGGTGACGTCGTTGGCGTAGACGTCGTCGGGTCTTCACTGTTTGGCGCAAGGGTCAATGGGTCTACAGCAGTCGGAGTCGGTGTCGACGGGGCTACAGTAGACGGCGCATCGGTCGGATCTGAAGTCGTCGGCATCGGTGTCGGATGCGAAGTCGTAGGAGCAGGAGTCAACGGAGCTACAGTGTCCGACGCATCTGTTGTTGCGGGTGACGTCGTTGGCGTAGACGTCGTCGGGTCTTCACTGTTTGGCGCAAGGGTCAATGGGTCTACAGCAGTCGGAGCCGGTGTCGACGGGGCTACAGTAGGCGGCGCATCGGTCGGAGCTGAAGTCGTCGGCATCGGTGTCGGATGCGAAGTCGTAGGAGCAGGAGTCAACGGAGCTACAGTGTCCGACGCATCTGTTGTTGCGGGTGACGTCGTTGGCGTAGACGTCGTCGGGTCTTCACTGTTTGGCGCAAGGGTCAATGGGTCTACAGCAGTCGGAGTCGGTGTCGACGGGGCTACAGTAGACGGCGCATCGGTCGGATCTGAAGTCGTCGGCATCGGTGTCGGATGCGAAGTCGTAGGAGCAGGAGTCAACGGAGCTACAGTGTCCGACGCATCTGTTGTTGCGGGTGACGTCGTTGGCGTAGACGTCGTCGGGTCTTCACTGTTTGGCGCAAGGGTCAATGGGTCTACAGCAGTCGGAGCCGGTGTCGACGGGGCTACAGTAGACGGCGCATCGGTCGGAGCTGAAGTCGTCGGCATCGGTGTCGGATGCGAAGTCGTAGGAGCAGGAGTCAACGGAGCTACAGTGTCCGACGCATCTGTTGTTGCGGGTGACGTCGTTGGCGTAGACGTCGTCGGGTCTTCACTGTTTGGCGCAAGGGTCAATGGGTCTACAGCAGTCGGAGCCGGTGTCGACGGGGCTACAGTAGGCGGCGCATCGGTCGGAGCTGAAGTCGTCGGCATCGGTGTCGGATGCGAAGTCGTAGGAGCAGGAGTCAACGGAGCTACAGTGTCCGACGCATCTGTTGTTGCGGGTGACGTCGTTGGCGTAGACGTCGTCGGGTCTTCACTGTTTGGCGCAAGGGTCAATGGGTCTACAGCAGTCGGAGCCGGTGTCGACGGGGCTACAGTAGACGGCGCATCGGTCGGAGCTGAAGTCGTCGGCATCGGTGTCGGATGCGAAGTCGTAGGAGCAGGAGTCAACGGAGCTACAGTGTCCGGCGCATCTGTTGTTGCGGGTGACGTCGTTGGCGTAGACGTCGTCGGGTCTTCACTGTTTGGCGCAAGGGTCAATGGGTCTACAGCAGTCGGAGCCGGTGTCGACGGGGCTACAGTAGACGGCGCATCGGTCGGAGCTGAAGTCGTCGGCACCGGTGTCGGATGCGAAGTCGTAGGAGCAGGAGTCAACGGAGCTACAGTGTCCGACGCATCTGTTGTTGCGGGTGACGTCGTTGGCGTAGACGTCGTCGGGTCTTCACTGTTTGGCGCAAGGGTCAATGGGTCTACAGCAGTCGGAGTCGGTGTCGACGGGGCTACAGTAGACGGCGCATCGGTCGGAGCTGAAGTCGTCGGCATCGGTGTCGGATGCGAAGTCGTAGGAGCAGGAGTCAACGGAGCTACAGTGTCCGACGCATCTGTTGTTGCGGGTGACGTCGTTGGCGTAGACGTCGTCGGGTCTTCACTGTTTGGCGCAAGGGTCAATGGGTCTACAGCAGTCGGAGCCGGTGTCGACGGGGCTACAGTAGACGGCGCATCGGTCGGATCTGAAGTCGTCGGCATCGGTGTCGGATGCGAAGTCGTAGGAGCAGGAGTCAACGGAGCTACAGTGTCCGACGCATCTGTTGTTGCGGGTGACGTCGTTGGCGTAGACGTCGTCGGGTCTTCACTGTTTGGCGCAAGGGTCAATGGGTCTACAGCAGTCGGAGCCGGTGTCGACGGGGCTACAGTAGACGGCGCATCGGTCGGAGCTGAAGTCGTCGGCATCGGTGTCGGATGCGAAGTCGTAGGAGCAGGAGTCAACGGAGCTACAGTGTCCGACGCATCTGTTGTTGCGGGTGACGTCGTTGGCGTAGACGTCGTCGGGTCTTCACTGTTTGGCGCAAGGGTCAATGGGTCTACAGCAGTCGGAGTCGGTGTCGACGGGGCTACAGTAGACGGCGCATCGGTCGGAGCTGAAGTCGTCGGCATCGGTGTCGGATGCGAAGTCGTAGGAGCAGGAGTCAACGGAGCTACAGTGTCCGACGCATCTGTTGTTGCGGGTGACGTCGTTGGCGTAGACGTCGTCGGGTCTTCACTGTTTGGCGCAAGGGTCAATGGGTCTACAGCAGTCGGAGTCGGTGTCGACGGGGCTACAGTAGACGGCGCATCGGTCGGATCTGAAGTCGTCGGCATCGGTGTCGGATGCGAAGTCGTAGGAGCAGGAGTCAACGGAGCTACAGTGTCCGACGCATCTGTTGTTGCGGGTGACGTCGTTGGCGTAGACGTCGTCGGGTCTTCACTGTTTGGCGCAAGGGTCAATGGGTCTACAGCAGTCGGAGCCGGTGTCGACGGGGCTACAGTAGACGGCGCATCGGTCGGAGCTGAAGTCGTCGGCATCGGTGTCGGATGCGAAGTCGTAGGAGCAGGAGTCAACGGAGCTACAGTGTCCGACGCATCTGTTGTTGCGGGTGACGTCGTTGGCGTAGACGTCGTCGGGTCTTCACTGTTTGGCGCAAGGGTCAATGGGTCTACAGCAGTCGGAGCCGGTGTCGACGGGGCTACAGTAGACGGCGCATCGGTCGGAGCTGAAGTCGTCGGCACCGGTGTCGGATGCGAAGTCGTAGGAGCAGGAGTCAACGGAGCTACAGTGTCCGGCGCATCTGTTGTTGCGGGTGACGTCGTTGGCGTAGACGTCGTCGGGTCTTCACTGTTTGGCGCAAGGGTCAATGGGTCTACAGCAGTCGGAGCCGGTGTCGACGGGGCTACAGTAGACGGCGCATCGGTCGGAGCTGAAGTCGTCGGCATCGGTGTCGGATGCGAAGTCGTAGGAGCAGGAGTCAACGGAGCTACAGTGTCCGACGCATCTGTTGTTGCGGGTGACGTCGTTGGCGTAGACGTCGTCGGGTCTTCACTGTTTGGCGCAAGGGTCAATGGGTCTACAGCAGTCGGAGCCGGTGTCGACGGGGCTACAGTAGACGGCGCATCGGTCGGAGCTGAAGTCGTCGGCACCGGTGTCGGATGCGAAGTCGTAGGAGCAGGAGTCAACGGAGCTACAGTGTCCGACGCATCTGTTGTTGCGGGTGACGTCGTTGGCGTAGACGTCGTCGGGTCTTCACTGTTTGGCGCAAGGGTCAATGGGTCTACAGCAGTCGGAGTCGGTGTCGACGGGGCTACAGTAGACGGCGCATCGGTCGGATCTGAAGTCGTCGGCATCGGTGTCGGATGCGAAGTCGTAGGAGCAGGAGTCAACGGAGCTACAGTGTCCGGCGCATCTGTTGTTGCGGGTGACGTCGTTGGCGTAGACGTCGTCGGGTCTTCACTGTTTGGCGCAAGGGTCAATGGGTCTACAGCAGTCGGAGCCGGTGTCGACGGGGCTACAGTAGACGGCGCATCGGTCGGAGCTGAAGTCGTCGGCATCGGTGTCGGATGCGAAGTCGTAGGAGCAGGAGTCAACGGAGCTACAGTGTCCGACGCATCTGTTGTTGCGGGTGACGTCGTTGGCGTAGACGTCGTCGGGTCTTCACTGTTTGGCGCAAGGGTCAATGGGTCTACAGCAGTCGGAGTCGGTGTCGACGGGGCTACAGTAGACGGCGCATCGGTCGGAGCTGAAGTCGTCGGCATCGGTGTCGGATGCGAAGTCGTAGGAGCAGGAGTCAACGGAGCTACAGTGTCCGACGCATCTGTTGTTGCGGGTGACGTCGTTGGCGTAGACGTCGTCGGGTCTTCACTGTTTGGCGCAAGGGTCAATGGGTCTACAGCAGTCGGAGCCGGTGTCGACGGGGCTACAGTAGACGGCGCATCGGTCGGAGCTGAAGTCGTCGGCATCGGTGTCGGATGCGAAGTCGTAGGAGCAGGAGTCAACGGAGCTACAGTGTCCGGCGCATCTGTTGTTGCGGGTGACGTCGTTGGCGTAGACGTCGTCGGGTCTTCACTGTTTGGCGCAAGGGTCAATGGGTCTACAGCAGTCGGAGCCGGTGTCGACGGGGCTACAGTAGGCGGCGCATCGGTCGGAGCTGAAGTCGTCGGCATCGGTGTCGGATGCGAAGTCGTAGGAGCAGGAGTCAACGGAGCTACAGTGTCCGGCGCATCTGTTGTTGCGGGTGACGTCGTTGGCGTAGACGTCGTCGGGTCTTCACTGTTTGGCGCAAGGGTCAATGGGTCTACAGCAGTCGGAGTCGGTGTCGACGGGGCTACAGTAGACGGCGCATCGGTCGGAGCTGAAGTCGTCGGCATCGGTGTCGGATGCAAAGTCGTAGGAGCAGGAGTCAACGGAGCTACAGTGTCCGACGCATCTGTTGTTGCGGGTGACGTCGTTGGCGTAGACGTCGTCGGGTCTTCACTGTTTGGCGCAAGGGTCAATGGGTCTACAGCAGTCGGAGTCGGTGTCGACGGGGCTACAGTAGATCGGCGCATCGGTCGGAGCTGAAGTCGTCGGCATCGGTGTCGGATGCGAAGTCGTAGGAGCAGGAGTCAACGGAGCTACAGTGTCCGGCGCATCTGTTGTTGCGGGTGACGTCGTTGGCGTAGACGTCGTCGGGTCTTCACTGTTTGGCGCAAGGGTCAATGGGTCTACAGCAGTCGGAGCCGGTGTCGACGGGGCTACAGTAGACGGCGCATCGGTCGGAGCTGAAGTCGTCGGCACCGGTGTCGGATGCGAAGTCGTAGGAGCAGGAGTCAACGGAGCTACAGTGTCCGACGCATCTGTTGTTGCGGGTGACGTCGTTGGCGTAGACGTCGTCGGGTCTTCACTGTTTGGCGCAAGGGTCAATGGGTCTACAGCAGTCGGAGTCGGTGTCGACGGGGCTACAGTAGACGGCGCATCGGTCGGAGCTGAAGTCGTCGGCATCGGTGTCGGATGCGAAGTCGTAGGAGCAGGAGTCAACGGAGCTACAGTGTCCGACGCATCTGTTGTTGCGGGTGACGTCGTTGGCGTAGACGTCGTCGGGTCTTCACTGTTTGGCGCAAGGGTCAATGGGTCTACAGCAGTCGGAGCCGGTGTCGACGGGGCTACAGTAGACGGCGCATCGGTCGGAGCTGAAGTCGTCGGCATCGGTGTCGGATGCAAAGTCGTAGGAGCAGGAGTCAACGGAGCTACAGTGTCCGACACATCTGTTGTTGCGGGTGACGTCGTTGGCGTAGACGTCGTCGGGTCTTCACTGTTTGGCGCAAGGGTCAATGGGTCTACAGCAGTCGGAGCCGGTGTCGACGGGGCTACAGTAGACGGCGCATCGGTCGGAGCTGAAGTCGTCGGCATCGGTGTCGGATGCAAAGTCGTAGGAGCAGGAGTCAACGGAGCTACAGTGTCCGACGCATCTGTTGTTGCGGGTGACGTCGTTGGCGTAGACGTCGTCGGGTCTTCACTGTTTGGCGCAAGGGTCAATGGGTCTACAGCAGTCGGAGCCGGTGTCGACGGGGCTACAGTAGACGGCGCATCGGTCGGAGCTGAAGTCGTCGGCATCGGTGTCGGATGCAAAGTCGTAGGAGCAGGAGTCAACGGAGCTACAGTGTCCGACGCATCTGTTGTTGCGGGTGACGTCGTTGGCGTAGACGTCGTCGGGTCTTCACTGTTTGGCGCAAGGGTCAATGGGTCTACAGCAGTCGGAGTCGGTGTCGACGGGGCTACAGTAGATCGGCGCATCGGTCGGAGCTGAAGTCGTCGGCATCGGTGTCGGATGCAAAGTCGTAGGAGCAGGAGTCAACGGAGCTACAGTGTCCGACGCATCTGTTGTTGCGGGTGACGTCGTTGGCGTAGACGTCGTCGGGTCTTCACTGTTTGGCGCAAGGGTCAATGGGTCTACAGCAGTCGGAGCCGGTGTCGACGGGGCTACAGTAGACGGCGCATCGGTCGGAGCTGAAGTCGTCGGCACCGGTGTCGGATGCGAAGTCGTAGGAGCAGGAGTCAACGGAGCTACAGTGTCCGACGCATCTGTTGTTGCGGGTGACGTCGTTGGCGTAGACGTCGTCGGGTCTTCACTGTTTGGCGCAAGGGTCAATGGGTCTACAGCAGTCGGAGCCGGTGTCGACGGGGCTACAGTAATCGGCGCATCGGTCGGAGCTGAAGTCGTCGGCATCGGTGTCGGATGCGAAGTCGTAGGAGCAGGAGTCAACGGAGCTACAGTGTCCGACGCATCTGTTGTTGCGGGTGACGTCGTTGGCGTAGACGTCGTCGGGTCTTCACTGTTTGGCGCAAGGGTCAATGGGTCTACAGCAGTCGGAGTCGGTGTCGACGGGGCTACAGTAACGGCGCATCGGTCGGAGCTGAAGTCGTCGGCATCGGTGTCGGATGCAAAGTCGTAGGAGCAGGAGTCAACGGAGCTACAGTGTCCGACGCATCTGTTGTTGCGGGTGACGTCGTTGGCGTAGACGTCGTCGGGTCTTCACTGTTTGGCGCAAGGGTCAATGGGTCTACAGCAGTCGGAGTCGGTGTCGACGGGGCTACAGTAGTCGGCGCATCGGTCGGAGCTGAAGTCGTCGGCATCGGTGTCGGATGCGAAGTCGTAGGAGCAGGAGTCAACGGAGCTACAGTGTCCGACACATCTGTTGTTGCGGGTGACGTCGTTGGCGTAGACGTCGTCGGGTCTTCATTGTTTGGCGCAAGGGTCAATGGGTCTACAGCAGTCGGAGCCGGTGTCGACGGGGCTACAGTAGACGGCGCATCGGTCGGAGCTGAAGTCGTCGGCATCGGTGTCGGATGCAAAGTCGTAGGAGCAGGAGTCAACGGAGCTACAGTGTCCGACACATCTGTTGTTGCGGGTGACGTCGTTGGCGTAGACGTCGTCGGGTCTTCACTGTTTGGCGCAAGGGTCAATGGGTCTACAGCAGTCGGAGTCGGTGTCGACGGGGCTACAGTAGTCGGCGCATCGGTCGGAGCTGAAGTCGTCGGCACCGGTGTCGGATGCAAAGTCGTAGGAGCAGGAGTCAACGGAGCTACAGTGTCCGACGCATCTGTTGTTGCGGGTGACGTCATTGGCGTAGACGTCGTCGGGTCTTCACTGTTTGGCGCAAGGGTCAATGGGTCTACAGCAGTCGGAGCCGGTGTCGACGGGGCTACAGTAGTCGGCGCATCGGTCGGAGCTGAAGTCGTCGGCACCGGTGTCGGATGCGAAGTCGTAGGAGCAGGAGTCAACGGAGCTACAGTGTCCGACACATCTGTTGTTGCGGGTGACGTCGTTGGCGTAGACGTCGTCGGGTCTTCACTGTTTGGCGCAAGGGTCAATGGGTCTACAGCAGTCGGAGCCGGTGTCGACGGGGCTACAGTAATCGGCGCATCGGTCGGAACTGAAGTCGTCGGCATCGGTGTCGGATGCAAAGTCGTAGGAGCAGGAGTCAACGGAGCTACAGTGTCCGACACATCTGTTGTTGCGGGTGACGTCGTTGGCGTAGACGTCGTCGGGTCTTCACTGTTTGGCGCAAGGGTCAATGGGTCTACAGCAGTCGGAGCCGGTGTCGACGGGGCTACAGTAATCGGCGCATCGGTCGGAACTGAAGTCGTCGGCACCGGTGTCGGATGCGAAGTCGTAGGAGCAGGAGTCAACGGAGCTACAGTGTCCGACACATCTGTTGTTGCGGGTGACGTCGTTGGCGTAGACGTCGTCGGGTCTTCACTGTTTGGCGCAAGGGTCAATGGGTCTACAGCAGTCGGAGCCGGTGTCGACGGGGCTACAGTAATCGGCGCATCGGTCGGATCTGAAGTCGTCGGCACCGGTGTCGGATGCGAAGTCGTAGGAGCAGGAGTCAACGGAGCTACAGTGTCCGACGCATCTGTTGTTGCGGGTGACGTCGTTGGCGTAGACGTCGTCGGGTCTTCACTGTTTGGCGCAAGGGTCAATGGGTCTACAGCAGTCGGAGTCGGTGTCGACGGGGCTACAGTAGTCGGCGCATCGGTCGGATCTGAAGTCGTCGGCACCGGTGTCGGATGCGAAGTCGTAGGAGCAGGAGTCAACGGAGCTACAGTGTCCGACACATCTGTTGTTGCGGGTGACGTCGTTGGCGTAGACGTCGTCGGGTCTTCACTGTTTGGCGCAAGGGTCAATGGGTCTACAGCAGTCGGAGTCGGTGTCGACGGGGCTACAGTAAACGGCGCATCGGTCGGAGCTGAAGTCGTCGGCATCGGTGTCGGATGCGAAGTCGTAGGAGCAGGAGTCAACGGAGCTACAGTGTCCGACGCATCTGTTGTTGCGGGTGACGTCGTTGGCGTAGACGTCGTCGGGTCTTCACTGTTTGGCGCAAGGGTCAATGGGTCTACAGCAGTCGGAGCCGGTGTCGACGGGGCTACAGTAATCGGCGCATCGGTCGGAGCTGAAGTCGTCGGCATCGGTGTCGGATGCGAAGTCGTAGGAGCAGGAGTCAACGGAGCTACAGTGTCCGACACATCTGTTGTTGCGGGTGACGTCGTTGGCGTAGACGTCGTCGGGTCTTCACTGTTTGGCGCAAGGGTCAATGGGTCTACAGCAGTCGGAGCCGGTGTCGACGGGGCTACAGTAGACGGCGCATCGGTCGGAGCTGAAGTCGTCGGCACCGGTGTCGGATGCGAAGTCGTAGGAGCAGGAGTCAACGGAGCTACAGTGTCCGACGCATCTGTTGTTGCGGGTGACGTCGTTGGCGTAGACGTCGTCGGGTCTTCACTGTTTGGCGCAAGGGTCAATGGGTCTACAGCAGTCGGAGTCGGTGTCGACGGGGCTACAGTAATCGGCGCATCGGTCGGAGCTGAAGTCGTCGGCACCGGTGTCGGATGCGAAGTCGTAGGAGCAGGAGTCAACGGAGCTACAGTGTCCGGCACATCTGTTGTTGCGGGTGACGTCGTTGGCGTAGACGTCGTCGGGTCTTCACTGTTTGGCGCAAGGGTCAATGGGTCTACAGCAGTCGGAGCCGGTGTCGACGGGGCTACAGTAGACGGCGCATCGGTCGGAGCTGAAGTCGTCGGCACCGGTGTCGGATGCAAAGTCGTAGGAGCAGGAGTCAACGGAGCTACAGTGTCCGGCGCATCTGTTGTTGCGGGTGACGTCGTTGGCGTAGACGTCGTCGGGTCTTCACTGTTTGGCGCAAGGGTCAATGGGTCTACAGCAAT